GACCTCAAAAGCTACCTAGCTTCAAAATTTGGACACCAAAATGCCTAGGTCAAAATCTAGGTCAAATTCATAGTTTTTCCTTATTTTTGCGATTCTGGCACTACACTTTTAGGATTTGCTTCAAAATTTTGTATACAGGTAGCAAAGAGTGTGCTAATAGTGTTAGCCTTTTGCCGTCAGAGAGTATTTTGACCCACTTTTGAGATATGGTGTCCGAAAAGTAGGTAAAAATAAAAAATTCTCCAAATTTAACTTATGAGTTATGAATTAAGGGTAGAATTTTGTCAGGAATCCGAATCTGCAAACCAAATTTCAATCCGACTTTTCGTTGGGAAGTTATGGCGTTTTGAAAGCTCAAAAATCGCTAATTTTGGTGCCCCATGTTATGTCAATGAGAAAAAAGATTTTTTTGAAGTGTATAATACCAGATAAAGACTGAGTACAGCTTAAGATTCTGAAAGTCTATAAAAGAAGGGGACCTCGAAGGCTATCTAGCTTTAAAATTTGGACACCAAAATCCCTAGGTCAAAATCTAGGTCAAATACATAGTTTTTCCTTATTTTTGCGATTCTGGCACTACACTTTTAGGATTTGCTTCAAAATTTTGTATACAGGTAGCAAAGAGTGGGCTAATAGTGTTAGCCTTTTGCTGTCAGAGAGTATTTTGACCCACTTTTGAGATATGGTGTCCGAAAAGTAGGTAAAAATAAAAAATTCTCCAAATTTTACATATGAGTTATGAATTAAGAGTAGAATTTTCTCAGAAATCCGAATCTGCAAACCAATTTTCGATCAAACTTCTGGTTAGATAGTTATAGCGGTTTGAAGTCTCGAAAAGTCGATATGATGATATCCCCATGTCATGCATATGGAGTCGAAGATAACATTCTTAAGAGTTGTCTAAATGTCTATATTCTAGCTTACTCAGCTTATAGTGAATGACTCAGCTTACAAGTAATTGGATGACTCAGCTCAAAACAAGTCTTAAATCTGGAGTCTTAAATTGAACTTGTTCAATTTACATGTCTAGTTATTATTCTTTCTCTCTTGTCACGTTTTCTCGGTAACTAGAAGGACTTACTTAAATCTGCTAACACAGTCAACTAGGTAATGAGGCCTAGTTTCTGGGAAATTAGGTCAACTTTTTATCTAGGTCAAAGGTCAAGAACTAGGTCAAATCGTGGTTTTTCACTATTTTACAAGTTTTCTCAGTCGTCCTTCGGTATTTTCATTCCGGGTTTTTTTCATCATGTTCCTTAGAAAAAGCTTATTACGAATGGTAAACTGTTTTTTGATTACTCTTACCGATTTTGGGATATGGTGTCCGAAAAGTAGGTCAGAACATAAAAAGTTCTCCAAATTCAACGTGTGAATCATCAAATAAGTGTAGAATTATCTCAGGAATCCGAATCTGCAAACAAAATTTCGATCCGACTTCCGGTTCGGAAGTTATTGCGTTTTGAAATCTCAAAAATCGCTAAATTTGGTGCCCATGTTAAGCCAATGGGAAAAAAGACTTTTTCGAAGTGTAAAATACAAGATATAGACTGAGTACAGCTTAACATAATGAATGCTTATAAAAGAAGGGGACCTCAAAAGCTACATAGCTTCAAAATTTGGACACCAAAATGCCTAGGTCAAAATCTAGGTCAAATTCATAGTTTTTCCTTATTTTTACGATTCTGACACTACACTTTAATAATTTACTTCAAAATTTTGTATACAGGTAGCAAAGAGTGTGCTAATAGTGCTAGCCTTTTGCCGTCAGAAAGTATTTTGACCCACTTTTGAGATATGGTGTCCGAAAAGTAGGTCAAAATAAAAAGTTCTCCAGATTCAACGTATGAGTTATGAATTAAGGGTAGAATTTTCTCAGGAATCCGAATCTGCAAACCAAATTTCGATCCGACTTCCGGTTCGGAAGTTATGGTGTGTCCAAAAAGTAGGTCAAAATAAAAAATTTCCAAATTTAACGTATGAGTTATGAATTAGGGGTAGAATTTTGTCAGGAATCCGAATCTGCAAACCAAATTTCGATCCGACTCCAGTTCCGAAAGTTATGGCGTTTTGAAAGCTCAAAAATCGCTAAATTTGGTGCCCCATGTTATGTCAATGAGAAAAAGGATTTTTTGAAGTGTAAAATACCAGATATAGACTGAGTACAGCTTAATATTCTGAAAGCCTATAAAAGGAGGGGACCTCGAAGGCTATCTAGCTTTAAAATTTGGACGCAAAAATGCCTTGGTCAAAATCTAGGTCAAATTCATAGTTTTTCCTTATTTTTGCGATTCTGACATTACACTTTAAGGATTTGCTTCAAAATTTTGTATACAGGTAGCAAAGAGTGTGCTAATATTGTTAGCCTTTTGCCGTCAGAAAGTATTTTGACCCACTTTTGAGATATAGTGTCCGAAAAGTAGGTCAACATGAAAGTAACTCCAAATTTAACGTATGAGTTATGAATTAAGGGTAGAATTTTCTCAGGAATCCGAATCTGCAAATCAAATTTCAATCCGACACCTGGTTTGGAAGTAATGGCGTTTTGAAAAATTAAAAAATTGGTATTTTGATATCCCATGTTATGTCAATTATCTTTGTCACTATTCGTCGTTATTCCTTTATCTTTTTTTCAGCATGTAGCTTAAAGACAGTCCTTTCATTATTGTAACTGTCTTTTTTGATTACTCTTACCGATTTTGAGGAATGGCGTCCGGAAAGTAGGTCAACATAAAAAGTTCTCAAAATTTAATGTATGAGTTATGACAAAAACGTAGAATTTTCTCAGAAATTCGAATCTGCAAACAAAATTTCGACCCAAATTCTGGTTAGATAGTTATAGCTGTTTGAAGTCTCGAAAAGTCGAATTATGATATCCCCATGTTAAGCCAATGGAGACGAAGATAACCTACTTAAGAGTTGTCTAAATGTCTGTATTCTAGATGACTCAGCTTATTCTGAATGGCTCAGCTTACAGTATTTTGGATTACTCAGCTTAAAAAAAGTTTTAAATCTGGAGTCTTAAATTGAACTTGTTCAATTTACATGTCTAGTTATTATTATTCTTTCTCTCTTGTCACGTTTTCTCGGTAACTAGAAGGACTTACTTAAATCTGCTAACACAGTCAACTAGGTTATGAGGCCTAGTTTCTGGGAAATTAGGTCAACTTTTTATCTAGGTCAAAGGTCACGAACTAGGTCAAATCGTGGTTTTTCACTATTTTACAAGTTTTCTCAGTCGTCCTTCGGTATTTTCACTCCGGGTTTTTTTCATCATGTTCCTTAGAAAAAGCTTATTACGAATGGTAAACCGTTTTTTGATTACTCTTACCGATTTTGAGATATGGTGTCCGAAAAGTAGGTCAGAACATAAAAAGTTCTCCAAATTCAACGTGTGAATCATCATATAAGTGTAGAATTATCTCAGGAATCCGAATCTGCAAACAAAATTTCGATCCGACTTCCGGTTCGGAAGTTATTGCGTTTTGAAATCTCAAAAATCGCTAAATTTGGTGCCCATGTTAAGCCAATGGGAAAAAAGACTTTTTCGAAGTGTAAAATACAAGATATAGACTGAGTACAGCTTAACATAATGAATGCCTAGAAAAGAAGGGGACCTCAAAAGCTACATAGCTTCAAAATTTGGACACCAAAATGCCTAGGTCAAAATCTAGGTCAAATTCATAGTTTTTCCTCATTTTTACGATTCTGACACTACACTTTAATAATTTGCTTCAAAATTTTGTAAACAGGTAGCAAAGAGTGTGCTAATAGTGTTAGCCTTTTGCCGTCAGAAAGTATTTTGACCCACTTTTGAGATATGGTGTCCGAAATGTAGGTCAAAATAAAAAGTTCTCCAAATTTAACATATGAGCTATGAAATAAGAGTAGAATTTTCTCAGGAATCTGAATCTGCAAACTAAATTTCGATCCGACTGCCAATTCGGAAGTTAAAGCATTTTGAAATCTCAAAAATCGCTCAATTTGGTGCACCATGTTAAGTCAATGGGAAAAAAAGACTTTTTTGAAGTGTAAAATACAAGATATAGACTGGGTAAAGCTCAACATAATTAACTATTATTAAAGAAGGGGACCTCAAAAGCTACATAGCTTCAAAATTTGGACACCAAAATGCCTAGGTCAAAATCTAGGTCAAATTCATAGTTTTTCCTTATTTTTACGATTCTGACACTACACTTTAATAATTTGCTTCAAAATTTTGTATACAGGTAGCAAAGAGTGTGCTAATAGTGTTAGCCTTTTGCCGTCAGAAAGTATTTTGACCCACTTTTGAGATATTTGTGTCCGAAAAGTAGGTCAAAGTAAAAAGTTCTCTATATTTAACGTATGAGTTATGAATTAAAAGTAGAAATGTCTCAGGAATCCAAATCTTTAAACCAAATTTTGATCCATCTTCTGATGAGATAGTTATAGCAGTTTGAAGTCTCGGAAAGTCGATATGATGATATCCCCATGTTAAGCCAATGGAGTCGAAGATAACATTCTTAAAAGTTGTCTAAATGTCTATATTCTAGCTGACTCAGCTTATTCTGAATGACTCAGCTTACAATTGGATGACTCAGCTTGAAAAAAGGTTTAAATCTGGAGTCTTAAATTGAACTTGTTCAATTTACATGTCTAGTTAATTTTACTTCATCGGTTGTCAATATTCCGTATCAAATTACCAGAGTCTGTACCGTCGGTACAGACTTTCAAGGTTAAACGTCTTTTTAGCGGTCAACCATCGATTTTAATTAACCTAGTTCAACAGTGATTAATAAGGTCGGTCACGTGGTCAAACTCGACCAATCAGAGCGTAGGCACGTGGTTTAAACTGCCCAATCAGCGTGGACCCCTGAAAAACTCCCAGAATGCATCAGGGGTCACCCCGGGTCACACTATATGATTTACTACTAACATCATACAAATGTTTTAATATATCTTTTTATACATCATATTTATTTGTTTCCCAGTTTGGTTTACATAATTTATACTTTGAGACACTTTGTAACATCAATAATAAATGTAACTAACAATATGCCATTTCATAAATATTTTAGCTTGTGATAAGTCATACACCCACTAGGTTGTCACTGTCATTATCACTGATATGTTTATATGTTTATACGATTTTGATAAATAAATAAATTAATTTAAAAAATACTGATTTTCACGGACACATTGTCCAATACTCTGCCTAGTCTGCAGCGTAATATTCTTCTGATCTCGTGCCCTTGAGGATTTATGATGGTTTATTTTGTTAATATTGACGTCGACAAAGTCAGATTCCAGAACAGCATTTTTGAGTGATTTGGGCGGAAGAGCATGCCTCGACGAAATAAGTGATTTCCCAAAATCTCTGTTGGTTATTGTGCTACATCTATAAAGTATACCACTTTTTCCGGCATTGCACATTTTTGTATAAAAATCCCATGGAATTCAATAAAAAAAAGAGGAAGTTATTCCAAAGTTAGAGGATTGCATTAACTCTGCTGAATTTATCACTGAAATCATCTTTAAAGGCATTAACGGTATCTAGCAGTTTGCACTCCACGCAGCTTTCAACTCTGAAATTGCAACGCCGTGGCTTGTTATTATTCTTTGATACTCACAAGGGTTAAATGGCACTTTATTATTGTCAAAGCCTTTTACATTGCGAAGTTGATACCCTAATTTTCTAATGCAAATGGCGACATAGACGTCTTCAAGATAGAAGTATGGTATGTGTGGTGAGACACCGACAATGGCCTGCGCGACGCTCATGGTGGTGACGTAGCCGGTACCTGAGCAGAAGCCTGGGTATTGTTTCTCTGGATACTCTAGTGGAGACGCATACCATTTTGACTTCTTGTCCCGATGTGGAGCACCTGTTGAATAACAATGTCCTATCACTTCTTTACTAATATTCCAGGAGTCTATATCTTGTAGCAATTTTGGTGTGTTCACCCACATATCTTCATCTGTTTTCATAATGTATCGAGCGTTTGGGCAAAATCCAACTGCCCACTGAAAACCAGATATTGTCTTCAACGTTAAATTTCTATAGGTGTCCTTGAAATCCTTGATAATGATATCTCCATACTGTTTTGCTTCTTCTACGATTTTATCATTCCAGTTTGGGTCATCATGTTTCCCAAACAGAAACACGTACCTCACTTCCGAGGTGTTATTCTTTGCGATACTGGTCCATGTTTTACGCAATACGTTCCGCTGCATTGTATTCGTATGTGTCGTAAAAATAAGCATTAACAGTTTCACGTTAGACGACCGGGGATGCTCAGTTGAACAAACGTCAACGTTTGAGAAAATGTAAGAAGACTGCGGGAAACAAGAAGTACATTGATTCGGTCGAGCTGTCGGTGATTTGGCCTCTAAACCATTTGCGTTATTTAAAGTATTACTTAATATTGAATTCGAATTTACTAAATGCGTTGCATTTTGTACAAAGGATGGTCGGTTGAAACCTTTTCTCAGCATGTTCACAAAGACTTGCTTTGCGAACAAGAAATTTAGGCCAACCGTAACCAATAACGATGTCAAAATAACTGACAAAAAAGGTTTAAAAATCCACGATTTTGATGTCATGGTTGCTGATTAAATTATCTCCCAGTTGCTGAGTTCTATAATTTATAAATCCAAGTCAAATTATATGTAAATTGTTTGTTTGCAAACATCTCCTCGACATCTCTGCGATTGTCTATGATATCACGTTTTAAAGTTTCAACACAAAAATCGAATTTGAATCGAATCGCTTTCTTATTCCTGCTTACAGAGATCGATTCATTCGTTAAAGCTGTTCACCAGAAGTTGAATTTCAATTGAAATGAAGTCAATTGATTTCCACATTGCATAGTGCATACACTTTACGCATCTTTTTAATCTTAATCGATCCTTCATTTAATTTTGTTGATAATTGTCGTTTTTAGGAACTAAATTGATATTATTTCCCATGTTTCATTTGTTACGATTAAAATGGAAACAACAAAAAATCTATATTCACTAAAGTACTGTATGATTGTATAATGAAATTTAGACAGACTGACCAGTATTAAGCGAAGGTAACGGCCGTAACCTTCGCATCTAAAATGGATACTTCTAGTTTTTATCCAATTAAACTACTTTATAGTTGACGTTATGCTTTGGTATTTGAGCCAAACCAGGCTTATATGACATGAAAACTATGGGCTTTAATAAATTGTTCATATATCATGCGTTCAAGCCACAGTTCAACGATATCTTCCATAGCTTAAGGGAAGGTAACTGGAAATGTACACTCCCCTCAATAAGTTTGGCAACCTTTTTTTCCCCATTGAACTATGCGTTAAAGCCTCTTTACCTTTGAATTTTTATTTACTTAACCTGCGATGAAAATACTTATACTATTGAAGGAAACGTAATTCCAATACCTCCAAATTTTCACAATTTTTTTCCTCAATGGCAATAGGTCAAAAATTGATGATAAATTTGATGATTTTTTGAAAATTGACATTCCCATGTTAACCAATGAGAAATGGTAGGTTTGCCGCAAGTCATATGACAGAATATCCATCCATCCGAGTCCTTGCAAAAAGTACGAGTTAGGCAGGCAATTGAATTTGCTTACCTTATTTAACAAAAAATTGATATGTTTCTTCAGGTTCAACAAAGTTATAGGGCTTTAAAGTCAAAATTGTTTTTCAAAAAACCTCTCCCATTGAAATAACACAGGAGGCGAAAAATTATTTTCAAAAATGACTTTGAAGCGCTGTAACTTTAATATTCATCAAATAAACTTAACACTTAGTGTTCAAAAAAGTTAGACAATTCAATTTTCTATATATAAATATTTTTTGCTGAATCTTTTACTGAAAATATATCCTAATTTCTGATTTGCCCCGAACCCTCCATTTCCCATTGGATTACATGGGAATGACGATTTTCAAAAATTCATCAAATTTATCATCAATTTTCGACCTATTGTAATTGAGGAAAAACATTGAAAAAATTTGGAGGTATTGGAAATAAAGTCAAGTTACGTTTCCATTAATATCATAAGTTATTTCATCGTCGGTTAAGTAAATACAAATTCAAACGTAAAGAGGCTTTAACACGTAGTTCAATGGGGGGAAAGGTTGCCAAACTTATGGAGGGGAGTGTAAGATACGGTATCGGTCATGTTAATTTTCAATACGTGGTAACTGGACATCTTAGCTCTCCATTATAAACTCTCATAACATTATCGCATCACCACATATCAGTTGCCTTATCATCTGTAAAACCAAAATCCCAGTTACCTTCCTCAAGCGGTGGAAGACATTAAAAGCATTACGTCAACTATAAAGTAGTTTAATTCGATGAAAACTAAAAAATATCGAAATCGGCACTTCCCGTGCGCCATCTTTGATGCGAAGGTGACGGCCGTTAGTTACCTTCGCTTGTTACTGACCAGTGATTATGGACCAGTAACTCAATTCTTCTATAGTTATTCTGACATCATATATTAGAATTTAAAATAAACGGAAAAATGAAAAACTCGGATTCAATTGCTAAATTCTGAATCAATACTTCCCAGCTAATGCATAGTAATGGACGTCTGCTTTACACATATGCTTTTTATAGACCATCAGTGCATCCTTCAACTAGAAAAACAGCAACTCCACGAAGTAGCAAATCCCACCGATTTCTCGAGCAGAGCTTGTTTGTCCCTAGGCATCAACATATAAAATGTAAACCATATCCATCAATTAGATTTCATTTGAGATTTCACGAAAATGGCAGCCATTTTTAAATTAAGCCGCCATTTTGAAAACATTTCTCAGACAGAGCTTCTGTGTCCCTAGGCATCAGCATATAAACATTTTTAAAAATCCATTCACTGCTATTTGAGTAATCAAATATTACATTTTTACGGAAAATGGCCGCCATTTTGATATTTAGCAGACATTTTGAAAATCTCTTCTTCAGGGAAGATTCTTTGTCCCTAGGCATCAGCATATAAAATTAGAACAAAATCCTTCAACTAGTATTTGAGTTATCAAAGATTACGTTCTTTATGAAAAATGGTGGCCATTTTGAAATTTAGCTGCCATCTTGAAAATTCTTTCTTTAACAAATCTACTTTTTACCTTGGCATCATCATATAAAAGAACCAAATCCGTTCCCTGGTATTTGAGTTATCAAAGATCCCTACGTTTTTTACAAAAAATGGCCGCCATTTTGATATTAAGCAGCCATTTTGAAAATCTCTTCTTCTGGGTAGCTCATTTGTCTCTATGCATCAGCATATACAATTTAAACCAAATCCGTTCACTTGTATTTGAGTTATAAAAGATTACGTTTTTTCGAGGTCTCCTCTGCCGAAGGCAGCGCAAAGTAGGAGCGGAGCGACTACTTTGCGGGAGACCTCGAACCATTGATCACGTTTGCTCCTGTAATTATTCACTTCTTCACCTCTTTAAAATGTGATTTCAATCAGTAGATCAAATTTTCCGACTTTGACCTCAAATTCAAATATTAATATTTATAAGAAAAAATACTGACTCATTATTATATTTTTTAAAGTCTTTCAAATAAAGTGAAATGAAGCCAAAATCAGCTAAAATTGTGCAATGTCGTAAAATGGCGTTACTGGAATATGATGCAATCATCTGTGACGTCATACACGTATTGCCACATCAACAACTAAACAAACAATTAATATAGACTTCACTGATTGGTTTAAAGATTCTTCGCATCATTTGTGACGTCATAAACATGTTACCCAACCAACAACTAAACAAATGACAAATAGGCATATAGGTTCGTTCAGTGCCACGCTCTTGAATCAATTATAAACAGGATAATCAACAGATATATGATAGGGTCAGTAATTCTTTTGACTTGGAGACCTCGATTCGAGGAGTTTGCTGCATTTTCTTGTTTACAAAAAGTGGCCGCCATTTTTATATTTAGCAGCCATTTTGATAATCTCTCTTTTGGGGTTGCTTATTTGTTCCTCGACATCAGCATATAAAATGTGAACCAAATCCGTCAACTGATTTGAGTTATCAAAGACTACTTTTTTTATGAAAATGGCGGCCATTTTGAAAATTCCCTCTCGAGCAGAGGTTCTATCGCCATAAGGCATAAGCCTATAAAATTTGAATCAAATCTGTCAACTGGTATATGAGTTATCTCCCGGACAAACGGGCGGACGGACGAACGAACAGACGGACGGGCAGCCTTCCCTAATCCCCTTCGAACTACGTTCGGTGGGATAATTAAGTTTCTACCATGTCACTTTAAAGATGCAAAATCACTTAAATAAAATATTTTCAATGAAACTTTTTGCAAAGGTCAAGTTGGCAAAGCATCAATTTCAATTTGTAGAGTCAAGTTGTCACCTTGACAACCACATAAAAAATGACCTTGTATGCGGTAATTGATTATATAATGCACTGTAGTTATATGAAATACTGAGTTCGGATTGGTTGGAATCGGACATACCTTGCCTATCTATGCGTGAGTTATTCATTAGTCATGGATTCGAAGACACATTATGCAAGATATCTTTTGTATTCCTAATTTTATGAACGTAGTATAACCCCTACCCAACAATTACGTTGCACATTGTAAAGCTTTATGAGTAATTTTATATATTTCAGAAGAACTAGCTCAGAAATAGTATAAAAAATAGTATAAAAATAGTAATGTATAATGAAATTAGTCAAATATACCCCATTGTAGAAAAGTAACTCAATTTTTCTATAGTTATCCTGACATCATATCAGAATTTAAAATAAACTGAAAAAATGAAAAACTCAGATTTAATTGCTTAATTCTGAATCAATATTTTCAAGCTAAAGCTGATGCATATGCATCTTTGCTTTTGCTTCTGTTCTCTAATTATTCTAAAACCATATTGATTACGTCGTCATTCAGATTGAAAAGTGAAGACGTATAGACTATTATGCCTACTGCAGATTCTAGTGTTTTATCAATTGCAAGTGATGATGTTAAGAATGAATGTAAATGTATTACGTAAGCCGGTTGATTCCATCCTGGATGCCATGTTCACTGTGTCTCCAAATAAACAATATCTCGGCATTGTTAGACCAACCACACCTGCAATCGTAAAAAACATGAATGGACAGTGGTACATATACAGGGTTTCAAGAAAATACTATGTTTTCCCCTTTATTTTTTGAGTATAAATGTTTGTGCATAAAAGTGCATCTAGTTGAGTTAGTCATCTGAAAATTCTTGTAGAGTTGCTCCATGAAGCTTAGTTTTAATGTGCTAAAGATCAATTTAGATATCATGCAGACAAAAAGGTTATGCAACATTATGTGGATGTTAAAGGGGGAGAACATATTTATTTGATATCCCTGTACATCATGCCTAATTTTTAGCACATGGCCCAATGTTAAAGTTCGAGCAAGATCATAAAAGCTCTCAGTCAACATCAGTCAATATCATATAAATAAATAAATAAATAAATATATATAAAAAAAAGTCAACATAGGGCTGTAATAACTTTACCTGCTGCACAAGGTCCGGAGTTGATGCCTATCCTTGCTTGGAGTTTCTTGTCGGGGAAATGGGCAATCCTGAACTTTAGGATGGCGCTTAAGATATGTAGAGACATATTGGCAATTTCAACAATGTGGCGGTCACCATTTCTTACTGGTATTCCACTTACAACCATGTACGCATCACCGATCGTTTCAACCTAATGAAATCCAAATTATAGTACAGTGATTTTTTGCACACTATGTATAGCAATAAGTGCAAGTTATGATAAGGCAAACGATCTGAAAACAAGATATCAATTAGCTAACACATTGCATTCCTGATGTATGCACTCAATAATGAAAGTCTTAAAATAAAAATGGAGATTAAAGATCCTCCATTTGCCTTGCGAACTCTCAGACTTTTCTAAAACTCAGTGTCAGCTTTCCAGTCGCAAAAGGGTTTACGATACTTGCGATGGAAAGAAGAAGGTTAAGACAGCAAAAATAAAATCATTTATTACTGCAAAATATTCTTATACTATTCTAGTAATAACGCTATTTTTCCAATCGACATTGATTGATTTTGTTGTTGTTGACGTTGGTCAATCAATACCATGATCATACATCAAAAAATAATAATGTCCGTGTAAAGCTCACCACTGGGGTATTCTCTCAATAATAAACCCCTTAACATTAAATCTGAGATTTAAAGTTATGATCCTTCATTTTTGAAGATTTTAACCTGACTGTAATAAAACTCAGTGTCAGCTATCTGGTTCCAAAATGGTAATGACCAATGCCATTGATAAAAGTCAATGGCAGAAAGTGAAACATATTCAAAAGCAAAACCATACATAGAACACACCTCTAAAACAGATTGGGAAAAACAAGAATGTTAGACACAACTAATGTATTCAAGATCAGAAAAACAAGGCATGTCAAGAAAATTACATCGACAATGTAGACTTTCAGTCAGTCAAACATTGTACCTTTTAAACATCATACATCTCTATAATTTAAGAAAATCATATCTACAAGCTAAGGTAGACCACATATACAAGGTAGCACACTTTCAATCAGACAAAAATCTAGCACCAAAGTATGTGAACGTTTAAATGGATGTTTTTGCAGCCAACTAAAGTCACATCTAAAGAAATGACAAGCCCCAAATCAACATTGTACCTTATTAACATCATACAGCTCTATGATTTAAGAAAATCACATATACAAGGTAGCACACTTTCAATCAGACAAAAATCTAGCACCAAAGTATGTGAACGTTTAAATGGATGTTTTTGCAGCCAACTAAAATCACATCTAAAGAAATGACAAGCCCCAAATCAACATTGAACCTTTTAAACATCATACATCTCTATAATTTAAGAAAATCACATCTACAGGGTGTCAAAAAACAACGGCACCCCCCTCTACAGCAAAAAGTGCTTAATATTACATGGTACAAGGTAGCACACTTTCAATCAGACAAAAATCTAGCACCAAAGTATGTGAACGTTTAAATGGATGTTTTTGCAGCCAACTAAAGTCACATCTAAAGAAATGACAAGCCCCAAATCAACATTGTACCTTATTAACATCATACAGCTCTATGATTTAAGAAAATCACATATACAAGGTAGCACACTTTCAATCAGACAAAAATCTAGCACCAAAGTATGTGAACGTTTAAATGGATGTTTTTGCAGCCAACTAAAATCACATCTAAAGAAATGACAAGCCCCAAATCAACATTGAACCTTTTAAACATCATACATCTCTATAATTTAAGAAAATCACATCTACAGGGTGTCAAAAAACAACGGCACCCCCCTCTACAGCAAAAAGTGCTTAATATTACATGGTGTGTCATATCTCATTTTAAAGACAATTTAATTCTGGAGTTACCTGAGAAATTTCAGCTTTATATCATATCATTTTACAGATTTACAGCTGATTCTTAGTAGTTGGTATGACCACCAGTTGCTGCTCAAACAGCAGCTTATCTGGACAGATATGATTTCAATGAAAATTCAGATAAATGTGTAGCATTGCATAATCCTCTAAGCACTTTCAAGCAAAATATTCTTATACTATTCTAGTAATAACGCTATTTTTCCAATCGACATTGATTGATTTTGTTGTTGTTGACGTTGGTCAATCAATACCATGATCATACATCAAAAAATAATAATGTCCGTGTAAAGCTCACCACTGGGGTATTCTCTCAATAATAAACCCCTTAACATTAAATCTGAGATTTAAAGTTATGATCCTTCATTTTTGAAGATTTTAACCTGACTGTAATAAAACTCAGTGTCAGCTATCTGGTTCCAAAATGGTAATGACCAATGCCATTGATAAAAGTCAATGGCAGAAAGTGAAACATATTCAAAAGCAAAACCATACATAGAACACACCTCTAAAACAGATTGGGAAAAACAAGAATGTTAGACACAACTAATGTATTCAAGATCAGAAAAACAAGGCATGTCAAGAAAATTACATCGACAATGTAGACTTTCAGTCAGTCAAACATTGTACCTTTTAAACATCATACATCTCTATAATTTAAGAAAATCATATCTACAAGCTAAGGTAGACCACATATACAAGGTAGCACACTTTCAATCAGACAAAAATCTAGCACCAAAGTATGTGAACGTTTAAATGGATGTTTTTGCAGCCAACTAAAGTCACATCTAAAGAAATGACAAGCCCCAAATCAACATTGTACCTTATTAACATCATACAGCTCTATGATTTAAGAAAATCACATATACAAGGTAGCACACTTTCAATCAGACAAAAATCTAGCACCAAAGTATGTGAACGTTTAAATGGATGTTTTTGCAGCCAACTAAAATCACATCTAAAGAAATGACAAGCCCCAAATCAACATTGAACCTTTTAAACATCATACATCTCTATAATTTAAGAAAATCACATCTACAGGGTGTCAAAAAACAACGGCACCCCCCTCTACAGCAAAAAGTGCTTAATATTACATGGTGTGTCATATCTCATTTTAAAGACAATTTAATTCTGGAGTTACCTGAGAAATTTCAGCTTTATATCATATCATTTTACAGATTTACAGCTGATTCTTAGTAGTTGGTATGACCACCAGTTGCTGCTCAAACAGCAGCTTATCTGGACAGATATGATTTCAATGAAAATTCAGATAAATGTGTAGCATTGCATAATCCTCTAAGCACTTTCCTCAAATTCTTCAGAAATACATCCTCACCGTATCTTTTTTCAAGAGGCTCTTCGTCCAACAGTTCCTATACCCTATTTTTCAGAACTGAACCCATATGTTCAGTGCAGTTGAAATCTGAGTTAATTCTTTCATATTCCACTTTCTGAAGATTTGACCTTTAACCAGTAACAGAGCAGCAAATAAAGTACCAAAGTAGCAAACTTAAAAACAATGTAGCTTTTTTAATATAAAGTTTTATTAAATGAAATTTGAGGAGTAACTCCAGAATTAAATTATCTTTCAAATGATGTATGACACAATATGGAACATCCAGGACTGTTTGCTATAGAGGGGGGTGCTGTTGTTTTTTGACACCCTGTACAAGGTAGACTTTCAATCAGACAAAAATTTAGCACCAAAGTATGTGAACGTTTAAATTGATGTTTTTTCTCAGCCAACTAAAATCACATCTAAAGAAATGACAAGCCCCAAATCAACATTGTACCTTATAAACATCATACATCTCAATGATTTCATCAAACATTGTGTACAAATCATTGAGTAATCTGACTATCTGAAACGGTGTACTCTTTGACGATAGATTTGTAAATCCTACGATATCACTGAAATACACTGTACACATGTCCACCATCTCTGGTTCTACATTGTTTCCTTGCTTTAATTCATCTGCAATCACCCTGAAATATATTTCAGTCATCCACCTTTAAGATAATCATTTTTGTTACTTTGTGAATGCATTTATTTTTGCTAGTGGTATTACACCCTTGCCATTGCCAAACTGTCATCTTTAGATCTGAACATGTTTCTACAGGTTGGTAATATACATCTATCCATAATAATAGTACAAAAACGTAATAATTACTTTTTGACGCATGTACCTATGTAACTTTTTAATGTTGCCGTTTCGAAACACATCAAAGCTAACGCCACAAACAAGTTTTCTCAGGAAGGAGCACGATGTGTTTCGAAACGTCAATATTAAAAAGGTACTAAGGTTGTGTCAAAAGAGTAATAATTATGGATAAATATCATCGATGATCCAATTATGTGTATAGATACTTACGCTGGGAGCATTCTGTACAATAGTTTCTCCGTTTTCTTCTTTTCCTCGACAAGTTGCGCAGTTCTTTCCCCCACAATTGTCTCAAGGTTGTTGGCATAAGCCTCCATCTTTGTCAACATTCTGTCCACAATGTTTACACGTCTAAATATAACATAATCAAGAGTATAGAAGAAAAACCCATTTTTATTTTGAACTACTCTCAGGCTTATATTGTAGTCCTACGAAAGTAGAAATATTTTTTTTGAAATTCGGAACAATTCTTGAAAAAAATGATGTTTTGAAGTTATTTAGTCAAATTTTATATTATTATCATGAAATATATTGGAATGACAAACACTTCCAATTGTTTATTTAATTAAAATTACTAAAAGAACTTCGATTATTTTCTTACCGTCCTTGGTTCATCTTCATTATTTCTTTCTTAACTTCTTGAAAGGTTGGTCTGAAAGCTGGATTTTCTTGCCAGGTGTCATACAAAAGACTCTTTATGGTTTCGTTCATTTCCACATCATTTGGCAGCATGGGGCGAAATGGGGGGTTCTCTGACCTGGCAACCCTCTTTACAATATCTGGTAATAACGGTAATTTACAGTATGATATATGTAATGAATATGATGATAAATAATTAATATACACTTGTGCATTGAACACCCATCGCCATAGGCTATATGTGCTTTTCCGTTGACATAAAACAATGACCCCAAGGACTGTCAAAAGATGGCGAAAGATCTATTGGATCCAATTGCAATGCATTAACAAGTAAAATTGCTTCAAAATCTCCTAAGATGTCCAGTAAAAATATTTAATTTGCCATCTTATGGCCATGGTATACTACACATGGTTCATCGATGTATCTTAAGTTATTTGTATAACTGATGAAGTGGCCCATAGTCCTGTATGGCCCTATCTATAATTACCCTTTGGGGGGCATTCATAGTTGGAATAAGGGGGCTCCCGTAACATTAACTCATGCAAGATGATTGCAAAGCTGTAAACGTCTCCTTTTTGTGTACCATTTATTGGAGGATCGCTCATTCTTAACAACTCTGGGGCTGTCCATAACCTGGCTGAAATATAAAGTTCATCCCACTTTTGAAAAAACAACTCAATTTACTTTTTGATTACTCAATGTGGTCACAATTGATTTGCACATTAAAGTTAGCATTTAGAAAAGTACTATTTATTAGATCATTTTAATTATCTTTGACATCTGACAACCATTTAGTTATTTGTTAATGTTCAAATTTTCAAATAATTTTCTAATATTTGTTCAGTAGCTTTACTGGTACCATAGTAATCAACATCTTCTCCAGCGTGTATCCTTGCTTGGAGATGTACCCTTGCAAGGCCATAATCTGCTATCTTAAGCTGCCAACGACCATCTACTAGGCAGTTGCTACTCTTCAAACTACCATGTGATCCAAGTGGTGAATTATGTAGGTACTTCATACCCTGAAAAGTTAGTGGATGACAACCGAAAAGTTGTTTCAGTTACATAAATGGAAGTACTAGAGTACTGCCTGGGTCACATTTGCCCCGATCCATCGCCCGGCGCCCGGCCGATTGGGTGTTTTGTTCAATATTGTATTCAGTTTTGAACAAAATACTCAATCGGCCGGGCGCCGTAGTGAAAATCGGAGCAAATGTTACCAAGGCATATAGTACATGAAAATTAATCTTTTTTAAATTTAGACCAGATTTCACAAAATTGTGGACATCTTGCTCTCCTCCAACTAGGAGTATTTTTTGATAAATGTTTAGTAGAAATGTTATTTAATAAGTTGCTCCTCTGAGAAAAGCAATATTCACTATACAACTGTTTTACAAGCTTTTAAAATATATCTATACATACTGCTACCAGATCGCAAAGTAATGAATGCTTGAACATGAAGTCCAATTTGATGTCAGAGTTGTTGATTATATCCTATAAAACACAAAATAAGATGAATTATTAGGCGTAAGTCTATAAAGGTTTTCAATAGCAGTTGGAAGTATCTCGTATATTCAATCAATTAAAGAGACGTTGAGGGTTCTTGTGTTCTATAAGTCTTTACTAATGTCGTGGTCACATTTGCTCCGATCTTCAACACCGCCAAGTATTTTGTTCAAACCTAAATGCAATTTTGAACAAAATACTCATCGGCCAGGCTCCTGTACTGGAAATTGGAGCAAATCTGACCAAGGCATAAAATTATTGGTGAAATCAACGAATAAGTCTACCTCCAAGCTGCTTTTTGAACAGTGAAACGAAACAACTGCAGCACTTCTGGGTCCAACTGTCAAACCAAAAAATGGATTCACGTTTTCATGGTTTAGTTCCTTCATCTAAAAATTAAAAAAGAATCTTCAGTTTTCTCCGCAGAGTTGAGGAATTCTGTCCTCAGACTGTATCTTGATCGGGTTGAGGGAAGTATGTAATACAAAGGATAACTATATAATTATTACACTGGTTAATTTTTATGATTGAGAAAGTGTTCCATCATCAAGGAAAGAAAAACAAATCTCCTGGAGTTCACTATTAGATATGTCGACTTACATCTCTCATTTCCCGATAGTCTTCCTTGGTCAAGGATACCAAAACAGTGAGATTTAGTTGCTTCAGGTACACGGTGTTACCCTTGTAAATACCTATAATAACCAAAGTATCGCATATATAGAGGATATCCTATGATTTATAAGCGATATGATTTTTATCCACGAATGGACATGATATATATGACATTAATATCCATGAGTGGATTAAAATCATATCACGAGTAAATCATAGGATGTTTCTTTTAATTCCATAGTTAAAGTCATCATCAGAATCGTCGGAAATTAAGTGATTTAATTCGAATTTTCCAAACGATCCAGGATATTAACACTTAGCCTCGTTTTGAGTCTGGAGTAGCAAAAATCCATAATTCATAGCATACGACTTAAACACCGTATGCTATGGTTAAGTGAAAATTTGTCAAAAATATCATATTTTACCACTGATTACAAAAATACCGTTTTTATTTTGACATGTTATCCTATGAATATCATGCTAACTATGGAATAATGTTCGTTATTTTTCACAATGACAAATCGGATTACTGTGTAGCATACAGATATTTGAATCGTTAATAATATCATATTCTACAAGAAAAACATGGTGGAAATGCAATTCATTTTAAGCTTGTCTTTTTGTTTGTATTTAGAACGTTTGCCAAATCAATTTCGTATCTTATTAAAGTATACTCACCTATTTTAAGATCTTCATCCGGGAAATTAGGACCTGCTGGAATGACCCTTGAAACGTCCGAGCCAGAACGCTCACTGTTTACGCTCATACCGACTGAGTTCTATAAAATGTGTACCATTTTCAATAAATTCCCAAAATTAACAACTAAACGCTTTTCTATCCGATCTAATGCTTATGGAAACATTCATTTGAAGAATATGATTGTAAATTAAAAGTTTAGAATATTAAGAAGTTTTAAAAATTTCCGATGATAATCTAACATAAACTTTGTTGTTGAAATATGACTGTTAATGACAATATGCGATTGTTAATAAATTAGAATACTGCTGATCTTGAATCATCCGAATTTCTTCCCATATTGGGGTAAGATTTTTACATTCAAATTGCATCTCACCTGTGAAATCCCGATTTTTTTATTGCTCATTACGATTTTTTCAAAATCCCGATTTTCCCGACTTTTCGTAAAACATCCCGATTTTTTCATAAAATTTTCATTTTGTGTTCAAAACTCCCGATTTGTTAACGAGACATTCCGATTTTCAGTAAAAACTCCCGATTTTCAAATGATACCCTCCAGATTTTCGTTCAAAACTCAAAATTTTTAATGAAATGCCCTCGCAAAATGTGAAAGTATAGGATAGGTTTTGTGATAAAACAAAATACAGTAGCTCACTACTCATACAATATACACGTGTAAAGCTCTCACATCTTTTTTTAATTATTTCGAACAATTGAAACGCATATAGGAGACATTACAATGGAAGTTGGAACGTGGTGAAAACAAATGTGCAAAAGCATTTTTGTGATAACAAAAGATAGCAAGCTACACATCCAACATACCGTTTGCTTATTTAATATTCTTTAAACTATTTGAAACTATTTTGATTCAATCGATCGGTCTGGTACTGAGCTATTCAATACAACGCATTGAATGCATATATACATACGTTTTCATTGACAGTGTTCTTTGACTTCATGTAGTGTCCATGCGATTTCAATCTGGTTTGCTTTATCAGAAGATAATCATGTGAGGCTATGAGGTCCAAATGGATACGGAAAACCATGATTAAAGCGAGTTTAAATTGCTTGAACATAACGTCAAGTTGTGAGAGTGTATTTACATTAATTGATTATGATGTGTTACTTGGTTTAATGCAGATGATATCTTATATTAATAAACAAAGTTAGTAAAAGGCTCAAATGCAATTCGAAAACGTATTTATCATATTACTTATGTAAACCCCGATTTTCTCCCGACTTTTTGCAATCCCGATTTACTTTTAGTAATCCCGATTTTCTCCCGATTTTTTCAATTGTTGATATAGTTTTTGTACCCTCGAATTTTTTCCCGACATCTTTCTAGATTTTCCCGATTTTCTCTTAATTTTTCCTAGAATTTTCTTCAAAAATCCCGACTTCTCTTTAAAAAATATCCCGATTTTATTTTTAATTGACAGGTATGTGGCATATGCTTTAAGCGTATTTTCGGCTTTCTGAAATGTTGTCCTGATTTTTAACCTCTTCCACCCCTGCTTTTTCAATTATTGTTGCATCAATATGTTGCTTTTTGAGACACAGTTATTCGCTTTAAAGGAATACGTAATTGCTTTCAGATAAGTGGAAAACAATATTTCCTCTATATGTTATTTTCCCATAGGGAAATTTTGGTCACCCATAATGGATATCTTTAAAACAACATTTCAGAAAAGACGTGTAGGTGGGTTGTTTACATCTTCCCCGTCTCAAAGTCGAAATTATTTTATCATCTCTATGAGTGCTTTTCCCGGATTTAATGCATTGGCCAAACAGCAACTGTTTAAATCCTCAGAAAATAGCCAAAATGAAACATCTGACAGAAATCTAATATTGGAGACCATAGCAATTTTCAAAGGAAGTACTGTGTTGGGGGAAGTCTCAAATTTAGGGTAAAATTAATAAGTAGGATACAAATTAACGTCATAGGGTAGCCATGACGTTTTAAGAAACAAATACCATAGATCCAATAGGAGTATTATTTATATTCGCTCTTGTGTTGATAGGAGTTATTAAGTTATAGGGAATCTTCCACATATTCTGCAACATCTCGTCATTCCGCTTACACTTCCTAGAACATAAACAAAAATATATATAGCAATCTATTATCACTTTACAGAAAATGCACAGTGCTTTTTAAGTAAAATAAAATGGATAAAATTTGGAGGCCAATAACGAATCATTTATCTCGGCCTTCCTATTATGTAATAAAGTGTATAATCTTTTTACAAATAAATAAAACATAATCTTAAAAAAAGTATAATAAAAAAATAAAAATATTAACCTGATACAGAGTATTAGGGCTGCCAACGCCCCAACAACAACGACGATAATAACAGCCACAATAACTAACAAGATCCACAAATCCAGTTCACTAACCACATCTGCAAAATACACGTTACGTTACCATAACATTAACATACAAGGTGGGCCAAAAACAATACACAAGTTGTTATATATTTCACGTCACGCAGTATATAATGCATAATTGTGAAGATAATTCAATTCCTCATAATGTGACGTATAACATCATGCTGTCACATCAGTGAGAATATAAAATATGTGTTTTGCGAGGAGTCCATTTCAACGAGAAGTGATGAATAACAGTTAAGCCTATCCAGATTCCAGACACTCTAATCAAGTATCTGTTCTTGACTCCTACTCCAATATGGAGAAGGATGATATCAATATCGGATGAATTCAACATTTCCCTCTGTCACTGCATTCTCCCGGGAAATATTGATATCATCCTTGTAATATTACCCATTTCAAATACCTCCTGGTGAATAATCTCTTAATAAATTTCATTGTTATACCTCTACATTCATCTCCCAAGTATCCACATTTTGGGGTGCTTGGTGGAGGACGGCCATCATCAGTTATGAAATTTGGTTTCTTTTTTTCCTCGAAATCCTATAAATATATTTTTATATACATTCGTGATCATAGGTGGTGGAAAGTTCAACCAGAATGTTTTGCGGGTTTGTTAATCTACCTGATACGTTATCTGAAATATCATTTTTATTTTAATCATTAGAAATGCGTATTTGTACACAAAGTAAACTGCGTTGGTTGGTGAAACAATATTTATAAATGCAAAGCTTTGATCACAAATATGAAAAAGACAGAACCAATTGTGAAAAACCACTTGTGAAAATGACGGAACCACTTGTGAAAATGACGGAACCACTTGTGAAATACACTCTTGCTGTGCTTTTGCTACAAATATGTGGTTTTATACAAAGCTACGTGTATGTCCAAATATTGTTTCCCCAAAATTAACTTAACACTTTGCTCTCATCTCCTCTTGACATTTTGCCTCATTTTAAAACAACCTTTAACATAGATGTAGCCAAGCTTGATGCACGCGAGGCAATTGCCTCAACTTTACAGAATAAATATATTCTTAGCTAATTTCTACAAAACTGTGAAAATACTTTGTTACCCGTTACAGAGTGTACTTTTCCATTCTAACGGCGTCTCATTTCATTTGTATTCAAAGCAAACAGTAGTCCTAAATATTGTTGTAGAAAATATTGCAGTAAACGTACCCCCCCCCCTCCCCTCCCCCCCCCCCCCCCCATAAATATGCTTATACATGGAAAATAACGGTGTGTTTACACAAGAGTTTCAAGTAAAAAGGTAAGATTACCAATTTTTCATTATCTTGCATATGTACGGCAGTAAATTCTTCATACTTCGATTTTGCGTTGTTTTTGTGCCATAGAGCAAAGTCGGATAACCTGTCACCTGTTCTATCGAACTTTACCATTCCAGTCCGCCCTTATAACGAAGAAAAATTTTAATTCAATATTTAGGAAGTATAAATCAGATCTAATAGGGACAGGAGGACAACATAGTCAGCTACCAATACCTCTCTATCGTGTCACAAAAACAATTCCCAGTATAGCAATGTAACGACCCTTGGGCACGCTTGTCGGGGAGGTGTACATAGTGTACCGAGCCAGATACTAGACTCGAAAGAGAATGTGCTAAGTTCAATGCCCCGTGCGGGATTCGAACCCAGGACCTTCCGCTCTCAGAGTCAGACGCTCTACCCCTGAGCCATAAAGGCTAGACCCTACAGCTGAGACTGTAGTAGCGACTTGCTATCGAAGGTCATTACAGCAACATATTAGACCAAACAGATGACAGAGTTTCTGCACAGTTTTGTCCTCTTTTTTCTATGAGTAGAAGGTATAAGTAGCGTGAAAGTGGAAATAGATTTGAAATTGGATTAGTATTTACAAAGTTATTCAGCTTTTTAGGTCATTATTTGACAATCATTTTTAGACATATAACCTCTTGGATTTGATGTGTATCTTTGTCATTATTTGGTTGGTAGAGAAGGAATGGGTATCATAATGAACCTGATTAAATTCCCCTTTGATTATGGTATACAAATATAAACAAAATTTAGATTTCAGCTATTTCACATGTTCAAAAACAATTATAATCTAGAATAATCCTGGCATAAATTTCGTAAATATTGACAAGTTCATTAGTCAACATATGTCAACATACTATAAGTTATTGAATGATATGAAGTGCAATACAGGATATATTCTGCTCGGGAAATTCCGTATTGGAACGAGACAAAGTCGAGTGCCAATACAGAATATCGAGAACAGAATATATCCTATCCTGTATTGCACTTCAAATCATTCTATAACGTTTTTATCGTGTGATCCTCTGTATTGCTACTGAGAATGTCCCCTCTGTACCAATAGTTTCTATATTGCGACGGAGATGATCAATGGAGACAATCTCAGTAGCAATACAGATTGGTACAGCACAAGAACTGGCCAATCAGAAGGCTTCATTTTACAGATCATACGATAAAATATTTAAATATTATCCATGCTCTAGAATAGCTTTGTATCGTATAATATGCAAGATTGAAATAACTGTTTTGACCCCTGTAAATGATAGTCAAAATAACAAATACACGTAGGATTTCTACAAACTTAGTAATTCAGTTCCATGGGAAAATATGTACACGCACTATAGAGTGAAACAACAATGTTCCATTTTTCTTACCTTGATATTTAATTTATAATTGTAAAAATTGATGTCCGGAGTACACTAGATGCCTAAAAACTGCATAACTTTGCTAATTATGATCCAATTGTGAATCTGATTTCACTTTTAAGTTTCTTATACCTTCCACTTATCGAAGAAACGACAAATTATGCAGAAAATATATCATACGGCCTCGGTTCTGATAGATATGCAGAAGATTTAAATTTCAGATATCTAAAGAATGCCACAATACACAGAGCAACCAGATAGTAGGCAAGGCCATCCATCAGAATATTAAACCTCACCCTGTTACCGTTCCAAAAACTATACGGTATGTATGTCATGAATTACAGAGGCAACCACGTTGGGTAATTTTTTGACACGATAGAGAGCCATGGATTCCTGCCTAATGTATAAAATGTATCTGAAGGGTACGACGTGGTTGGCCTACATGACTTTGCAATTGCAAAGGCGATGCAACATACTATATATGGCAAATTACAATAAATATCGATAGAAATAAGAAAACAAGGTAAAAATTATGTGACCTTTCCTGATGACTAGGTAGACACTATTTAATATATGTTAAATAGAGAATGTAATTTATATTTGCCGTCTAGCATTAAAGCGTTTGCCATTTTTATCCTCAATAGTATTATATTCCTTAAATACACTTAGACACTATAGTTCCTCGGAAAATGTAAGAGAGAACATCCCACAACAAATTACAGACGTATATCACTGGTGATCCACTGGTGATTACGCTGGTTACCTTCGACGTTCTGACATTTTGTAACCGAAACGAACCGTAACCGTGCGGATCACCAGTGTATAATTATGTACATATGATCATAAATATTTATTCCAGGCTTGCCAATTAGAGTAGAGAACTTACCTTTGAATTCAAACCCATCTTTCTGAATCTCTCTAAGGACATTCCTTCCGCTCTTCCAGTCTGCACTGTTGTTTACTACTTTACTCACTGCGGTAAGATACGCAAGCACCGTGTCATACAAATACACAGAATATATGGAACCCTGTAAAATATAAACAAGCACCGTGTCATACAAATACAAAGACTATATGGAACCCTGTAAAATATAAACAAACACCCTGGCATACAAATACAAAGATTATATAAAACAGCTGTAAAGTACAGTATATACAAGCACCGTGCCATACGATACGCATACAAATACACAGACTATATCACCCAATGAAAACAGATACAAAGAATATATGGAACCCTGTAAAATATAAACAAGCACCATCGGCATACAATTACAAAGAATATATGGAACCCTGTAAAATATAAACAAGCATCGTGGCATACAAATACACAGAATATATGGAACCCTGTAAAATATAAACAAGCACCGTGTCATACAAATACAAAGACTATATGGAACCCTGTAAAATATAAACAAACACCCTGGCATACAAATACAAAGATTATATAAAACAGCTGTAAAGTACAGTATATACAAGCACCGTGCCATACGATACGCATACAAATACACAGACTATATCACCCCATGAAAACAGATCGCCTAAAATTACATTCGTATGATGAGAGACTCGAAATTCACCAGAAAACTTGAAATAATTTGTCACCCGAGCAAATTTATTTTTACTGCCTAATAAATGGTGAATGACAGCCAAATTTAGTTCTGCAAGTATGAGAATAGCATGACGTCTTGATATTTCAAGGTAACGTCGTTTGAAAAGTGATGGCGGTGATTGAAATTACGATCTAAAGATAAAACCACAACGAAATATTTGTAGATTTCTTTGAAAAACTAAGAAATATACATCACATATGGAATTTTCCGAAATACAAAAAAACATGAATAAATAGTAAGGCATGCAGGTCTGATTCCCTCTGGTAGCATTAACATTGGTCTCGTATATGTCATGATCATACAATTAATACAAATGGTAATGCTACCAGGGGGAATCGGACCTGCATGTTTTGAAAAATTCTATATGTGATGTATATTTCTTAGTTTTTCAAAAGATATCAACAAATGTTCCGTTGCTGTTTTATCTTTAGATCGTTCAATCACCGCCATCACTATTCAAACAAGTTGCCTTGAATTATCAAGACGTCGTGCTATTCTCATACTTGTAGAACTTAATTTGGCTGTCATTCACCATTTATTAACCCTAGAAGCCCTAAGGGGGGGTCAAAATGACCCATCCCCCCTGTTAAGTTTTTTCCCTATAACTTTTTATTGGCATCTGGTAGCGTCTTTAAATTTTCAGTAGCTGAAACTACAGATATAACAAATGTTTTCTGAAAAATTCATTGAAATTGTACATAGGGTAATTGATTTATTATGATGTAATCATCAGCTGCAACAGACAAAATCGGAAAAAGCTAGGACTTTTTCTTCCATACGTGTTATCTTTATGATAAGGTTACACAATCTTTCATCATCATATATGTTAAAGTAATTACACCAAGTTGTAGATAATTGAATGAACTATATTTTGGGAAAGTTTGAACATCCTAGCTTTACTAATTTGTTATTAATTTATTATGATGTAATTATCAACTACAATAGACATAATCATAAAAAGCTAGCACTTATTGTACCATAAGTGTTGTCTTAAGAATAAAATTACGCAATCTTACATCATCGTAGTTGTTAACGTTTTTACACCAGGTTGTAGATAATTGAATGAAGTATATGTGGAAAAAGATTGAACATCCTAGCTCTACTAATAAATTTTTTAAAGGGGGTGCCCTTTTGACCCCCCCCTTAGGTGTTCGTGTGACTATTTTTACTTTAGGGCTTCTAGGGTTAAGCAGTAAAAAATAAATTTGCTCTATGGGTGACAAATTATTTCAATTTGTCATCTTTTTGGTCTCTATATACATGCAAGGAAAAATTGTTAAGACACACGCCATGGCTCATTTGAAAGGTCTCTTTGTGCTGATACACAAAGAAGTCAGGTATTGGAAAATATTGAAAAAATAGTGATATTAATAAAGACCCGTTTTCCCGTGGCCTGGTTCATTTATTATTCTCAAATCAATAGTACTTACAATTTTAGTTGATTCATAACCAGTATATTTTTCCATTCTCTTTGGATATTCTTCTCTAAAGTCCTCTGCAGTTTTGCCATCCAGCCATGCTACCCCATCTATGACGCCGCTTGCAGTAACCTATAAAGCAATCTTAAATTAACATAAATTAAAGCCATACACATTGAAGACCATTGGGAGATACAAATTCTCCAAGCAAATGTTGTACAATTACTATGGTTTAAATACTCATCGTGAAAGACATCCACTTCGTGACTGTGTTTTTAACTGAAAAACGTTCTGATTTCTCAAAGGATCCGTACCAATTAGTGTACCTATATATAAGAACTTAGAAAATTATTGAAAATGGTATGGAATTCAAGAATTATTTTTATGCAAATTGAATCTTTATTAAGTATATTTTCAACAAATCACAAAAATAGTGTGAAAATATGGTAAAAATGTGTTTTTAATAGTGATTTTTAACACATGGCATGTTAATTCGTGAGTAATTTTGACATATTTTCATAAAACCTTGATTAAAATCTTGAGTTTTATGTTCAATCCTCCAAACAGACATGTATTCATTTGTCAATGGTAATAAGATCAAAGAAAACATGTTTCATTTGCGATAAAGCAATTAAATCACAGGTAACTTAAAATATGTTTGTCAAAAATTATTTTCATAAGGTATACTATTAGAACATGTGATATGTAAGCAATGAGCCTGATAATCGGGAAAATATGTTTTAGCTAGTCATTCATTTGAATGAATATTGCCCGTTAACTGTTCTTATAAAAAAACAAATAAAAATGTAATGCAATGGAAAGTCGCAACTAGATTTAGCTTGAATTGAGGTTTTGTGTTTTCAACTGTTGCTCTTTGTGTTCTACCTTAGCTTTAATGATGTTTTGACATATTCTCTAGGTTGAATACCTAGGTTAAAGCTACAGTTTACATAATCATGGGAGTATTGTTCAGAACACCTTCAACAATAAAGGTTCATTTTATCATATAATATATTATTTTTCGGGGCTATTTTATGATTTGTGTTTTCAGTATGTTGCCCTTTGTGCCCCACCTTAATGATATTTAAATATACCCTCTAGGTTGAATGCCTACTATATACCAACTGAGGTGATCATGGTACTATTGTTGAGAACACATTCACAAATTTTCAAAAGATATACGTTTTCCGGGGTTATTTTATGATATGTGTTTTCAATATGTTGCCCTTGTGTGCTACCTTAACAATGTTCTGATCATGATATATCAATTAATAAATTGCCTACATACTTAAATGGTCATGAATGGGCACTGAATGACCTTAGTTATAATCCAAATGACCTAATTTCATTTTTGAGGTGTTCATAATTGATAAAAGTAATTATTTCCATATCATTTTCAATGAAACCTTTGGGGGCACATCCAGGTACATTGGGTAACGGATCCTTTGACATTGATTCTCCATTTACAACTCATGCGATCTATATTCAGAATGGGGCACTGGCCTTTCAATGTAAAAAAGTGGAGTGATTCTACACACTTTTTGATGATGTCATCTTATCAAGGTCAGTTCACACTAAATCTGGATTGTAGAATCGAAGCAAAGACCTCGATTATATGATTAATGGTAAATCTGGCTATTACCAGAGGCCTCCATCGCAACTCGATTTCAGTCGTTAATCAATGAATGTAAAAAGTTTCGGTCAAATATTATAAATCAATCATGTAATTTCGATCAACAAACCTGAAATACGTTATCAAATAAGTGCATATCCTCCGATGTTCCATTACGTAGCCAAGGCGCAAGGATCTTATCTTTTGGAATGAGCTCATAAGTGAGTATGAACATAAACTCTTTTTGATCGAAGTTTATTTTCTTCGATAGTCTCAACACTTCGATCATCTGTTCTTCTTCCAGTAGTAGAATGATAACTGAAACAAATATGGTTAAATATCGCCTTTTTTATTTTGAATTTTTCCATCACAATAATCTATGAAAATTTCAGTTTTGCACATTTTTTCAACCATTAAATAGTATATCAATCCCTTCTATTTGTCTCTTATGCTGTATTCGCGAATGCAACTATCGGCTACTGGGTAGAACTCAATTCAATTGAAAACTCATTTAGATTAATAGTACCTAGCTGTGCATTCAGGTAGCTCTGCTGCAACCTTATTTTTGCAAAATAATAGGTTAATCATGCAGTCGGTAGTTGCACTCGTATATACGCTTAATCACACCTAATTAATCCTAATTGATGTGACTTACTTCTCCCCATCCTCTTGATTTTCTCCAAAACAATATTCTTCTCATAATCGTTATTACTTGGAAAAGAAAACGACTCAAAACTAAAGTTGAGATCATCGTTTTCCAAGGATTTAAAAACCTCCTTTATAACATCGATTGCATCTTCCTGCCTTTTTGCCTTATCGTGGGTTGCCATTTTCGCGTTTCTTTTTCTACCACCTGCAACGAAGACATACTGAGTGATATATGAGGGTTTTGCAATGTTGAGTTCGTCCAGAGAGAAATATCTAGCTTAAGCCCATCAGCAAAAAAGTTTTAATTTAATTCTTGTACCTTGAGGTAGAGTTTCTCTAGGTTTGGTTTTCATTATATTTATCGCAAAATGTTAAAAACCACAAATCAATTTGAAAGAGCCTACAAAACCAATGACGCCATTCAAATGTGAGAGTTTTGCTCGTATCCACTTCATGTGATAGCAAAACATACTTAACCATTGCAGGCCCGTTGCATAGAACGTTCTCTCTAACTGAGTGATACTATCTTGCATAATAAATAAGAATTGCATGAAAAAGCGAGCAAAGATGACTTTGTATTTCAAATCAATTAACTTACCTATATGATAATGATCATCATAACTATTATAAATATCATCACTATAGTCAGCGTGAAGTAACAGAACGTTGGTCCAGTTGTACTGCTTCATCATTTTCTTGTAAACAAATGCGAGGCTATTGTATGTTGGGGAGATGCTCGCAATGAGTGGGTTCCCGTGGTTCCCCGGGGCATCCGAAAATGTCTGAATATCCATGTAACTAGCAATACCGAGAGTACCATCTTCCACTGAAAGAATCATAAACACGTCGCTGTTTGGGTCGACTGATAAAAAGATCAGGGTCAACATATCTGGTCTAATAAAAACGAATTGTTTTGTCTAAACACTCAAATTAGATAAATAAAGGTTATGTACTGGGAGGTTTTGGATATGGGGTTTATCAAGAGGGAGATATGCATATCTACCTGAGGGACCGTTGGGATCGAAGGTAGATGTGCATATCTCACGAGGGATGAACCCAATATCCAAACCGACCGTACATAACTGCTTTATCCTATACCAAGTAGAGTTTTCAGGGGCATATGGCCATTTCAATAGTACCAGGTCGTTCAATAAGTTCCCGGAAAAACGCTCTCATTTTGTTAGTTTGTAGTATTTTTTATTGAAATTTTAACAGTATGTGTAAAATTAATTTAGAATTTATGTATAGAAATATTTTTATACAATATTTAAGAAATATAGACCGAAAAGCATGGGTTATATCGTCGAATACAACCCGCAGGGCTAGGCACAAACGTTTTCTGTACCACGAACGACCGAAGCGAGTGAGTGGTTCGAAAGCTTTTGTGCCTAGCCCCAAGGGGTGTATTCGACGATATTACCCCTGATCTGAGGTCTATATTACGATTCGAACATGAAAACTCACCAAATTGTTTCGAATATTCATCATGGTCCGCCATTACTACGACCCATCGTTATGACGTCACACATTACACGTATTAACTGGGTTATTGATCTCGAATATAACCCAGCTGAAGCATTGACTTTGTTTACAGTTTATAGAAGGCGTGAATACAGTCATGTTCGAATTCATATTTATTAACTTATCCTTGATAATGTGACGTCATTAAAGGGTATGCGGGGCACTATTTTGACGTTAAAATTTCACAATTTTCAATTTATTCATCATATGTTCACATTTTTTTGTATTTCTTTTATTTCAACTGAATAAACAGTCCTGTTGCCATTGTAACTATGTGGCATCATATTACTGCTGTACAAGATGCAAAAATTCTTGAATTAAAGACATCATACATCTTTGCATGACATCACACAACTTATGCATGACATCAGTCATTAGTCAGACACCAAAATGGCTACTGTCCTCTAGGATATTCCATCAGGACATTGCTCCAAGCCATAGATCTAACTTGGTGCAGGACACCATTTCCATTAATCTCCAAATGGAACTGCAAGACCAGGCACCCTATTCACCTGATATGGCAGTATTAGATTTTGCTGTTTTCAACAGATTGAAGGAAGCTCTGAGGGGGATTCGCTTTGGCTCAGTTGATGATCTTAAAGCAGGTGTTAAGAATGCACTAAAGGAGAAGTTTCCAGCTGGGTTCCGTGACCAATATAAGCAATGGGTTCAGAGACAGAGGCTATGTATTCAACACGATGGTTCATATTTTGAGCATTTAATGTAGATGACAGTGAAGGACTATGTGAATATATAATCTTACAAGCATACAAAGACATCAAAGGGTGTTAAATATATCGTAAAATGTGACTAAAACGTTTAGATTTAATGATCAAACCATAATAATAAACAGTGCCCCGCATACCCTTTTGTGACGTCACATGATGTTGGATAACTTAAAAACTAGTCAGACATTTTCAAATTAATTTAATACAATGATTTGAAAATAAATTGCATACATACTGTGAAAATTTCAATGAAAAATATTATAAACTAATAAAATGAGAGCGTTTTTCCGGGAACTTATTGAACGACCTGGTACAAGGTGTAAAAATAAACAAATCATTCATATGCAAAGTCATTTTATTGCATTTCCACTACTTACCGGAAGCGGGAAGATATGCACCGAAGCTGGAAGATATGCACCGAAGCGGGAGATATGGAGGTTCTGGATATGGAAACCTCAAAATCAGAATACGGGATATATCTTACCAACTTATCTCCCTAAAACTCTACTTGGCATAGGATAAATAATTTTATCCTCCCAATGGAAAATATCCCATTTTATAAACGAATGTCCATTGATGCAACGGAGGCCTCTTGACTCCTTAAGAATGCACTCTGCCCAAAACATTCGGCCTCTGTTCAAATTGACACTGACAAAATACCTTATATGATTAAAACGTACCATCTGAACAAGGCGATCCAATAAGAACATCAATTTTCTTTTCACATAACAAGCAAGCTGTTCCACCGCGTGATCCGCGGTCCTCGAGTTCACACCTAGTATCGACGTATGTTAAGCTAAAATAATACAACAAAACAAGGCATTAATATGCAAAATATCATCACCTGGCATTTTTACAGACGCCGAACACCAACCGCCGAACACCGAACACCGTCCACCAAAAAGTTGGAGACTACAACATTATGTCACCACTTGTGGTGACCTAGAATATTTGAGCTGGTAGAGCTGTAAATAATGAATATTATTCTAACCATATATCATCTTAAAAACATTGTAAGTGGTGGACATTTGAATTGCAATGCAGCTGTGTCCGCTACCCCTCCCCTTCAATTATTCAATCAAAATCAATAAGTCAAAATAATCTTAAATACATTGTATGTGGTGGACATTTGAATTGCAATGCAGCTGTGTCCGTTACCCCTCCCCTTCAACTATTCAATCAAAATCAATAAGTCAAAATAATCTTAAATACATTGTAAGTGGTGAACATTTGAATTGCAATCAGCTCTGTCCGTTACCCCTCCCCTTCAATTATTCAATCAAAATCAATAAGTCAAAATAATCTTAAATACATTGTATGTGGTGGACATTTGAATTGCAATCAGCTCTGTCCGTTACCCCTCCCCTTCAATTATTCAATCAAAATCAATAAGTCAAAATAATCTTAAATACATTGTAAGTGGTGAACATTTGAATTGCAATCAGCTCTGTCCGTTACCCCTCCCCTTCAATTATTCAATCAAAATCAATAAGTTAAAATAATCTTAAATACATTGTATGTGGTGGACATTTGAATCAGATTTGAATTGCAATGCAGCTGTGTCCATTACCCCTCCCCTTCAATATTTTAACTATTCATTTCACAGACTTTGACTATGTAACAAAACTATTTACTTGATATCGAATGATGACAGTAGTGTCAAGTTCAGTTTATCTGGCATTGTTTTTAAATCCTCAAGCGCCCATTCGACTGCTGCAAAGTTGGTCGCCCAAGCATGGTAGTTGTATCTCGTATCATTCGGTAACAACACTCCCAAAATCATTGTTTCGTTGCCATGGGCCAATTGTAATATGCACAATCCATATATAAAAATACATGTACGCATCCAAATATTATCCATTCTTAATTTGTTTGGAACGTACGCCTTTTGTCTTTTATCTGAGACTAAATCCTATTCAATTTCCTACAGCTCATATTTTCGCGATCAACTTGCCTAATTGATGATAGACAGTGAAACCTGTCTGTCGTGTAATTCGAACGCCACTCCATGGACAAACCAAAAATGTTCAGCTAAGCAGGTGTTTAAAGTATATTTCTAGTTTTAACATGGAAGTCTATGACAGATTAAAAAAAAAGTGAACCAAAAAGTGTTTTATTGAGAAATGTTCAAATTAGAGAGGTGTTCGGATACACCGGTTGTACTGTACATTACGTCACACGTCCCAGTAGCCTACTACATTTTTATATTGACTGAGATCAGTACAATTACTCTCTCCCATTATGTTCATAAGCCAATATTTAGCGAAGGTGCGTCAACTAAGTTTAAATACAAGTTTTACAACTCCCTTTTCAAAACAATTACTTGATATAGTAGCCGGGACAGAACAGGTCATCCAAACCTTTTTCTGATAACTTTTCAATCCTCAATAAGTTTTCATGAAGTTTCCATTGGATAAACTCTAAAGAATTCCTTATATACGAAATATTTTGTTTGACTCATTATTTTTATGAAACACTGAAAGAATTAGAGATTGTTTAAAATGTAATATTTGATTCAACTTGCGCTATCCCACAATCTCACAATAACAGCGCCATCTATCTTACTCACTAAAATCAAATAACTTCATTAATTTTCAAAAGATATAGGTTGGGAAAACAGCACATATTGCATTTTAAGACGTTTTTCATTATTATATCGTTACATCAGTACAATTTGACAATAGCATATGCATACTGGCATGGGTATCGGAATGATTGATCTGCATCAGCAGTGATGTGCGGTATATGAGTTAATTAAGGCACAATATTTGAATTATTTATGTATGAGGACGATATATTGTCAGTAACAAACAAAACAACCACTTTGTTGATTACAAAGTTTGTTTATCATTCATTCACATCAAATAATGTTCAGTGTTGTCTTTACTCATTTTTGAAATATCTTCAAATATTACTTATATCATATCACCTCACAATGATTGATTTACTTGAACCTAAGTGGCTTGCTCAGTTGTCCACTGGAGCACTCAATGATTTTTGAGCTGTGAGATTTTTTGACGTTTGATATCAAATCAATATCAATGGAAAAATTTGGTGATGAATTGGATTTTATCTGTTTTCGTGTCGTTCTCTTCTTACGCCTCAATATTAGAGAGTTAAATATGTTCCAAGGAAAATTGACAAAAACGTGCCAATGTTATGAAGACGAACTACGTTTTACGATAAAAAATTCGTCTTAGGTCTTAGCTTCGCCCCTTTGCTATCATTTTTCCTAATCCCCAATGCCAAGACTCATTGTTTATTCATTACATAATTATCGACAACAACAATAACAATATTTGCATTATAACAATAATCATTGAATTTATTTAGACATCTGTACAATCTTCTACACAATGCAATACTTCATGTATGTTAATATGTTATAAGAATGAATGAAAAATTGTTTATAAAAAGGAAGTAGGTCAATTTGTATCCAAATATTTTACACGTATGTTTATTGTATCATCCGGTCACTGAAAAGCAAATCAGTCACATCAAAGGGCTCCAATAATCCAATGAGACGTTTACACAACGCAATCAAGACATTATGAAATTCACCAGATAACGTCCTGTTTGCTGAATTGAAGGAATTCTCACTGGATCACCGTGTGGATTATTATTGGAGCCGCTGGATAAATTTGCTCGTGACTGACTATCTTTTCAGTAACCGGATGCTACTATTAACACAAGGGTAAAAAATGTTGATACAATACAACCTCATTCTTTGTGAAAATAAAAGTTGCCTCCAACAGAAGTTCATTCATTTTATTATAAATACGTAACGTCTTTATAAAAGGGTGGGGACCATTGATAATAATTGGTAATCAACCCATCCCCATACCCCTCAATATGCTGGCTTACTTCTTGAAAAAAATTGCGTTAAAATTCCAGAGTTAGTATATCCAAAACAAGTTTCAATAACTTAAAAGTACTACAATGCGTTAATCGAATCATACCTTGTATTAATCACATACCATGAAATACCATGTCTATTCAATTTCGCCAGCACTGACTCTCTGGCGCGTTTATAGTTATCAATTTCTCTTTAAAAAGCAATTGTACCTGGATTGTGTATAATTATGCAATTTACTGATTATATTTGAGTATGAGTAGCGATCACTTGTAATTATTCATTCTCGTCTGATACAAGGAGGATTGGCTCCCAGAATCGAAGTCGATATTTTCCGACAATGAAACGCCGAAATGTCGTTATTTTCGGAAATTATAACCGATTATGATTTCAAAATAAACAGTTCAAATGATTCGAACCAATATCTCGATTATTTTTTGTGAGTTTTGGAATTTTTCGTTAGGAAATAAGACCAAAATTCACGATTCAAATGTTGAAGGGAACAATGCGATCGAATTCATTTTTGAAAATGTGAACGGGGTTTAATGTCCATTCGCGAATACAAGCTCAGTCAATTGAATCTTGACAAAAATAAGAGATTTGGAAGATTCAAATGTTCAATAAATAACTCCATTGGACTAAATAGGGCACAGCTTTATAAAACCAAGCCATTGACTTGCAAAGTGTCACCAGCTACCATATTTGTGCTGGTGACATAAAAACAGAATTAGAGTATCATTTATAGAGGAGATTGGTGGCGAAGATTGTCAATCTATATTTTCAAATACATTTTAATAGCAGATAATTCGAAGATAATGGCTAAGATTGTCAATCTATATTTCCAAATACATTTTAATAGCAGATAATTCTAAGCTTGCATCAGCTCTCCTGAGCCCCCCCCCCCCCCCGACTCCACACCCCTTCCCTCATGCGTCACATGTAGAGGGGGGTGTACATGTGTGTGAGCTACAATAAAATCAACTGAAATGTCAACTCCATTGTGTATTAATTGGTCTATCGTCATGTCTCCTACTCAATTTTGCTTGATTTTTCCCAGGTTTAAAGCAAGATTTAGATTTTCGTTGCACATATTATTGCATATATTCAATGTCGCAACCTTAGAAAAGGGAACATCCGTTGCACTGCCCGGTAATATCCCTCTGATAATGAAGCTACGGCCGCTGTACGGTTGTCGTAGATCAAATGTGACTGGGGCATTACATTACCAAGCAACGGAGATATCTAGAGAGCTACTTTAAACTCCATCATACATGGAGAGAGGACAATAAACTCTGGGGACATTCATCATTATCACACTACGATGAGAGATTGTCTATGAATTGCAGAGTGCGTCTTTGGTAAAGGCTGTTCCACTCTGTACTTGAATGTAGACTGTAACATTGTGTACTCGGTCCATTCCGTCGTCAACAGCGAACACATCGGCATATACCATTTGTTGACAACAACTTTACAAACTCTAAAGAAAACGCCAGAAAAATAATTCAGAATGGTAGCCCGCAGTAAGTTTCTTTATATCATTTTTTAATAACAATAGAATAACTGTTTGGATATACTTTGCATTTAGGTTACAAGCCATGTTTTACGAAAAGCCATGGCACGGTGTATAACCCAAACGCTCCTACATGCACGACGGAGCGTTTCATTACTGAAATTAAACAAAGAAACGCTCCGGAGTAGGAAAACTGGCTGGCGGGAATGATGAGCCGTCTGACGATTTCCCCAATAATGGGAACAAGAGGTATGAGTTCCATATTTCGAGTATACCATTCGATGGGTGTGATATTCATGTTGTACTTGGCTGGCTGTTGACGTTTGAAGCAATTAGGAAGAGCTGTACGAAGCAGTATAGTTATCAAAATTCAAAAACGTATTTGTCAATCTACCGGTCAAAACCCCTTTTGTCGATACATGTGATTAGTTGAGCCAAGATTAGAGAACCAACGTATATTTTAGTCAAATTCCAATGCTTCAACGCACCATACATCATCGTAATAGTGATTTGATGACCGAAAATCCAGTCTGAAAAATGATGACATTCTCATATTCAAGAAACGCTCCGATCTGGTTAACACAGTGAACTGGAAACGCTCCGGTAGTCTAGATCAGTTTAGGAAATATATAGCTTGCCTTTCCTTTTCAGGAAGAGAAAGAAAAGATCTATTATACCCCTTGGCATCAAAAGAAGAAAGATTAATTCACATATAAATTTTAGTTTTTTTCTATAGTTTTATGATTTAGCACACATGTAGGCATGACATCATCTAATGTAGGCTTAAATCAGCTAGTTGCACATTTAGCACCACCAGGTTCAGATGTTTCAATTTGCCTAACAAGTACAACACGTTTTTGAGAGATAGATTCAATTCGGAACTCTTCTCTAATAATCTGAAAATGATATCAAAACAAAATGGTAAGAGCGTTTCTAAAATTGTGTTCTAAATCGACGGAGCGTTTTGAGGAAAACAAGCGATTTTTCGAGAACAAGTAATGGATTTGGACTGGGATTTTAGGAAATTAGAATATACGAGTTTGTGATCTACTACTTTAACAGAAAGATTAAAGTTCTCATAGAAATACTTCTTTAATTCGTAATTTGTGGTCAAATCGTCATCTTCAGATTCGTTCGATCTACACTACGGAGCTTTGATCAAGCAAATAACAGTTTACCACCAGAAGTTGAATAAATAAGATCTTTGCTCACGGTATTGTTCATCGAATGGTACATAATATTTCACCATAACATATGATATGTAAGAGAAACGAGAGAAACAATACTTACGGTCATAGTGGAATCTTCATTAGCCGCCATTTTACTTCGCTCCGGAGCGTTTCCGCGTAAATGAAACCCTCCGTCGTGCATGTAGGAGCGTTTGGGTTATACACCGTGCATGGCATACACCCCTTGGATATTTTTATCATTGCTAAATGTTATTTTGAGAAACTGATATTTTCTATTTCTTAATTAAAATGTATATGAGACGCAATTTGAAAGCATTCATCTGCTATCGAATGAAAATTTCCGGTTTTTAAACTTATGGAGGGGGGTGTAAATAAGCGTACGTACCTGTGGGTCCCGATATATATTGCACTGTTATTGGTGAGAATGAGCCGGACGTTGCAGCAACAAGCCAGATTGGCGTGGGAAGCTGGAAGAAGCGAACTCCGATGTCATTCTCGTGTCCCCAACCATCCAATCCGAGAACTTGGACATCGCAGTTTGCGTTTGTTCCAACATAGAATTTGAACCTGTACTTTCTGTAGTTCGTCCATTCGAAACCTATGCATACATGATGGTAACTTATAATACCCTTCAATAACTACCATATTTGTTCTTGAATTTTTAGAATAAGAATTTTTGGAAAAGTTTTAGTCAAGCCATGGTCTTTAGTCAATCAAGTAGAGGGGGGTCACAGAAGCTCGTAGCCAGACTAGAAAGGTTTGTTTGCCGCCTTAAAGATAACATTCCAAAGACTGATACACAGTTCTTAATGATGATATCTCTGGTATGAAAATGAAAAAATGCGTCATGAGCAATGAGGCAGAAATAGATTTACCTTTTGGTGAATTCTGGTCTGATGGCTTCGCGGAGTGATAAATCTTGTTCTCCGAAAGAAGCCATCCCCAAGAATCGTCGCTCTCGCCTACTACACAATGACACTTCGAACTACGGACAAAACGCTTCGATATTTGGCCACTTTTCTTATTAGTTCCTTGGAATGGATTGTAGGAATCCTTCGCTGAAATACAATGCAGATGTCGTGGTCCGTAGTGCCTCTTTACAATCTATACTTTCTTTTTATCTAGTATAAGAATTGGCAATGACATTAGAACAGGTGATTAGTCTATGTATATTTGTGCCCTTGTTCTTTCCGAGCACCCACCATTTCGAATTAAGCCAACTTGGGTGTTAGCGTTTTAAGCAAATTATATAATCATGTGAAATATTAAAAAAAACTATCGATCTAGCTACAGAGCCCCTTTAATTCTTGTTATCTCATGATTTAAAAAATATGGCTCACCAAAACCTATAACTATATGGTCCTCGACGGATTCGGAAGGGAAGGTGTGAATGGTTATATCTATTGTATGCAGACCAGGCGTATGGATGGCCTTATTTGCTCTTGCCAAATGGTAATCCCAAAATCCTGATATTCCAAACAATTTACCAGGGAGTGTAGTTATCATTCGCTCGCCACCATCTGGTTTGAGAGTATTTACGTAAAGCGTCCTTCTTTTCTGAAACCAAAGAGCGAACAACAAAGGATAATAAACAGTATAAAGAACATGAGAGGCTGAGAGTTAGTATAGCTCACGGAAGTACAGGAAGTGGGGCGATTATTCCTTGGGGACATCTGAAATATGTTGCACTCTGGACGATGCATGTTTAACACTGTGACTCGTATATTATAGGTTCAACAAAAATGTGCAGGTTTTCCGCCACCACCAGTTTTCTCTCAGGAGTTGTTTTTCATATTTTTTCGTCCTGCAATTAATATGTTTATTCAGGGAGTTACTAAAAATGCTTTGTGGTTTTGCAAAAGAAAGCACTCAAAACCAGAGAACACTTTAAATAGCTCTCTGTGATACAAGTTACATATAATGCTACATGCAAAACATTTTTGTATTTTATTTTTAATTTCAAAATTAATTATTTTAATAAAACGGGAGCTAGTGCATGTCAACTACTCTACCTTGATTACCAAGCCTGTTGTTTTGAATTTGGTATCCCATCTAAATCTGTTGACATATTTTGGAGGTAGAACAGAGGTATCTTCATCAATCGATAATCGAAAGTTATTTTCCACCTCTGTTGATTTGCCATTTGTACGGGCATCGATTGTCATAGCATTTGTACCATCACTGTCAGTATTTATCAGATGCTTATCATTAACATAGTATTCATCATCGGATATTTTGGGTGTATCACTTTCATTAGTGTTAACGTTTTTGACCTTATGCTCAGCATCTGGTACTGTATCATCTGTGTGGTCAGCTCTCCTTAGATCCAATGTAGTATTATGATCCGTACAATCCATTTTGTGCACGTTGAATTAGGATAGACAGAGAAGATGCTCAAAGGCTGATCTTTTTAACTTTTTACGTGTATGAATGCTCACATACAACTGACGTTATGCACAAACTGGTTTGAAAGTCATACTTCTTGGCTCATCTTAATAAGCTCAGAGACAGAGGCGTTGTACCCGGGCTTTGTACACTTGTAAGTCAGCCTATATCCATCCAGTTTAATTTAGCCTCAATTGTCTTTTTCGGTATTATAAGTTAACTTGACAATTTATTAACCATTATTTATACCTCATTGTTTAAAACTTACAGCATTATCTCTGTGTGAAGCATATAACAGATTTGCTTCACCTGTTTACAGATTTCTAAACAAACTTCAATGTTTAGGTAATCGTTTGCATCCTTGCAACATGTTTCAACTGGGACAGGTGGCGAAAGAGTAAACGAACGGATAAAGTACATATTATAGTTAGCCTTAGTTTGAGGTGACCTAAAATGAAATACCAACAGAAGCTTTTGTTTAAGTTTATGTTGTCTGTTATGCCTGCTTCTTGTAGTTGTTCATCCAAATATTCAATCACTTAATTATCAATCATAACCATCTGGAATCTGACGTTTTGAGGGAAACCACAAATGATCTACATCACTGGCAGTTTTTCCAGACCCCCCATCTAACGAGGCATATGTTTAAACACTAAAATTGATGAAGTGATCAGAATGTTAAATAAAAGAAAATATTTTGTAAATCGTATTTATATACACTTGCGAGCAAGGCCAGTTTAATCCCAAGTTAAGGTAAATCCTATTTACTTTCTCCTCTAATTGTCCAATGCGAAATTATTTCCTTTTATCCCAAATGCAGTGTATAGGTCCAAGTCACCAGCTTATTCAAGTAAAACTAAACTAACGCCCAAACGTCACAATCCACAGCGTTAAATCTATTTTAACATATAATGGCATACATTATTCGCTTTTCGTGGTTTGTCCAACTCCGTCCGGTAAAATATATATGGTCATTTGTATTGCAAACTAGCCAAAAATAAGTTAATTGTATGATTTTAGTCCGTTTATATGATTGAAAATGGCAAGGTGTAAGTTAATTAAGTGCAATACCCATTGGTGATAATGACCCGCTTTTGTATCGATTTAACTTTTGTAAACCTTTTTATCAAAGGTACACATAAAAAAATGTATACCTTTCTCGCCATGTGCATAAGTCAGCATGAGTCATGTTTATGTAAATACTAGGCGAAATAAGTGAACGTTTTCAGCACTTTTTATAATGTCCCGATTTTGAAATTTTACAGTAGTTTACTTAGTGGTAGTGATTAAAGGGATAATAGAAAGCGTATTTAAAAATGGTATTTGACACTAAGACTTCCTGAAAGGGCTTCCGTTGCATACAAGGCATCATATGGAGAAACTTGAGTTATAATCTTGATGTGACAGTGTTTATCTCCGAAACTTGTGTCGTTGCGATTTGCTCTACACCAATCCCATCCAAGTAACAATGCCAATCGCTATAGTGTCATGCAAGCATTCCTGGGTTTGAATGTGCCGTTAAGAGAAAATTAAAGTGTCAGAAATGATCTTAATCTCGCTACAAGCCCTTGTGAGTAGATAGGGGTCCACAGTAAAGCAAAACTTAAATGATCAGTGGGAAAACTAAACCAAATGAATAGTGGGCAGACATGTTCCAGTCGGACGCATAGCGATTACACGGAGCGGTAGCCAAACTGCGTGCATACTATGCACGCAGTTTGAAACACTGACAAACTGCGCGCCTATCAACATTGCATCATGCAAGTTGGAGTTGGTGTTTTCAAAGCCACGATGGACTTCTTAACCAATGGGGAAAAGTTGTTCGACTAGACACAATTAATGACCACAATTTTCGAGAAAATTAAATAAGACAAGGCATTAACATGTAAATGTCATCACATGCCATTTGTTACAGACGCCGATCTCCAACCTGCGAACAGCATACACAAAAAAGCTGGAGACTATGACAATATATCACTATTGCTGGTGGTGACATAATAACAAAAAAAAACAAAAATAAAAACAAAAATATGAAAATTAATATTATTTTGTTTAAAAATATATTTAGTTATCACAGACTTATATGTATACTCAAAAATATTCTAAATGTGTAAACAATGTAAAAGATCTAATACCGATCCTATGTTATATAATGTTATAATATATTGAAAGACAAAACTTCAAAATCATGAATCGTTCTATAAACTATATTAACAGATCAAGACCTGCAAGAAATTTCATAATAACACCCATAGACCTAAATAAATAGATATGAGCTAAAAGGTTCAGATCAAACTCTTAATCAACAGATATAAAGCTTAAAAACCTAATAGTACAAGTCCTGAGCTAGCGGATACAAGTCCCGAGTTATCGGATACAAGCCCTGAGTTAGCGGATACAAGCCCTGAGTTAGCAGATACAAGCCCTGAGTTAGTGGATACAAGCCCTAAATAAACAGGCAAACCCTAGAGTAAGCTTATACAAGTACATATATACAATTTTGCTGATTTCAAATAGCCTTAACTCTACATGAGAAAATGCGCTTTGATTGACCAACTTGCCATGTTACATATTGTCTCTCTTTATAAATTTCGGGCAATTTTTGTCCAATATACTATTCTACTATAGTATTCCAGTAATTACGCCAATTTCAGTTATTTCATTCTAAAATTTGAATGAACCAATCTCTTAACTTTCTTTTTCCACACTTCTGAGTGAATACCACATCTCTATTCCATTTCCTTCTTTCTAGCTTCACTATTTTTCACTTTTTCATTTAAAAATATAGATCACCATGTCTCAACATAAGAGCTGGGAATTCAGTTCCTGAACTCCCACTGTATATCTAGCTTATAATTTCGCGAATTTTCAGAAAGGCCCAAAAAAATTTCGCAGATTTCACATGTTTAAACAGTATTCTCTGAATCCTCAAGCAAATGTAAACGTAAGTTAACCTGAAGTTTTTTTTATATATTACAACATTGCAAAAACGATGGTTCGATAATGTAAGGTAATCATGTCTACTTCCGGGGATTTGATAAACAGATTTTGTGATGATTGTTTTCGCGATTTTACCACCATTGCGAATTGCGCAAAATTAAATCGAGCGAGAAAAATACTAGGAGTACTGTATTAAATATACAGATATTAAAGCATGCTATTGCACTATATTAATCACGGTAGTTCTATATAACCAATTATATAAATCATTTTATGAGCATATCGTAATTATGGCACACAAAGCTCATGCATTAAAATATCATCAGTGTTCTTGGTCTCAGCTAAAAACAGCCCCAGAATAACTGGACCCCGGGGGTTTCACTCTAATATACTGTACATCTTAATACCTATGTACCTATTTTTCCTCTCTTTCCCTGCCAGCTTCCATGGTTTAAGCCCTAAGCCAAAATTGCCCGTGCTGCACATACCTACCCAAATTATTTAGAGTGAACCCCCCAGGGACTGGCCTATGCATTGTCAGCTGAACCTGCGCCTAACTGAATCGTGCATTGTCTTGAGTCTAAATAGTTTCAAGAAGTACTGGACCATGCAGTGTATTCACAATTCCTTTCACCTCATTGTTAGTCTGCAGTATACAGCTGGATTCTACATCTTGCATCTGGAAAAAAGACAACTTCATAATTTCTCATTTAGCGGTTATTCTTTTCAGAAAACTCACTTTTATTCCATGCTATAATGTGACCCATATTTAAAATAGTGTCAACCAGAAATTGGGTCAGGAGTTCACCAAAGTAGCCTATTTTCAATGTTTGGGACATTCAATTTTATGTCATATCATGGTCCTTCATTTCATATTATAATCTCCCAATTTCCACAATATGCAATATGCAAGTGTCTGAAGACAATGTATGATGAATGAGAGGGTAACGTTGGAATCGCATGTATTTGTATAGAAATGAAAAAATGAAAAAACGTGAATAAAAAATAATTAAAAAGAAAAACTTATAAACCGTCCTTACAGTTTTTGGGTCAGTGTAATCAACTCAAATAGTAAATAACTAGTAACATATGAACTACAATTCTGCCATCTTTATAACAGCATAAGACTTACTCCTTTTAAAGGTTGTATCAGATAAGTCAGCCTTTGAAAAAGATAACCTTAGACCAATTGAGACAAGGCACAAGTGCAAAATGTCACCACCTGCCATTTGTTACAGACGCATATTACAGAAAGCAAACGCCTAACACCAACTTTAGACCAATGGAGACAAGGGTCAAGTGCAAAACGTCACCACCTGTCATTTGTTACAGACGCATATTACAGAAAGCAAACGCCAAACACCAACTTTAGACCAATGGAGACAAGGCGCAAAATGTCACCACCTGTCATTTGTTACAGACGCATATTACAGAAAGCAAACGCCAAACACCAACTTTAGACCAATGGAGACAAGGCGCAAGTGCAAAACGTCACCACCTGTCATTTGTTACAGACGCATATTACAGACAGCGAACACCAAACACCAACTTTAGACCAATGGAGACAAAGCATTAATGTGCAAAATGTCATCACCTGCCATTTGTTACAGATGCCTGTTACAGACACTAACCACCAAGTTGGAGAATATACCAATATGTCACCTCTGTTGGTGGCATAAGAACCTTACCCTGTCAATGTATATGGCTCCAAGAGTCTTGTCTTTATGGATGTCTTGCAGATAGAGTAACTTTGTAGTGCTCTGGTACATAAGGGCATAGTTGATACTATCTGACAGTGCAACAACTTGATGACCAGCTTTCTTCCATTTTGCAGTGCACTTCACTAAAAACAATATTAATAGCTAGTTAATTGGACTATTAAGCTGGGCCAAGTCGAAAAAGTAATCTTAAAATAACCTGGGTTCTTACGTGAATTCAAATAGGTGTAAGAGAGAATTTTGCTCTAAAGAATATTACCCTACTTTGTGTCAGTATAACAATAGGTCCAACAATCGTGATCCAATGCAAATATACAGGAACCAGAACAATTAACATACAAGATAATATAAATCAAAACACTGGGACAAAATCCGCTCCACAGCCAGTGTAACTACATTTTATAGATGTCACTAACAATGATTTATTTCATAATTTACTCCTTATATTTACAGTAGATCCTATACATACCATACAAACACCTCTCTTATTCAAAAACCTCTCAATGTGAACGCTTTTTGGGTCTTATTACTTTAATCTGTCATGCATAGACTTCCATGTTATAAAAACTTGAAATGCCAATGAAATCTGCTTATCTGAACAGTTTAGGCCAGTCCCAGGCAGGGGCGGAGCCAGCTTTCAGTCAGGGGGCTGCAATCGCCAAATTTTTTTGGTTTCACACTCCCCCTGGCTATGCCTATGCCAATAGGACTCAGATTAAACGTTAATGTATTTCTATGGTTAATTAATTAATTTTAATTTCCTCACCTTCATCTAAGGTCCAGAGGTGTGTAAAGATGTCACTCTCATATTTGACAGACTGGGCCTGACTGTGGACTAGTAGCGCCCCCTGGCTAGTAAAGTGTAGCTCGTGATTCAGCTTGGCATACTCTGGGAGATGAAGCTTGTGCACAATTTTACCTGAAATATTGGCAATCATTCAATGAACCTTACATTCATTATTTACATTTACATTGAAAATTGTACATTTTTATTGTACATTTATATCATTGCACACTTACATTGTACATTTACATTGCACATTTACATTGCCATTTGGTACAGACACCAACCAGCAAATGCAGACCAATGAATGCCGAATGCAGAATGCCGAAAGCAGAACACTGTCCATAAAATAAAGTTGGAGACTATCACAATATGTCATCACTTTTGGTGGTGACATAAAAACATTAATACTAGACTTGAAATTGAAGTTACCTTGTTTCAAATCCCATACAACCAATCCTGGTAGCGAGATGTTAGGTATTCCTTTAGATCTATTATCAGTCACCCTCTCACTGATCATTGCAAGGAATCTCCCATCATATGACAATGTCGCAAGATCGATCGATAAGTCATAATCGTAATCTTCCTCAGATGGGCGTAAGAATGTTGTAGCATCTCCCTTTATATCAAATGTTAGCATGGAGCCAGTGTATTTTGCGAAACTACATATCAATAGACTTCCCGTTGGATTCGATATTAGAGTTCTGATTTTATTGTCCCCAGCTGAGTCACATGACCTGATGATGTCACAATTGATGATGTCATAGATAAGTATGGTGTTTTTTGAGATTGTGATGACACACTGGTTGCCATTAACTTCGATTATGTTCTTCCATAAATAATCAACATCTTTGGCTATCGTGTGTATGACGTATGAATCTTTGATGAGCACAAGCTTAATTACAGCCTCATGGTACACTATCGCTACGGTTTCATCTACGATTATCACAGATGCATCCTTTTCTGTTTTGATCTCCCCAATTTCTTTCATTTGGCTGTTCATGACACGCCACATGCACATGTCAAGCTGGCTATTCCTGTCTTCTACCAAGAATAAGTGCGGAACAGATCTTTCAGTATTGACAGACCCAAGTTGAAACACGTCATCCTCAAGTTGGTTGGCATTGAGATTGTTGATATTCCACTGAGATAATGTATGAGCTGCACTCGCATCAAAGTCCAGCATTGTAACAAATTCCCCAGTTTGGCTTTCAGCTGACGAGATGGGCCTCTTATGAGTAATAACATGGGCAAGTTCCTAGAAAATCAATATACCTAGTTGTGCAATAAGGTCATACAAAAATGTTCTCATTTCTAATTCAATGAAACGATACTGTCACACAGAATATGGGACACCATAGGCCCCGGGAACATGTATAAAAAAACCAAATACAGATGTCGACTCAATTTTTTTTATACATGTTCCCGGGGCCTTGTGGGACACCTTAGTTTGCCGGTCCTATTTATTTACTGAATTATTATTTCGACCTTTCAAGGATTACCTTAGTTTGTCAGTCTCATTTATAAACTTAATTATTATTTTGACCTTTCAAGGATTACCTTAGTTTGCCAGTCCCATTTATATACTGAATTTTTATTTTGACCTTTCAAGGATTACCTTAGTTTCCCAGTCCCATTTATATACTGAATTATTATTTTGACCTTTCAAGGATTACCTTAGTTTGCCAGTCCCATTTATAAACTGAATTATTATTTTGACTTTTCAAGGATTACCTTAGTTTGCCAGTCCCATAACTCCACTCTTACATCTTCAGTTATGATGATATATCTGCTGTCTTGTGTCATTGTCACCTGGCCATGAGAGTAAGACACCTTCTCCAAAGACACTTTTTCAATCTGGAACCAAAGCAATAAATTATCTTACATTTGGATTGTAATTATTCTGAATGGTGATAGGAGTGGATTGAAGGACACAGGGGTTTGTTTATGGTATGATCGTAACTTACAATTCAGAAAAAAACATTGTCTACTTTTTGACAAACGATGACTTGCGACCAAATTGTAAAATATAGTGGTTCCAAAACAGAGCCCTACTTCTCTGTACATCAAATCAATTTGTGGGATGCTGGGGATTTACTACCTCATGGCTAGTACTCTTAAATGTTTCTTCTCTCTACATGTGTTTTTAATACTTTCAGACTTTATCTTATGGAAATAATATTAACACACAGCTGTTGAATATGTAAGGGTCGCATTTATTGGTTAATTATATTGTGAAATGAATTCCTGCAATTGTTCTTGGTTAACATTACAGTGCAGTGAAACCTGTATAAATGGAACATGTTGGTACCTCAAAAAAAGCATTCCATGTAAGAGGTGTCCCAGAGAGGTTCATTTTACAGGTAACATTTCTTTGAACTTGTAGAGGCTCATTTTAAATAAATTTAATAGTTCCAAAACGTTGAACTTGCAGAAGCTCATTTTAAATTAATTTAATAGTACCAGAACTCTGAACTTGTAGAGGCTCATTTTAAATTAATTTAATAGTACCAGAACTTTGAACTTGCAGAAGCTCATTTTAAATTAATTTAATAGTACCAGAACTCTGAACTTGTAGAGGCTCATTTTAAATTAATTTAATAGTACCAGAACTTTGAACTTGTAGAGGCTCATTTTAAATTAAATTAATAGTACCAGAACTCTGAACTTGTAGAGGCTCATTTTAAATTAATTTAATAGTACCAGAACTCTGAACTTGTAGAGGCTCATTTTAAATTAATTTAATAGTACCAGAACTCTGAACTTGTAGAGGCTCATTTTAAATTAAATTAATAGTACCAGAACTCTGAACTTGCAGAGGCTCATTTTAAATTAATTTAATAGTACCAAAACTTTGAACTTGTAGAGGCTCATTTTATATTAATTTAAAAGTGCCAAAACTTTGAACTTGCAGAAGCTCATTTTACATTAATTTAATAGTACCAAAACTCTGAACTTGTAGAGGCTCATTTTAAATTAATTTAATAGTACCAGAACTTTGAACTTGTAGAGGCTCATTTTATATTAATTTAATAGCACCAAAACTTTGAACTTGTAGAAGCTCATTTTACATTACCAAAACTTTGAAAAGTGTTCCATTTCTGAAAGTGTTCCACATATACGGTAGGTATTCCACTTAACAGGTTTTACAGTATATACCAGTAGAACTAACTTACCAGCTCTCCTGTTGCCAATCCATATATTTCAAACTCTGTCTGGGACATTGTACTCGTAACCAGAATCTCCCCTGTGGGCAGTGGGAAGATATCACCGATTGCACCATCCATAGATACAAGCACATCAATTTTGAATAATTTTACATGTGCTGTGTTATACGTCCTCAGGTCTAAGATGACCATTGTGTTTTTTCCAACTTCACAGATGATCGAGGACGCAAATGCTTTGATCATTGGCACAGTTTGTTCGTTGACCTCTGATTGGTTCAGTTCCGGGATGTTCAATTCTAGCGTTTCCACCATCTCATTATTGTAGATGATCACCTTAGAAGCGTCATACACTGAAATATAAAAGAAATAGAATTCTTTCGAGAATTGCAGGCTAGAAAGGTTCTAAAATATTTCAAATAAAGGTACAGGTATTGAAAGGTCTGCCCAAAACCTGTTAATGGACTACATACATTTTATTTGTATTGATGAACTTACTGATTAAAAGAAGGGTCACTGTCGCATTTATTGAACAGGTATATATTCCTCGCTAATCAATTTGATTAATTTTGGTCATGTGACCTGTGTTTGACCAATCACAAAATCGGAATCCAGAAAAGTACATAACAAAGGCATTAACATTCAAAAGGTGTCACCTGTCATTTGTTACAGGCGCCAAACACTGACTACCAAAAAAACCGCCCACTGCTGAACACAATCCACAAAAAAGTTGGGGACTACAATAATATGTCATCAGTTCTCGTGGTGACAAAATAACTTATCATATTACCAGCAATGGAAGGTTCTCCATTGTATATGATGAAAGTGAGGCCAGGGGCACAGGACTGGTTGATGTCACTGATAGTATGGCTTTCCTCCCCTGTCTGGAAGTCGAATAGTTTCACTCCTCCCTTGTAAGACACCACTGTAAGAAATATGAGGGTATATTAAAAGGACATGTCCATAAGGGTTTGACTTACAAAACAGAGGAATATACTAAAAATCAATATTTTCTCATAATGAGTACAGTGAAACCTGTAAAGTGGAACATTTTTCACAAGACTACCTGACTTAATGTTAAATGAACCTCTATAAGTGGAACACCTCCCAAGTGGAACAATTTTTAGAGGTACCAAAGGTGTTCCACTTACACAGGTTTTACTATTTAATACTTACTAAAAAACGTCCAGTAGGTGTAAATGATATTGAACATGTCATATTAAGTTCTTGTTTTTCACTCTATTTTCCATATTAAAAACATGGCCAGTTTGACATTTGTCCAAAGTACCTTTTTTTCAAGGGTAATACTTGTGAAATGTACAGTTATAATCAAGAATCAAGTACCCACTACCCATGTATGAGTTATCCAAATTGAGTGCTAGGTAGATGTGTAAGCTTACCCATATATGAGTTATCCCAAAGGAGTACTTGTGAGATGTAAGCTTACCCATATATGAGTTATCCCAAAGGAGTACTTGTAAGATGTAAGCTTACCCATATATGAGTTATCCCGAATGAGTACTTGTGAGATGTAAGCTTACCCATATATGAGTTATCCCAAATGAGTACTTGTAAGATGTAAGCTTATCCATATATGAGTTATCCCAAAGGAGTACTTGTAAGATGTAAGCTTACCCATATATGAGTTATCCCGAATGAGTACTTGTGAGATGTAAGCTTACCCATATACGAGTTATCCCAAAGGAGTACTTGTGAGATGTAAGCTTACCCATATATGAGTTATCCCAAAGGAGTACTTGTGAGATGTAAGCTTACCCATATATGAGTTATCCCGAATGAGTACTTGTGAGATGTAAGCTTACCCATATATGAGTTATCCCAAAGGAGTACTTGTAAGATGTAAGCTTACCCATATATGAGTTATCCCAAATGAGTACTTGTGAGATGTAAGCTTACCCATATATGAGTTATCCCAAAGGAGTACTTGTGAGATGTAAGCTTACCCATATATGAGTTATCCCAAAGGAGTACTTGTAAGATGTAAGCTTACCCATATATGAGTTATCCCGAATGAGTACTTGTGAGATGTAAGCTTACCCATATATGAGTTATCCCAAATGAGTACTTGTAAGATGTAAGCTTACCCATATATGAGTTATCCCAAAGGAGTACTTGTAAGATGTAAGCTTACCCATATATGAGTTATCCCGAATGAGTACTTGTGAGATGTAAGCTTACCCATATATGAGTTATCCCAAATGAGTACTTGTGAGATGTAAGCTTACCCAAGTATGAGTTATCCCAAAGGAGTACTTGTAAGATGTAAGCTTACCCATATATGAGTTATCCCAAAGGAGCACTTGTGAGATGTAAGCTTACCCATATATGAGTTATCCCAAAGGAGTACTTGTGAGATGTAAGCTTACCCATATATGAGTTATCCCAAAGGAGCACTTGTGAGATGTAAGCACCCGCAGGGAACATCTGGCTGTCAATCTGATGTATCAATTGACTGTACTTGGCATCCCATAGCTGTATAGTGCTGGGCTCATTCAGACCTAAAAATGTAATACTGTATTTATAACACAATCTGTTCAATCATGTTGAACCACTATTTCTTATACTTGATTATAGTTTAGTTTAGTTTAGTTTAGTTTTATTGTTATTTACAGTGGTAGGTTCAATACAATACAATACAATACAATACAAAAGAAAAGTAATAAAAAGCAACCCAGCCCACTTGGGCTTATCAACCACTAATGTTAAAAATTACAATTAGATTATAATAGGGTTGGATTGGATTGGAAGATTGTGAGTCTTTCTTAACATTCTTAAAATAGCTTGATATCTCATAATTGACAAATCTTCCAATCTCTGCAATACTTACTAATATGCAAGACATTTAAAATTGATACTGGTTTGAATTGTTAACATACATTGCCAATTTCTGTTCTTTGTTTACATTTATCACTCATTTCATTTTAACTACTCACATTTTCCACATAACTCATGGCGATTGTGTTATTTAGACAAACTACGTACATGATAGAAACTGAAAGGTTTAGACTACTTACCCAACAGAATGTATCTCTCATCTTTAGATGTGCTCATGCCATACAGGGCAATTTTTCCTTTGGCCGTGGAAAGTGAGCAACGAATCGGTCCACCAGGTGGCGCTAAGAACACTCCAGAAGAATAAAGTATGCCTTCTGACTTGTGATTGGCTGCACCATTAAGCAGAGTGTTGATGTCTGTTTGATTGTCACTGCCATCTTTATTCTAAGATTAAAAAGTGAACACAAGCACAATGAGTTTTTTTGGCTGGCTAAAAAACATTTATATTTACACAAAGCATTCAAATTGACATCATGCTCACTCTGGTCCAAAAGTCACAAAAACACAACTACTTTAAGTGTCCCTTAACCCACATATAAACGATTCAGAAAAAGGAAGCCATAACAAGATTTAAGACACCAATGTTCAGATTTTGTAAATCATTATAATAAAACAATGAGATTCATGAACCCTTGATATGAAACTGAAATTGTTTGTCTCATTTTTATAGAAATTATCTCCCATCATACCTTGCTATACTGAAGCCGAGCCATCATTTGTGCGGCTAATTGGTTAGGATCTGCTTGCAAAGCATCATGGGATAGCTTAATGACCTCTGTCACCACTTGAATAGTTGCATCCTGGGAGTATGTGTCTGCTGCATTGACAAGATCTTCTTGAACTGAGCTATGATTAATAAAAAATTTATGAAAAATAAATGATAAGGTATCTTTAACTTTTAGAGGTTTTTAAAGAAATATTAATCGTGAGTACCTGATAAATAAATTAAATAGATGACTGATGATGCTTTAGTCTCAAAATAATAATCATAAGATTGATGAAACTAAATGATTCAATTGAAATAATAACAAACAAAAATGCTTGAAAAAATACAATACCTCAAACCCTGAGCTTTAATCTTTGCTAGAAGAAAGCTGAAATTGAGTATGACCTCTGACTTGAGTGCGTCCAGCATTTTAGGTCCAGCGTGTAACAAATGGTAGGGCAATTCACTTAACTTGTGAAGGTTAAAAACACCTGAAAGTATTTCCAGAAGTACATATATGTGCATGTATATTTAATTGATTGCAACTTTATTTTGTTATGCAGTTAAACCTGTAAAGTGGAACACCTCTTTAGAACACTTTTAAGATTCCCATGGCCAACATTGTAGCCCTTGTAGGCACCAAAGGTGTTCCAATTATTACACAGGTATTACTCCATATCAATAACTTGAATAGATTTTCCAATAAGAATATACAGAAATCAGTGTTATATTGTTTCATTGAGATACCAACTAATTTTGGACTAGTATGTGGATGAAAGACAGTGAAAACTTTGACCTCCAAAAATGTTGATACATGTATCACCGTTGATATCTACATGTGGTTCTGAGTCAACATTGAAATCCTGCTTTACATTGGAGATATTCAATTTACCCAGTTCACCTCTAGAGAAGTAAACAATTGTGTATTTTACCTGGCTGGTATTCTATTGGCTGTGGTGACAAGTAGCGATCTGCCTCAACAATGGCGCCATCTTTGTTTTTATATGGCTTGCTTACTAGAATCAGAAAGAAGGTAAATTACAATTTCTACATATTTCAAATCCTTTTTATAAACTTTCTCGGGGATATAAAACAATGTAGTGTAGGATTGCACTTGGTTTTTCAATTAAATTATTTATTTGACTAGTTCTCAATTTATTGATAATGTTCAATCAAGACATGAATTAATAATCTGTAGGTAAATCATTTCTTGACCTGAACGTGTTTAACTTGCTCAATGGATCAAATATATGTTGCCCTTTGTGTTTTTTCATTGAAAAATAAATATTTTGTCTCAGTTACCTCCAGCCCATGTGCCAAGAAAGAAATATGCCAGGTTCTCGTGTAAATAGCTTGTCTTAGAACCATGGAACTGCTTTGGTTGGCCAAATGCTGGGTTGTTATCATGTAGAAACTTCTTAGTGGCTGTCTCAATGAACTGTCTATGGTACCAGTGGATCACCTATTAAAACAACCATTTGTGAGAAATACAACATTTTGATTCAATATAAAATAAAAAAGGAATCAATAGAGTATACTGGTGTGGACTGTGGAGTTATTGTACGGATAGAAATGCAAAGAGATGAGGGGATACATTCAAATTTTAGAATAAAAAAGCTTCAAAAAGGAACAGAAAATGATAAGGCATCAGTCTACAAAATATGAACAATACATCAGCTGCTGTTTGAGATATTCCAACGGACGAACAAACTGATAGACAGATGGATGGCTTCTCTATATCCCTCCTGAACTATGTTTGGTGGATAATAAACTAGGACTACAGTACCTGTACACCATCAGCTTGCTGCATGGTTAGATACTGACTCAGGTCTGTGAATATTCTGATCCACAACAAAGGTGGCAGACGGCGGATAGATGGCGTCCAGTATTGGTAAACATCTGATAATACCTGCTCGTCACAAGAAAGCAAGTCCTCCATTTCCGCGTGCGATAAACCATTCTTGCCTGATTGGTAGAAAAAAAATATATTTGTACTAAGCTCGCTCATGCAGATATCATATCCATTCGTGGATAAAAATCATATCACTCATAAATCATAGGATATCCTCTATTATGTATGCTTAATATTAGTATTCATCTTTGCCAGCATTTAACCTACACCTACCCGAAGATTTTCAACATGTAGATTTTGAATACGATCAGAAGATTACTAACAATCTAAAGCCTACGCCAGTCTCACAGAGGTAATTTTTTCCAATAAAAGGAAAACACTGATCTCTACGCTTGCTTATCAAGAAAGAGTTTTTTTGTTTTTTTTTAACAGAGCATCTTGAAATTAAGCTGATGGTTCTTATGTGTAATGTTTCTCACAATATATGGACACTTACTTGCTGTCAGGTAACCCAGTGCATGGCTCACTAATGTTTTACCATGTTGTCTCTCAATGCGATCAAATAGGGCGTTTATAGCAGCTTGTACGGTAGACTGCAATCTGCAATCATCTAAGGCAGTGTAAGATCTCCACAAGGCAGCCTGGAGACAAGAAAACATAAAATAAAAATGGAGTCATGTGAGAACTATTAAACCCAATCCTACTGGAGTTAATGTACACTGAAATGTACACTGGGAATATTTGAAGGATATCCAAGGGAGCACAATGATATGATTTTTGTGTTCATTGTATTACAAATAAGGTCACTAAAATACAAGAAATAAAACTAACAACAGCAAAACGTTTGTATCTGAACACTAATCTCTAATTTGAACACCTTTCAATGTGAATGCTTTTTCAATCTGCTGTAGACTTCCATAATTAAAAACCTTGAAGACTGTAAACCTGCCCTTGGAACACTTTTAGGTAGTACAAGGCTATACTGTAATATTTATTGGAAAAAATATAAACTTCCAAGTACTATTTCTGATGTCAATTAAGAATAACAATCACCTCCCATGAAGTCAATCAATTATATTGATAAACATACCTCATCGATGCATATCTTCACATACAAAGGTGTTAGAGTGTCTTCATTTGACTGGAGTGTAGTTATCACCAGATTCAATTGTTCAGGGGTTAACTGTCGATTTAAACAATTCATTCCGCTCTTCAAAATTTCCTGAGCCATTTCAGGTTTCAGATGAGTCACCTCAAAGAAGTTTTCAGTCTGCTTTATATGAGCCTGAAATCAATTCAATTCAATTAATTTCATAAGAATTACAAAATATAGTTCAAGTAGCAATCTAAAAAATTATTTGAGTTAATCAAATATCGAAATTTATTCAAGATTAATGAGGCAGAAATGTTCAAATCAACATCAAAAATTAAATTATTTTCATCATTCAATAAACTTTTGCTGATAAATGGGTAGGAGTGACATTTTGATTATTACATGTAAACCATTCATTCTTCATACACACATGGACTATAACTATTATTACATTCATATACAATGGCAATTGCAAAAAACAGTGCTACCTATCAATTTGTAATGAAATGAATTTACTTGTAAATCATACAAATTATAGATACCTTCAGTACAGGCAAACAGCCATATTGTTTCTCAGGCAATGTTGACAGAATCAATTTCACATTTTCCGGCAACACCTTTGGCAACCATTTCAATTGCCGGGCATTGTTCTCGGCCGACAGTTGATCTAATGAGTCCAAGAATATGAGTGCTGGTTTTGAGGGTGGAATCTCAAAGGACTGAAGTATGTCTGTCAGCGAGTGAGATTCCTGAAATGAATAAAATACTTGCATCAATTAAATAACAGATTGTGATTTTTATCTCAGCTTTAATATCAACTTTACATTCTTTTTCAAATTGGCAATATTTAAAACATGTACCATATACAGGGTGTCCCAAAAGTATGGGCCCATCCATAGGCAGACATACACCAGTGTCTTCACAGTACGTGTAATGTATCATTCTAAAGCTTATACAAAGTTACAAATCATTTACATTTTCTTGCATTCAGAAGGTATACCACAAATTACAGTGTAACCTGTAAAGTTAACCACTTCTGTAATCTGTAAGTGGAACACGTTCATAAGTGAAACACTTTTAAAAATCATTTCCCCAATAATGTAATTTAAATGAACTAAACGAGCCTCTTTAAGTGGAACATTTCAAAATCTCCCTTTAACCATAAACATAATGTAAAATAAATCTGTAAATAGAACTCCTCAAAGTAAAACACTATTTTGAAGTATCAAACTTACACATGTTTTACTGTACATTAAAACCTGTCTAATCTGAACATCACTTGGTCCAGACAAAAGAGTTCAAATTGGCAGGTGTTCACTTTTCATGGTTTCTTAATATGCGAGTCAAAGGAAGAATACAAAATTGGGATCGGGCAAAGTGTTCACTTCGAGAGGTGTTCTGATACAATCAGATTTAGTGTACTTATAAGACTCCATTTTTTGAGAGTGTTAAACTTTCTGACCTGTATTCCAGGAAAGATCTCTCTTTTGAAAACAGTAGCATTATGAATGCATTTTTTCAAGATGATTTTTGTCAACACTGACCTTATTAGGTATGATCCCCAACAATGCACCAATGCCATCTTGAGATTTTGCCCTGTAGTTGGCCTTCAGCTGGTTCTCAATAGATGTCAGCAGTGAGCCTACATTAGAACTCTCTGGTGTTGTCCCTAGAAACCTGTTACATGGAAAATATAGCTTTAATTCTAAATGCTAAAATTGTTTATAAGCATACATGTACAGTTTGTTTGGCATGAAAAGTAGACATAGGTTACCATAAAACATTAAACTTTAATTCTTTATAACAGAACTTGTTTTAAAATACAGTATTTGTATTTCTTTGTATAAATTGTGATTCAAACATTACATATTATTTACAATTGAAATTGTTCCCTTTTTGTTTACTTTCATCTTATTGTAGAATTGAAAAATGTATGAAGATGTTTGACAATTTATCAACATACATGTATGTACCATACTCAGGTTATGTATACAACAAATTTAAAGCACAACCTGAACCATGTCCCAATATCTTATTTTTCCGTTGAGGCCTACCTTAGAATGAGACAAGCATATCCATCAAGTTTACGCCATACAGTTTGTGCTGCTTTTGCCAATATAGAAGTCTTCCCGCTCCCTGATGTACCATACAGGACATATGGCTGAGTATTACTACTGGTGATATAGTCAGCGATGCTCTAGAAACAAATGAAGAACTTCTTGAAAATTTTCCATAGGTAGTTTCTTCTGTTTTTAGTCATTTTATTCCGTTTGTTAATTAAGCACTGAACTTACACTTGAAACTTAAGATGAGCAATAATCACTCTTTAATTTTGCTTTGCAGTAAAACCTGTATATCTGAATACCTCACTTATCTGAACACCTCTCAATGTGAACACTTTTTCTTGGTCCCAATTTTGTAATTTGCCATTGACTCATATGAAGAAACCTTGAAATGTGACATGAGTTAATCTGAAAACTCCTGGCTAGTGTTCTTATTAGACACGTTTTACTGTACATTATTTTTGTACTGTAATTTTCAAGGGCATGGGTCTTTTCAATTTTTTTTTCAAATGCAAAATCTTCACTTTCAAATCCCACAAACTGGAAGATCTGCAATTGTTCTTATATGTATTAAATGTAAATTGATCTCACATGTAAAGCGAAATCCCTGCCTTGGAACTGTGAGCATTTTGCTTGGCAAAACTTTATGTGGTGTGCCACTTCCAGATATGTGGTGTCCGATATACTGGAGAGCATCCTGTCCTCAATACCCTTTAGAATCATATCTTGCATGGCTGTTTGGAAATCTCTTGAGAATTGCTCCACATATGCCTTGTGTGAAGTATCTGCTAATGTGATACCTGGATAATTGTATGAAAATCTAATATACACAAAATGTTTTGAATACTTTATTTTATGGTACTTAAACGTTACATCATAGTTTGTAAAATGTTTTTTAGTGTTTGGTAGGATAAAAGAAAGATAAAGAAAGGCTGGGTAGATAATTTGTATACAACTAAATCATGAATTAAACATTTTTTCCTTTAACCATTAATTGTATTTACTCATGATACACACTCTTACCCTCATCTCTCCATTGCACTGGGTATTCTTTGATATTCTCCTTTGGGATTTTGGAAATTATTTTAGTTTTCAGATCATCCATTAATTTTCCAGCTAATTTCACTTCCTCTTCTTCCCCGGAATTATCGGAGTAGAAACCAGCCATCTTGGATTTATTGCGTGGGTCTAAGCCAATCAGATCTCTCTTAAACCAGAAGCAATGGCTGCTTGGATCCTTTGCTGTCAGTAGTCCATTCTCTATTTCAGCTTCAGTAACTAGAATATACAGCAAGAAATATCTATGCTAGAAATAAGAAATACATTACAGTTTTATGGGCCTTGAAATGGTATAATGGAATAAGAAAATATTCTCAGAAAGTACAAATATAGTGTATTGTATTATTGCAGGCCCATAGCCAGGATTTATCAGGGGTGAGCAGTTTTACCAAGGGGGAATTTTTGCCAATGGGGGGAGTTTTTTGAGTTTTGGCAAAAAATCATGCGTCGAATGTGCTCAGAATGGTGAAAAACTGCATGATTTTGAAATAATTTCTGACCTGAGCGGTGGCTGCTCCCCCCCATCCCTGCTACTGGCCTGGATTGTATATAATACAGTTTACAAATTATAACGCACCTGACATCCTGAAGGGGTGATACTTGGTAGGATCAGATGAATAAACCTGCTCAGCTGCATTAAATAGTATGCTACGTAATCTGACTGAATCCAACCACCAGTCATTTCTAGCATCCTTTGATTTTTCTTTATTTGTGTTGTCATAGTAATGCGGATACCGTGAGCTGATTGGTTGAAGTATGAATGTAGGTGGTACTGTATTTGTATCCTCTTTGTACCAACTATAAAAATAAAGTTGTATTCTCATAATACATTAAAAACATACAACTGGCTTTTTGCATAAAAGTTGATGTGACCTCCTTAGTCTGAAATTAATCAATATCAAAATGGTCTAAATGAATCAAAATCAGTCAAATTGCAAAAGTAGGTCAAATTCTCTGGGTTAGTCAAAAAACAGAAGAGAATCATATACAAGAAGATTTGTCATTAAAGTGTTTGAAAAATCATTTGTGCCTATTGTATGAAAAATAAAAAATAACAAGAAATAATAGAATTGAGATTTATTTTCTATTTTTGTACCATAATGACTTAAATTAGATCTTATACTAGGTACCAAGTGAAATAATCATATATTTAGATATAGAGGTTTGCACATGTGATTGTGTAAATACAGAAATACCTGTTCATAGTGAACACCTATGGAGCCACAAAAAAGTGTTGTAGGTGTTCACTACAGAGAGGGGATTTCATACAGGAGTCAATGTAAAATGTCTCTTGAAGTGGTGTTCACTAAATGCAGGTGTTCACTAGAGAGCATCCTCCGATCACAGGGCTTCAAAATCCAGAATATATTCTTTCTTTTACCCCCTGCGATAAGCAGTTACCATTTCCCCGATTAAGAACTCGCAATCAGCAGGGGGAAGAAGGAGGTATGTATTCTGGACACCTGATTAGGAGGATGACTAGAGAGTGGTGTTCAGTAAGACATGTTTTACTGTAATTACCTATTGAGAAATTCCACATCCTCTTCCTTCAAAGTGTTAGCTAATGCATTATATAACGAAGACTCCAGTTTATTGGACAATAATTTGCTTCCATATCTTGCTGAGAGGAATGTCTGAAAAATAAAAAAACGTTAAAGCCTCATCTTTAACTCCCATACTTGACATGATCAGATCATTATCAGATAATTATGCTCAATTAAAACATGCTTCATTGCTGTTGTAAAACTACATCATGAACATGTTCATGAATCTTCATGAATTAGTCATGAACAATTCATGAACTATTCATATTCATTTCCCAGGGGTTAATTCCTGGCTAAAAACATGAATGGCCCTTTGTTAAGTGCAACTCACAACAAAATTAGGTCCAGTAGATTTTGCCTGGCATTGCTGCAGCTCTTTCAGACACAGTTCGCCAGTCATGTGATCATCCGCAGTTTCATCACGCACCCCCCATCTCATGTCCACCACTTGAAACTCATAGTTGCCATGACGATGACAGAACTCCTTTAATTGAGGGTAGACATTCTGCATAAGCTCATTACGCTCAACTGAAGTATCTGAAAGGAAAAAATACATGTTATGATAAATGATGCATGTACGTTTTAAAAAACATTTCAAGAATGATTAAACACAAGGAGCACACGCGTCTCAAACTCGCAACCTCGTGGTTACGGCGCCCAATTTATGTTCCATAAATTTATTTCAAGGGATGAATAAGTTGAATAATCAACTTCAAAAAGAACACTACTGAGCAATAATTTGCAATTATTTAACAGGCAAAATTGATTCTGTTCAAACAAATATCAAATATTTACAGTATATGTATGTGTGTAAACCAAACTACTGTATGTACATTGTATATAAATACATCAAACATGTATTTTTATTTTGTGAATAACATATACTCTGTTTTCAGATATTACCTTTAAAAGTTGAGCTAGTGAAAACTCGAACTATCTTTGAGTTTTCTTCAACTTCTTCAAATGGGTCACCCTGTAGCACACATCTTAACTTAATCTGAAAAATAGTTGTTCATTATGAATTTCAAAACTAAGACAAAAATAACATATGTTCTGGAGTATCACAGAAGTATGATTTTAATTATGTACAGTGTGTTTTATCATATTGAATGACATACAGTTTATACTTGTTTAGATTGTACTATATTTTTGCTTCAAGGCCTTGTGTATAAAATCTGAGGATCACTGTACAAAAGATCCATGAGCAAAATGCTATAAGGTGGGTCCGCAATACCTGAATTCAGTTTAATATAAGGATTATCTTATCTTATGTTTTAATCTTCAGACCTTGAGTTGAGGTGCCAATTCTTTGGGCTTTTCATCGCTTGCTGTGCTATGTGCTTCACGTTGCTTTGCCTGTTCCCTCTTTCTCTGAAGAATCTGCATTAAAAATAGCAGTAACAGTTAAACTGAATAGTAGTTAAAGGTTTTAACCTTAATTAAGAAACTGTTTATATTGTGTTTTGTTTTGTTTTTACGTGTTACCCTGTGTGCATTTCGATTCACTCTAAGAGCTATTTGTCAAATGGAGAAACTAGAGTAAGGTACTGTACTCGTATATGCCAGATTCGTTTGTCTGTTTCAAACAATGTTCACAGTGGACAGGTTTTTTACTGTACTGGTAATGTTTAGCTCACCTTGGCTTGAAGCTGTTCATTGTATTGCTTCCTCTGGTCTTTAATTTGCCTCTCTTTTGCTGCTTGGTGCAACTTATGCTCCGCAAATATGTGGTCTGCTTTAGATTGTGACTGAATGTAAAAACAGTTATTTTCTGGTGTACACTTTTGTATAATTTACGTGTTAGTCATACTGAACATATATACATGTACTGTATATTATGTTCACATGAACAGCTTACATGTACGTATTTAGCTTAGGTTTTCACTTAATCCTACTGCATATACAGTTATACTGTAGACGTTAAAGTCAAACTCAGCCTTTAAGTTAATAAATTAACTAAATATTCTTATTTTGATGTCCAACAAATTAATTCTCTCGTAACATGTCAGTTCATTAAATGTTACATTACCTCATCACTGGCCTTCTCCTTTGCTGTTTTGCTGTTTCTGTAATACTTCCTATACATACTGCTAGTGCTTCTTACTTATGAAGTTATGAGCAATACATGTGACGTCCTTTATTCAGCGGCATAATCAGACTTGGTCAAAATTTGGATTCAGCGCATTTACAAAGATATTCTATAAAAACACAGGTACTTTTGTTTGACTCTATACTGTACATACATGTATAGATCTATTATATATAAAAAATACATTTTCTTCTGTACAATGTACATGTCGATCAACATTGTATTTGGATTATATGTAGAATTAGTTTAGACATACATGTAGAGTTTTATGTTAGTCTCAGGTATTAGTAACCTCATGGGCTTTCAATTACATGATTAGAAAGCTGAAAGCTTTTTTGTTGAAAGCCCATGGTAACCTGAAAAATAACCTATGCAGAAACATGCATCAAAAAAATTCTACCACTGTTAAGCTATATATCTGCTTTAAATGGGCTTACTAGCCTTTTGCAGATTGGATTGCATTATTAGATGTGTAAACAAGGCTTGATGTGTAAACAAATTCTAGAAGAGTGGGCGATAATACAATGTAAAAATGTGACATACGTTTCCAACTGATTTTTCCTCTTTTACTTCATTTTTGAGCTCCAGCATTCTTACACTCGTTAGGGTAAGTACTACTGCTTCTCGCTCTTATATCATTGTGTATATATTTCGTTCGGTATTTGCGAAAAAGTCACTTATTTCAGTCCGGAAAGTTTGGTCGCTAGTAAACTTTCAGAAATCTCACGAGACTGTGAGGCGCGGGATTTGAACGAGAAGTGAAAATTGAAAATGGCAGGATTTTCTTTTGGTGGTAATTCTGCCCAAAAGCCGGCTCTCGGTGGGTTAGGGACCACAGGGTAAGTATTTGGTCACTCAACTATACACCTCGGTCATTTTGAATATTTTTTGGTGCAGCATTTGACGTCTAATTTTCAAACAAGCCTAGTCTAATTTTCTTTTTTTCGTTTTTTGAAAAAACAGTCGAACGACGGAAATCCCATTCTAATTTGGAATTACCAAATGCCTCATTTAGAAGAAGAGATCTCTTAAGTTCATACCTGCAACTTTTGAAATAGTTTGACAACCCGTACTTAGTAAATAATGTCATACCGCAACATGTATATGGTGTTTCACATGATTATGCCTTCTACAAAGTTTTGATGTGGCATGTTCTGTAATTACTTGAGAAACATAGCTAGAGACATTGAAATGAATTATGATAAAGTTGCACAAACTCTCAACAAACTAACATTGAAAATGATCGACTGATCACAAAGAATGTTCTGAATGGTTCGACGGTGAATAGCTTAGTTTTGCCCTGCCTGACTGGTCTCATAGAACAAATGAACTTTGAAAATTGCTGAACTTCCTACGGAAATCATCATAGATTTTAAAATGCTGCTTCATGAATTTCTATCAAAGCTGTCATTTTAATTTCTCGCAAGAAAATGTCCAGGCAGGGACAAAGAGAAGTGTTGTAATCTTAGTTAAACATCAACATACATGTATATATGCGCATCATTCACCAACTAATTTTTGTTATAATCATCATTAAATTGATCTAATTGATTAAATGGTGTACACAAAAGATAAATGGTGAACTCAGGCAAAAGTAAAATGTTGGAAGCATTAAATTGAGATTCCAATCTCAAGAAAATGTACATACGATTACCCCAATCTGTTTTTCTTTTTTCAGTGGAACAGGAGGATTTTCATTGGGAGGAACAAGTACTACAACAACGGCTAGTACAGGTGAATATTAGGCCTATTTTACAAAATTAGGTAATGTAGATGACTTGTTTGTAAGGAGTCCCGGACAGCCATAAATATTGTCGTATGACAATCTGGAATCTGAGGTCTAATGTAACTTTGTCTTCAACCTGTTTCAGAGTCTAAAATGATGATTTATGAAAAAATAATTTTTGATATCACTTTTTAATTGCCAGCATAAATTGGGACATCATTTTTTATGCTGGGCATGCTGATATTTAAAACCAACAAATCCGAGTACCGTATTTGGTCTTTTTTATATAATCCGCTGTTAATTTGTTACCCTTTGCATTCGTTTGACTGCACTTCTTAAAAGAGAGCTTCGTCTTCACTCTTTCAAACCAAAATGAACCTGTGAACTCACCGCACCAATCAGTGTTCGTCGGCCAAATTTGACCCATGTTCTATATATGGTCATTCCTTCTGACGTCATCGTTGAGCCTGGAATTGACCGATGACATGCACATATTTAATTAGAACGCATTTGGCGTGTTTCTTCAAGCTCGCTGATTGGTGGAAGAAAGGTCAGCGCATACGTCAGAAGTGATTTACTACCCAAACTGTCACCGGTACCCGTCAAGGGGGCGGGGCTACTAAACTGTAATATGGTCTCTACTAGGCAGAGTGTAGTTTAACTAGACTCTGCACGCAGGGTATTAATTTGTTTATTCAATTTTTTCTTATTTTAGGGTTTACTCTGTCGACACCTGCAACATCTGCTACAGGAGGGTTTTCATTTTCAACACCAGCCACATCAACAGGAGGATTCTCTCTGTCTACCCCTGCCACAAGCGCAACAACAGGTTTCCAGCTTGGTTCATTAGGAGCTAAAACCACGGCAGGATTAACTTTAGGTGTGTATAGATTATTACACTGACTCTCCTGAGTTTTGTAGTAACATTTGGAAGTAAATTAAAAATTGGCATTTCTTGCACATTTTTATGTCATCACCAGAATGTGTGTGAACGTTGAACATTTTTGCAAAATGTGTTTTCTTTATTCATCAATATTTTTCCGATTTTTCCGAGCTTAAATGTTTGCAACTTTAATATAACCTCTGCACATTTTATTTTCCCCTTAATTTTCAGGTACAGCCACATCCACTCCTGCAACAGGCTTTGGAGCAAGTACAGTTGGCCTAGGTGCAGCAGCCCCCGCAAGCACTGGCGGTTTAACATTAGGTTAGAAAATATGTGCCAATTGAAAACTTGAAGTTGCAGTTCCAAAATGATTTAAATTTCTTTTCATGATTGTCCAGAAATAAATGTATACATCTGATAAATAAGTTTGAATGCATTTGAATATAGAATAATTTTAAGAAACAGTAGGTTTTTGACTCAATTCAATTTTTTTATTTTATATTCCAGGTGCCCCAGCAGCATCAGGATTCAGTTTTGGTAAGACAACAACTGCCGCTACTACTGCCTCAACACTTGGTGGACTCCTTGCCAATAAACCTACACTTGGTGGTCTGGGTGAGTGAATATGGTTAATCCCTTGAATACCCAGTGATTAATATATCAGTCACACAATTTCTCTCAATTAACACAAGGTATGCATTAAAATTAACGAGCAATCTGATGGGTCAAAATCATGAAATCATATTTGAATCTTATTTTAGGATCGACAACCACCACCAGTGGGACCCTATCACTAGGGGGGTTAGGTCAGACATCCACTGCAGGGGGGCTTGCGCTAGGAGGCGGGTTAGCCCTAGGAGGAGGTCTGGGCCAGCCTGCTACTTTAACTGCAGCTGCCCCAAGTAAAGGCCTTGGAGGTGTTGATCTCAAAGGGGCAGCACCAGGGGGCACCACCAACACTAATAGTGGCAAGCCTAGTGATAACCGAGCGATTAAAGAGACATCACTCCCAAATGATATTGTTGTAACTGTTGAAAATTTTAAGTAAGTAGAATGTTTGGTTAAGATGGAAAATTTACTTGTGGGCAGGGTGTCAGCATTTTCTATTGTCGTTCATTATTGATATTTTTATTGATATACTTTCATACCTGTGTTAAAATGAGTTTCATGCATTCCATCTTGAAAAATACCCCCAAAAATCCAAATCTTTTGCAGAAAAAATGTTAAAGAACAGAAATCTGTTCGAGAAGACATTAGTCGTATATCATCAAAACCTTTGGTTAAAGTCCAAGAGGAAATCCTGACCCTGAAGAATCTTCTGTCTGTTGTATCTAATGGTTTACAAAGGAACGCATCTGCAATAGAAAAATTAAAAGCTGAATCGGCACAAGAGTTGAAAAATGCAGAGATCGCTCAAAGGACTAAAGACACTCCACCTGGACTGCAATATGAAAACACTGCACCTATAATGTAAGATTTAATATTTTAAGTATTGAATATATTTTTTTTTAATATGAATACAAACAAATACATTTGATACATTATTACAAAAAAAGACCAGATGTTAATAGCCTGTAAGATGTTATAGAATATTTTATTTTTATGAATTTCAAAAAAATATGTATTTAAATACAAATAAAAAAAGCATTAATCAAACATTTAATTTCGCGTTTCTTAATTTCTCCTTTTTCGTCTATTAAGATATTTCCAACGTCTAGTGGCAGATTTTGAGAGCCAGATGTTACTATATAGACAGCAGATTGAGGAAATGGAACGCAATATAGTCTCACTGAACCAACCAAGTCCTCTAACACCTCAAGGTTCGAGTTAAAACATTCGTAAATATCCCATACCTGCAGCTGAGTTAATAATAAAATTAAATATTTATTCATAATTTCAATTTCCTGGATGTTTTAGGTATACTTAGATAATATTTTGCAAAGCCTAAGAAGATTTATAAATAAGTCGAAAAATGAAATGTATAGATTTAATACTACCTGATTTGAAATAATATTCTTACATGTGTATTCTTTGAAGATCTGTGCCTTAGGGCAGAATCTCAAAATTTTGGTTGTATATTCCAGAACTGTCGTCATTGTTGCGGAAGCTACATGAAACATTTATAGCATTGGCTGCTCAGCTGCACACTGTCCATGAAGTTGTTAAAGTAAGTAATAGCCATAGAGCTACATGAAACATTTATAGCGTTGGCTGCCCAGTTGCACACTGTCCATGAATTTGTTAAAGTAAGCAATAGCCATAGAGCTACATGAAACATTTATAGCGTTGGCTGCCCAGTTGCACACTGTCCATGAATTTGTTAAAGTAAGCAATAGCCATAGAGAAAATTCTGTAGTTGAACAGATATTCTTCTATTGTGGGCTTAATTTGAATTATTTCAACTAAAGAAAATTATAACTTTCACAAGCTTTGATCTTGAAATCTTAATCTGTGTTTTTGTGAGCTCCTGGGTTAGGTTGCACTCTTGTTTTTTGTATAGTGGACAGCTGATGTAGAGTCTGCATGTAACATCAATGTAAAAAGTCTACTAATTCACCAGATTGCTCACTGTTCTCTGCCTAGTGCGTGAATAATATACCTAAGAGGGTATCGTCCACTTGAAAATGTACTTTGATAAAATAAATGATATAAAATATCTCAAATTGGTTAAAATATGATACTAGTACAAGTATATTTGGTATTTTAGTCCCAGAAAGAGCAATACTTAAACTACAGAAGGGCATACCATGGAGACACTACTAATATTTTTGAAAATCGCAAGAAAACTGCACAAAAGACAGGATCCACAAGCAGGGTGTCTACATCTCTGGGTCCAACCCCATTTACAGGAATGTCAAATGCTGCAGCAGTTGCCATGGCAGCAGCCTTGAATCGTCCCCAGCAACCAACAGGTAATGTAGAGATTTTATAAATAATCCAAGTTTGAAATCACTTCAAGAAATGGTTTGCAAAATCCTAAATAATGTGGGTATTTTGACCAGTTTTGAACAAAATTTAGTATCTTACACCTGGTTGAAAAAAATGTTGGGTTAACACTGGGTTATGATATGGTCTTAAGATATCCATTACTTGCAGCAGCCACTGGTCTTGGAGCTGGAACATTAGGTCAACCTGCAGGATTGGGGCAAGCCACTGGTCTGGGCCAAACTGGATTTGGAATAGGAACTGGACTTGGTGCTGGCTTGGGAACCAGCACAGGCCTCGGGACCACCACAGGCTTTGGGGGCCTTGGTAAATCTACATTTGGAACTGGCACCACTGGCCTCGGGGCTTCAACGACTGGCTTTGGGCTTGGTTCAACCTTAGGAGGCACCAGTGCACCAACAACTGGTTTTGGTGCTGGAACAACTACACTTGGAACTGGTACAGGTTTTGGTAAGTGTTATTTGTGACTTCCTCTCTGTTGGAGTTATATTAAAATGTGGTCCAGGTAACTTGAACATGTAAGTATCATCTGTGGTCAATTATCATAGATAATTCTCTAAGCTTTGCACTGATACCAAATTTTTCCATAGGGTCAGGAAAATTGTTTAACTCACAATTTATTTATTTGGCCTACTCACCTATAAGTGCACTGTTTGACACACTACTCGCCTATATTAACATGTCATCCAGGTAACTTGGACATGTAAGTATCATCTGTGGTCAATTATCTTGGAATTTTTAAAAAAAATTGACTTACTAAGCCTGTAATCACAAATGCAACTAATGCTTGTCGGCTAACACATTAACCTACTATTTTATGACCAACTCATTTGAATATGAATGGAAAAGTGGCAGGTAATATTCATATTTAAATGAGTTGCCCATATAATAGAAGTTAATCCAGTAGCCGCTTTTTGCATTTCGCAAATACAGCTTTGTCAACCTAACTTAGCCCTAATGCTAAAAAATATTTCATACTCATGAAAGATAACCCCGTAAGTTTATAACTCTATTGGATTATTTCAGGAATTGGTACATTTGGAACACCTGCTACCCAGCAACAGACAACTGGGGGTTTTGGGTCAAGTTTTACATTTGGCAACACAGCTGCGGTGAAACCATTAGGTTAGTGGGTAAGCATTTCCTCTTTCTTTTAACTCTTTCATGACCAAGGGCATCTAATCAGAAACAGAGAACACCCCCCCCCCCCCCCTTCAAGTATTTATATTCAGAAATTTGCCATCCCTCCCCAAATAAAGAATGAGGATAATTTATAAATGATTGACTTTGAATTTGATAAAAGCCACCTTCATTAATATAAAGCCCATCTATATCCCATCCAGATTTTTTATTTCAAATGACAGATTTAATCATGCCATATCATTTCATAAATACCAGTGATCTCCCCAGCATTAAAGCAAGTGGGCGCAGCACCCACCTGAGATTTTGAAAATAGGCTTGCACCCACCTGAAAATCCATTTGCACCCAGCCAAAATGAGAAAAATCATGAAAAATATTTTGACCAATTTTTATCTGAATTGTGAAAATGAAAATTTTGCACCCACCTGCAGAAAAAATCCTGGGGAGATCACTGAATAAATTTGGTGAGTTTTATGATTAGGGCACTTGTCATGATAAACTTTCTCTGTAGTCTTTAACAGTCGTAGAAATAGCATCAATCACAAAAGATTTATCATCTAGCTTGTTACTATCAATATAGCATTCAATAAAACATTCAGTAAAACCTGTGAAGTGGAACATCTACATTCATAGTTTGAACATCTCATTAGGGGAACATATTAACTAGTCCTTTTACCTGTTGTTCTGTAAACTTGATATAAAATTAACCTTGTAAATATAAAACCTCCTATTTGTTTTGAGGTAGCCTACCAAATGTGTTCCACTTCTATGTGTTCTTCTCTAGTATATAATGTAGTTTTTCGATAGATTGGCCAGTAGAATGAATCAGGGACCTGTTTCAAGAAAATGTTGTACATCATGATTCCAAAATTTCAATTCAGTTGTCTTTCATGATTTGACTCTCGCAATATCATAAACGAATCTGAAATGTAAAGGTCAAGTACCCACTTATATGTGATATCTTTGAGAAACAGGTTCCTGGTAATAAACTAACGTGGACCATACACATATACTGTAGTTTACTAGTTTTGCATATTTCACATTCGATTTGTATCCTTGTACTAGATGTAAAGATGAGCCCATGGTATCATCTTTCTTTGCCATTTGACACAAAAAGGTTGAGTACTCCTAATCAAATATTCAATTTGCTACAATCACCCTTGCTTTGATGCATATTAGTCTAGAACTTCACTCACAAACTTCATTCAAAGGGCAAATATGTACAGGGTGAGCCAAAACAAGGTAACCCAAACAAATCTTAATAACTCAGTTATTTAGTATGGGTTTAAAGTCATATTTGGCACAATTGAACTTTGCTCGATGTTGTGTCAAATGTGACTTTAGACTCATACTGGAGGACTGAATTATTGAGATCTGTTTTGGTTTCCTTTTTTGACTCACCCTGTAGCTGTAATTCACATCCTAAATAGCACTTAAATATTTGAATTCAAAAGGATGTAAATAACAGCTGCTGTACAGTATAGTACAGTACGGTAAAGTTCAGCATAGAATAGTATAGTAAAGTACAGTACAATACAGTACAGTACAGTATAATACTGAATAGTACAGTACAGTACATAATAGTATACAGTAAAACCTGTCTAATCCGAACGCCATTGGGACCGGATAAAAGTGTTCAGATTAGGAGGTGTTCACATTTCAAGGTTTTTGCATTCGCAATATTCTGGATTCTGAAGAAATGTGAACACATTCTCGGTAAATATTTATGGTTCATTTGACCACATAGCTTTATGCCATTCCAGAAATTTGATAATTTGATTCAAGTGAATCTAGTCATGCTGGAAAGCCCCATTATGAATGAGACCATTCAAGATTATTTCCCAACGTTTTGATATCATGACAAAAGTTGAGCAATTTTGTATTTATATATATAAAAGATCAGAAATTTTATGGAAAGTGTTCAGATTAGACAGGTGAATTTTTCAAATATGACTGTTCACTGTTCAAATTGGGAGGTGTTCACATTTCAAGGTTTTTTAACATGGGAGTCAATAGGAGGAAAAAATGGGACTGAAAAAGTGTTCAGATTAGGTGTTCAGATTAGCTGTAGTACAGTATGGTACAGTACACACAAATCATTTCCTGACTTGTTCACCCTTGCTTAGCCTCTGCTCATATATAAACAGTTTACCTGGTCAGATACTCCATGAGTAGAGTAACAATAACTTGTTTTCATCTTTGATACTTTATAGAATTAATATTCACTATAGGTGAAATTGCAGATGAAATATCCAATGATGAAATTCATAAATCTAGGAAAACAATATGTAATGTAGTACACAAAACAATTAACTGTGTCAATATAAAATCAGTCAAATATGATTGAAATAAAATGTCATCTATATTTTTAACACTACTCATGTACAAACAAATCCAGTTGAATTTACAATTTATTTTTGTAAATAAATGAATAATAAATTTTCAATCTTTGATATAAATATATTTTTCCAGGTTTAGGCGCCTCGACTCAACAAACAACAGGACTAGGGGCCCCTCAGGCAACAGGATTCGGGGCAACGGCTCTGGGCACCCCCATGCCCAGTGGGGGAGAGGCTTCAGGATTCCAGCTCCAGAAACCACCCATAGGCAACAAACGTGGCAAAAAGTTTTAGAACAATTTTAAACTTGAGATATTATTTTTGGAATTTGAGAATATTTAAAGAAAATTGATCTTATTGATAATGAAATAAATGTGACGGGTATTTGAGACATTTTTATAACAAAAAAAGTTGTACATAATATTAATAACCCAGATGCGAGTAGAAATAATCTTGATTTACGTCATTAAAAATTCAAAATTCAGTCAAAGTAATATCATATTTGAAATCGACATGTAAAATTACATCTAGAAATGTGGTTTTAAAAAGTGTTGATCAATTTTGAAAAATTAATTTTCTTTGAAAATGTGACTTCTAGCTCGGGGAGATTCCCCATAGACCCCATGCTATAAAATCACAAAAAAATGAAATATCTTTTCTTTTAGTCAACAGATAATATTTTGCTTTACTGGACATATTTTCATTAGTATAAGTATCAGACATATAAGGGTTATATGAAAATTGAGCCACTTAAATTGATTATATTCAAGTTTAATGGAACTTTCTTATATACCTACCATGTTAATTGACCTGAATCAGCCACCTGGTGGTGAAACTGGTAACTACCTACTCGCATTTGGGTAATTTGCCAGTAATATATACAACAAAATGACTGTTACAGTATATCAGTCTGATGTATACTGCTTCAAATTAGATTGAATATTAAACCTGGGTCAGTGCCTTAGACTGTCCGGATTCTTACCTGAAGATGAGGCAGAAATTCACCTGCACCTCATACAAAGATCAATGGCTGGGTCAGTGCCTTAGACTGTCCGGATTCTTACCTGAAGATGAGGCAGAAATTCACCTGCACCTCATACAAAGATCAATGGCTTTATTTTAACAGGACATTCAATAACTACCAAGTAAAATGCTGAACATTTTTATTCTCCATATTTCCTTTTCAATATGTTTTGATATTGTGACAGTGTCTATTTTTTAACTGACACTGGTCAGAATGTCAGTATTTTCCGTTTAATGTTTTAATATTTTGACAGTGTCCACTGTCCAGTCATCAGTATTGATAGACAGACTGTTTGTCTTTTGTCAGACACTATTCGTGATATTGGAACTAAAAATACATCTAATTATCAGTACTTATCGAATGCCCTGCATGTACAGTGAAACTTGTTATAGTGGAACACTTTTAGAAGTAGAACGCCTCCGTTAGTGGAGCACTTTTCAGAGTCTCAAGATCAATTGGCTTAATGTTAAATGAACCTCAGTCTATAAGTACACCTCCCAAGTGGAACATCTTAGAGGTTCCAAAGGCCTCCGAAATGGAACACTTTTTAGAGGTACCAAAGAAAGGCCTCCCACCACTTAGACATGTTTTACTGTATAGTGTATATTTATGGTTTCTTCCAGCCCCTCTGTTCCACAAGTAAGCCAAGTATATGCCAGTGAACATGTTAAAAGTCTTGAACATGTTGAAAGTCCTGTAAACCTGTTGAAAGTGAATCAAGAATAAAACAAGTATTTTGTATATATTCAACTTTTTGATTTATTTATTTCATATAATTATTTCATGATGAATCATGTACAAACTGTACAAGGTAGATTATATAAGAGAATCATGGGTAATTTTCTGGTGTTATACACCTAAGTACCATGACATCATGCCTGTTTACAATAGATCGTTTCGATAAATCCTACCATTTTTTGATAATCGGAGAAACTTTGAGATATTAGTTACAGCTATCTTGATGATGTCAAAAGTTGTATTTTTTTAAATTAGCGATACGTTAATCCTATTTTACCTACAACCAATGACAGCCATATATCCATTAAGTTTTCCTGATAAATATCAAAAGGTGGCAGGATTTATCAGAATGATCTACTGTTTCACCCTATTCCGGATCCAAGTTCAATTTTAAGATGTGACCACAATGTTCCCAATGCCAATGAATCAACTATTAAGACACATTAATCTAATTTCATCAAAATATGATTGGAAAAAAATGAATTACAAGAAACCTGTCTTAGTGAACATCCTTTGTGAACACCTAATCTGAGTGAACACGTGTTTGAATGTGCTCTATTGAAATAGTACGGGGCAACGCAAACAATCTTAATAGCTCAGTCTATTTATCCAGTATGGGTTTTAAGTTGTGCCAAATATGACTTAAAACTTTTAAGTCATATTTGGCACAACTGAACCTTGTTCAATGTTCTGAATAAAACGGTGTAGGCAATGCATTCGTACAGTGAAAAAGATGTTCATCAAACACAGGTTTTACTGTATCTCCAAAATAATGTTTAAAAGACCCTTCCAATAAATCTTCATAACAGTTTGAATAAACTCATTCTACATCTTAGATTTAACCATTACAACAGTTGCATGAAAGTGGGGTATTTTTTAACTCAAAAATTACATAGATTACTGTAAATTGCTTCAATTTGTTGCTGTTTAATTTGGCAGATTGGGCAAATTTTGACTGCTATTTAATTTGGTGGATTCACCTCTCTGTAATCTGTAGCAAGTCATGTGGCCAGGTTACTCTTGGGTGACACAGGGAGGTTTTACCTTCATATTTGAGCTAAAATGTAATAAAATGGGGTTCCAATCAAAATATTGAAAAACTTCTCAATGATACGTAATTTGAGAAGAATTAATTTGGCTGTTCTTAACAATCCAAATTAAAATGGCCGTCAAATTAAAGCTTTTTACAGTACATGTATATCGTTATTTTCATACATTCAGCATTTTTGAAAGGAGCTCTAACCTATAACTCTAATATAAAGCAATCTTTTTGCACTTTATTCTAGACTAGAAAAATAATTTATAAATATGATTTATCACAAGTATTAACAGAAACAATACAATATGTATTCTGTTGTCCCTAGTATAAACAATAGCAATACAATTTGTATTGTGTAATCCCTAGTATAAATAACAGCAATACAATTTGTATTGTGTAATCCCTAGTATAAATAACAGCAATACAATGTGTATTGTGTTCCTATCCCTAGTATAAACAATAGCGATTTGTGTATTCTGTTATCCTCATATAAAGCAATAGCAATACAATGTGTATTGTGTAATTCCAAGTATAAACAACAGCAATATACAATGTGTATTCTGTTATCCCTAGTATAAACAACAGAAATATACAATGTGTATTCTGTTATCCCTAGTATAAACAACAGCAATATACAATTTGAATTTACTATTCAACCTTTGCTGTACAGTATTTACATACAATATTATAATATGATAATTGATAATTTAAATATTACACTTTAATATATAGATACACAAGTACAGTACTACTACTTTCTGTATATACCCATACTGTGATCGCAGAATAAATCAATCAATAAGAATGTTATTCAGTGATAACTATGGGCCTGTCACCAAAAATATATTGTTCACGATTCCTGAATTTCAACTGTCACTATACCATTTTGGCATACAGTACCTATTTATTGTGTTCATACAGGTAGATGGGCAATGTCTGCAACATCTGTATTCTGGTGTTAAATAAACCCAAAATGTTTAATATTATTATGATTTATCAAAATCTTTTACTTTTACTGTAGACTTTAGTTCAAACCTTCAGTTCATTTCTTAAAGTATCAAAGCTTAAACAAAATTCCTTGAAAAATGATAAAGATCTGAAATGATAATTTTATCATGGTATTTATTGTGTCAATTACATCAATGATTTATTTTTGCTTATCCAAGATGGGAATAAGCTAACCTTTAAAGAGTTCAGATCTTCAGTTTAACATATTCATACATATAACCATGCAGCTTTGCTTGTAAAATATATCACTTATGGATTAATCGATGCTTCCTTAAACCTCGACTTTCATTCTTGGTTTAAGGAAGGAACCATCTACTTGTGATGTATTTTGCAAATAAAACATTGAGTTCAGTGCTTAAATCCTTAAACACTATCCATATGCTAGTGGACATGACTAAGGAGTCATACCCTGAGTTTGTACTCAATCCATGTTACTGCAGCTGGAGAACCTTGCTCGGAGAACCCTTCCACTAACATAATACATAAGATCTTGTTTGAATCTACTCTCTCCAGTTTGTCTTATTTTGGGTTACAAGGAGTAGAAGCTGGAAGGTGCCCTGGATGCATTTTCTACTGTTTGTAGACTTTCATGGAGTAAACTAATATACATATATGTATCCCCACCTTAAGCATACAAGAATCTACTCTCTCAAGTTTGACTTATACTTTGTTGTGGGACTGGAAGTTGGAAGGTGCCCTGCATATTTGTTACTGCTATTTGAAGGCTTTCATGATGTGCACTGATGTATACCCTCGCCCTACTATATATAAATCCCTATTAAAGTCTACTCTTTCTCCAGTGTGGCCTGCTGGAGTATTGGCAGGAGCAGTTGGAAGGCATCCTGTATGTATGTACTGCTGTTTGTAGCCTGTAAATGTAACAATGGAAGATTAACCATGAGGGAAGTGGAATTGTCACAGTCTTATAGTATTGCTTGCTCTAAGCATTCCATGCTAAACCTCTTTTTAATGAGCCAAAGGTTTAGACATAATTTCAGAACAATTCCTTGATTTTTAAGGGTATCTTGCCACAAAAATGAAAAGATTTGGGATATTTTTTTTCTTAAGTCTTCGCTAATACAGATTCTCCATTCCTTTTTTCAGAAAATAAAATTTTGGCAAGGCATTAACATGCAAAATATCACTACATGCCATTTGTTACAGACGCCAACTGTCAAATGTTGACCATCAAACACCAACCACCGAACACCATCCACAAAATGTAAGAGACTGTGGTGACATAATTATAAGGGCAACATTTGCTTGCTTTTTTAAAAGATTGTTCCCAACATTTTACATTCTCTCCTGTGTCAATGCTTCACTTACCTCAAGGTATATGTTAGTAATGAGAGGATTTACAGAATCAGGGTTGTCTGATTTGTTGGCCGCTGTGTTGAGAGTCTGGGAGAACTTCACTGATAAGATTCCCACTTCTGTACAAAGAGCCCTAGTAACACTGAAACAATACAGAAAAAATATTATGTAGACACATATTCAATTGAAACAGTGAAAATAAAGTCTAGTATTATGATTGCTTTATATCAATTCTTGCCTCACCTCTTTAAATTTGCCTCACCTCTTTAAATTTGCCTCACCTATTTCAATTTGCCTCACCTATTTAAATTTGCCTTACCTATTTAAATTTGCCTCACCTATTTAAATTTGCCTCACCTATTTCAATTTGCCTCACCTATTTCAATTTGCCTTACCTATTTAAATTTGCCTCACCTATTCAAATTTGCCTCACCTATTTAAATTTGCCTCACCTATTTAAATTTGCCTCACCTATTTAAATTTGCCTCACCTATTTAAATTTGCCATGTCTAATTTCAGATCCTGGCCATGCCCCTGACCTATTGTTCAGTTTCATAGGTAGTAAACAAAAATTCATACGAAAAAATAGCGCCCATTCCTAATTATTTAAATCAGCATTAAAGTGCATTCTTACTTTGCAATTGTCTTTGCTCTGACAGTGAAGTTTGTAACGTTGTCTTTGTGTAGAAGTGCCAGCTCCCCTATTTTCTTGAATTGCTCCACTGACCTAGCTGTCAACTCAGCCAATGCTTGGATACCAACTTTGTGAATCTCCTAGAAGATGATGTAATCATAATTATGCAATTAATTAAAATATGTCTGTTATAGGTGATTGATATATACAAGTATTTTATATGTAAGATTGCATAAACCAATAATAAAAAATGAATAAAAAATATGTAAGTCACCATAACATTTATGTAGATCAACCTACATTATCTGTTAGTGGTAACTGATTTTTTATGAGTGTTGGTCTAATTTTATTCTAATCAAAGTACTCTCACAAATGCAATGCAAAGTTTGGAACTTACCTTGCAGTCTTTATTTACAGCATCTTCTTCCTCTGACTGTGCACATCCTTCTAAGCCATCCCTGATATTTTTCTGAACCTACAAATACACAAGTTTCACACTCATAACATGAATTAGCTACAGTCCTAGTACCGAACATGTGGTTGCTAAGTAGATGTAGTTGCTTTACATGTGGTTGCTTAGTACACGTGGTTGCTTAGTACATGTGGTTGCTTAATTCATGTGGTTGCTTAGCACATGTGGTTGCTTAGTACAAGTGGTACATGTGGTTGCTTAGTACATGTGGTTGCCAAGATCATAATAATAAAAATGCTGTACCAAGGTTCTGGTTTATTTTCATGTGTTTTCTCAAGTTGCAGGTATTACTTTTGAAAATAACCATATTTATGAAACTTACATTTATGAGTTTACTGGGAGATACGCCATCTATATGAAGTTCAGAGAAGTGCTCTGAGAGTATCTGTTCAAAATCATGCTCATCCATATCTGAAATAAACAAAATGGTGTGGAAATTATGTTGTCTTCCCAAGGATATATTTTTGTTGCATTTGAGCACTTGGTAATAGGTAATAAATACCAATAGATGGCAGTATAGTTTTGACAGTGCTGGAGTATTATCATTATTTTCTATGGAAAAACTGACAAAAGTTTAATTTTTTCTCAACTTCTCCAAATTCAATTGAATTACTGTAAGATTTTTTTGTTAATTAGCTAATCCTATTTCAACCCTTTGACTGAAACACCAAGATTCATGAAAAAAATTCTCTTCAAGTTCAACATTACCTTCGTCATCATCATCCAAGTCTTCAATTTCAAATGCCTCCTTGATAGCAATCAGGTCTGGCTTGAGTGAAGAGATTTTATCTTGTGGTAGGGCACCAAGCAGACTTTGAACTTTGACCTCACACTGGTTAGATAACATCTCTAGGGCTTCAAGGTGGACCAGACCTAGAATATGTGATTACACATGGAATTTCAATTCAATTTTTTTCATCTAAAATTTCGTAATGACAATTGTTATATGTTATATGGAGAACACTGAACCTGTATTTATCTTCAAATTCATTACATTTTTACAAATTTTTACAGTCGTAGGTCAGATGGTAGTTAAGGAACTCAAATTGAAATATGAAAACATAAGTCATCATTATTGACTGACTAAGTCTTTTTGCACAATTTTCATGGTATCATTGTATTTTTTGAAGAAATCACAAAAAAATTGAATTTTTAACTGTATCATCTAACATGATAAACAATTCCTTGAGCCTCTCTTTGACATTCTGTATGTATCTTTAACTGTATCTATGGCAACCAAAATCCTCTTACCTTTGTACTCATCAAACAATGTCCCAAAGTGTGCCTGTCTTGCCTCTGCATCCTCTTCTTCCATCTTGGACCTCTGCTCATTCTCATCCTTAGCTTGGCGCAGCATCTGCAGGTTGACAATAAGTAAAAGGTATGAAACATGCTATTTTATTACAAGCCAATGTGAATATACAGTAAAACCTGTCAAGTGAAACACTTCATCAGTGAATCAATTTTTAGCAGAACTAAGGGCATTCCACACACAAGTTTTACTGTACTACTGTATTATAGGACATCTCATCTATATCTGGCATTGGTCTGCTCTTGCATTGGTAAGAATTTCAAATTGAACAGATGAGCAGTTTTCATGTAATTTTGATGACAAGATTTTCTCTGTCACTTGGCCACCCACACTCGGGAACGCCCAGTAGTACAAGATGACAATAACTAACTTTGAGTACAGCACTTTTTAAAAGTGTGATGATAATAATAAAGAGGCCTTCAATTTATTGTTAACATGGCCACTAAGGGACATGTACTTCAGCTGATGTACTTACAGAAGATAGGTTTGGCTTGTCACCACCATCCAACATCTGTCTTGTTTTCTTCAATCCAGGGTCTGGCTTTGTGACAACATCATATGTCTTCTTCCCTACAGTCTCGAGTACATCAATGCTACCACTCACCAGAGTCATGCCCTAAAGAAAATACAGGTGAAGTTAAAGCATCTTATTAGTAGTACAAAGTTGCCTCTGTAATGAAAAATCCATAGTAAAAGGGTCTTCTTTTCTTTTCATAGTTGACATGAGTTTGTGTGCAGTCAAAGGGTATTGTTTTCTATTTACAGTTGATGCTTTAATCAAAGTAAGGTTCTTGTTTTCAGAATACAGTTCACCCACATTATTATAAATATATAATTGACTGAAATTGCTTGTGTTACAGTATATTTGAGACAAACTAGTGAAGTTAAAACATCTTCGTTTACATTCACAGATGACACAATTATTAGTGTGAAGTAAGGTTTTGTCTAAGTACACAAATTGGTACAACATGAGACCAACTCCTTTAAACCAAAGTTCTCTATACACAGTACACTGATAATTATCTTATATCACCCCCCCCCCCCCCCCTCTGTACTTTAGCTTCCCTTGTGTTGTGTTGGGAAGGTGAAGAACACAGGGTGGGGTACACAGTCTTGAGTCAAGACAAAATATGTCTCACCGTTTTCTCCACTGTATTGACTGTCTTCTCAACAACCTTGTTGATAGAGGACAGACCCCAACTTCCAAACCAGTCATCATTGTCTTTCTCCTTCTCTGGTTTTGCAGCTGCCTTATCTTCTTCAACGGGAGCAGCCTTTTCTGGTTGCTTAGCGACAACATCCTCTTCTTCCTCATTTTCTTCATCAGCATCTGAAATTGTTAAAAAATTGATTCTATTTGGATTTTGACATTTTTGTTGTTAATCAAATTGCATTTTTGGCAGTGCATCTTTTCATTATTCATACTGTATTGATATGTGCACATGCACACATAACAATGTTTTTCTTGATATTTTATAAAATTAAATGAACAACCTTTAATAATTGATTAATATTTTCTCACACAGCAAGGAATGCATTAACACTTTCTGACCAATCAGAACATGGGTTGTCTCAAGGGCTAATGTGGTCTTCATTTTGTCCAGGTCTAAATATCCAGACAAACACTTCACCTTGCAGAATGCAAATTCAATTTTACTTCTTTTTATAATTTACCATGTGTGAAAAGCATTTCAAAAGCAAAATGACCTATATATCGATGGAATCATGCACCCTCACTCATTCAAAGGCCCCATGCAAAGTTTGAAAATATGTTTCTATCATTAATTTACTATTGTTCATGACATCAAAACATAGAGATGTTTGAAAGGAAATTTTTTTAAAGTTGTCAGCTTTATATTTCCCAAATATTCAAATTTCCTGCCATTTTCAAATAAAAGCGAATTTTTGAATCATCACATATTCCGCTATACACCTTCAAAATTCCCATCGTTAGGGTTTACCTTGAAACCCTAACACCATGAAACTTCCCCATTGCTTACCACTTGTAGAACTGACAGCACCATTAGAGTCCTCATTAACTGGGGATTCATTCTTAGCTTTTTGTATTCTGGCAATCTCATCAGGATCAGGAACACCAAGGCTGGATTCTACCGTCTCAAGAACTGTACTGAAACCCTCTTCTAACTGGTTTGTAAATGTTGACACAGATGTGGCTGCTGTTGAAAGAATTGAACCTCCCCATCCCCACCCCCAGCCTCCACTCTGAAAAGGAAAAGGAATATAAAACATTTATTTCAATGAGAGAGTTGATGATGGTTTTAATTTTCATAGTATTAAAAACTGATCTCTCCAGCGATGCTCTCATATAGCAAAATGTCACCACGTCCCATTTGTTACAGACACTTAACTCTGAATGCCGAACACCAACTGCCGAACACAAACTGCCGAGCACCATCCACAAAAAAGTTGGAGACCATATAAACAATATGTCATGACCATTATACTATGTTGCTACATGTATTAATCTGAAGGTTTCTTTGACATTTTGAAAAAGTGCAGAAGTCTTGTTTGTAAAGTTTTCTGTTAACAACTTCCCAAGTTTGGACCATAATATCTCAACATTTATTTGGCTCCAATACCAAATATCCTCTACTCAAGGCCTGCTTGCATTCGAGTTAATCAAGTTCATATAACAAACATACATGTACATTAAAAACATTATTGATCAAGAAAGCTCATTTGGTGACGTTACCTTTTCTTTTGCATTTGCAGCACCTGAAAGTTTATCCAAAACATTCTCTTCTACATCAGTATGTGTCGTATCAAAAGAGGTGGCGGCACCTGATAACCTTTCTAGAATATTCTCTTCCTTTTCACTATGCTCGATATCACCCCCATCTTCTTTCACAGATCGCCTTTGAATTTTCCTTGTTGGAGTTGTATCTCTTGGAATTTCCTCCTTCTGGGGACTTAATAGTTCCTGCAGGTCAGAAGATATATTTTCTTTGGCCTCTTGTCCATCATCTTTTAAGTTAATTTTATCAGTTTTATCTTCAGAATCGTCAATTTTATCAGTTGGGTTTGAATCAGTAGTGGACTCTGTTATTTCATTGTCTTTTATATCTTCTTTCACTGATTCTACATTTTCACATATGTTTGTGTCCAAATTATCAGATCTTGGAGATTTAGTTTCAGATTCAGCCACATGCTTATTCTCTTCTTTTTCAGTTTCCTTTTCAATTGCATCATTTCCCTTTCCTTTTTTATTTTTAGATTTTTTATTCCTTCCTTTTTTGCCTTTTGTCTGTGACACAGCAGAATCACTCTTGGGTGAAGATTTCTTGCCTTGTGATTGGTCAGATTTCTTGCCTTGTGATTGGTCAGATGTTTTGCTTATAGCACCTTCTGATTGGTCAATATTTTTCTTAATGTCTGATTGTGATTGGACATTCAATTTGTCAGAACTGTCCCCGGATTCATCTGGTTTTTGTAAGGTTGGTTTTGGTTTGTCAATGGATGTACTAACATCTCCTTCATCTGCACTTGCAAATGCATCCTCATCTGTATCAGACATTATCAATATTCTAAAGTTTTCACTGAAAACAAATTTAAAATGCAATTAAGCCAGATTTACACGCAAGTAGCTTAATACGCAAATAACATTTGTTGTTACTATTTCCTGCAATTTTAGCATTTTCGAGGAGATTTTTAATGACGTTTCAACAAAAAACATTTGAAAGGCTTGAAATTCAAACCTTTCAAATGTTTTTTGTTGAAATTTTTACCAGGTGCAACATCATCTCCAGCTGTTTGTGTTGTTGATTTTATATACATTAATCAAATCACTATCATAGATTATGAAAATAAAAAACTTTGGTTTTGGTACAATAAAAAGCACACTGCCTTCTTTTTACTGCCTTACCAGTGGATTTATTTTGTCCAGAAAAATAAAAAAAGATAATTTTTTAAAAAAAATCCTTCTCTTTACTGACAAATCATCGTAATTTTAATGAATTGAGACACTATATTTTGGATTGTTAAGAAAGTCAAATATAACAGTGACCCATTCATACTTACAATTAACAGCATATGACGACAAAACCTGAGAAAAACGTCTAAAACAATGCGTATATTACTTCCACGTCAGTTTTGTTGACGTTATTTACGCATGCGCACAGAAGTTACTTCCGGAATTACGTTTCCGGTCAAAATTACAAAAATGTCCGCATACGGAGGGGTGAGTGTTTGATCTAATTTGTTCTACATGAGCGATTATTAAGCATCACAGAAGTGTGTACCTAATACAGGAATACCTTCAGACTATTATTGTCAAAAACGTGGCTGATTTTAGCGTGTGTAATCTTATAAAACATATCCTCTATTGTCATCGAATATTTTTCCAACATTTTTCAAGATTTTGACCAAAGCATCAATAAATTCAAAATAATCACTAATAAGCACACCAGAATCTAAGCGTCAATCTTTAACATGATTGTTCTGATCCTCTTTTCTTTATCTTGTCCTAGTTGAACAAGATTCTTGCTTTTTTACCTTCTTGGTTGGTTGGTTTTCCCTATTGTTGTGATTTGCTACTCTTCTTCCAACCATGGGCTCTATCAGAGGTGGTAGAGCCCATGTTCCAACACAGTCAAATGTTACTCACTTCGAGAGCCATGTTAGATTTTGAAACTTATGGCTCTCAAACGGAGAAGTGAACAGCTCATCAATAGTGACCTTTGAAATCGAATTAAGTTGATCCGCGGCTTACTTTTGGTCTCTAACTGTGTCTTACATCAGTATCATCAATCCGTGTAAGTATTGGAGCGCTGGAGTACTTCTTTTTCGATCAAGACTTGTAAATTGTTCATCGAGTGAACGTTTTTTAGACCTATTTCCAATATGGCGGTTTGCTAGGAGCGAGATACGCAACGAACGAAATGAATTCTGAGAATTAGTTAGGTTCGGACAACCTCCGGAGATTTACGAAAATGTCCGAGCAGAAACAGCCATATTGGAATTTGGCAGTAAAACGAATCACTCGACTAACAATTACAAGTCTTGATCGAAAAAGAAGTACTCCAGCGCTCCGATACTTACACGGATTGATGATACTGATGTAAGACACAGTTAGAGACCAAAAGTAAGCCGCGGATCGACTTAATTCGATTTCAAAGGTCACGATCATTGAGCTGTCCAAATGCTCCGTGGGAAAGCTATTATATCAAAATCCAATAGCTTTCGCAGGAAGTAAGTCAAATGCAGTTTGAGTTGGGCAAGCCCAAATCATCTTTCTACTTTGTTCTTCATCCTAAGTCAAGTTAGATAAGCTCCCATCTCGATAAGCAATTTGTTTAGTGATGATCTTGCCTGCATATGATGACAGCAAGTAGAATGGTCGATGTTCTAACGATATCAAGTATGACAATGACATAAATGTTGCTAATGTCTGACATTGCCAGTTTTCTAATATCTAAATATAGCATATAATTCCATTTTAGAAACCAGTAGAGGACCATAGAAGAAAATGGGACAAAGCAGAATATGAGAAAGTTGCCAAGGAGCGTTTGGAGAAAGAAGCACAGGCACTCCTAGATGAAACCTTGGGCAAAAAAGAAAAGCCAGTTAAAAGAGAACTCCTAAAGCCAAGAGAATACAAGGTAATTAGGAATTATACATATTTTTGAATCAGCGTGACTAGCTCTGCTCTTTTACATGTACTACAAGGTTTTGAATCTGATATTTGTAACTCAAAATTGACGGCTAGGCAATAAATGTTTAACCTTAAGCTAATGATCATGAAGCATTACTCTCTCACTTAAAAGCTTTCTTCTAAAATGCACCAACTTCCAACCTAAAATAGTGATTGTCATATCATAATGCGTCTTCATCTCCAAATATGGAATCTCTGCATTGTGCTGCTTTTTGCTCATTACACCTCTCCTATGAGATTGTAGGTGTCTCATATATATTGTTTCATTCGTTTTATTTCCAGGTTGATCTTGACTCTAAATTGGGGAAATCATCTGTCATAACAAAAACTACACCATCGTCTCAACAAGGAGGGTAAGTTTAAGTTACAAGTATTATAGAATTGTTTAGGGAATAAACTTTCACTGGGTCAAAAATAAATGTTTAGCGTTCTACTTCATCTATTGATGTATTATATTAATACATGATAAATCAAGTCGATGTGCCACATGAAAATAAAAGGAATCATGAAAATTAGATGCGAATTCAGCAAATTTAATCAGTTTTCATAACCAACTCTTAACACTGTTTCGGATGAATTGACATTCATATCTTGTTAAACAAATAAAGTTATCAAATTCAAACATTTTCAGTATGTATTTCTCAATATTTATGATATTTGATATGGAATCAAACTGTATTATGTATCTATCGTTTCCAGGTACTATTGCAATGCATGTGACTGTGTCGTCAAGGATTCCATTAACTTTCTTGATCACATCAATGGCAAAAAACGTAAGTACTACCTGTGCATAGGTTTATAAGTTAAAATAAGTTGTATATTTAGATCTTGCATTGTGGTGAAGATTAAAATGACTGTTTACCAATTGATTGGTTTTTTTATCATATGGTCAGTTATGGTATTTGTTGTTTGGGAGTTTCCATACTTGGTGTGATTGTTTATAGATTGAATGTGATAGTTGTCATGTTGAATGTGATTGTCTACAGAGTGAATGTGACTGTTTTCATATTGAATGTGATTGTTTTTGGAGTGAATTTGTTTGATAACAGATTATATGTGGTTGTTTGCAGCTTGAATTGAATGAGTAACAGATTGAATATGATTGTTTAAAGATTGAATATGAATCTTTGCAAAGTGAATGTGACTAAATGTGATTGTTTGCAAACTGATTATGATTTTATGATTCTTTATAGATCAAAGAAATCTTGGGATGTCAATGAGGGTAGAAAGGTCATCACTAGATCAAGTAAAGAAACGATTTGAAGCCAATAAAAAGAAGATGGAAGAGAAGAAAAAGGATTATGACTTTGAGGAGCGAATGAAAGAGTTGAAAGAAGAGGTAAGATTTATGCCTATTCCAAACACTAAGGCTTTCAAAACGAGGCTGAACATACAATATATAATGAGGAGGTGATTAATTATAGTTCTTAGTCCAACTCATTATTAGCTCTTTTCGCATCATCATTGTTTGACGCAAAAATTTCATTTTGTTCAAGGTGTGTTTACGTAATTTTGGTCCACCATTTTGTTTGTTTGCCACTTGATCAATAAATGACTTTTAACCAATCAAGAGGGTGATATGGCATGACGTATGTCAGTCAAAGACCACAACAGAGGTTCACCTTTATATGAAGATTGTGCTTTTGTGTGATCAGGGTCTTATTTCCCTTTCTAATATAATACTTATAAACAGTTATGGCATTTTTGCACCATCCCTAGAGCAGATTTATGGCCACAAAGAAAAAGCATTTGACAGACTCACTATTTAAAAAGTTACCCATATGACCGTTTAAATAAACAAGTTTCAAACCTAGAGTAGTTAACATTCAGAATTATCATCAGCATTTTAAAAACTCTTGTAAAAACCTAAAATTAGTTATTCTTATAATACAAGGTTGCCAATCACTTTATTTTTCAGGAAGAAAAACAAAGAGCATACAGACGAGAAAAACGTAAAGCCCAAAAAAGAAAGGCAGATGACACAGAGACTGGTGGTAATATGGACCCAGATATGGCTGCTCTCATGGGTTTCTCAGGGTTTGGATCATCAAAGAAATGATGTTTCAAAAGACAGTTTATGTGTTTAATTTGTGGAATAATTTTAGTACAATTGTATGTTCCATATTGGAGCACAGGGATATATGTGTTGTACTTATACTTATTGAGAAAAACAGGTACAGGTGGATAAGCTTTCTATAATGGCTTGATTCATGAATATGAGAATTGTATTATAACTCCATACATGGATAGGATGATTGTACCTTGACTCCCTATATTAATGAGGATTGAATTATTGTTCCATACATAGATATGAAAACTATCATATCTTCACCCATGTAAATGAGAATTGTATTACATCTCCATTCATGAACATGATGATTGTATCAGCTCCATCCATGGATATGAGGATTGTATTGTAGCTCCATCCATGGGTATGAGGATTGGATTGTGGCTCCATCCATGGATATGATGATTGTACCATGGCTCCATTCATGAACATGAAGATTGTGTCAACTCCAATTAAGGATATGAGGATTCTATTACAGCTCCATCCATGTATATGAAGATTGTTAAATAGCTCCTTATATGAATTTGAGAACTCAGACAAGACAAGTCATTGTAGGCCTTTCTCTCTGAATTTCTAATCGCATTCAACTTTGTATACATAAGATACTTATTCACTAACTTGTGTTTCCATTTGTAATGGGTCTGGTAACTTTATAAAGATGGCAGCACTATCTATAGTACTGCTACTGTTGGACCCTCCCTTGTGTCTGCCCTCCACACGCGGTACTGTACTAAATAGATCTCAGTTGTTATTTATTATTTTTGTAGAAAATATAAATATTTCATGTGTTTTAAGATTGTGTGAATGTATGTTTCCTGAATACATGAAAATAAATGAAACTACTACATCCTTTTTATGGACGAATTAATATAAAATATCAACACGAGTGAGACACCGACACTTTGTTTATTTGAGTCAATTGTAAGACGTATAATAAAATTGCGTAATTAATTTGATTTAGAACTTTCGGATCACGCAAATAGCTACGCGAAATGTATCCTTTGAAAATAATGACCAATCAAATTTTGTCCTTTTTGAGGGCTTTTTAAGTACATATTTTCGTACCTTCTCGATTAAAGAGCGAACCACGAAAGGTTTAATTAAACATTGATTAACCAACAAACATGATGAAATGAGAGACATATTTAAAATATATGTATATATTATAAATTATCCACTTTAATTTTCTATAATGGATATAATGGATGGAAATGGATACAGTTTTTGTTGGCTTACATGACTGAGCTATTGTTAATTTTATCACAGTACTTCGTATCAGAGTTGTTTCTACTTGATTCAGCTAATTAAGAATGAGATCGTGCTATCAAGTTGCATTTTGAAATATTCCTTAAAAAGTTTCGTTTCACATCAATGTGTATCGGAGTTTCTGATGTTATCACATCGATCATGTCGACTGGTTTCATTATCAGCTGTGGATTCCCTAGCTTATTTAGGTCACCATGGTAGCCAATATAGTTGCTATGGTAACAGTCGCTACGTTGACCCCGATGGAGCCGGCTCCATCTACGCTTGTCGTGTTTCCTTCTACAAAAGAAATATCAAAAGTACAAGCTATTTTCTGCGAATATGTATCACTTAGGGTTTCCCGAAAAATCTTATTTAGGACTACGTCTTGGTACTTTTCTCATGGAATAACTCTCAAAAAAGTACTCACTCCTTTCACAGGTTCCAACGGCAATCCGCGACATTGGCGTTGGCGGGCACAATACACACACAGCGTCTGTTTCTTCGCAGCCTCTTGTGGATGTACCGGTGGAGAAGTCAACTTGACAGCCACTGGCTCCCGTTGCTGGAATATTAAATTCACTCATTAATCCTTAGAGATAGGGAGATACAGCTTCAGTTTTTATTAAAGCTTGCAATGGCGGATCCAGATTGGCCCATCACCCCGGGAATTTTTTGGGCAATATCTTAATATTAGGCCAAATTATAAAAAAATTATACATGAGGTATCACACGTTCGCGTACACACAGTGGTACACGTTCTATCAAAAAGGGGATTGAAGCTTTAACCCCCCCCCCCTCCCCCTATTAAATTAATCTAAGCTCCTTCACTGAATTCCCCACCCCAATCTCTCCCCCCCCCTGTATTTATAATATTGAATTCAGTTTGCTATTAGCGTGGAAATTACCAAACACACTTACCAGTCGAACAAGCTCTTACGGTGAAGTTCATCGAATCGTACCTATGTTTGGCAACTGTCAGTGTGTAGTCATATTTTCCTGTACCGCAGACACATTTCGAGTCTGATGAAGAGCCATCACATATGTAACCATTTGCTGTATCACATGCTTTGTTTCCATTAGATGCTCCGCATTTGTCACCAGTGCGACCTGAAAAGAATAATTTTATCGCTTATTCTGTTAACTGGCGGTAAATTTTGAATTCTTTTTTTTAAACAATTGATGTTTTTACTTCAATTTCATTAGAAGGTCCATCTTTCGAAAATATCTCGTTTGAAAAATAGTGGTTAATTGAAAAATATCAGATTTTGAAAAAAGTGAACTCAAATTTTCAAAAAGGGATCCTTTTTAAAAAGACATTGTTTTCACCTATAATGTGTACGTTGAACCTAGTAAAACTGCTCCAAATGTGTTGTATCCTTGAAAACACGTCAAATAATGGTATAAATAGACTATCCCTGACTTACCCGGTGCACACCCGTACTCTACAGTCTCGTCTTCGAAATAAGTTTCTTCACAAACGCACGTGTTGTTACTGCTGCAGGCTAAAAAATACCAAAGGTATACCTAAATGCAAGCCAACAGTACGAGGTCGCATATTCTCATTTTTGTGTCACCCCACCATGAGTGGTGACATATTGTGATAGTCTCCAACTTTTTTGTGAACGGTGTTCGGCGTTCGTGTCCCAACGTCTGTAACAAAAATGAATCTTACAACTTCCAATAACTTGTGGTGACATGCCTTGCTTCCCTCTGTATTGTTATTTATACACGCACAAATGTGTTAAATGCGTTTATTTTTAAAATTTTATTGATTCTTAATTACTTCAAGTACCAACGTATTTAAAATATAAACTAAGGCAGAAACTTGTACTAACTTAAATAATCTCCACAGTCATCGTTACTTGTACATGCCTCTGATATCTTGGCCTTTAAACATCTTGTGACGCCTTCCTTGTCCCTCTTAGAACTATATGGAGAAACGCACTGACAAACGCCACTGGGGCCACATTGGAGGCCTCGCCTTGTGTCACAGTCTGAGGTTGTTATTCCTGTTGTAGCTTCAGTAATTTGTCGACAGGGGGCGCCATTTATGATGACTAAAAATTGACACTTTACAAATGTACGTACGAAGTGGTTTACTTGGGTTACAATGGTGTCAGAAATGGCTCAAAATTCAAAGTTAGTTTCACATTTGATATATACAGTATTTGAAATATATTTAAAACATCAAATATTGACATTTGCCTAATCGGCTCTTAGGCCCAATACAAGTAGAATTTCAGATTAAACGTCTCAATTCGATCAATTGCGGAAGAACTCTTAATTTTCAAAAAATTCCTGCCATTTCAACAAAAGACATCTTAACACTAAAATCTTCAATATGACGCAGATGACAAAAACATATATTTGGGAATAGATACTTTTTTAAAAAAGATCACCGTTACATTTTCCAAGCAAGTTTGCCAACGATAGTCATTTCACTTTCATAGGGTAACAATTTTACATACTTGGTACACATACACCATTGAAGAGTGTTCTTCCGTATTCACATAGACAAATCTTTGTGTTGTCTGGGCAACTATTGTGCGCTTTCATACATTTTGCTCCAGGTCCGCAGTTGGCATCACTTGAACAATAGGGAAACTTAGTAGTAACTATAAATAAAATATTTTGATAAGTACGAATCCAGGGAAACTTATTTGTAGCTGAAAATACACAATTTTATGAGAAACGTGTGACAAATAATCACGTAACGAATATATGTAAATGTGGTATGAAAGAAATATATGCAATCATTTGCAATCAATTGTAGGGCCTCAAAAATGGGCCATTTGGGCATAACTTGGCCTTTTTGGTACCTTTTAGGCCAAATTATCCAAAAATAAGCCTTGCGTTTTCAAAATATGGGCCCAATTTTGAGTTTTAAGGGCCCAAAAATGTTTTCATCGCAAGCGCAGGACTTTTTTACTGACTTCAAGTGTGACCCCCCCCCCCCCCCCCTTGTTAGCTCATAGATCGGCCAGTGCAGGGGACATTAAATAAGCAGAACTGTAATAGTACTTACTATCAAACTGCAGAAAAGGATTTGACACGCCGTCAGTTGATCCCGTTGCCGTACTGGTACCTGTTGTGGCAGTGCCTATTTTCGTGGTCGTTGTGGTCGTAACTGTTGTAGTACTAGTATCAGCAGATGTTGTAGTACCAAAAGTAGTACTATCGCCAGCTGTTGTAAGATCAGCGCTAGTCGTATCAGCAACTATAGTTATACCAGCAGTGGTGGTATCAGCAACTGTTGTAATATCAGCGCTAGATGTATCAGCAACTGTCGTAAGACCAGCGCTAGTCGCATCAGCAACTGTAGTTATACCAGCGCTTATCGTATCAGCAACTGTTGTTATACATGTACCAGCAGTAGTCGTATCAGCAACTGTTGTAATATCAGCGCTAGTCGTATCAGCAACTGTAGTTATACCAGCAGTGGTGGTATCAGCAACTGTTGTAATATCAGCGCTAGTCGTATCAGCAACTGTTGTAATATCAGCGCTAGTCGTATCAGCAACTGTTGTAAGACCAGCGCTAGTCGCATCAGCAACTGTTGTTATACCAGCGCTAGTTGTATCAGCAACTGTTGTAATACCAGCAGTAGTCGTATCAGCAACTGTAGTTATACTAGCGCTTGTCGTATCAGCAACTGTTGTAAGACCAGCGGTGGTCGTATCAGCAACTGTAGTTATACCAGCGGTGGTGGTATCAGCAACTGTTGTAAGACCAGCGCTAGATGTATCAGCAACTGTTGTAAGACCAGCAGTAGTCGTATCAGCAACTGTTGTAAGACCAGCAGTAGTCGTATCAGCAACTGTTGTAAGACCAGCGGTGGTCGTATCAGCAACTGTCGTAAGACCAGCGGTGGTCGTATCAGCAACTGTTGTAGGATCAGCACTTGTCGTATCTGTAACTGTTGTAAGACCAGCAGTAGTCGTATCAGCAACTGTTGTAAGACCAGCAGTAGTCGCATCAGCAACTGTTGTTATACCAGCAGTAGTCGCATCAGCAACTGTTGTAAGACCAGCAGTAGTCGCATCAGCAACTGTTGTTATACCAGCAGTAGTCGCATCAGCAACTGTTGTAAGACCAGCAGTAGTCGCATCAGCAAGTGTTGTTATACCAGCAGTAGTCGTATCAGCAACTGTTGTAAGACCAGCAGTAGTCGCATCATCAACTGTTATATCATCAGTGGTAGAAGTATCATCAACTGTTATATCATCAGTGGTACTAGTATCATCAACTGTTATATCATCAGAGAAGGTAGTATCTGTGACTGTTGTAGTGTCCGAAGTAATAGTATCAGCAACTGTCGTTGTATTGGTAGTTGTAATACTATCAATCACTGTTGTACCTGAATCCGCAGTTGATTGGGATTTTGTTGTGGCAAGTACAGCGAGAATCGTCAGCATACGCATTAAGCTCTTCATCTGTAACATAAAATGCCGCCCTAGACTTCGTGAAAGCTTATTTGCAACTCTTGAGCGATAGATTATAGTTAGATATTTTGTTTATTGAATGTTTGTTGCTCCGATTGATTTTCGGGAATAAAAGAAACAACCAATTCAATATGGTAAAACAAAACAAATAAACAAACAAACAAACATACTCAATAACTACTTTAAATGGAACAATTTGTATGAAAAAAAAACAAAGAAAAAGACGGAATTCAGAAATTCCACAAAAAATGTTTGTGGAGACACTGGATTTGTATAATTAAGGAATATTTAAGCTCAATTTAAAATTACAATTATGTTTAAATCTAAACACAGATATTTTAGTTCTTACTTTAAGTTGCGTATTTCATTATCCGTCGTGCCAGCCAGTTGAATTGTTTGAAATATTCTACTTAAAAAAGACAGCCATTTTGTTTTATGACATATATGTTGAGTAAGTAACTAGCCAAAACGATGCATTTATTTAAGGGCAATCAAATATTGAAAAATACAACTTCTCAAAGAAAGTCATCCAATGTCAGACAATTCCATTGTCGTGGTCCTCAGGTGGTTCAAATAGCTATTCAAATTATGGCAATGGACAGAACAATGTCGATTGTTTATATTATCGCGTAGTCAAAACGTCAAAAAACATTGCGATGACAAATTGAAAAGAATATTTATTTAACGTATTACATGGAGGGTCTGAACTTCACCTGTGAAATGACTTCTTTGACAACAATATTTTACATGAATAATCCGCTTCGAGATCAAGATATCTGGATATTCTTTGTAAAAATACTAAGAAAACACCACAATTTATTTTTTATTCAGATTTGTTGTTAGGCTGTACTAAAGAAAATAATCTACTCCATACAATGTGTATATCTTTTAGGGGTAATCTTCAATTCTGTTTTGAAATTCAATAACGCTATGAGTTAAAGCTATAACAAACGAGGCTAACATCATAATTTATAAAATCTACGTTTTCCTTTTGAACTTCTAAAGTTCCATAAAAGTTCGACATCCTTGATAAAAAGCATGCTTAACGTAGCCTAAGTATGGGAGATAAAATTCCACCTGATTTTACTCTATGACAAAATGTATCATTTGTGCATTAAATAAATATTTATTTCTGTTATATTATTCGAAGTTTTGTTCCAGCTACAGGGTGACGCATAATTATGCAGCCAATAAATAAAATGTCTTTGATTTATAAGTGAACCTCAGGCTATGTCTCCAAGGCTCTGGTTTCAAATATAGATACAGAAATGGCAAAGAAACTAGCATTCTTGAATAACTAGATTTTAAAGACGTTGATACTGTCCAAAACAACAACACCGTTTTCCGCATCTATACAACTAAAACAGATACATTCACTAATGACAAAGTAATTCTCAAAGGGTTATATTTAGGGCCACCCTACATCTACGTATCAGTCAAAACGTACCATCGGGCCATAAAATGATTAACAAATCAATGAAATCTATTACAAATTACAATGCTTTCAGAATAGTATTTGCAGATTCGACCTTAGAGTATAATCATGTGCTAATCATTTAAATACATTATGGGAATTGTTTTTGCAATTGCATTTATAAAATTTGCAAAAATTGGAAATGAACATGATGTGAAGGATGATTGAAGCCCCTAGAATTGATAAAAATGGGTTGAGATCTCCATTTACTTCTATATTTGACGAGAAATCTCAATTATATTTTCAGAATGAAATTAACATTGCAGGGCAACACTGGCATGTTTTTTAATCATTATTTACAACATTAAACACACTCTCTATGCCTTCAAATGATATTAACATTGGTTTGTCAATGCAACCTGCTTCTGAATCTGAATTTTTATAGAAGGCGCACATTTTATGTCAGAAGTCAAAAATAGTGGAGTTGTAGTTCTCTCCTGAGTCTGACGTTATAAAATCAACCTGCAATTTCATCTACTTTTTATCACCAATTCAAATTATCATCGATCAATATGAGTGTTACATCATTGTCATCTCAACCAGTTTAAGTATCAGCTTCTTGCGGTTGCCTCGGCTTTTGGTAAGATTACCATGGCAACCATTATTGCAGCCATGGCAACAACTGTTGTGCTGACACGGATGGAGCCAGCTCCAGCTTCATTCGGTGGATCTTCATCTGCAATAGTCAGCATGTAATATTGTCAATCGAACGAGTTCTTATTTCGTATTTCAAAAATGTTATTTAGTCTTGAATTAGTTTAGCTTTACTTTTAACGTATATACAAACACATCGTGTAAGATTTGAACATTTGCATTGAATGTCACTCAAAATTGAGACTTCTGATTGAGTTTGGAGGCGAAGGCTAACGAGTTGCCCGGATATAACCGAGCAAAATTCGGAATTCACATTCTTTTTCTCGTTTATAGTATATCGTTTACCAGAAAAAGAATACTCACTCTTAACGCACGTCCCGACGGCAATCCGAGACCCTGGTTGGGGTGGACACAATATACACACTTCGTCAGCTTCCTCGCAGCTTTTTGTATCAACCCCAGTGGTTAAAAAGTCAACCGTACAGCCACTGCCCACATTTGCTGGAATATTGAATTAAATGTTCATAACATATTTTTCTCTTGTTTTTCATGATGAAAAATTGAGGCATAAACACACGGATTTTTATGACTCTATCGAAAATAGGGACGTTTTTCATACCTACAAGCTCAGAAGAAAAAGACAACTCCAAAGGTTTTGCAAATGCCCGAGTACTTACGAATCGATGTACAAGCTCTTACAGTCCGGTTCATCGAATCGTATCTATGTCTGGAAACTGTCAGAGTTTGATCATATTGTCCTGTGTCGCATTTACATTTCGAATCTGATGAAGAACCATCACATATGTAACCATTAGCTGCGTCACAAGCTTTGTATTCGTTAGATGCTCCACATTTGTCGTCAATGCGGCCTGAAAATAAAGCCTTAGTCTTGTTGGCTATCAATTTCAATATTTTCTTCGACATCTGTTGTAATGATTTCAGTATGAATGAAATATCCCTTGGTTTTCTGGTCTTGGATTGTGATATTGGTTCTTGAATGGTGGGGAAGGGGTTGTTAAATATTGTTTCTTTTCACGTTAGATCGTGGTTTGGGGATATATGAGGTTTGTTTTCCTTTGACTGGTACGGTATATACTTAGCGTTTCCTTTACAACATTTGGCCCTTTTCATTTGACACTTGTGCTTAGATATTCAATCCCTTGGTAGGCCCCATTCCGCGCACACACCGCGGTACCTCATCTCAAGTGACTGGGGAGGGAATGGGATTTCAGGTACTTAATGTAAGATGAATAACATGCTGGTTAACCATTTGTCCTGTCCATGTGGTGAAATAAAGACGCATAAATAAAGAAATAATGCACACAAATACTGTCCATTTGGTGAAATAAAGACACATAAATAAAGAAATAAGACACATACAGACCTCTTCGGGCCTCTTAATCTAATTTGTAAAACCAGATACCTTGGAAATCCAAAATAATGACCAAAATGATAAAAGGGTACCCTCTAAAACCATCTATAGGTATATAGTCCTTCCTTACCTGGTACACACCCGTACTCTACTTTCTCGTCTTCAAAATAACTATCTGGGCAAATGCATTTGTTGTCACTGCACGCTAAAAGAAGAATAAACATATATCTTTACATGTTAAATGCAGGCCATGGCCAGCTTTTACCAATGGGGCGGTTCACTGGCGGATCCAGATGCTAACAAGGGTGGTGGTTCACATTTCTAGCCAGGAAAAAAATGTAAGGCCCATTTTTGATAGTTTGGCCTAAAAAAGGCCCAAAAAGGGTCAAAAAGGGTCATTTTTGAGGCCGTATACATTTTAGGGTCCTAAAATGTTCATCTGGGCCCATTCAAGGGAGAAGGGGGTGATCCGCCAGCGGGGTTCAAATGTTTAGATCCAAAGGGGGTTCAAATTTGATGATTTCATGATTACTTGAAGTGCTCAAAATGGTGAAATACTGCATGATATTGACGTATACGTATCTGAAACACATTTATAATATATTATTTTTATCAAAACGTAAAATAGGTACCTAAATAATCTCCACAGTCATCGTTACTCGAACATGCTTCTGATATCTTTGCCTTTAAACATCTTGTGACGCCTTCCTTGTCCCTCTTAGAGCTATATGGAGAAACGCACTGACAAACGCCACTGGGGCCACATTGGAGGCCTCGCCTTGTGTCACAGTCTGAGGTTGTTACTCCTGTTGTAGCGTTTGTTTTTTGTTTACAGGGGGCACCGTTTATAACGGCTAAATAATAAAAGTTCACATCGAGGTAGACATTCATTTTACAACAGATTTCCCTAATCAATTAAAAAATAATATCTATACAAATCGTAGCCGACTCCATTACATATATATAATACGTTATTGTCTAGCAATTTGCATCAGCAATGACCGAAAGTCAGAATAATATACATTTTTCTAAACCGATACGATTTTTTATATACTTTCGCCAGAACATTCTTTTCGACTGTGCGTATACGTACCTGGTACACATCTACCGTTGAAGAGTGTTCTTCCGTATTCACATAGACATATCTTTGTGTTGTCTGGGCAACTGTCATGCGCTTTCATACACTTTGCTCCTGGTCCGCAATTGGCATCACGTGTGCAGTAGGGAAACTTAGTAGTAACTGCAAATAAAATATTTTAAAAGTTACGTATCCAGATCAACTCTTTATGATAATTGTTTATAACACTTTAAGTTTCATGTGATATTAGGGAGTTTAAGCTTGCTATGTTTTTCACAACAACGTGTTGGAGGTGCCCATTTACATTTTGTCCTCGAAAGTTTGTTTTCTTTTTACATGTTTTCTAAAAGTACCTAAATTTCACAAAGATTATTAGAAGTCTATTAGAAAATTAGATGATTGATATTGACTGAACCTTGAACACCCAAAGTGTGAATAAATATGTTTTCTATAATCCCTTCTTGCCTCATGAGATGTCCTTTCTTCAAATGCTTCTTAAGTTCGATCTCTAAACAATGATCAGAACAAAACCAAAAGTCAAGTATTGCGTCTGAATCATAGAATCTCGATCTTCTTCACTTAATTCAAAAACTCATTGGCTACGTTTATCATACGACAGAATGGACGGCAGATGGGATATTGTGATAATTAGTTGCGATTATTGTACTTACTGTCAAAACCTGAAAATGGATTTAAATAGACAATATTTTCCGTTGTCATAACAGTCACTGACTCAGTTGTGGTGTCGGTAACTAATTCTGTTGTGGTGTCGGTAACTGATTCGGTCGTTGCGTTGGTAACTAATTCTGTTGTGGCGTTGGTAACTAATTCTGTTGTGGCATCAGTAACTGATTCAGTTGTGATGTCATCATCCGATTCAGTTGTGATGTCATCATCTGATTCAGTTGTGATGTCATCATCTGATTCAGTTGTGGTATCTGATGCTGCTGTTGCCACGACAACAACGAAAAGTATCAGAACTGGTATCAAATACTTCATCTGCAATAAATGAGTATAGAGTTGATGAAACTTTCATCAGGAGCACCATCTTTGATACCTTGCAAAATTTCAGACAAAATCCTCAGCTCCTTGTTTCATTTCAATATATATATAAAAATCTATGTCTGTGTCATTATGGACGATCTAATTCATTTCTAGGAAATTTTAGCTGTTAAATTCAGATACTCCAGGTGCAGCTATATAAGTGACAACCAATGCCAAAGTCATGGACTGTAAAACCCTTAAAATCCCAAGAATCAAAAAAGAAAAAGAGAGGCGGAATACAAAATCCGAAATGTATTTTTCATAATTCTTTTGACGCTTTAGATTGATTTTACAAGTATGATCTGATGGATATATCGAAATATAAATTAATAATGACGTTTTGAAAGAAGACCGAAGACCGAAATACATTGGATCGTTTACATATTGTCTAATAGAACTGTAATTTACAATAATTGGTTTGTTTTGACTCCATCAGAGTAAAGTTTTTCCAGTTTGAATTTATATGGCAAAATTACAAAATGTTTTTTAATTCAGAAAATAGATTAAGTTTGATTACCTTTTAAAGTGCATATTTTCTCCAGTTGCCCTAAATCATTTTCCAACGCCCTGCGACTAGTTACTTGTTCGAAAGATTAAATTACGAGGAACCAAAAATGATACACGTAATGTTTGAAATGATAAGCAAATACAAAAAGCAACTTACAATATACAAATCCTACCAGTGTAAATGTATCATTTATTCTAGTTCAACAAGTTCAATTTTTTAAAGATCCTTTTCAAATCTATCAAATGGGCAGTACAATGTCAGTGTTTGCAATTCTTTGGTTGTCAACATAACAGCACGGAGATATTACCAAAATCGATAAAATACATTGTCAGAAAGAAAAAGGCAAGAGTGTGAATGTTCGAACCAATTCTTTGAATAAAATGTGTCAATGTGTGTACTATATGACCCCAATTGATTTTTAAAAAAGCTTGGGATATTTGATCAAACATGAAGGTGTTAAAATTGAAAAAGAGGGCGTTCCTTTTCAAATTAATGTCGAATAACTTCGAAGAAACATTTTTAAAAATAAAATCAGACCCCGTTAATCTTTTTTAGAAAAAGAGCATGACGGGGACTACACGCGCAGATCTAGAAAATGTTGCAAAATTGTGACAATTGTTATGAATCGGAGATTTTGGATATAAGGTTTATCTCGAGCAAATTTTTTTCAAATAGCTAAAATTTACGTTTAAAGTTTTAAAATTCGTATCAAAGAATTCAATTTTTGTTTCAGATACATCATAACAACGGTATATATAATTAATATCTCGGAGAAGAGGGTATATATATCCCGAGGTATATCTCCCGCTGTGTATATCCTGCTCCAATACTCCCGGGAATATTTGGGGTTTATACATCTGGAAAATGGCATCTTGCATTTCCCTCAGGATATACCTCATATCCAAAACATCCCGCAACATAACCCTCATATATTCCGGACCTCGGTGATAGCGCGATAGGCACGGATATCCTGATCTTCAGATATATCATACTCATATATCCCCTCACTTTATGCCCCCAGAACCTATGAAATTCATGAATACAATTTTCCTGGGATAAACTCTATATCCCAAAACATCAGAGTGTATCTCTCTTGTGTTTTTGATCAAAGAAAAAATATCAAAGGACCGCGAGTTGTTTGTAGAATGAATCGGGGGAGTTATTTCATGCATTTCGCTTGTGTTTTCATCTTAAAAAATCAACACACTTCAAAACAATTTATTGACTATAAGATTGCACCATATAATCCCAAAAAATATTTCTCATTTTCAAGGATTATCTATAGATTAACACCCAGGTATTTTTATTTTCCAAACTTCAGAGGACTGGGAATCATTGATTACGAATGCTTTTGAAGAATAAAATTCCTTTTTTAATTACTGTAGATTTCATGTATGCCAATAATTTATAACTTATGTGTAGTTGAATTTAGAATTGTGCAGTAAGCATTGTCCATACCCAAAGCCTTGCGTAACATTACGCGTCATAATTTAAGATTTTCAATTTTCTAACGGATACCAGGAACTTGATAAAAAAGTGTCATGTGCTATATTAAAAGATGGCAGCACTCTCTAACGTACCTATAATTCTAGATACCATTCCGACCCATGATAGCCGCAGTACTTAAAACAGACCCCGAGAACACCCCCTCCCCTGTAAAGAGATAGGACACAAAATCTGAGATCATGAAAAAAACTTTCTATGATTTTCTAAAAATACATTCCAATTTTACTAATTTTCTCTTTCTGAGTTTTCAGGGTTATTTTGATATTTCAGAAACAAGAAACCATAAGAAATATGTGTTTTATTTGTCGCATGGCTATATTTTATATTTTAAGCGCACAAGTATGCCACGCCTTTCGATTAAAAAATGACGCATCGCCATCTTACCATTTTTGCAAACTGTCCCTTCATTTCGACGCGATATTGTTTTTTTGTCCTATTTCTTGACATGGAGTGAGGGAACAGACACAAATCAATGTAATTCTATTTATTTTCTAATCGATTTTTTCTAGTAAACTATAAACAATGGACTGAACACAGTGTAATAATTTTGTATTTCCTTAACGCGAGTTTATCTTCAGTGCCCTTCCCATCTGTGGGTTATCTATTTTTTAATTGTAAGAGGGTTGTCCGAGAAGTAATGCACTATTTGCTCCTAGCCACTACGTGTTTCTCATTGCCATTCTGTTTCGTGCAGAGACCTCTTCATCACTACATGAATATAATAACTAAATATAGCCACCTACATTTCTACTGCACAAAAGAAACCAAAATGTGTTCGCCAGATTCATGATCTTGTAGGCAGCAATTTTTCCAATCAAAATAAAAAAATTTCTTTTAAAACTAAACCTATTTTTCAATTTAAACATCGCTAGCTAAAACCGAATATATATTTTTGTTTTTCCTGTCTGGCAGAAGAGGTCAGGATTTAATGGAAACGTTTATTACACTCCCCTCCATAAGTTTGGCAACTTTTTTTCCCCATTGAACTACGTGTTAAAGCCTCTTTACGTTTGAATTTTTATTTACTTAACCGGCGATGAAATAACTTATAATATTGATGGAAACATAATTTGACTTTATTTCCAATACCTCCAAATTTTCTCAATTTTTTCCTGAATTACAATAGGTCGAAAATTGATGATAAATTTGATGAATTTTTGAAATTCGTCATTCCCATGTAATCCAATGGGAAATGGAGGGTTCGGGGCAAATCAGCAATCAGGATATCTTTTCAGTAAAAGATTCAGCAAAAAATATTTTTATATAGAAAATTGAATTGTCTAACTTTTTTCAACACTAAGTGTTTAGTTTATTTGATGAATATTAAAGTTACAGCGCTTCAAAGTCATTTTTGAAAATAATTTTTCGCCTCCTGTGTTATTTCAATGGGAGAGGTTTTTTGAAAAACAATTTTGACTTTAGAGCCCTATAACTTTGTTGAACCTGAAGAAACATATCAATTTCTTGTTAAATAAAGTTAGCAAATTCAATTGCCTGCCTAACTCGTATTTTTTGCAAGGACTCGGATGGATGGATATTCTGTCATATGACTTGCGGCAAACCTACCATTTCCCATTGGTTAACATGGGAATGTCGATTTTCAAAACTTCATCAAATTTATCATCAATTTTCGACCTATTGTAATTGAAGAAAAAAATTGAGAAAATTTGGAGGTATTGGAATTAAAGTCAAATTACGTTTCCATCAATAGTATAAGTATTTTCATCGCAGGTTAAGTAAATAAAAATTCAAAGGTAAAGAGGCTTTAACACGTAGTTCAATGGGGGAAAAAGGTTGCCAAACTTATGGAGGGGAGTGTAAGTGAAATAAAACTACATGTACTTAGACAGTCAAGTTTCGGATTTCCTATTAAACTCTTGTGATGATGTATCATATGAAATCCCCATTTCGATCAAATGGGGTCGTGAATAGCCACGATATTATGGCTGGCCAAGTGGTACAAAGTTACGTCGTTATGTTTACGACCGTAGGGTCGTAAATGTACGACCGCAAGAACGTAAATATACGACCATAAGGTCGTTAATTTACGTCCTTAAGGTCGTTATTATCGGTTCCAAGAACGTAAATTGACGACCTCATAGTCGTAATGTTTACGACCGTAAGGTCGTAAATAAACGACCGCAAGAACGTAAATGTACGACCATAAGGTCGTTAATTTACGTCGGTAAGATCGTTATTATCGGTTCCAAGAACGTAAATTAACGATTTCTTAGTCGTAATGTTAACGACCGTACGGTCGTAAATGTACGACCTCAAGGACGTCAAGATTGTGAAAACTCACTGACGTAAATTTGCTACCTTACAACCGTGTTATACGACCTTACTGACGTTAATTTACGACCTTACGACCGTGTTATTACGACCTTACTGACGTAAATTTACGACCCGACGACCGTATTTTACGACCCTACTGACGTAAATTTACGACCTTACAACCCTCTTATTACGACCTTACTGACGTAAATTTACGACCTTACGACCGTGTTATACGACCTTACCGACGTAAATTTACGACCTTACGACCGTGTTATACGACCTTACTGACGTAAATTTACGACCTTACGACCGTGTTGAACGACCATATGGTCGTAAACATAACGACGTGACATTGTACCATTTGGCCAGCCATAGAGAGGAGGATTGAGTTCGATGAGAGTATGCAAATCTCCTTTATCAACGTTCCCTTCTCGGAATTTACTTAATATTAAACATTAAGGAAGAGTTAAAACAATGGTTAGGCATTATAAAAATATTTATTTCTGGTATAAGTTTCATTCGAACAAGCTATCATAACGACATCTGTGTAACCGTGGATCAGAGGAACGTACAAATTGCGAATCACAAACCATACCATGAAATAGTGTTCTCGCAGATCCAACCTTACATTATAACCAAGGATGTTTTACAAATTACCATTATGATCCTAAGAAAAAAAGTACAGGGTGTCCTTAACATATCTTTACAATTAAAATACAAAGTGTTCGTAAAGTGTAAAGAGACTTTATGGACACCGTGTATATTCTCAGAAAACGCAAAGCAGTTGGTCCCGATTCGTGTGGACCAAACTGTTTGCTCTAAATCGGATAGCTCAACCTAATTGGTTGTAATGCAAAGTATATCTACTGAATCTCCTATTAGTTTAACAGAATGGACTCAGCTCAGTGTAAGGACTATGCATGTTACCGTTCCACCTTTATAAGTGAGAGTTTAATGTCTTTCATCCTCCGACCACAGGGCTTCAAAATCTAGAATATATTCTTTCTTTCATGGAAGAAGGAGGTACGGATTCTGGATACCTGCTTAGGAGGATGGATGTCTTTGGAAGCCCAAATGATCGTGCAAAATTAGGAGCCAGATTCCTCAATCAAAAAGGTGACAATTGGTGACATGCAAATGTCCTTGCTCTACTCTGCTCACATGGCTTGAAGATTGTCTTTCCAGCTCGTAGTCATAGAAACGGCAGCCATTTTTCTTTTAATTTTTGAGTGTAAACGGGATTGGGCATTTTACCCACCAGATAAGTGGATGGAAAATCCCATCTACACAGTTCTACATTGTTTTTTAAATATTTTTTAATTGAAGTGTAAACGGGATTGTCTTTATGTTTACCCTTTGTATGGGAAATATTTAAATCAATAGGCCTGAATTAAAATGGTGAACTGTTGACACCATTGCTTTGAAGTTAATGAATTTCATGAGATGTGCCAAGTTTCCTAGGCGAAGGAATTATAACCATTAGATCAGTGAAAAGAAAATCCCATTTACACAGTTTTACAATATTGGTGCATCTTAGCCTAACAATTCTAGTTAAATATAAACAAAAATACAAACGTGTAAGTTTAAATGTATATAATAATCGTTTTAGAAGGGATCGGTGTAATACTGAATTCATTTTTGTATCATTCGCAGTTTTCGATTTTTTTTTAGTTTTCCGTTTTTTTAATGTGTACAGGTTAATACGCAGCCACAAGAAAATTTGTCCTATTTGTGAAGGGACGAGTCATGTTATTTGATTCGTTTCTCGAGGATGTGTGTTAGACGGTACAAAAAGCTTTGGCACACAGTTTGTCATGCAAAAAGATATCACAGTGATGCTTCATTGATTATGGGTACAGTTACTTTTAATTGCGCATGCGCACATTTCTTGTAATTGCACATGCGCATATTTCATGTTCAAAATAGAATGGCGCTAGGGGCGTAGCCAGGATCTAGAAATAAGCGAGGCAGAGCAGGTTTATTATATTTTAACTTGAGTTTCACATTTTTAGATTAATATCTATTTTAAAAAATATTTCAGTTAAATGCTCGTGGCGCGAGGCCTGTTTCATACATGCCTGGCTACGTCCATGGTTGCTTAATAAAATAGCACGTAATGTCCTTTATTTTTGTAGTATTTACTGGCTCTGTCTTCATAAAAGTCTGCTCTTGTTATATCTTTTCAGTTGCGCGTTTTAGATGAATAGCTTCGTTGGGAGATCGTTGTGGTTGTCCTAGACTTTTGTCACGATTGCCAAGGCAGCCAGTGTGGTAGCTATGGCAACTGTTGCTACGTTAATACGGATGGAACCAGCTCCACTTTCACCACCACCACCATTATCATCTAAAAAGTAAACATTATAATAAAATTTCATACATTTGAAGTTTATATATTATTCCCTCTTGTAGGTGTGGCTAGGACCCAACTCTACATGCCCTATATTGATGAAAAATTGTTAAAACTATATATTATATAAATCTTGCAAATTCACTGTCGCTACTTTGCCAAATTCGCACAACAATTAAGGGGGGGGGGCTAAAACATCAAAATTCACAAAGTGTTCACCGATGACCCCGATATTTACAAAGTGTAACACACCAATGACACCATTGTCCTATGTTCAGAATGTAAAACAAGAGTAGCACGAAAAGGGACATATATTCTATTGAATTCTGGACGTGTTTTATACTAAAATCATACCTGAAACACAAGTTCCTTCAGCAACACGGGAACCCGAAGCGGGTGGACATAAATTGCACGTTTCGGTAGAGCTGCAACCTCGACTACCAGTGCCATCGTTCGATGAGTAGTCTACTCTGCAAGACCCGCTGACAGCCTCTGCAATATTAATATACACAATGTATAACTGTATTGGATATGATTTATATGATAGGTAAGCACAAAATGCATCTTTATTTATCATTATTAAACTCAAAATGGATAGCTTGCTTTAAAATATATTTTTCTAACTCATGAGAGCACTTATTGTCAGCCTAGGATCGATTTCAAATTAAGGTAATAATAGTTACGAATTATTACGAAATTTCTTACGAATTATGAAATGGGTGCGAAATATTTCAAATTTTCACATTGATGTTTATAAGTAATGGTAGAATATACAACTCAGAAAAATACTGTGAAAGTGCGCAACTTCACTAAACCATGTTAATGTCAGTCCACTTACCAGTTCCTACACAAGCTCTAGCTTTTCCAGTGAATCCGTGCCCGAGCGCCACCGTTAAAGTTTGATCAAATTTTCCTGACTGGCACGTGCATTTTGACTCGGATGTCGAGCCGTCACATGTATAGCCAAGACCTGCGTTACATGTTTTGTTTGCGTTTGAGCCAGCACATTTATCGTCTACGTGGCCTGAAAAAGATAGGATAATCTCTTTAAAACTAAAAAAAAACATTTTTAAAATTGTGAAATGTTAATAGGAAAAATGGAAAAATTTGTGGGTTCGCAATTCTATGATAGATTATACAGATTGTGATTGTAAATGTATTTTAGATATGATTTAGTAAATAAATGAAAAAATCAACTTTTTAATACGTTTTAGTTTATGTTCGTTTATTTTTGTGATATTTTCAATCCATACAAATATCTATTTCTACCGCCAGAACAATATTATTTCAACATATTCATGTAGCACTTTGGCCGGAAAAATACATCTGGTACTAATATATAAACGTTTAAAGGCCCCATCTAAAGTTTAAACCTCTTTGGCTTATATTGTAGTCTTACCCAATGTTATCAAAGTGTGATATGTGAAACTTTTTTTTTTAATTTCAAAAAGTGGTTTTTGATAGACTTTTTGTTCCAAAATTTGTGAATTTATTTAAAACCAACTTTTAGAGGTCACTCATATCTTCTAATTAGCCACAATTCATACCAATGCATAGCATTCATCCTCCCATGTTTTTTGCCGAAAAAATTAAGAAAATCGGTTCATAAATAAGCGAGAAATGAACTTATCAGTGCATGAAAATGGTTCTGAGAAAAATGCATTTCAAAATTTTAGTTCTCATAGAAACCAATGGTACAATGATATCTAAAACATAATTTATTTTTCCTTTTAACCTGGTAAGACAATCAACATTGGTTTTTTATGAAAGTCTAACATATTTAGAAAAGATTGACATCGAAAAAAAAATTTCAATTTTTTTCAAAAAGTTTTTGGTACCTTAGTGACATCACTAATGTTTCAAAATATTTTTTGATATGTTAAAACATTGAAGTGGCCCATTAAATTTGGCATTTTATTATTGAAATAGTGTGTCCTTTGTTCAACCTTTGCATTGGTGTTAAAAAGATAATCTTTTTTGAAATGCATTAAGAAATATTTGATGATTAAGAAATTTCAACTTTTTTGAAAAATGGCGGGAAATTTGAATATTTGAGAAATGAAATGCTCACAACTCTTTTTTCAAAATTTTTTTTTTGTTCAAAAATCTCTAAAATCACTTTTTAAGTCCTGACAAATAGTAAATGAATGATAAAAAAATATTTTCAAACTTTAGACGGGGACTTTTTAAATATTCAATTAATCTGTACCTGCTACACAGCCATATTCATCAGTGGAGTCTTCGAAATAAGCAGCAGGACAGACGCAAACATCAGATTCGCACTCTATAAAAGAAACATACATTTATAATTCATCCATGAACCATTTTAGGCAAGGTGTTTTGAAAATTCAAAAATCTTGATGCTTAGTTATAAATCATTAGTTATTATAAACAGTGTTTTTGTCATTTCCATGAATTTGATTGGTTCAAAGGTACCATCTGCATGACTCCAATGAATTTGATTGGTTCAAATGTACCACCCACGTGATACAAGCATCTTCGTTTACGGTGCATCAGTGCTCTCCAATTTCGGTTCTTTATGAAAAAACAATATTAATGCTGAGAGATTTACTTACCCAAAAATCCACCGCAATCAGAGTTGGTTGTACAGGCTTCAGTCTTCTTTGCCTTTAAACATCTGCTGACTCCTTTTATGTCTGCCTTAAATGTTTTAGTACTATCGGAGCATTCGCATTGGCTATCGCTGCCGCATGATAATCCTTTCGCAGAATCACAGTCAGTCATATTCCAATTACTTGTGCCCTGGCAAGCTCCACCATTTGTGACGACTATAATGGTAATGTTATGGTTGTTTATGGGTTTGGTACTATATATAATATTTATTCCATGATCATACCAACAGTAAGTGAAATAATAGGATTGAAATTATTGATATTATTTTTCAAAAATCATTGATAAAATAATATAACTCAAATTCACATACATGTAACATCCTATACATAGCCTAATTATACTCTATACATAGATGTTTCATAATAATAAAAAAAATCTTCAATTCCTCGATAGTTAGTCAATCCCGGAGTGTATGATTGCGTGGCATGTTGGACACATTTGAGAAACCTTTACATTAAGATTAGGTACATCTATCTGGGTTATTTTCCCTTTTATCTAAGTCCTACCTGTCACGCATGCGCCATTGTATAGTGTCTTTCCCTCTCCGCAACTACAAAACTTGGTGCTATCTGTGCATGTGTCGTGGGCTTTTACGCACGTTGCTCCAGTTCCAAGGGCTGTCTCGCATTCAGCATCCGTTGAACAGTAGGCCAGCATAGCAACAACTGCGAATAAAATATTTTAATGAGAAACGTAACATTTTGCTGTTGTTCTTGTTTAACTCATGTGACAACACAATGGACGTAATGGACGCCGTGCATGCTCCCCATAATCACTATTTAAGGTATGTCACAGGCTGGAAAATTCGCACGCCAAGTAATGTGAATATTAATTCATAAAAACAGCCATTTACTCCTAATGCAGAGGAAAATGGTCAATATATCAAAATTAATCGGTGATCTAAACCTAATTTAATGTACTTACTGTCAAAGCTCGTGAATGGATTGCTTGTCGCCGGTGCTTGTGTGTTTTGGCCCGGGTCTTCCGTGGTCTCCTGGGCGTAACATGTGTAAGTGAACACGGTAAAGATTGTAAGGATCGCTATAAAACACTTCATCTGAAATATATAATATAAATTGTAGTTTTATGAAAGACTCAAGGCATTATTCTGTGATAAAATGTTATGTAATCATGTTTTCATCATTTGAAGACCTCCCCCCTATCAGCTCAGTGAGGCTCGGTCTAACAAAGTTCTTAAATTTCGATCTTATGGCCTCCAATTTACTTCTGCAAGGGGATCGTCTCTATAGCTACATATATCAAAACTTGGTACAGAACTTACGAATTATATCTGAAAGAATGCGCCTTGTCATGAACGATTATACCGGGTATCCCAAAAAGTGTATCTTGGAACGCCCTGTACCTTACCATTTACTTGAGTATGTTGGCTGTATTTTCAAAATGATATTTTTTATTCTTTTATTTGATAAATTGTTTTATTAGCCCCAGTTTCCAGAAGCGTCATTTTTAAAGAATAAAAATGACATGATAATAAGCCATTAAAATTCCTATAAAACATCTTTATATTTATTAATTACAACTTATGCTTTGATTTCTATAATGACGCTTAAAGTGTAATTATGCTCAAGATTTTTATAATTATATTATAACTATTATACATTCATTATTTTGATATAATTTAGGTATTTTCGCACTTTTACTTGTGAATTAAGTTTATTACATTTGATCATCTCAGTATATTTTTGTTTGCCACGGTTGTTGCTAATTGCATATTCTAAAATACCCACTTTTTAAAAAGTAGTCTAAAATTAATTGATAATCTTAAATAAATTAACTGTACGAACTAGAAAACATTATCCGAAAGTATAAAAAGACTTACTTTGTTAGGTTGATGTTTTCTTATGCAATGGTAATGTAGTTAAAAAATAATTAATCCAACGTAGCGATCTGCTAACTTGCTCGAAATTTTGTTGTACCAACAGGTATGGTCGGCAATTGTGCTTTTATACCACAGCATTTGTTTACCAAGTAACCAATGCCAACAATGCAATACGCATGTATTTATACATAACTTTTTAAATATTAAAAACCATAATGTCGACAAATGCCAAGCAACCCATTCATTTGTTGTGATTCAAATTACAAATATTCCTTTCAATATCTTGCAGTGAATAGAACAAGGCATATTTACATTTCTCTGGTAGTCAAAACGCCAAAAAATATTAAGTACATAGAGACCAATAGCATCAGTCATATGTCTTTATTTAAAGCTTAAAAAGAATTCAAATGCACTTTTTACATTGTTTGCTGTAGCTAGGCGAGATCTTCATAATATTTGAAAATAGTGCTATTTCGTCAGAGACTTTTTGAGATGAATGTGTATTCACAGAGGTGAAAAACTCAGATTATTTCTTCATGGTCTGTACGTACTGTAGTGTTATGCTCGTTTTAAGGTTTGATGGAATATTAACAGAAACCATAGTATTTCTGTAATTATTGCCCCTTGAAGGTTTATCGCCGTTTTATCATTTTATTTCATTTTCAGGATCCCTTTTCCTGGTGTGAATACAATACCCTAACTGGAGACCTGTTTATTTGGTGTGAAAATAATGCCAAAATTATTGAGGAATTCTAATTTATCGGCATCATGACAAAGCATGACATCTCGTTTAAAGGGGCAATAAGGACTGTAGAGAAAATAGGAAAGTTTTTTACCTATTTTCTTAAAATGTATGGATAAATTATCAATTTTAGCATTAAGAAGTGTAAATTCAGTTCAAAGCTTCAAAAAGGGGACTTCCACTTTTATATTTTTAAGATCCGCCATGTTTCAAGAGGAATATCAGCTAATATAATGTTTATCTAGGGGGTTTCTTTGTAGATAATAAAAATAGATGTTAGTCTTGATGAAATATCCAAACTTAAATATATTTTGACACTGGTCCATGATCGTTGAATGACCCCTCTGCACTAATTATTGCACCTTTAAATTAAATTGATTTAATTCTTCTCAGTCCTGAGATAGTGAAACAGAATTGCGTTGATCAGAATGATTAATCGGTGGAGGTCGGATGATTTAAGGAACATACAATTTGAAATTTTTACAAGTGTTCTTCGGTTGCAATGCTAAAAAACTATCCAGGCTGAAATTCTTGAGAAAAAAGCAAGAATTTATTAAGGAAAACCAGATGGTATTTAGATCAATCATTCAATAGAATTTTTGGGGAAAGGAGGAGGGAAAGTAACACAACAGATTTTGGACAGTCATATGTTGGATTTTGGCTATTTTCTTAGGATTTAAACAGGTGCATATGTAAGTCAATGCATTATCTCCAGGAAAGGCACTCATAGAGATTATAAAATAATTTCGATTTTGAAACAGGGGGGATGCAACCAACCCACCCACATGTTTTCCTGATATTTTGTCCTGACAAACCCCTCTCATCCCTGCTTTTTCAATTTCTTTTGCATCGATATGTTGCGTTTTAAGACACAGTTAACCCATGTAAAGGAATGAGTAATTCCTCTTCGATAAAGTGGAAACAATATTTCCCATGTTATTTTCCCATAGGGAAAACTCATGCGATCCATTGCTTTCAGCTAAATTTGGTCACCAATAATGGATATCTTTAATACCCTGGAGGAATTACTTATTCCTTTAAAGGGTTTAATTGTGTGTCAAAACGCAACATATTGATGCAACAAAAATTGGAAAAGCAGGGGTGGAAGGGGTTGAAAATCAGGACAACATTTCAGAAAAAACATGTGGATGGGTTGGTTGCATCTTCCCTGTCTCAAAGTCAAAATTATTTTACCATCTCTATGAGTGCTTTTCCTGGAGATAATGCATTGGCCTAACATATGCACAGAAAATAGCCCAAATCCAACATATGGCTGTCCGAAATCCATTGCGATACTTTCCCTCCTCCTTTCCAGTTGCGATTCATGTTTCACGGAAACTGGCCAGATTTCATGGTTCGCGATCGGTTGTTTCCTAAGTGGTATCATAACTGAGCCAAGGGACGTACTTTTATGCAGATACATATTAAAAAACTTAACGATATGATGATTTATCAGATGCTCGTGAACGCTGTTGTTAGCAGTACCCGTGTACTTGATGGATTCACCTCACCTTGAAATGCTTGAAAGTGACATTTTTGCTTTAATGTTATTTGCATTTTCTTCTTGGGCCTGTTTATATTTGTTTGGTGCCTGACGACCAGGTTTTTATTTTTTATTTTATTCTATGTGGTACAATGGTATGGTACACAAACTTACATTGTTACAGTTACAGTGTACGCGAATAAATGTGTTGTATTGTTCTCAAAATGTCAATGCCCAGAAAGACGGCTAGGAGAATACTAAGCATATAATGTAATATAGGATATCTTATCTGACATTGAAATGGTATATAATATCTTTTTAACGATTTAATATCGAAAACATCATGAATTTTTTAAGTTGATTGCAAGTATAATGTGATGTACGTTTTAGCACGACATTGAACAAACAAAACCCAATCCCAACATACCACAACCATTTCTTGGCATTGTGTTCTGATAGGCGCCCTCTTAGGGATATCCCAATATATTTTGCATATCTGTCTTCAATACGCCTGGTGCCACCAATGCTTGTGCCCGTTCAGTGTAAAGATACACACAAAACAATGTAATATTGACAATCAAAATTCACATATAACACATGATTCTATTGCTAATCGAGATGACTTCTACAGATCTACTTTAAAATAAATTGAATAGGGTGAGGGTTAAAAACGACAAATTCGTCGGCTCACCATGTAATCAAATTACCCACCACGGGGACATTCCATGATAGTTTTGAATGGAAAACTTCATGCGGTCGGTCCATTGTATCAGGCTTATTTTGGTCACCAACATTTGATACCGTCAAAATTAGGCTTGCAACACAATTTACCTTTAAGGATCTAGCGATTCTTGGAGAGGTACATTAATCTATAGATAACAGAGAAGAGAATAAAAACAACTGCATCTTATCTAAAGATGATCATCTTTTTCGTTGGTTCATGATCACTTTTAGATATGACATATATATCGGGTGTCCCAAAAATGAATCGCTTTTTTGACAACTGTTTTCTCAGGAATTCATCCCTCAAAGTTCTATAAAGTAGCCTTAGGATATCATTAGCAAGTTGTATAAATATGAAAGAGATCGGCTACATATTATCCGAGAACTGACAAATTCAAAAGCATGTTAAAAATTCCATTTACTGTAGATACACTTAATTTGACGGATCTGCTCATTTTCAAAAAGTTGGTGGCTATTTAATTTGGCGGAGTCAAGACTGAGCTCAACTTTTATCATTGATCTGGAAATTTAGTGTATCTACAGTATATTCAACATTTGAAAAACATAATTTCACGCCATCTTTAAATTCTTTATGTTTATTTTAAGCCAACGAACAACTTCTGCTACAAGACTAGGTTCTCCATCAATTTCAAACAATTTTTTACAAGATTTTAATGTAGAGAACATTTTTTGTATAATCAATACGGACAACATGTTAAATATAAAAATATGGAACTAAACTGTTAACTAGAAATACATGTACATTGATAGAAGGAATAACATCACCATTGTAGTTGAACGCTACGTTTCAGTTACGCTTCAGTTGTATGGTTGACGAATCTATCCAATAAAATATAAACGGAAGCGCTTGTTTATGCCTGTGCTGACGTGAATTCGTTAAGACGTAAATTACGCACATGAAGGTGTCACTTACGCACGTTCAACTACACAGGCATGACTTTAAAAATACATATAAATATGCATCATTTTACGTTAAAACGTACAAGCACCAGTCTACACAAGCGCAAAAAATGCATGCATTTATTGGGTAGATTTACCAACAAAAAAACTGGCACAAGTAGCCAGGTTCATAATAGTAAGGGATTGTCATACTCAGGTCATCTCTGTGTTGCAAAGAATGTATTACAGCACACCTCGTCACAATCTACAGCTGTTTGCAGATGTTATGAAGATATATACCTTGCAAAGAATGTATTATAGCACACCTCGTCACAATCTACAGCTGTTTGCAGATGTTATAAAGATATATACCTTGCAAAGAATGTACTATAGCACACCTCGTCACAATATACAGCTGTTTGCAGATGTTATAAGGATATATACCTTGCAAAGAATGTATTATAGCACACCTTGTCACAATCTACAGCTGTTTGCAGATGTTATAAAGATAAATACCTTGCAAAGAATGTATTATAGCACACCTCATCACAATCTACAGATGTTTGCAGATGTTATAAAGTTATATACCATGCAAAGAATGTATTATAGCACACCTCGTCACAATCTACAGCTGTTTGCAGATGTTATAAAGATAAATACCTTGCAAAGAATGTATTATAGCACACCTCGTCACAATCTACAGATGTTTGCAGATGTTATAAAGATATATACCTTGCAAAGAATGTACTATAGCACACCTCGTCACAATATACAGCTGTTTGCAGATGTTATAAGGATATATACCTTCCAAAGAATGTATTATAGCACACCTCGTCACAATCTACAGCTGTTTGCAGATGTTATAAAGATATATACCTTGCAAAGAATGTATTATAGCACACCTCGTCACAATCTACAGCTGTTTGCAGATGTTATAAAGATATATACCTTGTAAAGAATGTATTATAGCACACCTCGTCACAATATACAGCTGTTTGCAGATGTTATAAGGATATATACCTTGCAAAGAATGTAATATGACACACCTTGTCACAATCTACAGCTGTTTGCAGATGGTATAAAGATATATACCTTGCAAATGTAATATGACACACCTTGTCACAATCTACAGCTGTTTGCAGATGTTATAAAGATATATACCTTGCAAAGAATGTATTATAGCACACCTCGTCACAATATACAGCTATTTGCAAATGTTTTAAAGATATATACCTTGCAAATAATGTAATATGACACACCTTGTCACAATCTACAGCTATTTGCAAATGTTATAAAGATATATACCTTGCAAATGTAATATGACACACCTTGTCACAATCTACAGCTGTTTGCAGATGCTGTAACGATATATACACTCTCCTCCAAAAGACTGGCAACTGGAACTCCCAATTCTAAACTAGTGTTGTAGTATACAATGATTTTTTGCTAATTCATCACAAATTACCAACATAAATGCCCTTGAGCCTTGAGGAACAAAATTAAGGATTAAATATAATAGACTATCAAATGCTATCCAACTGAGATTTCCAGTTACCAAACTTATGGAGGGGTGTAGGTCAGGTATCTATCTACTATCTTAGGATCATAAGGATAAGGCCAATATATCTATGTGCACCCAAAAGTGTTTCTAATGGTTACTTTCTATGGCAGCAGAAAGCAAATTACATGTGAGCATGTATTGTTTTGTGTCCTCTTCAACCATACCATATAGTATCGGAAATAAAAATCTGCATGTATCACATAAAGATGTCATTCTGTTCAAACATTTCCTCAAAGTTACTAGTTGTGGCAATAGGCATGCTCGTTGTGACCCTGAAAGGGAAACAATAGTGTAAATTACAGAAATACAAGCTATAAATTCTGATGTGGCATTATCCCAATCTAATTTACTAGACTCTATTTTATCTATCGCTAGTGAGTGACATGAAATAAAAGGAGGACTGGCTTACACTCCCCTCCAAAGGTTTGGCAATCCCAATTTTTTGCCTCAATAACAGTCTAAAATATGATATTACTAATATCACTAACATAAACAAGCTTAAACACATGCTCCAATTTAATTTAGGCTATCTTCTCCCCTTTCACTGTTGCATTTTATATTATATATGTAAAAACTAACTAGAAACAATCAAAGATTCCCTCTTATTATAGCATGTTTATGAATTAAATTCTAGTTGGATTACCTTCTAGGGGTTGGCTTCCTTTGTTGTGACTCAGGTGGGGAAATATCTCCAAAAAGGTCACACAGATCTCCCATGCTACTCTGTCTCCTCCCTGTAATAATAAAGTGCATGAGTCAATGGGAATTTGGAGTCCTATAGATGGCTAGCTATCACTAGCCTTCTGAGGTCCTCTTCATCACATGATTTGTATATGTGACTGTCTATCTTTGATATTGTTAAATCAAAAAATTGAAGGGTTTGCCTTTTAAAAGTGATGTGTTGATTATAACCATCTGAGAAATGCAAAAACAGAATGCAATGCTGATGCATTCTAAAACATCATTATTCATTGCCATGGCAACAGTTTATGTCAAGATGTGATCACACTTCAAGTTTCAAGTTTATCTGAATTTGTTCCAATAAATCATTGCAAATCAAAAGGTGTAAAAATTGGTGCCAGTTACAAAAATAATGGTGGCTAATGTTAATACGTCATCGCTTCTTGGGGATGACATTAAAGGTTTAACATATAATGACTTCACATACCTACAACTGGTGATCTCTTTAATCTTTGCTCAACAGTATTGAGGTGTTGGCCATTCTGAGTGCTGAAGAAGGAGTCATACTGAGTACTGAGGGAGTGGTCATTCTGAGAACTGGGGGAGTGCTGAGTATCGAGGGAGTGGCCATTCTGAGTATTGAGGGAGCAGTCTATCTGAGCAGTTTCAGCATTATTAGCATCATCTGACTCATTATCAGGGAATGAATACTCTTCACTGTGGGGCAGGTCATCTTTGTCACTGTATGCTGGCTGTTTAGTCTCTTTGCTCACCTAAAATTACATGAATTAAGAAAATCTTGTTTTAACAGTCGCAAAGAAAGAGATTAAAAGGAAATATGCTCTAATGCTTCAATACATGTAGCTTAAATTGTGTCCAGATTGGCAGGTGTTCCCATTTCAGAAGAAAATGAAAAATGGCATTTCAAAAATGGTACCAAAAAGGACCACATTGAGAGGTGTTCAGATATAGAGGTTTACTGTAAATTCTATATGACAAGTTTTGGCTTAACCTTTTGATTTCTGAGAAAGTAAGCCATGAGTGTTCAAGTGAACCCTAAACTCACCTGTATGATAAGATCAGGGTAGACTGGAGATGGCAAGGTAGAGTCACATTTAAGAGAACTCCTGCAGATTTTATTTCTGTGTGAACCAGGAGCAGATCTTGTTATCTTTGGAGCAGAAGAACAATAAGCTGAGGAGGTGGCATGTTTATCTGGACCAGCGATGTGTTTGGTTTGACCAGTAGAGTGTTTACTATTGTTTAAGTTACTGGTGATATATTTCTTGTTACCGTCGCCCATTTTCCTCTGAGTAGTAACTGTTCTACGATTCTGAGCTTTACTGTCAATGTATTGAGTTTTCATTTGGGGATCAACTCTTTGGTGGTCCATTCTACAGTGATTATCTCCATATCCCAGCTGGTCCTGATATTGTGTACCCCTGTGGTTGCCTCTTCTGTTATGTTGCCATGTTTTTCTGTTTTCAGATGGTTGAGGGGGTCCAGTGATATTATGTAGTGGGGTTCCTGTTGTATAGTGTTGTTGGGACCCAGTGGGGTTGTGCAGATGGGGTCCTGTTGTGTAATGTTGCTGGCTGGTGGAGCCAAATCCTGAGGAGCTATCTGACAACTGCAATCAAATTGATGAAAGGGTTGGTTGGTCAAATACTTTAAAATGAAAATCAGAAATGAGTTAATCAATAAAGAATAATTTCAGAAACGTTCAGTAACAAACTACATAGTAAATATTCCACTGAAGTAAGAAATCCTTGTTAATTAATGTTTTAAATCTGGAAGTTAATTTAAAATTCAGTTGTAATCAAAGTACTTTGGTTACCTATGCTGTGGTGGATATGTTATTGAAAATCCAGTAAACTATACATTATATATAATCTGAAATTGATCTAAAACATCTGATTCAGTAACTGTGTATTCTTTACCATACACTATATACCATTATACCTGACTAACTCCTGAAAGATCAGGCGAGTCTTCACATCTTTCCTCAATGTCCGTGTCAAGAGGGCTTTGTGACGTGTTCATAATTCTCTGCATTCCCTTCAATGCCTTTTCCAGAGCCCTGTGGGAGACAACCTTCTGTGACATCACAAAGTCTTCCTCAGATTGAGAGTCGTCAAAAATATCCAGCATGTCCTTATATGGTGCTGTGTTAGTAACAAGCTGGGATTCATCTGAGAATTCACTCCGTTGCGATGCTGTTCTCCTGAGTTCTCTATTAGGCTCATGGCTTATATGGTCGTGTTCGGTATCAGACATAAGACTTTGTCCCGATATTTGTTGGGATAATTGGGATTCTGGAGTTGGGATCTCCAAACTGCGGGTAGATGGCGTACTAGTGATTGTTTCGTATGATAATCTAGATCTTGAAATGGGATTGGTATTAACAACTTTGGGTTGTTTAGAATCACTTTGTGGTGTTTTTCCTGAATCTCTCTGTATTAATGAAGACTGTGGTTTGGGGCTGCGGCTATTAGGGGTCAATGTATATCTACTTGGAGCAAGATTTCTGCCTTTATTCGGAGTCAGTTTCACTTTGAAATGTCCAGGTGTAGAAATGGAACATTCAGAATTGTTTCTAGTTCTCTTCTTGCCAGTTGGGGGTTTCTTCTCAACAACAGGATTACTATCACTTTTCATTTGTTCATTATCTGTAGTCTTATTTTCACCAGCTTCAGCATCATTTTCTTTCTTTCCAATGTTTTCAACATCAATCTTTGTTCGTTTTTTAGCTGGCGCTCTCTTTGCTTTCCTCTTCTTTGGTGTCTTGTTCACTTTCTTCAGATTTGCCTCGACGAGTCCCTCAAGCATTTGTGGGGTGATCAGATCAGGGTGGATGGAACTCATCACAGGCGTCTCTATTGGTTGCTCCTCTTGACCCCCAGCAAGGTTGCCAGGCAACAGTTGAGGAGTTTCTATATTTCCATTGATGTGGTTATGATGCCCCATAGGTGTACCCCGAGCAGTTTCTTGATCCCCAACTTGAGCATGTTCCCTTGATGCATCATCATTGAGAATATTTTCTGATTCTTTACTGATCTGGCTGTCAGGTTCAGCAGTGTCAGGATGGTACAGTAATTCACAATCTTGGGACATTGAATCAGGGCTGTATAGTGCTGGGCAATGATCTTGGACATCATCTTCTTCATCAAGTCCTTCATCGACAACTTTAACATTATCACCACCACAAGATGCATCTCCTTGAGGGTGACTCATCATAATGTGCTCAGCTTGAGAGTATTCTGATTGGCTAGATGACTGAGACAAGGGATCATTTCTATATATAAATCCACAGTCATCAGAGTCCTGGCTTGAGTCACACACAGCTCCATCTGGCTGGCTATCTGCTCCCATATTGAAGCCTTCAGAAGCTTTTGAGGATTCATTTTTCAATGTATCATTTTTCATTTCATCAACTTTAATAGGTTTAACCTCATCCACTGTAAAACTGGAATCTTCTCCCATTTCCATTTCATTGGTTATATTTGGAGATTCCATGTTGTTTTCAACTTTCTTGACAGACTCAGCTTTAGCATCATCCGTACTGCAGGACTGTTCAGCATCATCCCTGTGTATAATAAGAACATCATCTTCATCAGAGTCTTGACTAAAGTCATCATCATTATTACTACCTTCATGCACAATGTTTCCTTTGATGTTTTGCACTTGTTTCTCTTTTTCAGTCTCAGCACAATTATCAATGGTGTAATTGGAGTACTCTTCAGTATTGATTTGACTTTTAGGACTTTGAATTGCTGAATTGTGTTTGGATTTCTTGATAGCATTGTCATACTGTAGCCTCTTTTGTAAAGTATTCTGCTCAGGAATGTCCCTCTCTTGAGATGTCTCTTCCACAAAGTCAAATATACTCAGATCAAAGGTTGCATCTTTCTTGGAATGTTCATTGTGATATGTATCATGGTTAACAGCATCGTCATTATCATCATCACCGTCATTAGGGGAATATGGCACCTCGATCTCATGAAGTTTGGTAGCTTCCTCTGGTTGTGCATTATGGTTAGCACTAGTTGTTTGTGATTCTACTAATTTATCATCATCTAGTTCAACATTTTCCTCAATGTTATGGACATTGGCTTTATGATTGTGAATAGTGTGATTGTTACAAGGACTGGTTGTATTGTCTTCTGAATGAGATTCTGTATATATATCCTTATATAGTAGATCATTTTCACTTTTTTCTTTTTCATTGGTTGGAGCGTCATTAACAACAGCTTTTATTTCATCAGTGACAATACTTTCATCACAAAGTAAAGAACTTAGGGCATATACACCCAGCTTCTTCCCATGTGTGTCCACATCATCAATTTCACTTTCTTTGGGAGAGCTTAATTCATTATTTTGAACTGCCTGATTGCCACAAGTTGACGTGGTGCTATGATTAGCTGCCTGGTCAACAAGTGTCTTCTGTGGTTGTTTGTTCAATTTATGCTCAATTTGTTCATTACCATCATTATTGTCTATGTCATGCACCTGAGAGTGGTCTTCTTGTTGATTCTCAGTGTCCTCTTTTTCAATTTCCTCCTTTTCATCATCCCCTTTGTTTTCAATATACTCCTCCTCTTTCCCATGATATATCTTTGAGTTTCTCCTCATATTCCCATTTTTGCTTGCGCCAGTAAAGTCATCACTTAAAATCAGCCTTGTCCCAGCTGTCTCAATGTCTTCAAGTTCTTCACTGTCATACTCTGGTTCAACATACTTAATGTGTGGACTCTTTCTTACATTCCTTCTAATTCCCCTTGTTGGAGTCCCAATATCTATGATATTAATTTCTTTGGCAGCGTTCACCTCATCATTTTCAATTCCCTTGATTTTTCTAGCTGATTCTGTTTCAGAACTTATGTTCCCACTGGTATCTAGAAATTGCTTAGTAGATGTTGTCACCTCTTTGATATCAATGGGTGTGATGTTAAGATTTTCTTTCTCTGGGCTTGGGGCATTACTTTTATTTATGCTGATTCCTTCATGATTATTTGTAGAAGAAATTGATTTGTTCTCACGGGTGTGATTTTTTTTACTGGGATAAGGATTTTCAGTCATGGCTTGGCGTTTACTCCTTGTTATCCTGGTAATACCATGTGATGTATTATTTATATTAACTATAGCGGGTTTCTTAATTTTAGCTATGGTTGGTTCCTTGGTATTACCAGCCTCAAGCTTTGTACTCTTAGAAGGTATAGGATCCTCCTCATATTCTTCAGGGATTGTTTCAATCACTTTCCTTTTTGGGGACTTTCTCAACAACTTTACTTTTTCAAGGTCAAGTGTATCAATAATCATTGGGGTACTAGCTCTTCCCCAGGTTCCATTGAACCCAGCGAGGGCTTTTGTCTTTGCTCTTGTTTTGCACATAGGGCTTCGATACATTGGGGAGTTGAGACTTGCTGTGTTAAGGATACCAAGTATAGGGGTGACAGGGACTTTACGTCTGCAAGGCTCAGTTAGGGGAGGGGACCTGGTTGTAATGTCCCTTGATGGGGAGAGGATGGGAAGATCAGGAAATGTTACTTTCTTCTTCATTGGTTTAGACTTCCTCGTCTTAGACGTGTTGACTGACCTGAAACATATCTTCTATTAAGTAAAGAAATAGCAATTATGGTGTACTGTGTTACTAAATCAAAACATTGTAGCGTAACCTTTGAATTTTGACTGCAATATATATATGAAAATGAACATGAATTATTGGGACTCAATCAATGTTAATTCTCATGTTAAACTTTATCAACTTTATACCCACTCCCAGAATTCTCCAACAACTGTATATAAATTCCTCTCTTAAGTCTCAGTCACATTTGCTCTATGGCGGACGTACTGCAGCCGTACGTTCACAAAATTGATGTAGAAAATCTTCATCGTACTGTTTATCCCTGTATTTTATGCTGCATATATCTCTCGATTTTGGGAAGATACCGCAACCATTCAGTCACCATAGATCAAATGTGACAGAGGCAGGCCCCTTGAAATTTCTTTCAAAATCATGTCACCATTCTGACTATTTTTTGAGTGATTTTTGGCCAAATTTGCCAAAGTGAACCCCCCTAGAATTTTTTGGAAAAGTGAATCCCCCTTGGAAAATTCTGGCTACGGGCATGAGAGGCATTACCCATAACTCAGGTGGAAAGACAAACTTACTTTAGAATCATGAAAACTGAATTTGAAACTTACCGTTTTAGGATGCTTACTAATGAAGCATGTGACTGATACTCAGTGTGGAGGACCTCTGGGGCGGTATAGTCTTGTATATGTCTATGTTGGGAGCCTCCATCATTGTACGTCTTACTGTTCTGATCTGTTTTAAATGAAATCTCCTGGCTACTGGAGCTAGATTCGGAATCTTCTTCACTTGTGTTATTCGTTTGTTTAGTTTTATCACCACCTTGAGCATTGTCAGTTGCACTATTTTTGGCATCTTTGGTATTGTTTGTTGTATTATTCATAAGCTTTGCTTTATCAACAGCCCCTTTGGTATTTGGTCCATCACTTGAAAGCTTTACTATATCAGCACCCTGGGATTTGGTCAGTTTGACACTGGGTGTTGTTTCAAAATCATCATCAATATTGTCCACAGTTTCTGTGTTACTTGCAAGTTTGGCTTTGTCAGCACCTTTGATATTGTCTACAGTGTCATTGGTTGATTCAGATCTACTATTCATGTTTCCATTCATTTTGTGGGTCACACAATTAGGATAGTCAGTACTGTTTGAACCATCTAGGACATCACATTTTGTTTTAATATTTGAGTCACTTGTGTTGTTGTTGACATCGTTAGTCTTGATTGGTGAGGCTGTTTCACTGACCATGTTTCCATTTTGACTAGTATCATGGTTTTCCATTTTTTGTTTTTGAGTGGCCATTTCAGATTCATTGGAGGGAACAACACTCATGTTTAGTTCACTTTGCTCCTTGACATCTTTCATGTTATTGTTGACATCTTTGATTCTATTTTCAAATGTCTCAATTCCAGCAGTATCAAATCCAAACTCACCATCAATCATATTTCCATTTTCATCATATCTTGAGTGTTGTTTCAATGGGAGAATTATGTTTGGTTCAGATGATGCATTGTCCTTACTTGAATTTTCTTTTATAATGGTTTTAGGGAGTTTAACATCTGTTCCAAGGTTGTCCTTATTATTCTGACTTGTGTTTTGTTTCTTCTGACTGAAGACTGTATAGTTTGATTTATTCACCGATGTCTCTTTCTTAGATTTGAAGTAAGGCTCTACAAACAGACCTCGAGAAACTATAATTGGTTCACTGGCTTTAACCTGAAAGTAGACCAGTAATTAAGGTAGGTCTTACTCTATTAGTATTTGAACCGCTGTAACATTTAAGGTGGTACAGTACCTGTGTGTGAGATATCAGGAGGCAAATACACATGTAAAAGGTTAATGTTATTTAGCCTTTTGAGTCACATGACTGGCTTAGGGCTCGTGCCACTTTTTTCTTTTTTTATATACATTCATGCTTCTATTTTAATTACCACAGTTTGTTATACTACATACTAATCTACTCAGATGAAATGATTTGTTAAAGACTTTTAAAACTACGCTAAACATGATTAAATCCTTATTAAGTCTCATGGGCTCTCTTTTTAGAGAACATGTCTTTTAAGAATAAATTATTTATCCTTTGGCAGAGGAATATACTTGTACATGTATCTAAGCTTACCTTCTGATTCTTTGAGATACTGAAAGTACAGGGTGAGCCCATCTTAGTACAGGGTGAGCCAGCTATTTTAGTACTACAGGGTAATCCAATGTCAGTTTTTGATTGTTTATTGAAGAACTTGCTGTCATGAGAAAACTTTGAGGAAAACTTCTCTGTCAGCGCTCGCCTGGCTGGAGTTCTGCAACTGAAAATGTTCATATTCCAATAAGACTTGGAAAGTGGAACATCTACACAATGGAACACATTTCTAATTAATCCAGTCTCCATTAATGAAACTATATATGTGGAACACCTCCAAAATGGAACATGTTGAGGTACCAACGGTAGTGTACTTACACAGGTTTCCTATAACTCAAATTTTTAGGTTTGAATGTTTATTATATAGTGTATAATTGTTGGTCTAAACTGAATTAATGCTTAAAATGCACAAAGGGCAATAATAAATTCACAAGTGATAGCCCTGGCAGTATAACACAATGGTTTGCATCAAGTTAACTTTCTAAGTATTCTGAATGGCTGAGTTTAACCTTGTTTAGTGGGCTTTAATTTCTCCACTTATAACTGTTTAAAGAAGGCACAAAGGGCAAAAAGAAAAACAACATATTAAACCATACATATATAAGTATAATCTCTTTGAACCATTGAACATTTGCTGAACTTACACTGGTCTATCCGAGTAGTTGAGTTTCATCTCCATGGACATAGAGTTCCATTGCTCTGATATTCGTTTCTTCCTTTGGCTGTCTGTTAAAAATGGAAACTTTGATTTCATCACATTCCTTTGTTCATTAAAGTAACGTTTAAAGTTTGGAGTTATCCTTAGACTTTTGCTTTTGTTTGCCTCCATCTTCACTGGTTGTTTCGTCTTTAGTGGTTGATGGTGGTGTACTTACTAGCCTTTGGCTCTGAAAGAAAAAATTTACATAATATCACAAAATGAAAATTTAGGGTTTGTAGCATTGCAAGCAAAGCGAGCCCCAATAATTTCACCCCCAAAAATATTTAGAAAATTTACTATGTATATGATGCATTCTAAGCATTTCAAACTATAATTTTTTAATGTTTTTTCAACAAATTTTTAAAAATTGCTTTTTTCTTTTGTTGTGGAGTTGGGGGGAGTGCAATCACACCCATCAACCCCAGCCCTGTCAACTTGGGAACACCTAACAAGAGTGACTTACAAATGTTTGGGGTGTAGGTACAAACAAATTCGAAGCAAATTTGTGACATATAAACATGTTTCGAACCAAATGCGTGACATATACAGAATTCGCGTGAAAATGCGTTCTGTTTTTTCGGCGTTCGTTTTTTATATCAGCTTTTTGTAAAAAGCAGAATTTTTGTAAATATCAACATAATTCGTGATTAGCGTGACATTTTAGCATACACGCAAAACTGATGCGTGATTTCTATTTTTCCAGCAAATGCGTGACAATCACGCCTAACGTGTGAGAGTTGACAGGGCAGCACCCCCATGGCCCATGCAGAGAGCAGATAATGAGATGAGAGCACTCGAAACGGAGATTATGGGTAAATCTAACAGAGACTGAGATGACAGCTCTGGCTAAAGATGAGATGAATGGTACCATGGGCTTTCAACAGATCTCTTGAAACCCATTATTGAAAATCCCCGGGAAAAATTCAATTTAAAAAATCTAAAATTTTAATTGAATAGCATAAAACGATAAATAGTATAGATTTAGACTACAAAGTTGGCTTGTCAAACGAATAAAAATCGTATCTTCCAAAACTTACCGGTTCAAATGAATATGTATGCCAAAATCAGTGAATAATTGACCAAAAAAGAGAAAAATTTAGAAAGATTTTTGAACAAACCCGCCATTTTTCTTAAGGGAGCATGCGTGTTAATGTTTCCGGACATATTCCATATTTGTTATATTGGCATCGTTATCCAATTTTAATGCCAATTTTTATCTACAGTTACAATAATCGTACATTTTTCAACTTTTTGAATCAATAAATGAGATTCTCTCAAATAGGCATGCTCAAATAAAAAACAAAGACAATCCACTCTTCAAATTTGAAATATGAATACGGAATTCTCAAGGTTGCTAACATAACACCAAATTTTCGAAGCTGTAGAAAAATCAAATGTTTTAGCCTATAATAGGATAAAATGGAGAACAATAGAGACGAAGATGTAGATTTCGACTTCTTTGATTCTCCGAAACATGAGAAACGTGTTAATAAACATGAAAGAGAGCAGGTTGATGCTCCGAAAAATCATAAAAGTGTGGATGAAAAACAACATGGCCACTCCAAAAAGAAAGACAAAAATTCAAAAAGTTACAGTTCCGATTCCGACTCATATTACAGTGATACTCCCAGATCAAATTCCAGCAGTGTAAAGAAGATTGAAGCCAAAGTGCCGACATCGAAAAATTCGAACAGTTCTAGATCTAGTGACAGTTTTCAGTCTACATCTGATGAAACAGATCAAGATGAAAAAAGGTCGACACGACCTAAAACAGCTAATGTTTCCCGTCGTAAAACAAGAGGAAAAACTAATGGTCAGTCTTCGAATTCAGAACGTGAGCGAAAATACTCAGATAAAAGTTATTCAGATGAGAGTGAGTCTTATCACCCTCGTCATGGTAGACGTCAAAGCAAAGATGATTATTCAGAATCTGATAGCGATACATCCAGCACCAGTTATACAACATCGGATGAGGATGTCACCGATGTGTCCCCCCTTGGTTCTCCTGATGTTAGCCCTGTTGGATCACCGAGCAGGAAGTTCCGGGAGGAATACAGTCCTCAGAGTAGGGGTTCATCAAAAAGTGGACGCCCCGATAATGGGAGAAACAAGGTGCAATATTCGGATAGTGAAGCACGTAAAGATGATCTGAAACATCTACTTGCATCAGATCCTGATGGTATGGACTTGAAGTTGTTAATGAGAGCGATCCTTGAAATGGATGAAGAGAGACAGCAAACCTCGGAACATCCCAAATCTAGAAAAGTTCTCATTATGCCTCCAAAAGGTGCATCAGATAGAAACTTTTCATTTGAAAATAATCGTGTTCGAGAAATTGATCGTGAAAATGAGCGATTATTGAATGAGATCATGAAGAGAAATAAACCAAAACCTAGGAAGAAGTTACATCCGGCCCCTCCCCCAGTTAAACGTGTCACACATACAACCGTCAACAGGCAGAGGGAGCAGAGAAAAATCGAACAGCAAAATTTGGTGAGAAATACAAATAATTTATCTAACAAATGTGTTTCGTATTTGTACTTGATTTTCAAAATCAGTGTTTTCGATCGATCGATGCATGCACTGACACTCTCTTAGCTGAGCCCCTCATGTCTCAGTCACATTTGATCTATGGCATTACACAGTGATCTCCCCAGCATTAAAGCAAGTGGGTGCAGCAACCAAATGAGATTTTGAAAATAGGCTTGAAGCCACCTGAAGAGCCATTTGCACCCAATTGAAAATGAGAAAAATCATGAAAAATAGGCTTTTTTTGACCAATTTTGGACCCACCTGAGAAAAAATCCTGGGGAGATCACTGCAACGATATGGCTTCCGTACTCAGTAGCTACCCAAAATTGAGAGAAATATTCAAATATATATACCGCATAAAATTTAGGGATAAGCAGTAATGATGTAGATTTTCTATATCAATTTTGTGAAGCTACAGGTGAAGCTGTCGATGGCTATCGTAGAACAAATATGTAACTGAGGCTAGGAATAGGATATATGTTCTTATTGACTCACATTACCCCATAATTAACTTTTACTAAAGGAGCTATGCTTGATAGATATTTTTACCTTGTTGTCATGGCAACTGAAATGTATTGAACTATTGATGAATAGAGATTCAGCTTCAATAATGAAAGACAAAAATAGTTCATTGACTAAGTTTCATCATGTTTGATAATATAAATCAATGTAGATACACAAATGTTGCCTAACCAAACTGAAACTTACATATTAATCAATATTGTTTTAATTAAATACACCTGGGACGGAAATCAGGTTCACAAGGTTTTATTAATCACTGGTAGAGACACGAAACATATAAAAACATGAAAATGGGGTTCTACATCTTCTAAATGTCAATTAAATGTGAGAATAGCATGTTGAAGGTTCTGTGTAATACCTCATGTATTGCATGCAGAATTCTGAATTTAAAATATCTTGGTTTTTATCTGGTGATTTGGTGCACATACATGTTGAATCCCATTATCAATTAAGCTAAGCAATGCTGATGATTAACTGATAAATAATGACGTCATTAAATGTACACTTCAGATTTTGATGTTGACCTTGCTTTGTATAGTTTCTAAGATACAGACCTTCATGTGAATGCATTTATGTGAATGTACAAGAACATGTAATTGATCATTGGAGATTGGTAGAAAATCCCTATTCAATTTTAGTCTTACTGAAGTCATTGTGCCCCAATTCTCCCAAGAGACAAGATCGGGGAGATTTAGAGGCATTTGCAAGATAAATCCAATTTAAACAAATCTTATTGTAAAATTACTGTCCTAGCAGAGAATGAAAGATCAGTCAAAAATAAACAAAACAGTAGTTCGTTTAAACTGAGGCGAACAAAGGGTATGTTATTAAGGAAGGATGTACCAAGGCATGTGTTGAAGTGTTGACAGTAGACTCTCTAGTGGTAACATCAACATCTTATTTGAAGAAGAGAATATGTATGAATTGAGTTTAGTGTGATTTCTGTATTTGTTTAAAAGTCATGAATAATGTTATTGATCTTAAGATCTCATTCAGAGGCAAAAAATAAGAATAATGTTCCAAAATTCAAATGTTCTGAATGTAGCATTCATTTTAAACCTTTTGCTTTTCAAAAAAGAACCTTGTTATATTGATTGAAGATTTGTTAGTTTTACACATTTAGAATTATCGGATAAATTTGAATTCAATTTTAATCCCATAGATGTTTTTACATATTGTATATAACATGGATTTTCCTTTTATTGAAAGTCAATGGCCATAAGTAATACCCTGTTACAGTTCAACTGACCAAATTGATATTTGAATGATCTACGAAACATAGCCTACAGTGAAACCTGTCTAATCTGAAGGTTATGACTGGGACTCAGGTATATAATGTTTAAGCAGGTGTTCACATTTCAATGTTTCTTGATCACAAAATTGGGACCAAGAAAATACTGTTTTATTCAAATCTAATACAGTGAAATCTGTCAAAATGGAACCTCTAAAATGTGTTCCACTTGGAAGGAGTTCTACTTAAAGAGGTTCATTTAACATTTAGTCAGTTGGACCTCTGAAGTGTTCCACTAAGAGAGATGTTTCACTTCTAGATGTGTTCCACTTTACAGATTTCACTGCACTATATCAGCACAGTGACTTTGACTACCTAACATGAAAGAATTGAATAAAGAAAATCCAATCAAGTCCCTCGTCACATAATTTAAAAGATCCTAGTTAACTTTAAGTTAATTTTATGCATTTTTCCTATATGTTTTTCCAGGCGATGATGAAACGACTTCAAACTGTGAAAGCTACAAAGGGGATGTCCCGTAATGAACAACTCCACGACTTTGATCGTCAGATGACATATGGAGTCCCCTTATTTGCCTGGGAAAAAGAGGTTGAGCGAAACCATCGGGATGTTCGCAGGAGGCCTAAAGAAACACCCTTTGGCAGTGAGGCTAGTCTACCAATGGGAAGCCGCACACAGAGTATGAATAGCCTCAGAAGTCACGCAAGCTCTGGGACAAAATCAATGAGTAATATGTCCAGTTCGGGAAAACGTAGCCGACCACAAAGCGCAAAATATCGCTCCATACCAGAATGGGATGAAAACTGGCAGACAAGCCAATCATCTTTGAGTAATAAATCGATTACAAATGGACGTCCAAGTTCAGGGAAACGCACCCGTCCCCAAAGTGGGAAAACGCGCAGTAAACCAGAATGGGAGCCAGGGTGGTGATTGAACTAATGATGTGAACCTTTGAATTTAGTATGGTACTGTTTAGGCATATCTATCTTCCGGATGTTCCGATTTATGTTGTAACCAGGTGCCAAATTCTCAATTTTCCTGTTTTGGAAGCCATGTCTTTAACAGAAACTCTGCATAGTTAATAAATACTAAATCAATGTTAAAAACCTTATCATAGATATGATGATTATTTTCAAAATTCTTAACTTAACAAAGTTTCTGCGGTTAATGATAGACCCCCTAATTTAGAAATATCTGAATGTGGTCAAAATACTCATGTTATTATGATTTTTTATGCTACCACCACAAGTGATAACATATTGTTATAAGTCTCCACTTTTTTGTGGATGGTGTTCGGCTGTTGATGTTTGATGTCTGTATCAAATGGCAGGTAGTGACATGTTGCACATTAATGCCTTGTTTCGTCTTGGAGCAACTGTTTTTTTTTATCTGGGTACATCATACCCAATTGGGGGCAATGCTTTTTGATTGAAGCATAGGGAAAATAAAGTGACTCAAACTGTCTTAATGTGGAGTAAGTGTATGCTGTGAAATAAATTGTTAATAGGTATACCAGAATAGTCAGCCTCTAAATGTCATGACAGAGTGAAATATGGTCTGTTTGCATGAAACATTGTGATGTATCAAATATGCTTCACGCTAAGCTAGGCATGCGATTCTCACTTTCTGGCCAAATAAATGTCTGAAATCATTATTATGTGGTTTGTTAGATGACGTACTGATGTAAGCTCTTTATAAGGCTAAATGTGAAAAGAAGGTGCAGGACTTCATCCATTTTGGCTAATTTAATGCACTCATTAGTATGCTAGCCTACCTTAAACTCAACCTTCCAGGATCGTTTTAAGCATCATACAAGAATCTTATGCTATAAATCAGCTACAAACATTGAGTCAAGGGTTTAAATATTTGATATTTTGTCCAAAACAATTTATTTAAAATATATCGATTTTTTGCACCCATTAATGTTACCAGTTAGCTAGAACATTACATCAATAGAATTGTACATTGCATTTTCATTATTTTTGTAGCGTAGAACTACTTGCTAGAATGTTAATGGAAGAACTGTCTGGTGTGTCCATAATATGGTCATTAATATGGGTTGACTTTTGTCTGATATAGGCCTACATTTCATTAAATGTACATGTAAATGTACATAAAGATAAACATTGTAAAAGTATAAAAAGTATCAAAAAGTTTTGCATTATATTGATTTATCCATTGTGCTTGAAGTGACATTGAATAAACACATTCATGAACTAAAACTTGATAATACCTGTACAGAAAAGCAAATATTTCAGTTTTACTCACAGAACAATTTTTATTTTGTCAGAAGTGTTGACTCCATAATAAATGTGTCTAATATTTATTTTTAATGAAAACGATAAAGATTTAACAGAATTGACCAGGGTTTCAGTTATGTAAAAATAGAGAATTTATTTACATTGACATTACGTTAAATGTTAACTATGGGTTGAATTTTTGTATGATAATGGAAAGTAGATTAAAAGATAAGTGTGTAGGTATGATAGTATTATAATTTACTATCTATTCTCTAATGTGTCTATAGTTTTCTGAAATAGATATTGAAAAAAATGTTAAATTTGTGTTTTTGTGATTTTATTTCTCCACTTCTTGGTGGTGACATGTTGTTATATTGTTGAAGCCACCATTGATAAATAAGAATATTTTTATTATTGCACTTTGAAAAAGTGCTATATTGTCATCGTCTGGTGCTGTTGGGCGGGCGGGTGGGCGGCACATAACCTAAATCTTGTCATCAAATTTCCAGGATAACTGCTTACCTGTTCAACTTGAAATTTTTACAGATGCAAGAGCAGACTAGTACCAAGATCTGATTAGGTTAAGGGCATGCTGGGTAAACTACGTGGTGGCCATTTTGAATTTTTCAACAAATCTTGTCATCAAAATTCCAAGAAAACCACTTATCCGTTCAACTTGAAATTTTTACAGATGCAAGAGCAGACTATTGCCAAGATCTGATTAGGTTTTGGGTATGCTGGCTGAATTACATGGTGGCCATTTTGAATTTTCAATTTGGTGGCCATTTTGAATTTTTCAACTTGCTCCAAATTGACCAAAGTTCTCAGAAGTTCAAACCTGACCTTAGATTTCAGATTTGACCTTTCATTCACCTTCAGTGACCTTGAAAAGGTCAAAAAAGTTGATTTTCTAAATTGATATTTTGGATTTAAATTTAGGTCAGCTTAATTACAAAACACCTACTGAGGTCTGAAAAAGTGAAATTTTCAAGGTCGAAGGTCAAGGTCATTAAACTAGGTCACAGATTTGACCTTTCATTCACCTTCAGTGACCTTGAAAAGGTCAAAAAAGTTGATTTTCTAAATTGATATTTTGGATTTAAATTTAGGTCAGCTTAATTACAAAACACCTACTGAGGTCTGAAAAAGTGAAATTTTCAAGGTCGAAGGTCATCAAATTAGGTCACAAACAATGTTATCTAAATTTTCCCAAAGTTCAAGACTACAGATAAATTCTTGTCATCAAAATTGCAGGAAAACCGCTAACCTTGTCAACTTGAAATGTTTACAGATGCAAGAGCAGACTAGTGCCAAGGTCTGATTAGGTTTTGGCCATGCTGGGTAAATTGCATGGTGGCCAGTTTGCTCTTCAAAGTGCGATATTTATTACTGTGTGTCTTGTTCAATTGAAGTGTGGTAGAACAGTAAAGAATCTCCCTCTACAGTATATAATCTCCCTCTCAGTATAGAATCCCCATTTGCCATGTTTGCAGTATAAAACACAGGCACCAGAACAGAAAGTAGAATTTAGAGTGTAAAATCTCACTAGAACTGCACTCTTCAAACTAGTAACAAAATGTCAGAACCTCAAAGGTACGATTTTTCTTTTTTCCTTCTTTCACGAGTTGCAGAATCTCCACATTTTGTCACCCAAACGGATCTGATTTGGTAACTAGTTTGAAGAGTGCAGTACCAATGAATTGAAACAATTCTGCATTTTGTGTGTTAATCTTCAATAACATACATACAGATTTGATCAGTTGTTTCATTCTTTCAGAAAATAAAGTAAGGATTGCAAGGCAAACATTGGCCATGATTTTTATGTTACCACCCCAAGTGTTATGGTCTTCGCTTTTTTGTTAATGGTGTTCTATGGCTGGTGTTCAGTGGTTGGTGTTCTGCTTTCAGTGGCCAGCATCTTACACTTTGCATGTTAATGCCTTCTTGAACATTGCTTCCCACATTTTAAACTCCACGATTGCTTCTACTCCTGCAAGAGCCTCATCACATCTGATCTGGGTCAAAATGACATTACAAAAAAAAACCTGCACAGTATGAAGTCAATATTCTGACCATGACATCTCAGTTTATCACAATGTATTGATTGTCATAGTTCATCACCATGGTAACATGTATTGCTCAAAATCGTAACACTTGTAACATCTCTAAAGTATACGCAATCATTTATTAACTTCAAGTCAATCTATTTTAGTCATAGCTCATTAATTCTTGAGTCAATGCTCTGTTACAAAGATGTTTCATTTCCCCTTATAAGTTGCTATGGAAATAGGATATTGAAATGTTTCATGTCCCTAGGTCTCTTTAATTCATGGTAAACATATATTGGAAAAATTAATACAGACACAAAACTCAAACAGCAATTTTTATTGATGGATAATTGATTTTATATTTATTTTAAAAAATCTCTGTTGTATCATAGACATTGTCCAGAAGGACACCGATTGAGAATGTGAGGCTTGACATGATGTAACTGTAAATTATACACAAAGTGTACATAGTGTATAAGCAGAGTAAACTGCTATTAAAATGTCCGATTAGGCTACTCTTTATTAATTTTTTTGTCATGTTTTTACTTTCTAATTAGTTTTTGTAATAAATGCAACTTTCCTTTAATGAATGAGGTAAATAAATTATACATACATAATGGGGATTGAAAATCCCAAATTATCAAAAACAGTGTCCAGTGACAAAGGTAGAATAGATTTGGTCAATCCTGATCTAATATGCCTGGGTTAGAGTAAACGGTTATGAGTATGTGCTTGTAATGTGTTCCAGTAAAAACCTGTCTGTGACAAGATAACATCTCAGATATTCTCCAAATGACAACATCATCCTCCGATCACAGGGCTTCAAAATCCAGAATATATTCTTTCTTTTTACCCCCTGCGATAAGCAGTTAGCATTTCCCCGATTAAGAACTCGCAATCTGATTGGTTATCGCAACACTGCGACAGAAATCATGTATAAGTCATTGCGCATAATTACATCACGTGATTCAGTTTAATCGGGCGCTTCCAAATTGGTTATAGCAGGGGGAAGAAGGAGGTACGGATTCTGAATACCTGCTTAGGAGGATGGACAACATAGACTTGCTAATTAATTGCGCGAATTCAGAATGATTAGTGCAATACATCGATCATAAACTTGTTTTCACTGTAATTTAGTTCAGACTAAATGTCTAATATAGAAACTGTGCTCCATCAAAGCAAATTGAGACAATGCAATCCTAGCATTTTTGTCGTCAGATAACGAGATACACAAATCATGATGCACTCTTCAGACATCAATTTTAAGGCCAGGGCTATGAAGAATGAGATCCTGATTTTGTTGACTGTTTGTTGATTAACTCCCATGTTGCTTCCTTTCCCCGATCCTGAAATAAAAATAAGATGAAATGATTCAGAGTGTACACCTTGCATGCTTACCAATAGACATATTCGCGATAAGAGTTCAGATGGTAATTTACATAAATATCTCCCAAGTTGCATCGCTTTGGAAGGGACAAATTTTCATTGGCCCGCCGAACGAGTCGATAACTCTGAACGAAACGTCCGGAGATTGCAAAGTCAAAGGTCACGATCCGCTAATTTCTTTGGTTGAGGATTACATCATAGCGTATGTATAGCATCATATTGGCGGAAGATTGCTCGAACAAAATTTCAACAAATTCTGATAAAACTAGCGTGAATCTTGACAAAAATGACAGTTTCTCAGCCTCAGATATTCCACCAGCGCTCGAGCATAGTTACATGATCGAATCTATTCAATAATCAGAAAGATAATTGGAGATTCAAAGTTACATTATTTTTATTTTTCGATCTCTTCTGGCGTGAGGTAACTAAACTGAACTGAACTAAAAATTTATCGCGTATTGGCTTATTAAGATATGCCACAAATATTTTCCTGTAAACATATATAATGTATACCCATGTACTTTTAAGGCATGTTTTCCCGTAAATGTATTCCAATTACTGTTTAGCTATAAAAGTATCCCATCTATATTTATCTGAAAATGTATTCCATGTATGTATTACCTGTAAATGTATTCCATGTATGTTGAGGTCATCACGCAAATTGTCACAATGTTTTAGTAAAGGCTGTCGTTCTTTACGTAGCTGTTTTATCATATCTTTCTTCTCTTTTCCACTCAATGCCTGGGCATTCTTACCGCCATCTGAAAATGGAAATTGTTCAGTTGAACATTATGTTATATAATAGACATTGTTGTCTTCTTCATCATCATTATCTTCATCATTGTGGTCGCCGTCGTTGTCCTTCAGCTATTTGGTCAGTTGAGTGGCAGTTGCTTTTACAAAAATGCTACTAGAAGCCTTTTTGATGCCCAAAACAAATGACATTTTTCATAACAAATTAGTGTTCACAGGATATATTTCACAATTCAGACCAAAATTGTTCAAAATATGCCCATTTTTCATGATTTTTATTATTTTAAAGTGGGTGCAAGCCTAAAATCTCAACTGGGTGCTGTGCTCACTTGCTTTGATGCTGGGGAGATTACTGCAAATGTATTGAAAGGGACAAATTGAAAAAAGAATGTTTCACTTACATGTTGAATCTAAATTCACCGATTCCTCAGTTCCCAGGGCAAAGTTTCTAACATCACTTCTAAACTTTACAACACTGTCCATTAGTCCACTGATATGCTGCTTTTCCACCTGAGACACCTACAGTCATAAAATAAAGTGATTATGGAATACATGTACATGAGAGTAAATGTGTCTCAAATTCTAAATACCATATATAAGGTAGAATGCACTTATCCAGTACCATATAGTTCCGGAGTCTTATGTTATGTCCACCCATTGGATAAACTAAAAGATTTCGTTCTGCCAATAAACCATTATAGGAGTTCAAGAATGTATTGAGGTATTGCACATGTTATTTCATTGTGAAAGACCAGGCCTGTAGCCAAGGGAGGGGGCGGTTGGGGGGAGAGTTCGAGCCCCCTCCCTGGCCAAAAATTCTTTCAAAAGTCATGCAGTTTTAACCATATTGAACAATTTTCAAGTGATTTTGGCCATTTTTTGGCCAAAGTTTTCAAAAGTGAACCCCCCTGGAATTTTCAAAAAAGTGAACCCCCTTGGCAAATGCTGGCTACAGGCCTGAAGACTACGAGTTAAAGTTATTGAATTGAGATATGTGCCAGTGTATCATACTCTAAAATTACATTTCCCTTTTTGTTCTGTCTATAAATTTATGTACCTGACTTCCAGGGTGTATTGCAAGTAGATTCAGGGTTCTCTCAATATAACCAGATATTGCAGCTATAGTACTGGGACTGCGCACTACTGTAGTCACAACTTTCTGTTAGTAAAACAAATATTGATGTAACATGTATATAACAAGGCATTAACATGCAAACTGTCACCACCTGTCATTTGTTACAGACTCTGATTGCCGAATGCAAACTGCTGAACACCGAATACCAACTATCAAACACTGTCCAAAACAAAGTTGGAGACTACAGTATATAACAATACATGTATGTCACCACTTGGTGCACGTGGTTGTGACATAACTAGGAATTTGAGGGTTATAATATTGCAGACCCCTTTAAGTTGATGGGGCCTTCTAAATAAATAGATACAGGATGAGATTCATGTACAAATAATGCAAAACATAAGGCTACATTTATATGTGTAAAATTGTTACTGAAGTTCTGTCCATGTAATATGACATTCGTGGAACTAAGAACTAAGTACCCGGGGATTTCACTCCAATATACCTCTTGATACCTATGTGCTGTGCCAAAAACTCCCTTTTTGAGCACTTTTTCCATGTCAATTTCCTATAAAGATTGAAAGTTTCCATGCTTAATTCCCCTCAGACTTATGAAAGTCAATTTTATTCACCTAAACTTCATAGATACATGTATGTCCATGTCGAATTCCTCTAGAGTTTGCTGGGAAAAGAATTGACCAAAAATTCACTTTTTCGGTGGTTTGTCCCAAGCCTCAGCAACTGATTTAACCAATTTAATAACATTCTTTTGTTAAAATACTGAATTTTGACCTAAACAAGGTACTTTCTTCGACAATTTTTCCATGTTTATTCCTTCTCAAATTGGCCAGTTTCCATGGTTTACACACAAAGCCAAATTCGGCCATGCAGCACATACCTACCAAAATTATTCAGAGTCAACCCCCTGGGTCCATGTACTACTACATAAACACACTGTGCAATCTGTATAATTGGAACATTCAATTTTGGCATATGTGTTCCATGATGTGAATCGGAAAAAGTGTTCCACTTATGAAGGTGTTCCACATACTAACAGAGATTTTATTCTATATACTAGTAATATGTACTTACTTTATTATTGCTATTGTTTGCACTTGGTTGTAATTGTACATTAGTCTCATGTATTAGACCCTGTATAGCTTCTATTGCACGTCCTGTGTCGAAGTCATCCGCCAAACAGTCATGGAACTTTTGTCTTGTGTCACTTAAACTGAAAGTGAGTGATTGAATAAGAAAATGAAAAGTAAATATGTTTCCAGAGTTGCTGTACAAGTAATAACAATATGCCCTTTTACTTTAAACTGAAAGTAAGTGATTCCATGGGAAAATGAAAAGTAAATATGTTTCCAGAGTTGCTATACAAGTAACAATATGCCATTTTACTTTAAACTGAAAGTAAGTGATTCCATGGGAAAATGAAAAGTAAATATGTTTAACAATATTGTCTACGTGCCCATTTACTTGAAACTGAAAGTTAGTGATTTCATAAAAAAAAGTGATTCCATCAAAAGTAAATATGTTTCATGAGTATCAGTACGTATTTATAATATTGTCTAAATGCCCATTTACATCATTCAGTCCACTAACTTCACTAATTCCCTCTTTTCCATTATGAAACATCACTGATCACATTTTTGCCAAAACGAGGATTTGCAGAGGAGTTGATCCTGTATGTTTGATTTAAATCTTGACAATTTCTTCATAAATTAAATTGAAAAGCACATTAGATTATGCATGTGTAACAACAACCGAGGCTCCTCCAGATGGCTGTAGTGTAACAAGCCAGATACAGACCTGACAGGGAGTGTGCTAAATTCAATGCCCCATGCGGGAATCAAACCCAGGACCTTCCAATTCAGAGTCTGATGCTCTACCACTTGAGCTATCAACACTTCAGTCAACATAGCTGAGCTGTGGTAGAAACTTGCTATCCAGGGGTCCGTTTCTGGAACCATTGTAACTTATGATTTGGTCGCAGGTCATTGTTCATCATGAAATAGACAATGGTTTTCTCAGAATTGTAAGTTACGATCATACCAAAAATGAACCCCAGGGTCACTACACATGCATGTGTTACTGTGATTCCATAAACATGTAAAACTTACCATTTTAATAGATGTGGTTCATCAATTGGTGATTCGTTTTCTTGACCTTGACCTTTCACATAACCTGCAGCAGAGGTAAAGAATGACTGGAACTTCTTGCTAAGATTAACTGCCAACTCCATCCTATCATCACTGTATTCGACCCCTGTAAATAAAAATGGGTTATTCCCAGGGAGGGGTTGTAAATTGGTTTTATTCTGAAGAATGATTCAGTATCTGACTGAAGGTATCATATCACTCCAAAGGATAATACCTTGGCCTTTTGCCAAGGGAGAGGGGGGAAACTTTTCAAAAAAACTTCAGGGGGTTCACATTTGACATCTTTGGCCCAAAAACACTCAGAGTGGTGAAAAACTGCATGATTTTGAAAGAATTTTTGGCTGGGGTGGGGGGGGGTGCGAACTCCTCTTGGCTACTGGTCTGTTACCCATATATGACATAAAAAATAAAATAAATAAATTTTGTGAATTTAATGCCATTCTGGTACATATTTTCACCTAAGTAATCTTAGGAATTGTTGCTCTGCTTTTGGTTTAATTTGGCCATTTTGCATCAATAGTAAAAGTGAACTCACTCTGTCTGTAGTGACTCAGCAAGCAGAATAGTCTGAACTGTGGAGCAGAATATCGCTGTAAGAGGTCAGTAATTGAAATTGTATTCTTTAAAGACTTTGACATCTTCTGCATGTCTCCCTTTAGATGTAAATGCCCTGGAAATACATGTAATGCATAGATCAGGTTTTTCAATCAATCACAATATAAGAGGTTTCACACAATGGGTAATAGCTAAAATATATCCGCAACCTCATCTAATTTTAACTTCTTCGCATAAATCTGGTGAATGAATTACGGATTTAATCTGCAATAATTAATTTTATTTAATCTTTTATGTTTTCCTTTATTTCAACTACCTACATGTAAACTATGAAAATCAATTTCTTCATTTTTTCAGTCAAAGAAGTTTTTCATGACCGATTTTTTTATACTTTGACCTGATTAATTTCTCCTTTATTTCAACTTCTTATATTCACGCGGTAGTATCTCTTCGGGACGTATCGAAACCACTCCGTCCCGAAAAACCGTTAATTTGAATTTAAAACCTACCCCAGTGTTTGAAAATCAAGGATTGTGAGTCTCACACTTCACCGTTTTTCTTCAAACTTGTTCCGTACAAAGCTTCACAGAAATACCTTTCAGTCGATACATTGTTTTCGTGTACAAAGTACCTCGTTTTAGCGGCGTTTTGGTCCCCAGCTGTGAGATAAAGCAAATTTTCATAACTTTCAACTGTAAGTCAAGTTATCTCGCCTGTCTTTTACCCATTCTCGCCCATAATTTCAGAATGGACTCCCATTACAACCTTCCATCTCTACGTCTTGGTTTTTGGGCATCAAACGCAGCAGTTTCTAAATCATCCACACATCTCTTCAAATTTGACCAATACGTCCCGTCATCTTCCACTACGCCCCGCCGAGTCTATCACTATACACGTAGAGTTGCATTCTAAAACAATTTGTCCATCGATGTGTCCGTTTGTAGGCTACCATTGTCGATTCTAAATACCAATCGGATTGTGTTTTAAGACTTACCCATTCTTGTCCATTTTCAATATACCTATAACAGGGTGGTCCAAAATCTCCTTAAAATTTAGATTTCCCGATATTGCAATATAAAGATTTTGATTACTGAACAATTGAAAATATTTTTAAGAAACGTTTAAAGTGCCCTATCCTTGAAAAAATGTTAAAATCCGAAAGGATGGGTGATGTCAATTATATTATTTTCAGCATAACGTTAGAAACATGTATCATTTTATATGGCACACGTTTCATAATGTAATCCAATGGAATCATACAGAAGAAAGGTTGACACACAGCAGTTAAAATCTTTATATTACATTATCAGACCAAGTCAGTAGATGTTGTTTATATACCAATTAGTGTTGTATGATGATGCATTCTTTATATGAATCTAGAAACGTTTTTGTGCCAACATTGCTCAATTTTGATAACATCTCCGTTATTTTGAAATTAAGCGTGGCAAATTTTCCCGATGGATTTAGCTAAAAAAGTGGTGCCCGTAGGGTTATTGAAAATCATACATGATGAAGAAAAAATACGTATTCCTGAAATACAACAGTTTAATTTTGAGTTATAAACCATTTATGAAAACGGCATATTTGTCAAAATTACCAAAACTTCAAGTGAGACGCGTGGCAAAATTTCCCAGGGGTCTAGAGTGGAAATATTTGTACCAAGAGTCAATTTGTAACTAGAATCTATCAGATGACAGCTTTTTGGAAAATTTTGCAGATTTGGACAACCCTAACCTATAACTTTGTTGAACCTGAAGAAACGTCTCAACTTTTTGTTAAATAAAGATAGCAAATTCAGCTGTCTACTGTATACGTACCTAACTTGTACTTTTTGCTAGTACTCAGATTGATGGATATTCTGTCGTATGACATGCGACAAACATATCAATTCTCATGGGTTTACATGGGAATGTCGATTTTCAAAAATTCATCAGATTTATCATCCATTTCCGATCTATTGTAATTGAGGAAAAACATCAAGAAAATTTGGAGGTATTGGGAATAAAGTCAAGTTATATTTCCGTCAATTTGGTTTCCTCACAAAATCAAATACAGGACAATGACATATAATTAAAGTTAAAAAGCAACATCTTCACAAACATTTAAATTATCAATTTCATGCAATCAGTTATAGTTATACTCCGTATGTATGCTAAACTTAAGACTGGTGTTAAGAATCGACCAAGGCAAACCTATGTTAAATTACACAACGATGAACAAAATGTTTTAGAATACAACTCCACGTTTGTAGTCATAGACTCGGCGGGGCGTAGTGGAAGGTGACGGGACGTATTAGTCAAATTTTAAGAGATGTGTGGATGATTTAGAAACTGCTGCGTTTGATGCCCAAAAATCAAAACGTAGCGATGGAAGGTTGTAATGGGAGTCCATTCTGAAATTATGAGCGAGAATGGGTAAAAGACAGGCGAGATAACTTGACTTACAGTTGAAAGTTATGAAAATTTGCTTTATCTCGCAGCTGGGGACCAAAACGCCGCTAAAACGAGGTACTTTGTACACGAAAACAATGTATCGACTGAAAGGTATTTCTGTGAAGCTTTGTACGGAACAAGTTTGAAGAAAAACTGTGAAGTGTGAGACTCACAATCCTTGATTTTCAAACACTGGGGTAGGTTTTAAATTCAAATTAACGGTTTTTCGGGACGGAGTGGTTTCGATACGTCCCGAAGAGATACTACCGCGTGATATTATTGTTAACTATATAAAATTGATTTCATTATTTTAGATGATGACTCGAAGAAGTTTTTCATGACTTAATTCTTTTTTTATATTTTGACCTGTTTTATTTTGATCTCTTGTACGGTATACAATTCGACATACAGTACCTGTATGCAACCAATAATTTGTCCACTGCTCGCATTGAAAGCATGCCTGTGATTGGGCCAACTCATTCTCATGGTGAGGGAACATCAGGTCCTCTCCACCAGTATGGAGATCCAACTGCTCACCCAACACAGCTCTGAAATTAAAGTTAATATGTGAATGCCACGACACAGTGTAAAATTACAAAAATCACATTGAAAGCATGCCTGTGATTGGGCCAACTCATTCTCATGGTGGGGGAACATTAGGTCCTCTCCACCAGTCCGGAGGTCTAACTGCTCACCCAACACAGCTCTGAAATTAAAGTTAATATGTGAATGCCACGACACAGTGTAATATTACAAAAATCACATTGAAAGCATGCCTGTGATTGGGCCAACTCATTCTCATGGTGAGGGAACATCAGGTCCTCTCCACCAGTATGGAGATCCAACTGCTCACCCAACACAGCTCTGAAATTAAAGTTAATATGTGAATGCCACGACACAGTGTAAAATTACAAAAATCACATTGAAAGCATGCCTGTGATTGGGCCAACTCATTCTCATGGTGGGGGAACATTAGGTCCTCTCCACCAGTCCGGAGGTCTAACTGCTCACCCAACACAGCTCTGAAATTAAAGTTAATATGTGAATGCCACGACACAGTGTAAAATTACAAAAATCACATTGAAAGCATGCCTGTGATTGGGCCAACTCATTCTCATGGTGGGGGAACATTAGGTCCTCTCCACCAGTATGGAGATCTAACTGCTCACCCAATACGGCTCTGAAATTAAAGTTAATAGGTGAATGCCATGACACAGTGTAATATTACAAAAATCTAAGAAATACATGCCACTAATACGAGGTAAATTGGTAATTAAAGATTACTAACAGATTAATGAGCATGGACATCAAGCTTACATAACTTTCACGTATGTATGCTCATCTATATTTGTATTAAGAAATTATAGTAAATATTTGAATATTACAATCTGTTAAATATCTGTCAAATATTCGTCAAACTTGTTCTTCACATTTTATAGCTGAACAAATTCTCTCCCCAAATTAAGTTTTGGATTTGCGAAATGGCAAAACTACATGTATCTCTTAAATGGACAAAAATTCCAGGTGCTACCAGCAAAAATGTCCCTACCATACATGTACATGTACATATTAAATGCTTGTTTTGCATGTACCTTCACTTACGTGCTCATTGTAGAACATTCAATGTGCCAACCAGGCCTACCCTTGCCCCAGGGGGAATCCCAGGAGGGTTCTCCCTCCTTTGACGATTTCCATAGAGCAAAATCACGGTCGTTGTATTTTTCTTGGTCAACTGAAATATAATCAAAATTATTATGTGAAAACTTCTATATGCCCACGATTAAAAATTTAAAATCAATTTGTTACTAATATATATAGATTATATATTATACATATTTTTCAATTAATTTTCAAAACAATAGAACATCAATACCTAAAAAATACACATAATCCTCGCTTTTAACAAAATAAACTTTTCAAAAGGATGTAGGATATTCACACTCACCATTTCCAAGTGTCTCCATTGCCATTACATGTGGAACTAGTTTCCCATAGCGACCATACTTAACAACATCAAAATACACACTGCCTGAAATGAAAGGTTTCACTAAGGTTGATTCATGCGATAACAAAGTGCAGGGGTTGTACATATTATCTATATTTATTAGACTCCACTATTATATGTGTAAGATTATACATGTACTTATGAACTCAATTATTCTTTTGTGACAGCATGATTGTAAGTTAAAGCTTTACTAATCGATTCTTTCAAAAGAATAACTTAATTCAACTGAATAACTTTAATAACTCTGTTTTATTCACCTCGCTGAACGGGATAGGCAAAGCCATTGTCAATAATACGTTGAATAAACGCAATGATTTGTGGGATATGTTCTGTTACTCTGGTAATAGCTGTCGGTGGTAGAACTTGTAGGTCGTTCATGTTTTCCCAGAATTCTTTCTCATAAACTCTGGCAAGTAATTTGGCATCTCTCTTTTCCTAAAAACATCAATGGTACAAAACATATGTTGAATCATTCGAGTATATACATGAAGTACCAATGGCATGTGATTTGAATATGTAGGCACAAGTGCCAAAGGGAAAGATGAAAAATTGTTACAGAACCCGGCACGAAAAAGAAAACATCTAAGTGTATACCAGTCATAAGGAAAACAAGGAAAACAAATCCCAACCATCCCAAACCATTACCCTGCGTGCAGAGTCTAGTTAAACTACAGAAGACGGAGCTCTCTTTTAAGAAGTGAAGTCAAACGAATGCAAAGGGTACCAAACCATAAAAATCCAATGTGAAAAGAAACAACAATGTCTAATACCCCCCCCCCCACACCAAGCTATTTAAATGAAGTTATTAAATAGAAATAGGTGAACAATTTTAATTATTTAACTTGAAATGTTTGTTATAAACTGTATACTGTAGATTGGGTTAATTTGGCGCTACTTAATTTGGCGATTTTGCCATTTTTGGCATATTGGCGGCTATTTAATTTGGCGGATATGCAAAAAAAATTTTAATTAACTTACGCGTTGTTTGCGAATTTTATGTTCATTTTTTTTTCTTTTGAGGACCACTGGCAATATTCACCACGTTTGTACATTTTTGTGAGATCATCCTTTACATTTTGCACCTCGATTGATGCTGCTACTATACTGCACTTTTCCTTTCTAGTTTTTCCCTGAGTATTAATAAGTGACTGACCAGTTCTGAGCCAATTTATGAGAGACATTTTTTTCATATTTTTGGAAAAAACTAAACCGGAAGTGACCTAAATACACTCGACGAAATACCCTAGATAATTCCCGGGGATTCATTCTAAATTTTGGCGAAGATTTATATTGGCGAATTTTTCAATTTTGCCAAATTCGCCAAATTAAAGCGGGCGCCAAATTAACCCAATCTACAGTATTTAGATATACATAAAATGATGTTCATTTTACTTTTGTTCAAAATTCTATTCTCAACAATGCACATATTTCCAATTAGGTGAAAACATTTTACTTACTGAATTTGCCCGATTGATAATTTTATCATCGATATCTGTTACTCCCATCACCATGACAACATCAATGTTGAAGTGATTTTGTAAGATTCTCCGTAACAAATCATTCCTAATATAACAACTGGAAATACAAACATGTAAAGTAGATGTAGGGATCAAGTTTTTGTAATGATACTTGAACATCAAGTTAAGGAATGAGGAATCCTGTGCAGTTCACTATTTTTTTTATTTATTGGAATAACTTTTAAAACAGTGGCACACACATTGAAAATAGACTACAGGATCACTATACGTGTGGAGGAAGGGTGTCTACTAAAGACAGGTGTTCACTAGAGAGAGGTATTCACAAACCTGGTTCTTTAACACAATTCAAATTGTATCATAAGAGTTAAATGCAAAACAGTGCAACAATTTATAATGATTACAAACTGATGCTAGAAATAACATCTGTAACACAGCACTCAAATACCCAAATCTGGCTAAGACAAACATGTTCTTCATAGATCAAATTAATAATTATGAATATTGAAAAAAAGTTTTAACTTACCACGCATGGCCAATGTGTGAAGAGTCGTATACAGTCGGCCCACACACATACCTGAAATATGTGAAATCATGGGTGCATTACTGTATGTACACTGTTATAGACTTTGTATTGAGGTTCCATTGTGTAAGATGCATAGATTGCACAGTATATACCAAGAGATTAGGGGTCCCGCGATTCATCGATATATCGATGCATCGGCTCGTTTGGTGACGATACGAGCGTATCGATACGAAGACTCAAATATCGATACACCAAAAATATTATTAACATACCTGAAATCCATCATATTTTGCCGAAATCTACTGAATATTTGACTTTTTTGAGAAATTGTTTTTATATTTTTTGTTTGGTTTCTCACTGGAAATGACACGCCCAAAATGTTGAATAAATGCGAACAGAATGCTTAGCGGATTGGCCGTCAAAATGCGAACAAATAACTTGTGTCTTCTATGTCTTCGAATATCAACGTACTTTGTTTTATTATTCTTTATTCGTTTTGACAATTTAGTATGAATAAATACAATCTTTGAACTTTTTATTGAATAGAACGTGTTTAAAAATTGCCTACTAATATTGATAACTCTAATAAAAAACCGAACAATATTTATGTTCGGAGTACTAATGTTGACTGGAGGCTAGAAATTGAAACTTTTTGAAAGTTTTGAACACAATCGATAGAACTATGGCCGTGTAAGCATCAAACATGGGTAGTTATGTTAGACTTATATCCCCCAATTGAAAATCTACTGTAGTACTTTAAAATTCCTCAAAGGGAAACACAGCCGGACTTCAAAAAAATTGCAAAATATGCATAGCTGACAAGTGACTACTAGATCTATACAGCAGGTAGGCCTGATACTTGACTATAGTTTTTATGCTGCATCTGAATCAAATGTCACAGCAAGTGATAGACTTTCAACTCAACCTCAGCTACGTCAGTGTTGCACCCCCCCCCCCCCCCCGCCCCGGTTCAACTACACTATTATGTATCGTATCGTTGCGTGTTTAGGTTTCATAGGTTCAAACCTAAAATGAACCTGGAAGATTTGAAAGTGTTATTTGTGGTATTAGATTCAACTGTTCAAACCTAAAGTGAACCTACTTTTTGTAGGCTCGTTCAGGTAACCGTCAAATTATCGCATTCACTTCTAGGTTCGCTTAAAGGTTGGAACCTACATCACCTATTGAAAGGCTGGAATGTATAATGTTGTTAATAATGACTCCTCTATGAAATGTGCATCCCTTGCAATTGGTAACAATAATAGGCTTTCAACTAGAATTGAAAGCCTGTGGTAACGAATTTTGGACCGCAACCAAAGATGCCTAAATATAGCCCAAAACTACGAATCAGAATTTTGAACAGCCATCTTCGGTTGCGGTGCTTCAATACTCACCATTTTGCGATGTTATCATTGGTGAGCACCAATGGTTCTTTTGATTTGGTAAGTGTATTGTACACATTGATACCTGTATCTACACCTTCTGGCTTAATCCAACCATTAACTGTGCTGTGATTTCTGAATAACAGGCCATTTGAAAGTGGTAATGAATATTTCATTTGGTTTTCAATTGTTTCAAAAACTTGAGAAAAATACAGTCTCTTCAGAAGTCTTTCACACCTCCTACACACACTGACAGTACCTCTTTGCATTCTCAAGACGTTCAACATCATCATATACACGGTTTTAAAGTGCTTAGAAGTAGGTGTGCTTCATATATATGAGAATAACATCATAAATGCACAGTTTTTAAGAAGTTTCTACTTTCTCTTGGCCTAATAAACTCGAACCCAATCGCTTTTCAAAACGAGGCTGACCTAATTAAAAACATTTTGGTTCGGGTTTATAATAAAGTGAAAAGAAGAGTGAGTTTTCACCTTTTCACTAATTTTATCAACTTTACATCATAAATCAATGGTATCAATGACATCACAAGGAAGGGGAGACATCGGATAATGAGCATGTTAAACCAGGCGGCCGTTGAGGCCTTATGTTCTGCGACATATTTGGAAAATTATTTGGACTGTCTCGAAACTCTCCCCGAAGATTTGCAGCGAAGCATTTCTCAACTTCGAGAGATGGATGCACAGACTAACGGTATTTATTTCTCTTAGACAATGATAAATTACTTTTCTGTATACTGTCATGTATATTTGATGAAAATTTGATTAAAATCCGACTGACACAAGCGAAGATATGCGCATTCAAAAATCAGTAATTTGAGCTGTTGATTGGTTTTGCAGTTGAGTTTGTGTCAGGCTAAATGTGTACATTGTAATTGTTGTTTTTGGCTCACACAGTGAGCCTATGGGATCGACCAGGCATCCGTCGGTCCGTCCGTCTGTTGGTCCGTCATTCCGTCCGTCAACATTTAGTGTGTATCCAACAGACCGAATATAATATTCGGTCTGTTATGATTGATATATTTCCTGTGGAAATCGCGGTGATATTTTTTGCACATTAATTTCTCGTTTATTATAAGAATGTTCACCTTGAAAATTGGTGAATATGTTGAAGAGATGTTCATCTTAAACTAGATGCAAAAATATTTGTATAAGGCGGGTACAAGTTGATATAAAATAATGAAATGTTCAGACTCACCGAAACTTCAGGATGTGTTCATAAGTAGATCGCGAAATCAATGTCAAGGACGTTTGAGTTCACGAGATCCAAACGAGATATGCAAATTTTGAACTTTGACAACACATGACCACTTGATTACCTCGGCCTTCTTCATGAATATTTCCGCTCTATTTACTATAAATGAAGAAAATTAATCGGGATAATGATAATAAATGACTAGATCTAATAAATTCCCGTACAAATGGAATTTAGCAATACGCTTCCGTAATGTTGCTCCCGCTCCACGTGTTATTTGTTTACAAATAGACTGACGTCACTGGCTAAATCTCGTTTATAGTGAGAATTGGCATTGCCAAAATGGCTTGACCTAATCAATGGCTTCGCTACAAGAAGCGTCTGTACATTTTAAGAATATCTTCAGTAAGAGGACAATATACGAAAAAATAATATTGTGAGTTCTTTATAAGGTAATCATTCTATCATTAAACAAACTTATTTGTAACATTTATACAACACCACATTTTACAATAGGTGACTTACAGTCTGAATATTTATTCAGACGAAGGATACAGTCTACGTCAACATTGGCCACACAAATTAAAACTGCTATTCGGATTGAGTCATATCTTACTTTACTCCCGTCGAGAGCTACTAAGATTTTGAAAGTATAGCTCTCTATCGCTAGAATCAACAGCTTAAGAATCCTGACTTCAAAGAAAATTTCAGGGAATTCAGCTGACTCATGTTGCACATTATATACCTGAAAATGTATCCTACATCGCCATCTTTCATTCAGCTCAACTATAGAACGTCTCACTGCCCTATGTATCGATCAGGACTTCATTTTATTGGTCGTGTCAAAAGTTTTGGCCAGGTATATTCAATATGGTGGCTTGACGTTTCCCAAGTTGCGCATGCGTCGATAGTATTTCCGTTTAACCGCCATATTGGAAATGGGTATCGAACAAAAAACGATTAGAACTCCTGATCGCCATAGAAGCACATCCGCGATCCTACATGCACGGGGAAACTAGACACATATGAGCCCATATGTAGGCTACAGTTTGAGACAAACAGCAAGCCGCTGACTGGCGCTGATCAAATTTAGATGTCACAATTCTTCAGCTGGGAGATCCTCACGATGGAGAGCTATACTTTCAAAATCTAACATGGTAGCTCTCGACGTGAGTAAATCTTACTATATTTGCACATAGCCATCTTTAGATAGATGGATATGCATTACTCGAGTCCATAGCCAATACTTGGCTAGAGGGGATTTCATCTGGAATACTGTGAACTCCATTTGAAAAAAGCTGGCCGCAGTGTCATAAAATTGAATATTTTAAAAATCGCCAAATAAATAAATCATTAATCAAAACGAACTCCGCTCGGCTCCTTGATGAGATATGACATGATTTCATCAGGATTTCGTCTAAAATTAAAACAAAATGGCTCCAAGAAAAATGGCAATGTTCGAAAACTGGACGAAATGTTGTTAACGTCTGACATTAGTAACTGGCTGTAAATTCTAAGTTAGCGATCCAGAAGATGTGAACTAATACACTGATCACTTTATGTGTGTTTTGGAATTTTTGGTGAGGTAATAAGACTGAAACTCGCAATTCAAATTGTGATGTGGAAAAATGGCAGACATATGATTTCAAATTTTATGATTACGACATGACCAGTTGTTCATGCAGGAATACAATGTATATCTTTACTGGAAGGCCACGATACAGTGACCTTAGAAGAAGGTAAGCTATGCATATGTTGATATTCCCAGCCCATGTTAAAGGTATTTTACAAAAATGTAAGAAATCTTGGAAACATTTACCCTACTTCAATCGATGCAGAACATTCTAAAGTATCGTTTTGCTGACCATATCACGCGATCCAAATTGGGAGACAGTGTAATTGACGAAAAAGGTATTTGGAACTTGTTATTTTCCATGTCGTCTGACCATTAAGTCTTGCTAATGTGCATGCGTGTAACCAGAAGCGAATATCTCATGGCATGGAGGCGCATGCGCATAACCCAACTTCCTGAAAAGTTATCTTGAAAATGATCAACTTTTCAACATTTTTCGTCTCAATATATTTCCTCCTCCACTCCAGATAGCCCGATATGGTAAGAAAAATGATACTTTAGAATGTTATGCATAGATTGAAGTAGGGTAAATGTTTCCAAGATTTCTTACATTTTTCACAAAAGACCTTTACTGGGAATATCAACATATGCAAAGCTATCTCTCAGGAGATAGCTTTGTGCAAACTAAGTAAGTCATATCCACATTAATTTTATGCATATCCATAATGCCTATTTGACCTATCATCGTCATTTCCCCCAATCGCCCAGTTTCCGAGAAATTGCTGATTTTGATGTCAAAAAGTCAAATTTTCTGTAAATTAAATACTAGACACTTTGTTGAAGTAGAACTTTCAAATAACTTGTAGTAGTTGCTGTATATGCAACTTATGTTCTCTGAAGATTTCAAAGCTCTTGAAATTACAGTTTTTGGTGTTTACTCTATAAAATTTGACAAAAAGTAGGACTTAATCATTTTCAGGGAACTTTCTCATGTATAAAGTCAATCATCATTGACTGCACAAAACACTGTGTGAGCACAGGACCGTGGGTCCTTTATTATTGTTGTAAATCTCCCAAAACATAACATATGATATAATAATCACACTAGTGTTACAGTTACTAACCATTATTGCACCCTATGAAATACTGAAATATTTTGAGGACTGACTACATTTCCCAATCCATATCCTTGGCCGAGATCCTTCAACCATGGTATGGTTTTACCTCGTACCAAGACCATCTTTTCGTCCTGGTCTTGCAGAGGTTCCATTGAAGTACACATGATTTTTCAAAATTCGAATTTTGTTCTGAGCTAGCTACACATATATTTCTTACCTCTATCAATAATAAACACCAGCTTAAATGTTCCCAAAAGCCAAAAACTTGCTGCTGTCTCGAATTCCAGTAATGTTCACTTCAATCTTTAAATCGATCAAGTTGATAGGTGTGTTATAACTGACCACATATCAATGGTTTGCTGGAGTATCACAACTCTCCTTGCGAAAACTGGTAAAATTATAATTTAGGAAAAAGATATCCTTGGGAGATACTGTACAGTACATGCAAATGATTTGACATTCCGTCATAAATTCTGCTAGATTTGTTCAATAAGACTTGTAAATGTATTTACTTTTGATTTTTAGTATATCTTAATGAGATGGAACATCAGCGCGACATTCACCAGAAGACAGAATCAGATGTATCAATCAAAAAACAAGCACTCATAAAGATCCAGAGGGCGCTGATCAAATGTCAGGAATTAGGGGATGAAAAACTACAGATTGTCTCATCTATAATTGAGTTCGTAGAAAATAGGACACGTCAACTTGATGGGGACTTGGAAAATTTAGGTACTGTACATGTATTATTTTCACTTGCTAAAGATATTACATATATTAAAAAAGCAATTGTATATATTCCTCAACTCATGGGCTTTTCTCTTGAAAACACATGCTCAACCCCATTAAAAATGTAGAATCACATGCCAATATGTAATTTTCAAATGATATAGCATTACTAAAACAGTATCTTGGACATTCCATTTGTTAGCATATTTTCACTGCTTAGTGATTCCTTCCTAATTCTTACATTTAGATCCATCCATCGCAAGCCACAGGCAAGACTTCAGTGGACATGATCGAGAGATCAGCGTCACAGCAAATCTACCAACTAGACAAATCTCCGTCAAAAATACGCACAAAGATAAACATGACAAGGTAACTAATGAACATTCAACTAAAGAAAAAGAACTTAAACAAAAGGAAAAAGAGAAGGAAAGAGAGAAGGAAGAGCCGCCTCCAGCTATTGTTAAACAAGAAAAGGAAGACAAAAATGAAAAGACAGATAAGGGTGTGAAACGGCAGCGGAGACAAAGGCAGCACCTTGATAGTACAACAAGTAAAGAAGAAATTATAGAGAAAAGGGTACGTGTTCAAAATAACTGTTCTCCCATGGAATTTGTTCCAACTTGAGCTAATTAACTTTCAGGAGGCCAACTAGCCATATTATTTTCTGGTGGCCATTTTAGAAGTCTTTCGATAAATCTTGACACCGCGATTCCAGGAAAACCACTCATTGGATTTTCTTTAAATTCGTACACCTGATAGAGGATACAAAGTTCTAGAGCTTGACTCCTTTGGTTTAATATCTGGAGCTTGATGAAATATTTTATCTCCTTTGGTTTAATTTGTCTTGTCCATGTAAAGATCTTGGCCATTTTACATGCGTTCCATTTAATTTTGAGTATGTTATTTCAGGAAAAGGATGAGAAGCCGAAGAAAAAGAAGAAACGCAAGACTACTAAAAAGGAAGAAAAGGGTCAAAGTTCACCGGCAGATATTCCCATAGACCCCGACGAGCCAACATATTGTCTCTGTGAGCAAGTGTCGTACGGAGAGATGATAGGATGTGACAATGATGCCTGTGAGATTGAGTGGTTTCATTTTAATTGTGTACAACTTTCAACAAAACCTAAAGGAAAATGGTATTGTCCACAATGTCGCGGTGAAAAAAGTAACATTATGAAGAAGTTTACATAGAAACTGCTCAATTTGACAATCGATGTTATTACCCCACAAAATTTTAGGATTTTGAGCTTGTTATAGTATCGTTGGATAAGGCATTCAAGTTGCATATCATAATTGTGGCATTTAGCAGTTACATGTTTTCAGCATTGAAATTATTCATTTTTTATTTATTTTAATTCTGGCTGGATTTAACCAGTCACTGTGAGATTGAAACTCCCCAAGATGTTCAAACTTCTGAAAAATGCAACGAATCTTGCAGTTGGATGTTGGAACAGTTGAACGAGTGCCTGCTTATGACTATACATCGTTACTTTGACGCAGTGACTGAATATGTTGCCAACTTTCATATTTCTTGAAACATGTGGAGAAAATGTCAACAAATATTGAAAATGGAACAGTGGAAAAATAGAGAAATCAGATCGGTTAAATGAATAACCTGTGATTGTATAGAAATGCAAAAATGTAATGTAACTTTATGTCTGTCTTAACTGAGATCGCTGTTTTTGAAATGAAATGGAAGAAATTTTCCAAAGAATGATATCTGAGAGCAATCTCTAAGTAGGATAGACTCAGAGAATAGTTTCTCTCGTCCTAGAATTCCATTCTTGCTGAGCGCGGACAGAATTGGACTTCACAATATTGCAGAACCTTAAATTCCTGCAGGATTTTGCGTGGAATTGACATGTTTTTGAAAGTATGAATAATCAGCCAAATCCTTGGTAATTTTTATAGTTTGTACAATTGAATTCCTTGTAGAAATCTTTCATAAATAGCCCAAAAACACAAAAGATATGAAGTTGTATTATTTCTTTGCTAGATGGCAATGTGCATTAATGACTTAATGTTGTATGTTCCTATTACAATATTGTTTCACCGTCAACTCAGCAATCAAAATCAGGATTTATCAGAAATGAAGATGGAAGATGGAAAGAAAAGTTTAGATATCTTTTAATTTGTTGATGGAAATTCTAACATCAGAATAAGGCATCAGAAATAAAGTAAAATTTTCCCATCAAATGAGCCATGAGTATGACCTACCAACTGTTAGTTAGAGAAAAAAAATTGAACTTTGAAAATGAGTCGTTTTGTCAAAATAAAAGTGAGTGGACCCAAACATATAAATAAATTACATGTAATGGTTCTTAACTATCTCATTTTTCATTGGATTACAGAAATTCCGCTGAATCAGCATTTTTCTCATGCAGAATTTACTAATTTCAGCATTCTTGCAGAATTCAGCATTTGAACTTGAAGAAAACTAAGAGGTGTGTAATTTAGAATCATATTTGAGTATGTGATCTGATACTGTCAGAATAATGATCCTAAAGAATGATTCCCTGAGAATTAATGTATGTATTAATGTATGCATGTATTAAATGTTAATGAGCATAAAGCTGATAATTTTTTAAAAGTTAGCTGTTCAATTGATATTATTGTTGAATATTGCAATGGGCAAGCCAGGTGAAAATATTGATGTATATTTGCAAATCATCTTAAAAGTTATTTTGTTGAGAGGTCCAGGAGGGTTTAGGGGGGTTCAAAAATTATTTCAGTTTGAAGATCATGCAGTTTTTCACTATTCGAAGCACTTTTGAAGTGATTATGGCTTTTGTTCAGTTGGAACCCCCCATTTTTAGAATTTCTTGAAAAGTGAAGAAAAGTGGATTGAGTCTGATTTGTTTGGGGAAGCACTTTAAATTACTTTAATTTGTTTTGATACAATGACACTTTTGGTAGAAGGTGGCCATTTTGAAAAATGGCCACCATTTTAACGTATTTTACTATGACTCGAAAAATAGTGTAGCGATTTTGTTCATATTTGGTATGTGAATACTATAAACAAGGCACACTGTCTAATGACACTTTTGGTAGAAGGTGGCCATTTTGAAAAATGGCTGCCATTTTTGGTATATACTTTGTTTGTAAAAATGCCAGCCATTGCTGTTCGATGGGATTTGCTACGGTTTGGCGTTGCTGTTGTCTAGTTATGGTTATGGTTACCATTCTTATTATTTGGGAGAATGTAAACATTTTTCATCCATTTTTGCACTTTGAATCATTAATCACCTTACCAATTTATAATATATTGTGAATCTTTTTGGAGATATTGTATTTGAGATTGTAAGGAATAGATTGGTACATGTTGCTTGTAATTTTGTCACCTTCCATAGATCTGGTTTTGCCTTTAAGTCACTGGTCTGATGTCAAGAAAATGTTGAAAACGCCAAATCAAATACTCCGTGCTGCCAAAATTATTAAATCAATTTACAGATGGCAGGGGAGATAATGGAGTTGAATCACTTGATGTTTGAAAAATGTGTAAACTATTGCCATTTTATTTGGTTACTTACATATGCCTTCATTTCAGGGATTTTAGTATATAAGCTGGCAACATTATGTCATAATTATAACAATTATTTGTTAAAAGATGGATCCTGTTAACAAATTTATTTTTAGAAGAATTTGTGTGAGCCAAAATAAACTTTGAATTAAAAACTCCATTTTGTATGTCAAGCTTATGACAAAAGTGTGTAAATAAATGTAAATTCATAAAATATACAAGAATGTATTTGTCATATCTTTGTCAGATTTTCAAATTACAAATGCACATGATTGAATGCTGATGTCAACTGCAAAAAAAGTCCCTTAAATTTGGATAATTTTCAGACCCTGCCATTACATTATATTCATGCATGCTCTCTCTCATTTGACTTTTTTTAACCCTTGTCAAAGGTAATCTCATAATTTATCACATTTGACACCATTATGTGTGAAGAGGTTGGCACAATAGTCCAAAGGAAAGAAATCTGAATTTTAACCCTATTCAAAGGAAAGCTTATTCATGTATCACATTTGATAACACAATTATGTCTATAGAGCATGCCACAATAGTCCAAAGGAAACATTTGAATTTTAACCCTGTTCAAAGGAAACCTTATGCATGTATCACTTTTGATAACACAATTCTTTCTATGGAACATGCCACAATAGTCCAAAGGAAACAAATCTGAATTTTAACCCTGATCAAAGGAAATCTCATTCATGTATCACATTTGATAACACCATTATGTCTATAGCGCATGCCACAATAGTTCAAAAGAAACAAATCTGAATTTTTGACCCTGGTCAAAGGGAATCTCATTCATGTATCACATTTGATAACACCATTATGTCTATAGCGCATGCCACAATAGTTCAAAAGAAACAAATCTGAATTTTAACCCTGTTCAAAGGAAATCTCAATCATGTATCGCATTTGATAACACAATTATGTCTATAGAGCATGCCACAATGGTCCAAAGGAAACAAATCTGAATTTTTGACCCTGGTCAAAGGGAATCTCATTCATGTATCACATTTGATAACACAATTATGTCTATAGAGCATACCACAATAGTCCAAATGAAACAAATCTGAATTTTAACCCTGGTCAAAGGAAATCTCATTCATGTATCACATTTGATAACACAATTATGTTTATAGAGCATGCCACAATAGTCCAAAGGAAACAAATCTAAATTTTAACCCTGGTCAAGGGAATTTTCATTCATGTTCATTGTTCTATCACATTTCTATTTTTTGTATACCATGAATAACAATGTCAGAGTGATTGAGAGACATGGTTCAGATTGTGGACAGTGCTTACACTGTTATGTTCCGCCTTCTTTAGATTCAGTGAAAGCAACAAAGTGGGGAAAAATAAGTGTGGATGCATTTTGAATTCATGATTCCATATCCAGGAGCCTTCAATTCCATGCCACGAGATCTGCATTCCCATCTAATCTGGTACCTGTATAAATTCATAGGGAGTAACTATAGGCCACCTTTAGAGAGGGAGGGGTTACTGTTGTACTGATATCATCATGTTTCAATCATCATGTATCAATTCTGTAATTGGCTAATAAATTATGCGGCCATAAATTCTGAAGAAGCCACCAACACTCACAACCATGAGTATAAAACATCAATAGGAAAGTAAATTGTCGTTTCTCTTTTTCAATGAGGTCTTCAGTCAACCCAACCAGACTATTTTTCGTGAGTTAAATAAGGTACACATTTTTATCTGGCGTGTCATGAACCGACCCAGCAAAATGAATGTGGTCGGCAAAAGAGTTCGAATCTCTACCGATGAAGGGCAATACACGGGTATTGTGCGTGTCTATGATGAAAGGAAGGAGCTTTTGTCTTTAGATCAAGGTATGTGCATAATCTGATTGCATTTTTAAAAGATAAACTCTTGTTTTTGGATCTTAGAGGTCAATTGAAATTGAAGCCATTTTTGCCTTCCTTTCGAGTTTCGTTTCGCTTTTCACTGTTTGTTTGTTCAGTTTATTTGTTTTTGATTTTGTTGAAATTTGAAATTCTCTAGACTCAGCTATTGTAGTAGCAGAGACAGTGGCGATATTAACTCACGGACAAAAAATGAACCACAGGCGTCAGAATAGTGAGTGGAATTGAATAAAATAAATCACTCACTCACGGCAGAATATCATCAATATGTCTCGGAAATACGCATTTTCTCTGATTATTGTCAACCAAAAATATTTCCGGAGAAGAACGTAAGAAAATGAATGCTGAAACATAAAAAATTTGCGAATTGCATATATGTCACACACACGGATAGTGGGAAGTCCTCCATCTAGGAGGTATATACACCAGGTTATGCGGCTAAAAATTAAAAAAATATGAAAAAATATGGTCATCTGTGTCCTCATCTGTGCATTATCTGACCAATAAAGCAGATTTGGAGGTATGAATATTTTTTTTATTTTTCTGTTTTAGTGTTTTCTACAGGCCCTATGTGTCTCAGGATATTTGTTTAACGAAAACTAGGCAAATAATTTATTTTAAAAATACATATTTTTTATTTTGGATGGAAGCTATTCCAAAATAACATGGCAGGCGTAAGTATTGCAATAGATAGCATGTGGAAGCATCAAAATATAAGAGGCCACAGACATGATAGCCAAACTACAAAACAAGCCAAAATATACAAATGAATGTTTCTATTTTGCATATACTATTGCAATTTGATTGCTTATTTTTTAGAAGTACTCAATAGAATTATGAATCTGACACAGAACAGATGTACGCAGCATTTTGAATTAAGGAATGTGGTTTATTTTTTCAGTGGAATATCATCTTGATAATGGAAATGTGAAGAAAATATTTGGACTACAGAACTACTTCCTAGATGACCTAACCTCTGAAAGTAAGTAGAAATGGTGGTGGGTATTGTAAGAAGAAATATGTTTAAGGTGGGCATAGTAAGTAGAAAATAATTTAAGGTAGAAATTGATGAATACATGTATTATTAAATTAAATTATTAAATTATGTATCGGTATACAAGCCTAGCCTATGTTGTCATAGTATCCTTAGCTAGTCATCAACCAGGTTACATTTCTTTAAATTACATTTCTAATATCTTGAATTCTAATAATCAAGATGTGAGTAGGTAGTTAACATTTTCACCACCAGGTGGCTTATTTGGGGTACCGTAAATAACATGGCAGGGTACTAGAAAGTTCCCTTAGACTTCAATATTCATCGGTTTTAGTTCAATTTCCGTATTGCCCTTATGTATCTGATAGTTATACTAATTAAAATATGTCCAGTAAAAGAAAATGTTATCTGCCCAACACAAGAAAAGATATTTCACTTTTTGTAGTTTTACAACAGGGGGTCTATGGCCCGGAATCTCCCCAGCCTAGAAGTCACATTTTCAAATAAAATAAAATTTTCAGTGTTGATAAACACTTTTTCAAACCACATTTTTAGATGTAATTTTACATGTATTTGACTGAATGTTGAATTTTCAATGATGTTAATCAAGATTGTTTCTAGTCTATTAGGATTTGATGCAGTCTATTGTTAAACTTTTACATAACAGTTTTGAAGTGATCATGTAAATGAATAAACACAAGGAGCACACGCGTCTCAAACTCGCAACCTCGTGGTTACGGCGCCCAATCGCTTAGCCTGAACGTGGCGGCGTTCAAGCCCTCTCGGCCAACTCGACAACCCCAAAAAGGGTTGTTTTGTTAGTCGATTTGACTAGAGGCAGCTGATGTTAATGCTCAGACACACCAGAGGAAGCACCCTACCCTTTTTTCCCCTTTGACACTAGTGCTTATATATTCCTACATATACACACATTGGTTATAAAGGATATACTATATGCCACATGAGAGGTTTTACTATTGTCATAGACTTCAAAAACACATAACTAGTTTTAATACAGTAGTAGATTAGAAGCAAATAAATAAGTGAAATAAATTTTTAAAAAATTGAAACAACCACACACGTTTGTGTACATATAATACAAAATACCCCAGTCATAAATGTATTAGTCACTGCACATGTATTAACCACAAGTAAATCTGTTGCAGTTGAAGCATTAGACAGTGAACCAATACACGCTTTGAGGAACCCGGAACAGGATGTTGTCTCAACTCATTCAAGGTAAGCTCAATATATTAACAAAAACAATATTTTTTGATGATAGGCATTCTGGATATACAGCTCCTGATCATCCATTATTTGTTTTATTATGCACCTTCTCAATCAATCTTTTGAGTGTGCTACGATGTACTTACATTTTAGAACTTGTAGAAATTGAGTCTGAATCAAAAATATTACCAGTCGTAACAGGGGTTTTGATTCACAAATGCTTTAATTCGTACTGAATAGCAATTGATGAATTTCCCTCTTTATATTCCACTTTAAAATGTAACCACCTTGGCCCTGTTATTTTTCATTATTTTTTATGTGATATCATTTGTGTTCTTTTTAAACAGAGATGGGAGGATTGCTACACTCTTTTTGTGGTACTTTGTAAAAATTCTATATTGTCATCGTCTTGTGCTCAATGGCATGCCTTTGTGTGGACTGGCACAATATGAAACTTGTAATCAAATCAAAAACTGCTTATCCATTCAACTTTTCAGGACAACACTGGGTTTATAACATGGCAGCCATTTTGCTCTTTAAAGTGTGATATTCATCACTGTGTTTCTTATTTCCTTGTTCAAATTTAACCACTCAGAACTTATTACGTTGTTATATTAATCATTAAATTGATTTTATTTCAACAGAGGAAAGAGAATATTCCATTCCAAAATGGCTGCCCCACACCAAAGTAGACTGAAAGACCTGGACATCAATATATTGCTAGGACGAGAGAGTCCTCACCATGACAACCAACCAGATGATGATGATCCTAAACAGATCCTTAATCAGCATCACAATAGTAAGCCATTTGCATATTATTATATTAATATGTAAAATTCAATTCAGTTCAATTTATTTCTCAATTTCTTATATTATATACACTATAGAATTCAAGATTTTATACACTTAAAACACTACACCCAAAAAACTTTTAAAAACTATACACACTGATCTCCTCAACTTTAATATCTCAAAAGAGTGCTAATTTTTTATTTCCTAATTTTATTTTACCTGATTTTGGTCAAGGTATCTCAATATTTCGGCATATTGACTGGAACACCCTGTATAATCTTTGATATAATTTACAGTCACATTGATAGATTGGGAATACCCTGTATAATCTATGATATAATTTACAGTCAGGATGCTGTCAGATGAAACACGGGATGGTCTTGCAACTGGATCACTAGCTACATTCAAAGTATTTGACCAGCTAGATGATGATTTCTATGCTGCAGTAAGTTTTCATTAAAATAGATAATATAAGATTCTAGTAATATGCCTGCACATTAGTTAATCTTTAAGAGAAATACCATAAATTCATACTTATATTTCGGATGTAGGACTGCAACTTACTTTCTGTTCAGTCCAAAATATGCAATACTTAAAAGAGTACTTTCACTTTAATTATGTCACCACCAGAAATGGTAACATATTGTTACAGTTATCCAGCTCATTTGTGGGTGTTCGGCAATCAGCGTTTATAATAAATGGCAGATGGTGACATTTTGCATATTAATACCTTGTTATTAGGTTCAAATAATGTTCAACCTATTCATTGATGCCTGTAAGTATGTTCAATGTTATCTCGTTATACACAGCCAATCTCCAATGGTACCATACAGTGCCATACTCTTAATGTACCATACCATACCGTGAAAATGGTATTGTACGGTACCGTATGCGTTACCATGATTTCGGAGTGCGGAATGGGGGTGTATGAGATTTGCTCACATAGATAGCATTAATCCATTAATTAACTACATCATAATTTCCATATTTCAGTTAGAGGAGATATCAAAAGAATCAGTGATTGGTTTTGCTGTCGAGGGCGTGAATATTGGTCGCAACGGGAAACTTTGCTGGGTCCAGGTGGCACTGAAGGAGGATATTTTCCTGTTTGATATTCTAGCCCTCGGGAAAGATTGCTTCTCGGAGGGTCTTGCGGAGATTCTAAGCAGTGATATTGTTATGAAGGTAAGATTTTATACATTTTTATTTCTTGAGTAGCGAAATAGTGTCACTACACATAAGAATAAAGGTTTAAGAGCTGATTTATGACAACAAGCATATATCTTTCTGCATTTGTTTTATTTATGTTTTATAGACATGATTTTCAAAAATACCTCTAGAAAAATAGAGATGTAAAGCACAATATTTGTTTTCGTACAAAGTAAATTAAATTCAAGTGAAAACATCTGCAGAAACCACAATATCATTTGCATTTTTAACTTTGTAGGGTTCAATAGAGTATAACTATAACTCAACCATAAATATTTAGCTATAACTATAAAGTTCTGTATCTTTCTCTAAAATACATTGCACGTTTATATTTCCAGATAATCCATGACTGTAGGAATATTAGTGACATGCTATTCAGCCAATATGACATAAAACTGATGAACATATTTGACACTCAGGTATGGCGTCATATATATATATGAACATCTTTGACACTTAGGTTTGAAATCAAGTTTATGAACATATTTGACACTCAGGTGTGCCATAGCTTTAAGCTCATGAACATCTTTGACACTCAGGTATGACATCAAGTTAATGAACATCTTTGACACTTAGGTATGACATCAAGTTCATGAACATCTTTGACACTTAGGTATGACATCAAGTTTATGAACATCTTTGACACTCAGGTATGTCATCATAATGAACACCTTTGACATCACGCTTATGAACATTATGGTTTCAAGAAATGAATAGTCAGTCTTAGATTAAATCATTTAAGTCATTTAGTTATATTGACTCGATGCACAAACATTCCTGAAAGGACACTTTGTTCATCTTGAGTTCACATATATAAATAACATATCGGATGATCCTTATTACAGAAATATATTTTGAAAATTCTTTTAGGTGGCTAATACTATGTGCTACAAGAATGAACATTTTGGAGATCTACCTCGTTATGTTGACTCATTGTTTAGTGTGCTGAAAGACAACTTAGGCATAACAGAGAGTGATTTTCGTGTACAACGAATCAGACTTGACACTGCTGAGGTAAGGTACCTGGTTGTTATATCAATCTATGTCCACAATTTTGTCAGTTTCGGATAATTTCCATATTTGTCAGGTATAATGAGACTTACACAGGCGAAAATAAATCAAGGATAAAAACTTTTGTGATTTTATGACATGGAGTCTAAGGGGAATCTACTTGACCTAGAAGTCAGATTTTCAAAGAAAATTTAATTTTGAAATTTTTCAAAAATCAAGGTTATTTTTACTTGCATCTAGTCTATTGATATTCATAGTGCCAAATTGGCGATAGATATATGAATCTGAACCCTAACCCCCTCCCCTTATCCGCCACCCCTAACCCAAGTATTAATCTTATCCAGGATGATCAGAAGATCTGGGCAGTGCGTCCACTACCAGAAATCCAACTCGACGCTTTGGCCAAGAATGTGAAATATCTGCGCCCATTGTGGAGGGTACTTCAGGAGAGAATGATGGCCACCTTCATTGCAGGGGTCGATATTTATCTCTCCATATAGAGATGAGAAAAATGAATCAAAACTACCAAGCAATGTAAGTCAGAAATACAATTTTTAGTTAGTATAACTGGCAATTGAATAGTTGAATACTTTCCTTGAGTACTTTCTCTAATAATAAATTAAACACTTATGGAATAAAGATTATCGTAAAACATCCCAGAGCTTTAAAAAACATCTGTTTCCACATCTGTTTTCAAAATTCCGGGAAAACTATTTACCTGTTCTACTTGAGATTTGTACTGGTGCAAGGGCAGATTAGTGCCACGATCTGGATAGCATACTCCATTTTAAATTTTCTGGTGGAAAACTTTGATATCTGTCATTGCATGTCTTGTTTGAAATATATTTCGTTTTCATAGAAACAAATTCCACTTCCAGGACCAACTCCATTGCACACCAGTGTTATTCAGACATCTGAACCACATAGTAGCAGACAGGACTGTGCACTATAGGGACTTGGACAAAGACAAGAATGGCTTCCGGGAGAACTGTAAAGGTGTCACTGACAGCTATGTCGTCTTTGCAAGAGACTCCCCCTGGCACGAGAAGAAAGAGTGGCGCAGTAAGGGAATGTTTGGACATAGAGGTGAATATCAATTAAAATAAAGAATCTGAATCGGGAAAATAATCATATAAAGTGAAATTCTTGTATGATATTGCCCAAAGTAACACATTAGGTAATTGAAATTTTAATATACAAGTTTCAGGAAAAAAGCTGCAGAATGATTTGATATTCAAAATGGAATCCCTTTTGATACAACTTTTTAATGCCACATTTGATTGATCATGTATTGATTGATTGATTGATCAAGTTTAACATAGAAAATACCTGTTGTGTTGTGTTTGGTTTGTTATATGTTATTCCAGCTTGTTTACCAACTGGCGAATATTAGTTAACATTCAAAGGCCAGTCCATAATTCTGTTAATGCAAACATTGCATATACTTTTATATTCGACTTTTATAATGATCAATTAGCAAGGACAAATAAGAGTAACAAAAGTCATTTCATCTCTGAGAAACAATTTTTTCTCTAATTTCAGGAGAGACTTACCATGAGCAGAAAATGAAAAACATACAGGGTAACCAGTTAACAATGCAAATGATAGAAGAATCAACAACTCCAAAAGTCCCTCCTCAGTCATCACCCATTGCTCATCCACCATCTACAAAAGCAGAAGTGGAAAATCTCAGGCTAACGGAAAATTCCACACCAATGGAAAATTCCACTGTGTTGGAAAATTCCGTAACAAATACTGTACGATACTCAGGAACTGTATCTCAAGACACTGCTGTACTTAATACTCATTCTACCAAGTCACAGTCCCACCAGGCCACTATTAAAAATCCTATCACAGCCGAGGCTGCAAAACAATGTGGTTTTGTGTTCAGGCCAGCTGGTCATTTTGAAGCGAAGGGCCCTAAAAAGCAGAAAATTCCTGATCCGCCTCCAAGAGAAAATGCAATTAACCAGTATGGTCTTAATTCTAAAACTGATCCTGCCGAAAGTGAAGGAAGTGATTTGAGTAGTGGCTTCAATGTACCTACAATCCACAAAGTTTTTGATGATTTCGATTTCATGGGAGAAATTCCTGATCAGGGTGATTTAGATATCAAAAATGGGATCGCTCCTCATACAAATCTTTCAACTCCATTTTTGGACCTTGCTAACTCGGGCCCAGATAACAACTCAGGAACAGAGTCATCGAGCGAAGATAATACAAATAACAGTAAACGATTCCAGGACATTAACAACGATGTGAAAACGCCAGTCAAACAGTCTCAAGATATACTTTCCGACAGCTCAAGTGGATCTGATAAACCACACAAACGACGATCTGACATTCTCAAAGAGCTTTTGAGAAAAAATAAACAGTCACCTTCACCTACGAAACCGTCATACTCGCCTGGTCATATTTCTAATTCAACAAATATATCACCTGGCCAAATTACTCAATCAACAACCTCAATGATTCAGAAAACACCAGACATAACTGCTGGATCAACCGAAAAGAGCACAAGTGAGACTACTCCATCAATCATATGTGAAATTCCTCCCCAGAGGCCCAAAGCGCCTTATAGACTCGTAGACCTGAATGATGACATTGACTTTGCCAGTATTGCACCCACCATGAAAGGAGTATCAGGTGCCAATGTGAAACCCAGGCTAGGACGTGGAGAAGCCATTGAGAAACATATTTTTTCTTAAATGCTTAGTTTTTACTAATATTACTTTACATTAGACTTTAGTTGTGTATTTTTATGTCACCACCACCAGTGATGACATATTGTTTTAGTCTCCAACTTTTTTGTGGATGGCTTTCAGTGGTTGGTGTTCAGTGGTTGGTGTTCAGTGGTTGGTGTCCCACATCTGTAATAAATGGCAGGTGGTGACATTTTGCATGTTAATGCCTTGTTAAACTATATTCCGGTGAGTAATTGGTCAATTGAAGGCCAGAAAGGGAAAATACAGTTTAGCAAGAAAACTTTCAGTGGCTAGATCACACAAGGAAAATTTTAGAGAAGGGTCGGTCACGGTTCGGTTCGGTACGATTCTCGGTTCTTGTCTCTCGGTTCGGTCGGTTCTTCAATCATATACTTAATAAGGTGGGCATCATAAATTGCAATTGGTGCCATAAATATGGCAACATAAAAAGGTGTTTCACTTTTATTTGTAGTATTAGGGGATATCATTTTATTTTCAATCTTATAAATGATCAATATGGAATGATGATAGCTGATAATCATTGAATTTTTATGGAATTAAATAACTAGAATTGAACTATTTGTAGATGGCTATCAACAAGTCGCTTGCCCCGTATTAGATGGGAGGGATTTCTTTTTAAACTGGGTCTGGTTGGGTAAGACCTTTCAATATGTTTCCTCACGGCAGTTTCCTGAAAACTTAAATAAATTATATGGATAGCACAGATGTCCTTCAGTTGGGAATAACAGTGCAGTGGGCTAGGGGGGTGTTTACCCAAATTCTCAACCTTACTTAGGACCTGGGGTAGGACACATGAAAAAGTGTATATATCAGTCATAAAAATGTTACTATGAGGGGTAATAGAAGGCAGTTACAAGATAGGGAATGAATTGAAGTCTAATAAAGATCGCAGTCTTAATTTTTAAAATGAAAAAAATTTACAAAAAGTTTCAATCACAAAAATTGGAAACCTGCAGCGTATTTCAATGTCGTGTTGCACAACCGACATAGGGTCAACGTATTCTCATCGTAGAAACCGAATACTTCCAAGCATCCAAGTTCGGCATCGCGGGGAAAGGCTCTATTATGGTTTTACTAGCTCTTTGCCTAAGATTTCGAAAACTGTCCGCCATTTTTAAAACACAAGTGTTCCCGCGCGAAATTAATTCACGCTCGCAAATAGAATTATGTTCTCTCGAGACGTGGAAGCACAATGAAATATCCAAGGAGACGATTTTGTTACCGTATGGATCGTTTAAAGTTGTTCAATTGTCGTTGAAATGGTACTTTCATTCGCTATTTAGATGAAATAGAGCTGTAATTATTTGCGCAAAAAAATTGTTATTCATGTTACACTGTACGAAAATAAAGTATTTCCCCGGGAATGATGGAACCGTTCTGGACTCGGTTCTTGGTGATCAGACGGTCCCAGTAGAACCGTGAGGCCAAAAACCTCGGTTAATCGAACCGAACCGTAACCGACCCTTCTCTAGAAAATTTCTTAAATTCAGGAACAAACTGCACTACTGAATCATAGAGACCTAGTCACGACTAGTCATATAAGTTCATTGTAACCTACTTAAATAAGGTGACTTTATTTTATTTGTTAACTTCTCGAGGCTTTTTATTATATTTTATATAATCCAAGGATCACAAGGAGCAAGTTTTTTGCTATTCTGTTGATATTATAAGGTGCCGTAACTCAAAACAATACTTAAACACATTAAGTAATATAATATAACGATCTCAATGCAATATAAATATGCTGTTTGTATGATGGTGTCTTCCACAAAATGTTGAGGGCCAATTCTAATTTTATCTGATTTTTAGGGAAATCATCCCAAATCTGTCCACATATTTCTATTTCTAGGACTTCTGATTGATTCTCAACTGATACAATTGAATTATTGTGTAATGTTCAGTCTGATGTGGGTGCAGAATACAATTGTGTGCACCATGGGGTATCATAATAATGTAAAAATGGCTCAATATGGATGCCTTAAAACTGGTCAGTTTTAGTTAAATGTAGGCCTTTAGGGTGGGTCAGAAAATAAAGCCCTCATTTAATTTTTGGATGGTGCTCTTTTTATTTTTTTCATTAAATACAGTAGCCTATATGACTATATTTTCCGGATATGTAGAATAGATAGACGAATCTCTCAATGATTAATATTGCAAATTCACAGCCTCTAAGTTTCAGTATTAAACTTTATTTTTATTTCAATGTACTGAAGTTCAAGATAGAAATCCTATGCAATATGCATACATGTAATTCACACTACCCTACCATGTGACCACGTTTAAAAGGGAAACAGGGTACAGCTTAGGTGCAAATGGAGGACGTGGGTTTAATTCCATATTTCTGAACGTAAAATACATTTTACATTTATTTCTAGTGTTCTACCAGACATAGAATTGATTCATCAAGCAGTGTGTAGAATATTGTTGGCAAAAAACCACTATAGGCAAAGATAGATAATAGTGGGCGCAGTGAAGCAAAACACGAATGCAATACACGATACATTTCAGTAAATCTATCAATGTACAGGGAGCATGTAAGTTTCCCTTCGAAAATGTTACATTGATATGTAACAAAAAACCCAGTTAACTGTTATTTAAACTGCGTGTCATCGTGTTATAGGTGGATACGTTTTCTAGTATGTTAGTCAACTGTATTTTTGTGAATTTGAATAAAACATTTTGAATGATCGGTTTTTGAGGACGGTAGTGAATTAAACCATTCAAGGGGTTCTATAGAAAGATTCTTCACATGTAGTTCAGGCAATTTTAATTATTCTGAGTAGCAGATAGTCATTAATACTGAGAGCGGATAATCATTTATCATTAACGTGTTAATATTTAATTTCGTTATTTTATTTCAATTTGATACCTTAGTAACACGTATAATCTAGCGTTCTTGTTAATTTAATGACTAAAATGCATACGATCTGAAAGCCTGTGTCTAAATCTACAAAATAATGTTTACTTTATTTGGATTAAATAACAATTGATGACACCTCAAAGCATCAACAGGCGGCCTTTTTAGCATTACTTTCACTGTTTGCAACGTAAATGTACATGAGGTCGGGACATAGTATGTCTGTATAATCAGCTTACTTTCTCGCTCCCTGTACTATTGAACAATTTACATTCCTTGTACCCTGTATTGATCAACTTTTGCAACTGTGTTCCGTGTACTATGACATCAAATATTTTAAAATCTAAAACGATATTATTTACATTCTTCAACTATCATATAACTTGGAACATGGACTTCACTATTGCACCACTGAAGTGTAGCGAATAGCAATATTGACTCACACCGAGCACCAAACGTATTAACCTTTTGACTAAGCAGTCGATATACTCAAAAGCGACCTGGTTGAAAGCTAAAAGATTCGCGCATGCAATGCCATGACAGCATCATCATCTAAACATTTTATTTGCAATTGGTATTATTTCCGTATTGATTTTCTTGCTATCACAATCTACTGTGTTTGTGAATTGAGAAAGTTACAAACATATTATAAAAATAAGAATGTAGATATATAATTTATACTACAAGGGTAAGGTGAAGTATTCTATGGTTTCAATAACTGTTATAACAATTCATAAATGTAATGTGTAATGATATTTTTAATATTTAGGACATGTCAGAATTCTTGTTTTATTCTGTTTCAGAATTATGAAGTTTGATTTTCATATAAACACAACCAAATATGGTATTACATGTATTATGTTTATATGTATTATGTATGTTTTATATTTTTCACATGATTTCATCAAACAAACAAACAAACAAACAAACAAACAAACATACAAAAGCATATCAACTGTATGTTTTTATTGGCAGACAGTCCAACAAAACTGACAGGAACCATGCTAATATAGTATAATAATAATGATATTCTTCTGTAGATTATTCTGTAACATTTATGTAATCAGCAGAACATATAGATAAAATAAAATTGTTAAATCATTAAATACATGATTTTACATATGCATTGGTTTCACAATTCTGAATTAACTTTTGTCCAGAATACTGAAATTACCAGAAAACATGTTCTAAAAAGATCTGTTTGGTTAATGTCATAGGTTAAATTTCCATAGGTTTAGTTTGTCTGATTTTCAAAATTTGTTACAGGTTGGCTTAATTTATGTCATACTCAGTTCAAGTACTAAGTCAAACTGAGACCTTGGGATTAAAAATGGACAATACTTAAGTTGCCAAATTCAGTATGGTTGCTATATTCATGATGTGTTCTTAAGAATAGATACTAATAACTAAAAAAACCTTTTCCAGTCATCCTTATTATTATTTCCCAAAAACAATACAATAATACATGTGAAATTAAATTTTAAGATTAGTTGAGCTACAGTTTTATCCTGGTTGGAAGTTGTATCTCTTTATTGAACAACATTGCTATGCTGGCTGAAAGTTGTTATACTGCCTCCCAAGGCGTGTCAATTCTGCTCTCCCTGGTGTCAGTAATCTATTGATATTACGCACAAATCTGTTTGATGAATTTTCAATACGACTGTTGAACCATGAATACCTGGAATTTACAATTTAGTGTATAGTGAAGCCTGTGTAAGTGGAACTTCATTAAGGTGTTCCACCAGTGAATTGTTCCACCTACAGAGGTGTTCCACCTGACAGTTATTACTGTTCTACAGTGTCACATGGTTTGATTGTTAATATATGTGACTAATGATAGTTTTTTCAACTTGCTTAGGTATGTAAATCAAATATGATGTAGCTGTATTTCTGGAGTCTGTTTTGGAGTCAAACATGTATGTCAAATGGAATGTGAAAATATCTCAGTAAAGCATAGGTCATTGACTCAAGGAACTAGTCCTACTATATTATGTTTTGTGGACTGTGTTTGCCGTGTTAGGACTGGAATCCAAAAGCAATGGGTGTTGCATGAACTATAAAGTAATGAAGTCAGTTATGATTTAAGGTCAAAGCTGTCTGTCATTGTAGGGTCATTGTTTATATAGTCAAAAATACCAATAACCAATCAAAATCAAGCATTTAAGTTTGAAATGTGATAAATCTATTTACCTGTAGACAAAGTCTGCTGCCTCTAACTGAGGAAGTATGTTTGTCATATAACGTGACACTCTTGCGAAGCTATCTGTATTTGGACAGGCAAACTCCGTCAACCAAATCTTCTTGCCGTACCTGGCGTAAAGACTCCTGAGATACGCCATAGTCGCATCAGCGTTGCAGTGATAGTGATGGGTCGCTAGGTAGTCAACACGGCAACCATTACATAAACGGAAGAATTCATCGAACCATTCAATAGTTGAGGAGACACATCGTTCAGTTCCCCCGCCACAGTTTGCGGCTGAAGGGCTCACCAGAATTTTATTTCCAACAGCTGCTTCCAGTCTTGGCCAATATTCTGCAGCCTTCTGAGGTGTCATATTAGCCTGTTGAATATGGCAAAAATAAGTTGTATATTCAAAGATGAATTAGACTGTTGGTGCGGTAAGCTTTCTGCCTTGCACCAAGTCTCTTATACCCCTTCCCCCCATTGTCCAGAGGAAAGCAGAGGAAAATATGTATAGGCTAATGGAACAATTATGACCACAATTCTCAATAGAAGTTGAAACTTCTAGATCTATGGGCCTAGGAAGTTATTCACATTATAAGATCTTGATGGGCTTATGACAGTAAGTTATGAAACCCACTCTCAGAACCAGGGATATAAATACAACTGTAATCACCCATCTTGAAATGAACTTACCTCCATGGTGTGCTAGTATTGCACACTTCACGTACCTGTTCTCTATGATTTGGTTCATTGAATCCCAATACATATGTGGCATCCTCAGGTACTCTTCCTGTGATGTTGGTACTTCTCCACCACCCCCATTGCATTGGTACCCTTTCCTGTGTTGGTGTGTTTGTGCAGTTTGTATTCCTCAGATATGCAGGTAATAGCGACCAATCATACCTGAAGAAAGGAACCAATCATTATCTTGTTTTTCTGTCGCCACCACAAGTGATGACATATTGTTATGACCTCCAACTTTTTTTATGGCAGTTGGTGTTTGGAGTTTGGTGTCTGTAACAAATGTCTAACAAATGGTGGTGACATTTTGCATGTTAATGCGTTGTTACATTAAGTTACATTGCAAGTTTCTTGTTTGGATCATGTACTTCAAAACATAATGTTCTTGTGTGTGCGCAATTTTCAAGATTTTCGAATTTCTTACTGTTGTCAAAACACGAGGTCTGTATTTCAGACTTTTGGACATTGTGATCAATGGTTATCAATTATTCTAATGATAAAGATTTTGACAGTATGTAGATATTAATTGTTATGTAACTTACCACCAAACTATAGTTGTGAATTGAGCCAAATCTTGGCACTCGTAGATCCTTGGTGAGACACACAACCCCTTTTTGGTAGAGGGTGCACCTTACATAGTTATACAAAAGAATAGATCATTTTTAGATGTAAGAAATGTTTGTGATCAGACTATGTGAAATTGCCTGAAATAGGTAACCACCAAATAATGCTGAAATTCATTTCTGCAAAATAAACAGAACTTTTAAAATTTTGTTATGGAGTATTGGTTTTGATTGATTATGTGCTTGGCTTTACAAGTTTCATGCTTGTATAGGTGATGACTATTTATCAATGTGTTTTTGTATTTTGTGAATACTGCAAGAACTCACATAATTTTTGCAATAACATTCAATTTAAAATATACCATACCTTCAGCAAGTATGCTCAAAAGCAAAACAAGAGCTACAACCTTCATCCCTGTTATCCTGCAAGTCTGCCTTTGAGAAACTGTTGCTTGCTACAGACATCACTAAGTAGAAAGTGGCCATTACCCATTAAGAAAAATGCCATGATCACCAGGTCTTAAAATGGAAAATAAAGTGTAAATAGTGAAAGAATAAGAGATAATATTCAAATGTAAATGTGGACACTCTTAATTGTACAACAATGCAAAGAAACATACTGTTTATTCAACATTCTGAAAGGAAATATGTGGAATCAGTCTGACCAGGGAATACCTTTAAACATGGGTCTGATTTGATAAATTGAAAATGATAACCTGCATTACTGATAAGCACAAAACTTTCATGAACAATTGTTGTCAAAACAGACTGTAAAATCAAAATGCTTGACTTGATTGGTTATTTAAGAGCAATAGTTAAAATAAGCCCTTGTTCTGAATTTTACATGTTAGTATACATGTACTTACTGAAGGTGGTACGAGGGTTGTCTAAAAAGTTTTGAAATGTCAAAAGAATACAAGTTGATAGAATAAGATAAAAATTGAGACTTTTTAGAAAAAAGTGGTGAAATATTGTTATGGTCTCTGTTTTTTTGTGACAGCGATCGGTGGTTGGCGATCGATGGTTGGCAATTGGCAGTTGGCATCTTTATCAAATGGTGGTGATATTTTGCAATGTCATTATATTGTAGCATATGTGTTTGTAATTTTCAACTTTCCATATGCTTTTCCTTGAGTTAATATTGTTTGTTGGGATTTGTTTTTCCAAGTGTTACACCTTGTGTTTTATGATCACATCAAACATTATAAAATAGCCCAGGGGCGGATCTGGGAACCAACAAGGGGGGACCCAAATCCCCTAAAACCCAAAAGTGGGTCCACATTTGGCCTGAAATTAAAAAATAAGGCCTCAAAAGGTCCAGTAATGACCAAAAAGCCCACTTTTTGGAACCTTAAGGCCATTTTGGGCCCAATTTTTTTTCTGGGCCCACCCAAGGCCCCCCCCCCCTCCCAGATCCGCCAGTGTAGCCTGACCACATATTTGTAAATACACCTATTTTGTTGTTAATAATCAATGTCATTTCTGTAAGTCAATATGAATCCACATTTAAATTGTTGACTTTGATGATTTCGCAGTAGGCTTAGTTATGTTGAAATGTTCAGTTAAATACTGATTTCTTTGTATCTAGCTGATTAGTGTAAAATCTGATAAGATGGGATGGTGTCTAATTTTCAACAGTTGTAGATAAGTGAAGTTAATTGTACTATGGTGTCCATAGGTGTCCATATAACAATTTTTTTTTTGGTTTGTCTCACTTGAATTTTAAAAAATCAATACTCTTTTCTAATGAAATCATCATTCACCCCTCATACTAACAAAATAACTCTGTAGTTGTTGGTAGCTGGGCACCATCCATTAGATTCATCCACCAGGCCCATAGCCAGCTTTTGCCAAGGTTGAGGTTCACTTCTTAAAAATTACCTTATGACAATTTTGGTCCAAAAATAGCCAAAATTACTTCAAAAATGCTTGTAAAAAATGCTACAGACCTGTCCACCATCACACAAAGCCAATAACAATTATTGAGAGGTAAGAAATATAGAAAAGGCATAACAATTGATATACAAAACTAATCAGATTTTATTTGTTTGCTCATTCATGTAAACTTAACAATTATAAAAAATGTTACCAGATGATATCAACAATTACTCCAAAATTTTGAGATTAATCAGTCATTCAAACTGTTGGTATTCGTGTGTGAATAACTCATGTGGCATAATCATGTACAGGGTGTCCAAAAATAGGACCAAGAAACTGTTGATTAACTTAGTCAATCTTGCATATTCTACCTAGACATTTCAGAATTATTTAGTTCATTTAATGTTAATTTTGTTGTGAATATTTGATCATAATTTTTTTTGTTTATGGAGTCAAAAACTACGATGCCTTACAAAACATGCTACAAGTGGGCACCTCTCCTCTCTATACACAATTAATTCAATAGAGAGAGGAGAGATTCCCACTTTTTTACAGTCCTGTTTTTGGCACCCTGTATTAGTCCAAGACAAATTTGAGCAGATTGGACCTAATCACTCTACAACATGCACTTAGATAAGTTGCAGCAAAGAAAATAGTACACCTTTGTAAGTGGAACACATTTCCTAGTCTTGTTATCCACAATGAACCTGTGTACGCATGTAGAACGTCACCTCCAAAGTTGAACACTATTTTATGAATACTTTATATTAAGGTACCAGTACCATTAAAAGGTGTTTCACTCACACAAATTTTACTGCAATTTAAAATTGAGTTGATGCACTTCCGTATTTCAGTTCATTTTTATATCCTGCCGGTTTTCTAACAGGGATACTGCTTCTGATGAGATTGTTATTTTTCTTCATTGTGATATTGTTGTTTATAGTCTTTTTTGGAAAGGTTGTCTGTTGCTCTAGGTTTAAGTTTGGGTTTATATTTCGTGGTCTCATAACTGGTATGCTAGTCCTTTTTGTTGGCTGATTTACTGATACGCTTGGTTTCATAGGATTAATGGTCCCAGGATTTGAAGTCCTTGTGGGTACACTTGTCCCAGTGTTAGAGGCTCGTCCAGGGATGTTGGTCCCGAGATTTGAGCTCTTCCAAACAGGAATACTAGTCTTTACTGGAATGTGACTCAGACTTTCTGTACTGGAAGCATGTTTGAGATTACTTTTAAGAAGTATACTGTTTTTGAGATTATCAAGACTCTGGGTGTGTTTGATGGTGTCATGAGAGCCAACGGTTGCATTATTTGTTTCAGAACTATCCAGACTTTTCGTTGTCATATTATTTGTCCATTTTGTCACTTTATTAGTTGTAAGTTTACTAGATTCACTATCACTGAAATTACCTTTGTTAGTCCTTGGTAAAGTTGGTTTTTTGTTGAGAACACCATCATTAGGACTTTCAGCATTATTCTTTGTGGGGTTTGATCTTTTTTTCGAAAATGTCTCAGTCTTGTGATTGAAGTTATCAAGTACAGCTGTATTTTTGATAGGACTAATTGTCTTTTTCTTAGGGACTTCATTTGATATTGACACTGGGTTGTTTTGCAAGCTTAGACGCTTCTTCCTCATTAGAATTTTCTCCATCAATGATGGCGCTAGTTTGACTGTTGCAGGCCGATCATAAAAATCCTCCACTTTTTCAGGGCTTGTTTTAAAGTTTTGTATTATTTCCAATTGAGTTAAAGAGTCACTAAGTTCTTGAACATCCACTTGGAGGTTTTCTAAATTTTTAGTAAAAATATCCAAATCATTTTTTAACTCATTATAGGTCTTTTCACTGACTTCAACTTTTTCTTGTACAACTATTTTTTGGTGAGATTTTTCATCCATATGTTGCTCAATTCTAGAGAGAATTTGTTCAATTTCACTTAAACTGCGTTCCAAATCTTTAACTTGTTTCAGAAGTCGTGATCTCTTCGATTGTAGTGAATAGTTCTTTTTGGATTGCGATATTGTAATCTTCAAGAAATCGACCATGCTTTCTTTTTGCTGTTTTTCCTCATGTTTAGCCTTTTTCTCAGTTGTGTAATCCGTTTCTTGCTCTGCTAAGTCTTTGAGTTCAGTTTCAAGTTTCTGAAGTTTTCGTTTATTTGTGCTACATACGATGTAGGCTTGTTGGACTGATTTCATTGTACTTCGTTGTTGAACGATATGGTTCCGTAGGTCCTGTTCACGTCGTCGTGTGCGACTCCTTGTGTCCCTTATATGCTTGATGATGTCATAGACGTAAGTTTCGTCACGATCAATCCAGCGTCTCGCAATTGCACAAATATTTTCAAACTTCACTGATAAATCAGGTATAATTTGAAGTATTGGAAAGGCTTTTTTATCACAATAGGCTAGCACTCTGTCTATAAAGTTTGACTTTGTAAAAAGATTTGTTTTAATTCCATTTGGAAAACTTTTGATGATTTCTATTGCCTGAGAAAATTGTTTGTCAATATCATTCTGGTACTGTGTGATGTCATCAGTGTATTTCAAAGAGAGATCAATTTGTACATCAAGATTGTTATGGTAACTGGTACAACTGGATTCTAAACGCTTTAACACTGCAGTACGGAACTTTGTGAGAATTGATGCATAAGATTCCAGATTTGCTTTCACGGACTCCCAGAATTGTGATAAAAATCCTATCAGTTCATTAATCAGATCTTCGTTCGTTTCATTGGTCACATCTTCGATTTCGGTAAGAAGAAATGACACACCTCCTTCTGGTGGTTCATCGATTTCATCATGCACCATAACACAGTCGCGAAGCTTGTTCAAAATACTGACTATCTGGACTTCTGAATCAACTGGCGTAAAATCCACATTGTTTTTCCGTAGAATATCCTTCCCGAGCATCATCTTATCATTACAGTCTTTCAAATATTTATGATACACATCTTCGTCGTTATCCTCTGTGGAGTAAAAGTCACGCTTTATTCTATCATTTTCAATTTCCAATTCTTGGATTCGTTTCCGTAGAGCCCCAAGGCCTTGTAGGTAATCTGCCTGGGAGGTCCCCAATATGGGAATATTGTCAGTTTCCTGGTCTGCCATTTTGGCAACCATTTGGCAACCTTGGGAAAATAGTTTCTAAATGTTCAAGAATGTTCTTTGACTCATTTATACCAAACTGTTCTGTTCCTTTTAACCTGTTAAATATAAATGTCACTTTTTAGTTGTGAATATTGATTATAGTTATCAGTTATACGTTTTCCAATATGTACTGTTCTTTTGATCAATTGATCTTGTAATTTAAGTCAGTTGTTGTCCTTCTGCGTTTCTGTTATGATAAATTTTGATTTCGAATAATCATTGTTGTTGAAGACAATACATCAATCCAAGCCATATCAGTCATATCCGCATTTATAATGAATATATCTCATATATAAGATCGATAGAGATAGTTACTCATATTTGATCCAATTAACACGTTCTCTAAGCTGTAACACACATAGAACTTTGTACAGTTGTGCTCGTCAACATCCTGTAGATATTTCTCCCATGTTAACATCACTCTCAGCAAACTCTTTGATTATTTGCTCTCATGGGAAGATGTAATCCGCTAACTCAATAAATGTTTGCGCTTTGTAGTAAGTAGCCATCGATCATGGTTTCCTTGTTTTAGGCTGTTTTTCTTCATTTGTACAATTTTTAAAGTTGTTACTTTTTCAGATATTTTTTCGATGACCCGCCATTTGTGTTCTTCAAGATTTGTGTTAATCCATCAGTTTGGGACTTCTTTGTGCCAAGCACTCTCCACATAGGGTTTCAACCAGTTTTTCACCTGTAAGATCAGAATTTCAATGTAAGCACTTAAAGTCTTTGAAAGTCAATTTTTATGTTACAACCCCCACACACTGGGTTTAATACTTTGTCATGTAATGTCCCAAAATTTAAATAATCAAAAACCCAAGCAAGTTTAACGAAATTCCATGTCTCTGAAAAAACATTTTAAAATGATTCATATAATTTTATAAACCCTGTTCTGAGAGCATAACTGTTGAGATTGCTATTGAAACAGTGTATTATTTTTAAGCCAACAATTACTTGAAGTATTTCATTTGATCGAGTTTCTATTAAGTGAAATAGAGTTAGTTAGATTTCAATAGAATTTGCAGGCTTAACCCAAAGAGCTTTATTTCATATAGTAACAAGTAACACTATGTATTGAATAAGGAGTGAAATCATATGCTTTATTTAAATCAGATCACTATGGGTAGAGACTCCAACAAAACAACTAAATAAAATTAATAATGGGTTCTTTTTACTTCATAATCCAAAATGAGATTATAAATATTTGATGACAGTAAAATCTAATTTTTTAAACTTAAGTTACACTAACAATTAAGATAAGGTTAATCTGTTCAAAAATTATTGTCATATATTACTCTTGGTATTTGTCAGACCAATTTTAGGAAAGAAAGATTCAAAAGTAAGAGTTAACTTATAGAATAAATAATATTTGAGTCCATTTACAAGACCAGACCTGTGTGGAATTATCATACAATGCCAAAATTTAATCCTAGAATTTGGAATTAATCATAATACAAAATATTGACCCCATAATTTGACTGAACCAATGATTAATGCTGACTTGCCTATAGAGATATAATTGTTCCCGATTTCATATATAAATATGCTCGCTTTATGTGCAAATTGTAACATGTAATATTTTGGCAGCAACTTACAGATGTCAACATTATTGATGTTTTGCTATAAATCGCTAGAAAAACACCAAGTGCATTAACCTATAAATATTATACCTAAAATATACATGGGTACTTTAAAATATGGCAAATGTCACCACCTGTTTGCAACTAAAAGTGTAACTAATTGTCACCAATTTCAGTCACAAAAAATGGTTCCTGTAACAATATGTCATCACTTCTTGGAGGTGGTGACAGAATTTGGTGACATAAAAAGTTTTTATAAGAAATTATGTTGATGTATAGGCCTAATGAGTGATATTAGGTTTAAATTATTTTCTAATCCTAAAATCTATTTTAAGTCTCTGATGCCATTAATTTTAAAACATTTTCAATTTATCAATTTACAGAATAGTAAAACCTGTTAGCGGAACACCTGAATGAACCTTTAATAGGGAATCACTTTTTAGAGGTAACAAAGGTGTCCAACTTACGCAGGTTTTACTGCATATTATTTATTTCTTCATGTATTATTTCTGATACACTTTTCAAATTAAATTCATAAGGGAAATGAAACACACCAATTACTTCCTGTGTATCATATGATAATGCAGGTGAAAATGCTTAATCTTTAACCCAGGATATAATATTTATCCCATATAATAATTATTACATACGGGTTTAAATGAAATCATGATCATAAGTCTTTATGTGTTCTACAGGTGATGCCATTTGTGCTTTTTTAGTTGGGAATATTAATCAAATTTACCTTAAAATCAACATATATTAATTTCAACAAACATTATTTTGTTTTGAGTTAACTCATAAATAGTGTGATAGTAATGCATACTCACACTTTCCATTTGGAACACTTTGATTTCGATCCTTTAAAAGACAGATTCATCTTCACCTAATTTACAGGGCTCAGATACACAAAGTACACTCTTGAACATGGTGTATTCACTGATTTGATATCTAAAAACATAATCTCACTTTTTATCTATAAGGCCATTGAGATGTGATATCAATGGTTGCTATGGCCGAACACCTAATATAAATTATGTTTTTGATATCAAAACATTATTGAGAGTCTGAAGTGAATTAGAAAATGTTTTGAATGATATTGAATGGTAACTTCACAATGTGTCGCTTTCACAATACAAGTAGTTTGATGTCAAAATATTATTGCAAAATCTTGTAAAGTTACTTCTTATTTTAAATATGATGAAGTGGCAAATAAATATAGAAATCAGATGCTGGTTTCAAGTTCAGTTTTGATAACATATTCAAAAAAAAGATTTGAAGGAGGTGGTTGGTAAGACTGTATTAGGATTTACTTGTATAAAAAATCAATAAATATAAACACACTGTCTTCCAAAACAAAAACCAATTTTACTCAAATTATTTCACTAATACACGCATAATGGCTTGGGAAATAAGTTAGTTCAATGGTGTTATATCTTTGACTTATTTGAACTAAAATCTTGTTCCATTCTTATTTTTTACTTGTTATGCTCAATTAGTTCTGGTTTGTATGAGGTTCCTTTATTTTCAGATCAGAACTTTAACACCTTGGCAAATACACAAGGTCAAGATGTAATCTGAACACAGTCCTTGAAGCAATCCAGTTCTTTGTCGCAATTGTGGACAATTAAACAAGCAAATAGGAATATATTGAAATCTAACATCCCAAATGATTTGAAACTCAAATAATGTTAGATTGGGCTTCAATGGAAGGTAAACTACAATAACCTTACTTCACAGAATTTTTTGTCATTGTTCAATATTGGAATTATTCACTTGTTTGTTACTCAAACAAATGAATCTTTGTTAAGGTTAAATAGTAAAATGTATATTATGTGGACAAACAATAAACTAAATTGTAAAAGCGAAAAAATTCATTGTGTTTAAAAGCAAAACAAGTTCAACCCAAAATATGAATTTTGAATTTACAATGTAGGTATAAGGATCATAGCAACTTATGTTTCAAATTTTAAGTTAATTCAATCATTAAAACAAACAGAAGGCCATTTACAAAATTGAAAGTTCATGTTAACATTAATTGTAAACAATCAGGGATCATATACATTACATCTGAATTTTGTTTGATATACTTGATGTCCAGGGCTACTGTATCCATATAGACTGTCGTTTAGGATAAAAAACATCAAGCCAGTAGGCAGCTTTTGCCATATTACCAAGGGGGGTTCACTTTTTAAAAAGTTCCAAGGGGGGGGGAGGGAGTGCACTTGAGAAGCCTGGCCCAAAAGCACTTGAAAAGTGCTCAAATTGTGAAAAACTGCATGATTTTGAAAGAATCTTTGGCTGGAGAAGGGTGAACATTCTCGAGAAACATTAACTATTTTTCTTGAATTTCTTAATTTCTTGAAACGAAATGTTGAAAAACAACCTAAGTTAAACCAGTCTAGCCTAATTGTAATATAACCCGATATAATTATATGGACAATAAGAGTCAGTTAACAGTTATGCAAACAGCATCTAATCCAGACCCATTGTTGGAGAAATAAATAAAGGACATGTTTACTACTGGAAACTGGATGGCTTTGGTTTAAAATTTGTGTTTATTAAACAGTGTGTTGCTGGTTGAGTGATCCTTGGCAGGGGATATATAGAGGTTATTTAATGGGAGGGATGGAATATGAATTTTATTCCGAGGGAAAATATGATATTGGCCAAGGAAAATATCAAATTGACTGAAGGCGATAGCCGAGTGTCAATATATTTTCCCAGGCCAATATCATATTTTCTCAAGGAAAAAAATCATATTCCATCACGACCATCAATAACCTATTTATTCTGTAATAATTTTCTAAAACTTATTTATTTTTAATTTTTGTACATCATCACCCAATGATTGTGACATAAAATGATACAATTTATCATATAATATTTTCAACTTTTATTAACAAGTTTTAATTAAAAATGTAAATGATTAAGAACACTAGAGAAATTACCGAGAATAATTCTGATGCGGGATTTTTGCTGATACGGGATCTGATACGGGATTTTTTGAATCTCAATTTTATTCCCTGTGAATAATGATATTTATTCCATAATAACATGTTTTCGCTGGGAATAAAACTGATATTCAAAGATCTGTATCAGATCCCGTATCAGAACCATGGGAAAATTTCATGAGACTTAATATTGTGTTATTCTGGCATATTATGATCCATTTTACTATCATAAATCATTTCTTTTTTAAAACTTGTTAATAAAAGTTGAAAATGTCATTTGATAAAATTAAATTGTATCATTTAATGTCACCATCGTGTCACCAAGTTTCTGATAAAAAATATCATGGAATAAATAGGTTATTGATGGTCGTGATGGAATATGAATTTTTTTCATCAAGAAAATATGATATCGGCCTCAGAAAATATCATATTGGAGTTTTTTCCAATTTTTCACTAAATGAACAAAATGCTTTGTATTGTAATTTGGTGAATTTGGTAGATTTGGCATAGAAGATATATGATTCAAATAACTGATAAATAATAACCATTTCTCATCAAAAACTGAATTCCTATTATGTGCAGAGCTGTATGAAAAAGTTGTAACAAGGCATTATCATGCAAAATGTTATTTGTTTCAGACGCCGACTAGTAAACACCTACCGCCAAACACCAACTGTTGAACACTATTCACCAAAGTTGGAGACTATAAAATATGTCACCACCACAACATGGGGAGTAAGTCAACCCTCCCTCTTATATTCTCTTATATTCTGCAGCCTATTTTACCATAGAAAAAATTAGGAAGAGGGGATGAGTTACTCCCGTGAACCACAATGGCTCGTGTTGAGCCATTTGAATACAAATTGTAATTTTACGATTCAGAAAAAGTGTAATCCATTCAGAATAAACAGGAACTCGAGTAATGTGTACATGTACTGACATGTAGTTAATTGATCCAGATGTATTGAACTGTTTGATTCCCTATAGCCAGGAAAGTTTTGGTTTACATCAGAAATGTCTTAAATGATATGTAAACATTAGGCTTTGCAAAAAGACCAATACAGTCTATTTGAATAACCCTCTCTGTGTCTCTAGCTTTCTTGATCAGATCATTTTTTTATTCAAGTTTTAGGTTTACATTATAATGTAAATTTAGATGATAATACAAATGTAATTAGGGTCGCTCATTTTTTTATAAGAATGTATATAAGGGGGTCTGATCTGATCATGCCTTTTCCGTACTTTTTATATGAAGTATTGCCTGAATTGCCCAACTTTCTAGCATCACTAGGCAATTTAGAGTGTTGTCTACACACTGTTTGTTCATTTTCTATATCATATGCTGATTTTACTCTATTATTTTTTCTATGATATTTTTCACATAGATATACATTTCTAATATCTTAGAAATGGTGATATGAATGTTTAACTGTACCAAAAGAACAAATCGAAGAGAAGTTATACTAATAGTAGTGTGACACCACTCAATTTGGATTAATAACACCAATTATTTTTGTATAAATCCTTATTACATGAGCACTGATTTTACCATTCTGTTTTAATAGTAGCACCGCTCATACATTGGTTAATCTCTTCCAACTTTCATTCAGAAAAAGTATGGAGAACCAGGCCCGTAGCCAGGGGGGGGGGGGGGGGTTCGCAGGGTTCGGGCGAACACCCCAATTCTTTTAAAATCATGCAGATTTTCACCATTTTGAGCACTTCTCAAGTGATTCTAGCCATATTTGGGTCAAAATAGTCAAATGTGAACCCCCCTGGAAATTTTTGAAAACTGTAATCCCCTTGGCAAATCCTGGCTACGGGCCTGAGAACCATGTAAAGGGTTAACACAAATGGATCATGGTTTACGATAGCAACTTTCCAGGAATTTAGTTTTCCCCTTCAAAATAAAGACAAAGAGTTCAAATGGACAGTGATCAATACATAATCTTAATACAAAACCAGCCAAACAGTACAATAACATTTAGGCAGTAAAAGCATTTCAAAATTCATTTATCTATTTTGTCAACTATTTATCATTTCATTCAAATTAACCTTCACCAAAATAGATGGCAACATAATTGAAATTAACATTTTGCCAAAATAGATGGCATTATAATACACAAAACACAGTCTAAGTAAAGTATTTACAAAAGTAAAACCTAAAAATACGGCAAGGCAAATTGTGATGGCACATAATGTTAAAGTGTTTCAACTACGTTCAAATTCTGTTTCTAAACTATGGTTGGCAAACGTGAATTATGAATACAAACTAACTATCCTCTTCCTATAGTTTTTACAAAAAGTTAAAGAGACAAACAGAAATGATTTTAAATGTATTTCATTGGTCTGCCTCCTTAAAATCAATTAATTCACTTTTTAAGTGAGACAAAAAATACATTTCATAAAATATTTATGTTTCTAAATTTTATACATGTACATGATTGTAAACTCCATTTCATTAACAATATTATAATTACATAAAATGATATGTTGAAGTTGATTCATCATTTTTATACAATAACTGAATTTTTGATAGCATTATCTTAAAGAATTCCATATTATAATATTTAGTTGTTTAAGAATAACATAGTAGATCGTAATTCATGTAATTGTTTTAAAAAGTAGTTTTTTTTACATTTTTGCATGGATGCTTACACTTCATAGTAAAACATATAAATCATAAATATTGTATGACATATTGCTAATTTTTTAGAGTGTGGATATACATTAACGTCTAGCGATGTACAGGGTGTCCAAAAAGTATCTACACTTTAGACAGCCATTGTATTATAATTGTAACAAGACATTATAGACACCCTATACTTTACCTCCTATTTGCCTGTTCACTATATTTCTCTGAAACACTCCATTTCCACTCATTTAAACTTTATGTTTTAAAACAAAACCACCAAGCAACTTAATACACTCATTGTGATAATACTGACTATGTGATAACTATAATAAGATAAGCATTTATAATTGATTTGCACAGCATGCATTGCTAACATATGATAACATTGTTCTTATTGTATTTACATTTATGTGACAGACCTTCGGGTCTAGAATTGGGGATCTAACATTACACCCCACACAGGAATAAACAGCCCTCCCAGATATAAATATGTCCTTATTAGACCAAAAGTGTTTCTAACAGTTTGGGACATCAGGGTTCAAAGTATTTTTTTCAGAATTGAAAAGGCACCCAAAGTGATCTAATGGTCAGCCCATTGGTTTTATAACGCAATGCTAATATATACAGCATAATATATTGTTGGTACCTAATCTTCAATACTCCGCACTGATTGGATATTATGAGGTTTACATAATATACTGTTGACCCAACAGCCTAAATACTCCAATATGATTGATCGATAGCAGGTATACAGAATATACTGTTGGTACATCAGCTTAAATATAGTCCTTTCTAATTGGACATTAGTATGTATACATAATATACAGGATTGGTCAATATACAGCAGGTATACAGAATATACTGTTGGTACCTCAGGCCTAATACTCCAATCTGATTGGCTAAATACAGTAATTTTTACAGAATACATTTTACATGATATGTTACGAAAAATTTTATAAAAAAAATGTTCTCATTCTGAGATTCTTTGGAAAATACTATCATTTGATAAGAAATAAATGTCTGGTGATATGTTTTTTAAGAACTGTAACTGTAAGAGCCAATATTACATACTTGGATGTAAAAGTGATAATAAACCCTATAGAAGAGAATTATAAAGATAACTAGACTTTGGAAATTGAACGAAGTTCAATTTCAGACTCCAGATCTAGACTTTTTTTGGCCGAGTCATCCAGAATAAGCCGAGTCATCCAAAATAAGCTGAGTCATCCAGAAAAAGATGGATGGATGGATGGATGGATGAAAAAGGAAGGAAGGATAGGCTAGAATAGGAAGGAACAATAGGATAGAATAGGAAAGAATGATAGAATAGAATATGAAGAAGGAATAGAATAGGAAGGATAGGAAGGAGAGGATATGAAAGAAAGGTAGATAAGAAGGATACGATAGGATCACAAAGGAAGGATGGATGCATTTTTCAATATTTTCTTCTCTACTCTTGACTTTCTATCAGGATACCATCAGATCGATTTTTCTCGAAATTTCAAAACGCCATAACTTTCGAATCGGAAGTCGGATCGAAATTTGGTTTGCAGGCTCGGATTCCTGAGAAAATTCTACCCTTAATTCATAACTCATATGCTAAATTTGGAGAACTTTTTATTTTGACCTACTTTTCTGACACCATATCTCAAAAGTGGGTAGAAATACTTTCTGACGGCAAAAGGCTAACACTATTAGCACACTTTTTCCTACCTGTATACAAAATTTTGAAGCAAATCATTTAAACATAGTGCCAGAATCGCAAAAATAAGGAAAAACTATGAATTTGACCTAGATTTTGACCTGGGGATTTTGGTGTCCAAATTTTGAAGTTAGGTAGCCTTCGAGGTCCCTTTCTTTCATAGGCTTTCATTATTTTAAGCTGTACTTAGTCTATATCTCGAATTTTACACTTCAAAAAAATCTTTTTTCCCATTGACATAACATGGGGCACCAAATTTAGCGATTTTTGAGCTTTCAAAATGTCATAACTTCCGAACAGGAAGTCGGATCGAAATTTGATTTGCAGATTCGGATTTCTGAGAAAATTCTATACTTAATTCATAACTCAAACGTTAAATTTGGAGAATTTTTTATTTTGACCTACTTTTCGGACACCATATTTCAAAAGTGGGGCAAAATACTTTCTGACGGCAAAAGGCTAACACTATTAGCACACTCTTGGCTACATGTATACAAAATTTTGAAGAATATAATTAATCTGTAGTGTCAGAATCGCAAAAATAAGGAAAAACTTTGAATTTGACCTAGATTTTGACCTAGGCATTTTGGTGTCCAAATTTTTATGAAAAGAAGGTTTTGAGGTCCCTTTCTTTTATGGGCTTCCATTATGTTTAGCTGTGCTTAGTCTGTATCTCGTATTTTACACTTCAAAAAAATATTTTTTCCCATTGAATTAACATGGGGTACCAAATTTAGCGATTTTTGAATTTTCAAAACGCCATAACTTCTGAACCGGAAGTCAAATTGAAATTTGGTTTTCAGATTCGGAATCCTTAGAAAATCTCCTATAAGACTGATATCCTGGACATTGGATTCGGAGAACTTTTTTTTGGACCTCGTTTTCGGACACTGATATCTCGAAATTGGTTTGAGATACCAAAAAACTAAATCGACCCTAGATTTTCTACTTTTTTATGAGGAACACAATGAAAAAAACCCGGATCAAAAATATTGAAGGACGACCGAGAAAATCGAAAAAAGTGACAAAGTACTGGATTTGACCTAGTTCTTGACCTTTGACCTAGATAAAAATTTGACCCAATTTCCCACCAACTAGATACTGAACCTAAATGAACTGTATAATGGTCTTTACTGGATCCCTTATAGTTATTGAAAAAACTCTTAAAGAAAAATAATAACTAGATTTTGGAAATTGAACGAAGTTCAATTTCAGACTCCAGATCTAGACTTTTTTTAGCCGAGTCATCCAGAATAAGCTGAGTCATCTAGAAAGAGATGGATAAATAAAATAGGAAGGTAGGATAGGATAGAATAGGAAAGAACGATAGGATAGAATAAGAAAGAAGGATAGGATAGAATAGAATAGGAAGAAAGGATAGGATAGGATAGGATAGGAAGGATAGGAAGGAAAAGATATGAAGGAAGGATAGATAGGAAGGATAGGGTAGGATGAGATAGGAAGGATGGATGAATTTTTCAATATTTTCTTCTCTACTCTTGACTTTCTATCAGGATACCATCAGATCGATTTTTCTCGAAATTTCAAAACGCTATCACTTCCGAACCGGAAGTCGGATCGAAATTTGGTTTGCAGATTCGGATTCCTGACAAAATTTTACCTCTAATTCATAACTCATACATTAAATTTGGAGATTTTTTATTTTGACCTACTTTTCGGACACGCCATAACTTCCGAACCGGAAGTTGGATCGAAATTTGGTTTGCAGATTCGGATTCCTGACAGAATTCTACCCTTAATTCATAACTCATATATTAAATTTGGAGAATTTTTTATTTTGACCTACTTTTCGGACACCATATCTCAAAAGTGGGTCAAAATACTTTCTGACGGCAAAAGGCTAACACTATTAGCATATTCTTGGCTACATGTATACACAATTTCGAAGAATATAATTAAAGTGTAGTGTCAGAATCGAAAAGATAAGGAAAACCTATGAATTTGACCTAGATTTTGACCTAGGCATTTCGGTGTCCAAATTGTGAAGCTAGATGGCTTTTGAGGTCCCCTTCTTTTAAAGGCTTTGATTACATGAAGCTGAACTCAGTCTATATTCCGTATTTTTCACTTCAAAAAAATATTTTTTCCCATTGACTTAACATGGGCACCAAATTTAGCGATTTTTGAGTTTTCAAAACGCCATAACTTCCAAACCGGAAGTCAGATCCAAATTTCGTTTTCAGATTCGGAATCCTGGGAAAATTTCCTATAAGACTAATATCCTGGACATTGGATTCGGAGAACTTTTTTTTGGACCTTGTTTTCGGACACTGATATCTCGAAATCGGTTTGAGATACCAAAAAATTGAATCGACCCTAGATTTTCTACTTTTTTATGAGGAACACAATGCAAAAAACCCGGATCCAAAATATTGAAGGACGACCGAGAAAATCGAAAAAAGTGACAAAGTACTGGATTTGACCTAGTTCTTGACCTTTGACCTAGATAAAAAATTGACCCAATTTCCCACCAACTAGATACTGAACCTAAATAAACTGTATTATGGTCCTTACTGGATACCTCATAGTTATTGAAAAAACTCCTAAAGAATAATAAGAATAAGAATAACTAGACTTGGGAAATTGAACGAAGTTCAATTTCAGACTCCAGATCCAGACTTTTTTAAGCCCAGTCATCTAAAATAAGCCGAGTCATCCAGAATAAGCTGAGTCATCCAGAATAAGATGGATGGATAAAACAGGAAGGTAGGATAGGATAGAATGGGAAGGAACGATAGGATAGAATAAGAAAAAAGGATAGGATAGAACAGAATAGGAAGAAAGGATATGATAGGAGAGGATAGGAAGGATAGGAAGGAAAGGATACGAAGGAAGGATAGGATAGGATAGGATCAGATAGGAAGGATGGATGAATTTTTCAATATTTTCTTCTCTACTCTTGACTTTCTATCAGGATACCATCAGATCGATTTTCCGAAATTTCAAAACGCTATAACTTCCGAACTGGAAGTCGGATCTAAATTTGATTTAAAGATTCGGATTCCTGACAAAATTCTACCCCTAATTCATAACTCATACATTAAATTTGGCGAATTTTTATTTTGACCTACTTTTTGGACACGCCATAAATTCGGAACCGGAAATCGGATCGAAATTTGGTTTGCAGATTCGGATTTCTGAGAAAATTCTATTCTTAATTCATAACTCAAACGTTAAATTTGGAGAACTTTTTATTTTGACCTACTTTTCGGACACCATATCTTAAAAGTGGGTCAAAATTCTTTCTGACGGCAAAAGGCTAACGCTATTAGCACACTCTTGGCTACATGTACACACAATTTCGAAGAATATGATTAAAGTGTAGTGTCAGAATCGCAAAAATAAGAAAAAACTTTAAATTTGACCTAGATTTTGACCTAGGCATTTTGGTGTCCAAATTTTAAAGCTAGATGGCTTTTGAGGTCCCATTCTTTTAAAAGCTTTCATTATATTTAGCTGAACTTAGTCTATATTTCGTATTTATCACTTCAAAAAAATCTTTTTTTCCCATTGACTTAACATGGGCTCAAAATTTAGCGATTTTTGAGCTTTCAAAACGCCATAACTTCAGAACCGGAAGTCTGATCTAAATTTCGTTTTCAGATTCGGAATCCTGAGAAAATTTCCTATAAGACTAATATCCTGGACATTGGATTCGGAGAACTTTTTTTGGACCTCGTTTTCGGACACTGATATCTCAAAATCGGTTTGAGATATCAAAAAACTAAATCGACCCTAGGTTTCCTACTTTTTTATAAGGAACACAATGAAAAAAACCCGGATCGAAAATATTGAAGGACAACCGAGAAAATCGAAAAAAGTGACAAAGTACTGGATTTGACCTAGTTCTTGACCTTTGACCTAGATAAAAATTTGACCCAATTTCCCACCAACTAGATACTGAACCTAAATGAACTGTATTATGGTCCTTACTGGATACCTAATAGTTATTGAAAAAACTCCCAAAGAATAATAATAATAATAATAATAATAATAATAAAAAGAATACTGGCAAAAACAATAGACTCCAGATTTTCAATCTGGAGTCTAATAATTTATTGACAATGTAAATCATGACTTTTTGTATGCTCAGTTCAAAATGTGAATGACTCAGTCAACATGTTTTTAAATGGACGTTATACAATTGCGACATCCAACATTGAACTTGGTCTGATTGACATTTTCTCCCCCTCCCTTATTCTTAGATCTAAAATCTGGTAATTCAAATTCTCATTTTTAATTATAATCAACCACATTCGCCCTACCCCTCCTTTCTAATGCCTACTGTGCTTAAAATTACTTTCCAAGGCATTAACATGCAAGATGTCACCACCTGCCATTTTTTACAGATGTTGAACTCCAAATGTGGTGGTATGGTGGTGAAAAATCATAATTTGATTCCAAAACTGAGCATACAGTCGTCCTACTGTATTATATCATCAATTTTTAATATGATATGTGCGTATCAAAGTACTGAATCTTTTTTCACTTCATGTAACTCATTGTCAAGCAAACTAGAAAAAGTTCGCATTTGCAGCGCTAAGCAGAACGCAAATTCATAGCATGGGTCTCTATAGACCAACTTCAATGCAAAGTAAAATCAACACATTGTACATCGATATAATTCATCAGAAAAAGTACAACACAATAATGAATATAACACAATTATTGCAGAATTTTGTACAATAAATGGCAGAATATAACACAATTATGGCAGAATGTTGTACAATAAATGGCAGAATATAACACAATAAGAGATACAATATAACACAAAAACTGCTGAACTGATAATGCTAAATGAGACTAGAAAATTTCAAAACTTGACTGACAAGAACAAAAAATAACATAAATTATGGCATATAAAAATCTACAATGTGAACTAATTGGCATGCAAAATATACAAAATTCTACAATTACAAATTCTACATTATACAATTATTTAATACATGTTATATGAAGTATAAACGATTATTAATTGTATTATACAATTTTCAAAATATTTTTTAATAAAATATATTTGAATACTCAATAACAGTAAAACCTGTATTAGTGAACACCCCCCCCCTTCCTCTGCACATACTCCACTCTGTATGAATTACCCTTTCTGTAGAGAACACCTCCCAACACGGCAAAAAAATGTTCAATACACACAGGTTTTACTGTATAGTGTTCCTTCACCGTCACACTCAATTGTATGTGGCTACAAAAACTGCAAAGACAAAACAATCTGCAAGTAAGTCTTGATTAATGGGACAATTGCTGTGTATTCAGTATGTATATAAATGTATACTGTATAAGCACCCGTTTGGAGATAACGACACCTGTTTGTGAAGGAATTATTACTTTATTTGTTCCAAATATATTTCACTTGATACACATAATTACAAGTACTGGTACATATGAAAGGCTGTACCATGTACATCTCATTTTACAAGCAACTAGACATGCTATACAAATCGCAAAATATACACAGACAAGTCATGCCATCTATGTATAACAAGACACAATATATACATACATATGACAAATCATGCCATCTATACAATCTAAGTCACAAAATATACACATACACATGATTGCTATTGCAATAAAGCATTTTGAATTGCTACAGTAACAGTACAAACACAAAGAACAAAATTTTCCCTCAGCTTGTCTCCAAGGTAAAAATAGCAAATCATTAAAATTCTTTATACAAGGTATGTTTGCTTTTTAAAGACTTTCAATTTTAAAACTGAAAGAGCATAATACAGTACAGTATTACCTGTCCAAGTGGAACACCTTTGGTACCTCTAGAATGTGTTCCACTAAGGATAAGTTGTGGTTGTGGGACTCTGAAAAGTGTTTCACTAACAGAGGTGTTCTACTTTTAGAGGTGTTCCACTTTACAGGCTTCACTGTACATATATTCATATTGAGAAGTGTTCAGATGTATAGGATTTACTGTACATGATATGGAATTTGCCATACACTATTATTGTACGTGGAATTTGCCATACACTATTACTGTACATGAAATTTGCCATACACAATTACTGAACATGGAATTTGCCATACACTATTACTGTACATAGAATTTGCCACACTATTACTGTACATGTAATTTGCCATACACTATTACTGTACATGGAATTTGCCATACACTATTACTGTACATGGAATTTGCCATACACTTTATACGTTCATGAAATAAGCATTTTCAACTATCTTCGTTGTAACTACATTACATTTATACTATTGATACAACATAGAAGTTATTTTATATAATCACTTTGGTTGCATGATTCAATTTATGATGGGCAAATATCCTATTTCATTTTTCATATGATGGCCTTAAAATGAATTTAATCACTGTTATGTATAAAACAATTTATTGTATATGGCCCAAAAATGATGAACTGATTTATGAACAAAATTAGTTATGACCAATATTACTTGGCTTCATTTTTAATGTACATGGGTTTAAGCCCAGAACGTATTTCACGAGATCGCAGAGCACGAGCAGCAACCTTTTCTTCTGCAGCATATGGAGTTGACATCATGACCTCTTTGGTACCTCCTAGATATCTGGCTCTCGTTCGTTTTGGCTCAAACTTGATAGTCTCTGCTTCATGGTTAGAATTTCTCTGTCGCAGTCCTTTAAACATGCGCATCAATTTCGATCCGCGTCCTGACGATTTCCGTTCAAATCGTTCAGGTTTTTCAATATTTTCTTTATCATTATTTTCAAAGGATACATGTGTTTGCATCTTGTCTTGATTCGTGGAGATATCCAAAATATCTTCCTGGCTCAAAGCCCGACCTTTGTTTTCTAGTACAAGGGGTCCTAATGGGGACTGACTCTCGGGTTTTACAGTCCCACTTATGCGTATTGGTGATACATCAACATCACTTAAACTACGGCGATGATTTTGTGTGTTTCTATTCGCTAACACGAGATCAGGAGACTTACTGCGTAGAACATTATCTGGTATGTCTGGAATGAACGATTTACAACATACATTTGTTTCTTTTCTTTATTGCTCTTAATGCACAGTAAATATGAAATAAGTAAAATTCTCTACGTGGAGCATTGGTCAAAGTGGTTACAAAAGAATAATAAAAGAATACCACATGCATTAAAACAAGCTATTGTTTAAGTGAAGTATGACCACTTTCAAGTCACAATTGACAATTCATGAATGAAAATACATCAACCCCCATAATGTACATTTATACAATTCTGTCTTTAAACTGGAATCAATGTTTATACATAACATGAACCCTTACCTGGACTGAAGAAAGCTCCAGAGTCATCAGTGTAACTACTGTGGTCAGCATACTTGAACTCATCAGACAGCCTACATGGTTGCGTCCCTGCCACTCTTTCAAAACCCTGCGATACTGGGAATGGTGGTGTCCTTGTTATTCCCTCAGGATGTTTCGTTACTGAAAATGGTTGGGTCCCAGCTGTTTCTTCTGGGTGAACAGGGAATTTGGCCACTTGCGTAGAAACTGTTGGTATGTGATTTGTGATGGTAGGAATATGGGCAGATTTTGATGATAGCTGAGACATGTTCGTGGCAATGTTAGAAGTACGAAGTTCACGCTTTATGACAACATGGGTTTGATGCTCTGAAGTATACTTCTTCGCAAAGCTGGATTGTACACTGGAGGAGTAAGCTGGGGTGCCTTCACATGTAGGCTCAGACAATATAGGGGTAACTTTTGGTTTTAGTCCAGCTTTAGGAAATTGCATACGTCTAGTTGGAGCGGGAGGCTCTTTTGCACTGGGATTCAATTGTGGGGGTTTTAGTTTAGAGGCTAGGGATGCTCTTGTACTTTGAGCTGGTCCTTTAGTGGGAATACTACTAGTTGGTTGCCCTTTAATGGGAATGCTACTAGTTGGTTGCCCTTTAATGGGAATGCTACTAGTTGGTTGCCCAGTAGTTGGAATACTACTAGTTGGTTTCACTGTAGCACATTTCTGTTTCCCAGTTTGTACTACTGGTGGGTTGGTAGTTCCATTTTGGGCTGCAGTCCTGGTGCTGCTCCGCAGCCCTATGCTGCTTCGTAGTGTTGTATTAGTAGTAGCCTTTGAGTAGGCAGGCAGCCGCGTGACTTTAGTGAGAGTACCATATGATGGGAGGCGTGTTACTTGAGGCATGTCCTTCTCCCTCACTGGAAACCTAGCAGCATCTGGAACAACTGCACTGGTCTTCTTCCCCACATCAGCTTCCTTTCCAATCTCATTTTCCTTATCTTTCCCCTTTGGTATGTTCTTCTTAGGTTTCTCTGCAGGGGGCTTGATTTGAGTTGGTTTACTCTTAGATGGGACTTGAAATGCTGCTTCACGTGCCAAGGCTCTAGTGACTCTGCTTGGAATAGCACTTGCCACTTGAACCTCCTGCTTGGTGTGAACCTCTTTATTTGGTGCTCCTTTACCAGGTTGTGTCCCTTTATGAATGGGCTGCACCTTGTTAATTGTTGGCTTAGGGAATGCCTTATGGATTTTGATAGCTGGTCCAACTGATATCAAATCCTCAACGGTTAACATCTTAGGGGCATCTTCAATAGGGTTTGGGTTAACTTCAGAAGGTGCAGGATCTCCTGTGTTAAAGCTAGCCTCTGTGATTGATTCTTCATCACTTCCAAGGGTCTCCTCATCTGCTAGGATAGCACTCATTATGTGAGGGTTGTTTACGGACACCTGCAATGGAATATCAAGCTGTTCTTATGTCAACATACTATATCTAGTAGATAGTGCTGATTGACATAAAAGACAGGTGTAGGTGATTACAATGTAGAGCTGTGCATGTTCATAAGAATCTAAATATAAATGTTACTTTAAAGCACAGACACAAACTTCTTTTATTCTTCATGATTCAAATGAGAAATAAGAGTTTCAATTTCAACTACAGCAAACAAAATATGTTATGCATTATGACATTTTTGAGATTCATATAATGTAAATTAATCGACAGCTATTACTCTCTTCAAAAACTATATTGGTTTTCATGTTTCTCAATATGGATTATTTTATCATATTTAGACAAATGGACTCAGTACCATTAAGTTAAGCATTACAAGTACATACTTTATTTCAAAAATCTTTGATCACTCAACAGATTGACTCATGGCCCCTGAACTCTTATTGGATGTGAATTTCAATGTTTTGCCTGAATTCCATGATAAAAAAATTAGACTATGAAAAATTGAGAGTATGTTCTTTATGCTCATATCAGCTGATATGCCTTAGTAAGTAGTTCTGTACATCATATTTTGAAAATAATGATGGTTCATCTTTCACATGGAGATTGGCCTTTTGTAAGTTGAGAGTTATTTTCCCTCTAACGTCATCAAATGACTAGTTTAGTTACCTGGCAGTCCTGCTTGGCAGTGTACGTTGTAAAGTTGCCAGCATGTATGTCTTCAATAATCTTCTCTAAGACTCCCGTATCATGCTGCACAACAGTAGAGTTGGCACCTACACCAAGACAGAACACTGTGTTAAGTTCAGGCACTATACATAGTAAAATACAGATTTTTACAGGTATAAATAAAATACAATGTAGGGATTCAGTAATCATTATACTCTCATACATGTGTATTAATTATGATGCTTGATTTAAAATCATATATGTTATTGTGTCGCATATCACCTTTGTCTTAACTTAAAACTAAACCTCACACTGTTCCTATTACAATGATTGATTATGTCACCATGTAGAAGTGTGTGATGGCAGGCTCATTACTGTAGAAAGAATCCTGAATAAATACATTTAAACAAATTTCAAATAGGCGTACAACTGTAATTAAATTGGGAGCTTGTTATTGTCAATATGTCATAATGCTTACTCAAGATACAACAAGATACATAGTAGTGAATATTACCCTTTTTGTCGCAATTTTCAAAATGGCCACCAAGTGAGTCACACACATCAACACACGGCAATGACAAGACCAGAAGTGTTTAACTACTAGCATGGACCTAATGGTGTAAATTGCTTTAATTTGTAGGCCAATTTAATAGACTAGATGCGAGTAGAAATAATCTTGATTTGCGTCATTTAATATTCAAAATTCAGTCAAAGTGATGTCATATTTGAAATCTACATGTAAAAGTACATCTAGAAATATGGTTTCGAAAATTGTTTATCAACTTTGAAAATTTAATTTTTTTTGAGAATGTGACTTCTAGTCCGGCTTGATTCCCCATAGACCCCATGTTACATTTATCTTTTCTTGTACTGGACAGATAACATTTTCTTTTACTGGACATATTTTAATTTACATAACAATTAGACACATAAGGTTTATATGAAAATTGAACCACTAAAACAGATGTAATTTTAGTTAAAGGGGGAACATTCTACTATACCCGCCATGCTATCTGACCCGAACGAGTCACCTGGTGGTGAAACTGGTAACTACTTACTCGCATCTGCGTTATTTGGCAACTGGATAGAAACCACCAATTTTGTTTAAAATGCAATTACCGGGAATTTTCAGCGAAAATTTATTAATATCTGGAAAAGTGAACAGACAGATGGGCTCACATACAAACAGATGAATGAACGGGTACTTCCATAGGCTTACCATGTGAGCCAATGCCTTTCGGGTGAATAACTACAAGGGATTAACATGCACAAGTGAGAAATTGCAAAAGCTCACCATGAGCTAAAAATGTCACCTGCTATTTGTTACAGACACTGAAAAGTTGGATATCATAACAATATATCACCACTTGTGGTGGTGAAAATAAGCTTTATCATACATCAATCATATTGGGACTATCTCACCCTTTGTTATAAATAAAACACTTCCGATGCATTCATTCTCTACATTTCTCAAAATTTTATTAGTAAAAAATAATATACACAGAAGCTATGTTTTCCACTTATGTTATGGTAAATCATTAGTCAATTCATCTGTGGAATCCAACTTTAATTAAGCGCTTTTAATGTACTTGTGCTTAGATATTTATGTTTTAAGCTATCATGCGTCCATTGATAAGAGCTCTTCTTGCACCAGTTCTTGAATATCTGTACTATCATTAGTGTACATGTAAATGTAAATATTTTTTTGGCTGAAGCAGTATTAATATAGCACAGTTCATTCATCTCTTATAAAGCACATTTTGAAAGGTTTTGGGCCCACTGTGAGTCCTGGTACTCTCTCCATTGATGGCAGGGGCTCTCCTGGGGGTACTTCTAGTCTGTATCTCTGTAGTAGAGCAGTGAAAAACAGAAACAACTCCTGCTTTGCAAGGGACTCTCCAAGGCAGGCTCTTTTGCCTGAAGTTATAAATCATGAGGGATATGAGACTCAATTAGTTGAAGGAATTAAGAAACAATCAATTAGAGAGGCTAAATGCTATCTATGATCCATCTTTTAGAGATATTCAATTTGAAATTTTATTTTCACAATCTGCTTTTATAAGAAATCTGAACAATCTTGAAATTATGTTTCACATTTTCAAATATCACAACATTTAGAAAATTAGTATAATAGCATTCAAAATGTCACAAATGTTACAGCATAGTAATATAATTCCATTTGACAGCCCTCCTGTAACTTCACTCACCAACTGAAAATGTGAGAACATGATCATCCTTTTGGAACTTTCCATCAGGACCAATGAAGCGGTCAGGGTTGAATGTATTCGGATCTTCAAAGTGGTCTGCATTAAAGTGAATGCTGTGGTTACAAGACAAAAAAGCTGTCTTGGGAGGAAATATGTACCCCTATAAAGTAGAAAAGTACATATATGGCTATGTTTATGGCATATATGGTTGAAGAAAGGATATTGTCACCAGCTAAAGTTCCCTTCTGATGAATATGATAACTTGCATTGTATTGACTTTGGCGTTGGATGCTATCGCTTTGACACTCTAATAGTCTTGAGACCGGGTTTAGCATCCCTCATAATTTGAGACTTAACATTTGTATGAGTAATAGCACTAGCCTATAACTATTTTCAGTATAAAGAGTAAAAGACATCTTGTAATGACTGAAGTATGAATGCATTTTGCAATAGCTTGCAGTTTTGATATGTGATATAATGATTCCTGAAAGGGGGAGTGACATTTCTTCTTTGTGTGTTGGGTCATAGTTTTGGGATATTCTGAGTTTATTTTCCTTAAGACCAGTGGTTGTCATTTTCCGATCACAGGGCTTCAAAATCCAGAACATATTCTTTCTTTTTACCCCCTGCAATAAGCAGTTACCATTTCCCCGATTAAGAACTTGCAATCTGATTGGCTGTCGCAACATTGAGACAGAAATTATGTCTAAGTCATTGCGCATAATTAGATCAAGTGATTCAGTAAAATCGGGCGCGTCCAAATTGGTTATAGCAGGAGGAAGAAGGAGGTACGGATTCTGGACACCTGCTTAGGAGGATGAGTGGTTGTAAACATCATAGTTTTCTAGCTGTACTTTATTATGCTCTTTAGTCATACAATGAAAACAGCAACAGGAATATACTTACCTTTACTTCAATAGGCTTATCATTCAAGCATGAACGCCCAATACTGAATGGAACAATAATATGCATTCGCTGGGTCTCCAAAAGCACAGCCTCAATGTAGGGTAAGTCCAATTTGTCTTTCATAGATGGAATTCTTTCCTTCCCAATGACATTATGAATGTCTTTTTTCACTCTTTGTTGAACATCGGGATGATGGAGCATGCGCAGAAATAGCCATCTATGTGTAAATAAATCAAAATATCAATTATATAAGAAGAGGTCATATACATTATTATCACAAAATTTAAATTGTTTTGATTATTACATTTTATCTTGCTTTTATAAAGTAACATCATCATGATCATATTTGTATATTTCAAAGACAACTTTGAATCTGAAAACGGGCAAAGTTATGTGAGTTCATTTAAGACACTTTCTTGGAATAATAAAAAATAAGTAATTTACACAAAGCATTAATCAATATAAGAGTCGGATGTCCACTACAATATGTGTCAGTAGGATAAAATAAATTGTTATGATTTACTAATGAAATAAAATTTGCATAAAGAAACATTAAAAAATAAAAGGAAAAACTTACTTCATAGACAGGGTTGTAGTATCTGTACCAGCAGCAAACAAATCCTCTATGTTCCACATCAGTTGCTCCTCTAAAATCAGACAGGTTAGTGTATGCAGTATCAGAAAACGCAATAAGCGCCAACTTGAATGTATAAAATATTTCTTTCTTCTATTTTTTTAATATGCTGACCAATACTTTATTTCACTTTGTAAAAATTTTATGTTTGAAAAAATGAAATTATTTTACAACAACCAGAACAACGGCAACGCCAAAGCGTAGCGAATAACATCGAACATTTTTCAAAACGGGCACCTTCTACCAAAAGTGTCATAAGACAGTGTGCCATGCTTATAATATTCACATACCAAATATGAACAAAATCGCTCTTCTACTTTTCGAGTTATAGTAAAATACGTTAAAATGGTGGCCATTTTTCAAAATGGCCGCCTTCTAACAAAAGTGTCATTAGACAGTGTGCCATGCTTACAGTATTCACATACCGAATATGAACAAAATCGCTCCACTACTTTTCGAGTTATAGTAAAATACGTTAAAATGGCGGCCATTTTGAAAAATGACCGCCCTCTACCAAAAGTGTTATTAGACAGTGTGCCATGCTTATACGTATTCACATACCAAATATGAACAAAATCGCTCCACTACTTTTTGAGTTTTAGTAAAATAAGTTAAAATGGCGGCCATTTTTCAAAATGTCGCCATTTTTCAAAATGGCCGCCTTCTACCAAAAGTGTCATTAGACAGTGTGCCATGCTTATAGTATTCACATACCAAATATGAACAAAAACACTCCACTACTTTTTGAGTTACAGCAAAAATCGTAAAAAAACGAGTAAAGGCCGCTATTTTTCAAGATGGCTGCCATGTGCTTTTTTAATATCTACATTTCTAGCTTTATTAATGTCCTATATAATTTTTTTTACATTTAAAACATATTGCTATTACAGTTTTACATATTGCACCTAAATTACTGTAAAATCGGCACTAAAATGGCCGCCATTTTTAAATGAGCGGCCATTTTGAAAATCGGCTTTCGAGCAGAACTTCTACTTTTATAGGGTATATGTGTACAAAATATGAATAAAATCGGGCCAACGGTATTTGAGTTATTGCCCGGACGGACAGACGGACGGACGGACGGACGGACGGACGGACGTACGTATGTACGGACGGACGGACGGACGTACGTACGTATGTACGGACGGACGTACGTACGTATGGACGGACGGACGGAGGAGTTCCCTATATCCCTCCGAACTTCGTTCGAATATCCCTCTGAACTTAGTTTCGATGGGATAAAAATATAGAGAATGTACTAATGAGCACAAAAGTTAAAAGGGGAATTCTGATGAACTAGATCTTTCATGACATATGAGAATCACACCTATTCTTGACAACAAAGCAACATTTACCTGTGAACCAATGGTCTTTGTATTCTGACCCTTCTCTTAGTTTCATTTCTCTTATGAATGCATCCATGAAATCATTGATATTCTCAGAATCAAATTCTTCCATATGGCGTTGAAATTCGGGGACAAAAATATTGGCCTTAAGTTCTTCAATATTTGACAAAAGCCTCTTCTTATGAAAAAGATCACCAGGAAGCCAACTGGTTAATGGAAGAATTGCGCCTATGAACACCCATACTGAGTGAACATTGTTTTCATTCTGCCGTCGAACCATGCCTTGAAATTGTTCATCCTTGTATTCAAACCTATGTCCAAACACCAATGAACATATCATATTTGAAATAGCAATTGCAATGAGGTTAGATGGGTCAAATGCTTTCCCATCTTTGGAATCAAGCTCTCCACAAAGTCCACTTGCAATCTCTTCCTGGATCTTTCTCTCAATTTTATTTTTTCCCAATCCAAAATCTCGAAGTGTTGAAAGTGCAAACCTTCGCTGTTCTCGCCATCTAGGCCCCGAAACATCAACGATCCCCTTAAAAACAAACTCATCAAGTGGAGTAGGAGCTCGATCAACAAAACGGTCATCTGAATACACCTCTTTCACCAGCTCATATGTGTGTAGAACTGCGGCATGCAGAACCATAAACTTGCGATACATTATAGGTGTTTTGAACTTTTGATAGAGATCAAACATCGTATCATCTCCCACCTGGCCAATTTCGAATACGCTCATATTACCTAACAATGGCCATGGTGTGGGGTGCTCAGGAAGGTGCCAAGGGCTGGGCTTCATGTACTGCCAGATTAGCAGAAAGACAACTAAGAACACAAGGCTTGTTGTAAAGTTGTTTAATATCGTATCTAATAGAGTTGCAAAAATACCCATTTTGTATGGTATGCTTATTACTGTGTAGGGTTATGCCAATGGTATTATATCCAGTATCTGACTGCTTCCTCTGTATATAACCAGCAACTGAAATTATAGCAAACTATATCAAATGTTGTTTCATATTGATTTTCTTTATAATATGTACATCCCATTCTCCCAAAGTCTCAGGCTCCCAGCCAGGGTAACAGCCTATGAATGCTTTGAATCTTGGGTGTTAGGAATAATGGTTAAGGGCCGGTAGGCCTGGGGTAATTTTTTCCTTCTATGAACCAGGATGAATGGTTTGTCTAACTTAAACCCAACACTGACTCTTATTAAAAGTAAATGTTCCATGATTCAGTTTTTGAAAATTTGATTTGATTTGTACTGACTATAGATAAGTGTGATGAAAAGTGAGTAGGGTGTTATTAGTTCAGTTTCAGAGCAATGCATGTAACAGGCCAGGTACAGTGTAAAATTCAATTTATTTTGTTTTTACTTCTCAACTACTGAGTGAGTGAATAGGGTGTAATTTGTGCAGCTTTATTGTACTGCATGTGGATTCGGTCAAGTATCACTATGATTACTTAGCAACAACTATGTCTGACCAAGATATAGGTTCAGTGCAATGCATGTGACAGGCCAGGTACAGTGTAAAATTTAATTTCTTTTGTTTTTACTACTCAACTACTGAGTGAGTGAAAAGGGTGTAATCTGTGCAGCTTTTTTTGCACTGCATGTGGATTGGGTCAAGTATCACTATGATTACAATACCAACAACTATGTCTGACCAAGATATAGGTTCAGTGCAATGCATGTGACAGGCCAGGTACAGTGTAAAATTCAATTTCTTTTGTTTTTACTACTCAACTACTGAGTGAGTGAAAAGCGTGTAATTTGTGCAGCTTTATTGCACTGCTTGGGGATTGGGTCAAGTATCACTATGATTACAATACCAACAACTATGTCTGACCAAGATATAGGTTCAGTGCAATGCATGTGACAGGCCAGGTACAGTGGAAAATTCAATTTCTTTTGTTTTTACTACTCAACTACTGAGTGAGTGAAAAGCGTGTAATTTGTGCAGCTTTATTGCACTGCTTGGGGATTGGGTCAAGTATCACTATGATTACAATACCAACAACTATGTCTGACCAAGATTTTCCCACTTGTTTTATAAACAATGTTTTATAAGTGATTACCATGGCCCCTTATAAACAGATGTGCAGCAAATGATGATGTGGTACACACACTTTATAAGTTATAAACATAAGGGAAATCTCTCTATTATGGCAGATTATCTGTAAGGGATATTAAGTTAGAAATAATACTCACAATTATCTGTCTACTCTAGTCACCGATGTGTTCCAGAGCTCTGCAGTTTGTTTACACTAAAACCCTGCCATACACTATCCACAATAAGAATACACAGCTGCTTCAAGGGGTATAATATGTATATGGTCTCCAACTGCTATTTACAAATGTACTCTTATATGTACGCTTATTCTCTTTTCAGCTTGACCTCATATGGCAATGAATCACAATCCATATACGCTAAATACAAACTGTCAGAACCTAGATAGGCTGGATAACCACTTAAATACAGCCAGTAACTCAAATACATTGCACATAGAGTTGTGCCTATGTGATGTGTGTCAGCCTGTTAGTTTATCAAACCCTGATAGGCACTCTACTATACCTAACCCCTAGAAATGTTTGTCAAATTGTATTGTTTAGTATATTTTTGAAAGTACCTTATTAACATCTAACAGTCATTCAATAAACCATTCATAAGCAGCAGACACATAAAAACAAATAACATAATCATTACTGATACGTCAAATGGGTTGCTCATGAACACCAAATGCAAGGTATAGTAGAGTGATAGGATAAAAGGGCAATAGGGCTGTAATCAAGTAGAATGAGAGATAAGATTACAACACAGATGTCTCACTGCTTTTAAACATGTCCATTTTGAAAAAATAGCTTAAAGTCCCCGTCTAAAGTTTGAAAATATTTTTTTATCATTCATTTACCATTTGTCCGGACTTAAAAAGTGATTTTAGAGATTTTTGAACAAAAAAATATTTTTTGAAAAAAAAGTTGTGAGCATTTCATTTCTCAAATATTCAAATTTCTCGCCATTTTTCAAAAAAAGTTGAAATTTCTTAATCATCAAATATTTCTTAATGCATTTCAAAAAAGATTATCTTTTTAACACCAATGCAAAGATTGAACAAAGGACACACTATTTCAATAATAAAATGCCATATTTAATGGGCCACTTCAATGTTTTAGCATATCAAAAATATTTTGAAACATTAGTGATGTCACTAAGGTAACAAAAACTTTTTGAAAAAAATTTAAAAAATTTTTTCGATGTCAATCGTTTCTACATATGCTAGACTTTCATAAAAAACCAATGTTGATTGTCTAACCAGGTTAAAAGGAAGAATAAATTATGTTTTAGATATCATTGTACCATTGGTTTCTATGAGAACCAAAATTTTGAAATGCATTTTTCTCAGAACCATTTTCATGCACTGATAAGGTCACTTCTCGCTTGTTTATCAACCGATTTTCTTAATTTTTTTGGCAAAAAACATGGGAAGATGAATGCCATGCATTGGTATGAATTGTGGCTAATTAGAAGATATGAGTGACCTCTAAAAGTTGGTTTTAAATAAATTCACAAATTTTGGAACAAAAAGTCTATCAAAAACCACTTTTTGAAATTAAAAATTGAAAAGTTTCACATATCACACTTTGATAACATTGGGTAAGATTACAATATAAGCCAAAGTGGTTTAAACTTTACATGGGGCCTTTAAGACTTTATTTCAAAAAGATTTTAACAATTTTCCAGTTATCATGACCTCTATTACCCTAGAAGCCCTAAGGTAAAGAAAGTCACACGAACATCTAAAGGGGGGGGGGGGGGGTCAAAAGGGCGTAATTCTATTCTAAAGATAACACATATGGTAGAAAGTGTTAGCTTTTTCCGATTTTGTTTATTGGAGCTGATGATTACATCTTAATAAATCAATTACCCTACATGCACAATTTGGATGATTTTTTCAGAAAACATTTGTTAAATCTGTAGCTCCAGCTACTGAAACCAACTTAAGAACCAACAAAAGTTGCCTTTCTTGTTGATTCATTAAATATGTACAATTGGGTTAGTGTAGAACTCCATTTGCATGCAACAACATGGGGGAGGCATTGGGGGTGACTCCCCCTTTTTATCAAAAACATTTTTTAGAGCTTTGCAAATAATTATGCAAAAATGGCTCTTATATGTGCTCCGAATGTACCAGAAAGAGTCTAAATTTCATGAGCATGCCCCAATCCCCCATAGCTTGCGACACTCCGCACCATCACCACTTTCTGTGGGCCTATCTTCAGCACCACCCATGAATCTGAATCTTAATGGAAACAACTCCAATGCTATATTAATTTGACGGTAATATTTTGAGGTGTAAAGGCTCTATGGCCGGCAAAATGTATGCAACACAATTACTACATTGTATATGGTAACCAACAAGTGGTGATATGTAACAAAATAACTACATGGTAACAACTAAGAGGTGATTACTATAATGTAACCACCAAGAGGTGATACAATAACTACATGGTTACCACCAAGAGGTGATATGTAACACAGTAACTATTCGGTATCTACCAAGAGGTGATATGTAACACAATAACTATATGATAACCACAAAAAGGTGATATGTAACACAATAACTACATGGTTACCACCAAGTGGTGATATGCACCACAATAACTATATGGAAACCACCGAGAGGTGATATGTAACACAATAACTATATTGAAACCACCAAGAGGTGATATGCACCACAATATCTATATGGAAACCACCAAGAGGTGATATGTAACACAATAACTATGGTAACCACCAAGATGTGATTTGTAACACAGTAACTATATGAAAACCACCAAGAGGTGATATGTAACACAAAAACTATATGGTAACCACCAAGAGGTGATACGCAACACAATAACTACAAAATAACCACAGAGAGGTGATATGCAACACAATAACTATATGGTAACCACCAAAAGGTGATATGCAACACAATAAATATATGGTAATGACCAACAGGTGATATGCAACACAATAACTACATGGTAACCACAAAGAGGTGATATGCAACACAATAAATATATGGTTAACAATATACAAGAGTGTGGTATGAGGCATCAAAATAAATATGCTTACCTGCGGCTTTTCCAAATATATTAGAAAACCTTGTCTCAGATATTCCACATTCTATCTCACTTCTTCTGTTTTGGCTTAGTTGTTGCTGGCTGTGGTACATGTAGTTCTCCTAAACAATAAAAAAAAAAACAATCAGTCAATGTCTTGGATTTTCAAGCATCTATTTAATTTCTTGTGTTAGCTAAGCTGCTCATGCTGGTTGGAATTATGAAGTAAACATGAACGATTCCATTCAATTCAATTTCTCACAACTATTGGTCAGATTTTTCTTTCACCACCAAAAGTAAACAATTAGGACTATCAAGCATGTATGAGTAGGATATAGAAGATAGTAAAAACTGCACATCTCTGATTTGGAATGTGGTCCTTTTTAAACCAGGGATTAACATTCACTATGCAAGGATTGGCTCCCAGAATGAACGATCGATATTATTGCCATTTAAGGTGTTATGACCTTGACCTTATTATCAGGTAGTCATGTTGTTCAAAATTCAAAACCAAAACGTCTGCCATTTTTTCACTTCAAAATTTGAATTGCCAGTTTTGGTCTTATTTCCAAACAAAAATATTCAAAACACACAAGAAATGATCAGGATATTAGTTCAAATCTTTTGGATTGCTGATTATCAATTTATAGTCAGTTACAATATCAGAAAATAAGGACATTTTCAATGTTGTCATCGCTCAATGTCAAGGTCGAATATCGAGTTGAGACCCTGGGCGCCAATTCTCCTTGTTCACTATGCATCATGAAACACTAAAAGCGTCTTACCTTTCTGCACCTAGTGACATCCTCGCATAGTTTATGTAAAACCTTCAAGATCTCCTGCATGTTAAACTGTTCCTCTGTCTCTCCAAGATAACCTGCCAATTGTTGTGTACATGTCTTTACTTGGCTTACGAGAGACTGTAGACAATTGAAGTCGCGTTTTATGTCCTAAAATTGAGATAAGAAAATAGTCAGCATTGGTTTTAGTTCAGTTTTTATGTATTTCACTTTTTTTATCAAGATATTTTATTGCCATTAATCATTATGTATTTCACTTGGAACACTTATTCACTTGTAGACAATGGTCATTCCTAAAAATAAATATTGGCCACATTAGGGTTTACCTAGACACTTCTCTAGATATTCAACCAAGAAACACCTCTGAAAACGTTAAACTGACTCATCAAACAGTGTGTCTGGATATGTGCCACCAAGAAAAAAGAAACCCCACTAGCCCATCCCACTGAGCTGACAAAATCTTAATAAAACCAATCCTAAATGTGAACAATAACTCAATGAAAGCTCTTGCAACCTCAATGCATTGTTTGAACATAGATAAATGAAACAAATACACAATAAAAATAGAACTGAAACTTTGAATCCAAACCATCAGGACACTCCTCAAGTGCCCAATAATTTATTCATTAAGCAACATACCTCTACGAACTGCTCAAAGGCCTCCCTGGTTTTGGGAGTTGCATTGGTTAAAGGTTGTAAGATTTGTTTGTGGAACTCTGCATTCAGTTCATTGAATTCATCTCTTAGAGTCTCCAGCGAGAACCTACAAGCAGATTAGAACATATTAATTATCTTTGTCTCACTTTGCTCTCAAAATTCTGGTTATTTGGTTATTTTATATACACTGATAGCCCTAGTCAGCAGTACAGGCCCGTAGCCAGGGGGGGGGGGCTTCGAACCCCCTATGGCCAAAATATCTTTCAAAACCATACAGTTTTTCACCCTTCTGAGCACTTGTTCAGTGATTTTAGCCATTTTTTGACCAGAATTATCACAAGTGAACATCCCTGGATTTTTTCAAAAAGTGAACCCCCTTGACAAATCCTGGCTACGGGCCTGCAGTAGGTGGTACAAGGCACTATGAAATCGAGACTATAACACTATGTCGATCACCACTTGTGGTGTGGACATTAAAATGAGTCCTTTACCTTGAGGCCACTTCCAGACCCTCAAGTTCATTCGCAAACAACAGCAACTCCTCATCCTTAGTGTCACATCTCTCCACCAGGTGGTGCAACAGGCTTATATTAGGCTCATTAGAATGTGTATGGATCAACTCTGCCAGACTGGTGAGTTTGAACTTTTCTGCATGGCCAAGATGGGATTTCTGAAAATAATTGGAGAACTAAATACAACTTTTAATATCGCAAATACAGAATTAATATTGATGAATTGAATCAGAAGTGATTTCTGACCTCTCTCCCTCATATACTGAAATTTTGATTTGTCTTTCACTTGAATCAAATTAAAAATCAACACTCTTCACTGACTAAATCATCAATGATCATTATACCCTCTCCAGCCTCCCCCTTCATTATTCCTCAACTGCTGATAATTGGCCATCATCCCTAAATACATGTATTAATTAAGAAAAACTAAAATACCTCGTTCAGTTTGTTCCCAGCTTCCTGGACAAGCTTTATGAACTGCTTTAAGTTTCCATTGGTCATAATATCCTGAGACGCTTCAATGATCGCATTAAAAGAACGATTCAGCTTGTTCAATCTGATTGGATACTGCAACTTGAACACACTGCCATCTATCAGTAGATTGTAATCGGGGGTCTCGGCAAGTTCGAGAAGAAATCTTTCAGAGAGATTCAATTTCGTTGTGTCACCTTTGAACTGTTTCAAAGACATCATCTAAAAGTATATAAGGAATATGTAGTATTGATGGGACAAGACAGTGCAAAATGTTGGAAACAATCTTATCAAATGTGTTCCAAAGTTTCCATTATTCAATTCCATTATTTCTGAAAGAAATAATCAAAATATCTGAGCAAACATAGAATTCAATTAAGATCTAAGATGCAAATAAAGATCAGAAATGATGCCACCTTTTAATCTTATTACATGTACTTTGTACTTTATGTTATTTAGGAATGAATTGAATTGAATACATCCAAAGAATTGAAAAGTGGGAGTCAACTTTTTTATTTTTGGCCAGATTTCGCCTGAACAGTGAAAACCCCTGGCTAAGGGTCAGTGTAGTTAATTGCAAACTTAAATGCCATTAAAACCTGTATGCCAAATGGCCAGTGGGCCATTAACAGAAACTTCATAAGGTTAAGAAATTGTAAAGTCCATTGTTCTCTAACTGTGATGTCATTATATCCATGGTAACAATAATTGATTTACGAATTCATAACTATATGAAGTTTCTGTTAATGACCCCCAGGTTGGTTGCGCTAAACTTGGAGCACAGACTTTTGAATCTATAAATTCAAAGCGTGTGTTGTCCACACTAAAGGAAGGTTAACATTTTTTAACAGGACTAAGCATGGTGATAAATACAATATAAACTAATTATGGTTTCATTAGTATCAACATAACTTATACCTGACACATTTTACTGCAATATGACATCATGTTAGAATGAAATTATAATTCAAATAAAATACAAATTGGTCATAAATAAAAATATCATGAATTCCATACCTCATCTGGAGATGGAATGAGTTTCTTCAAGGTGACGATTTGTTCTTGGGATTCACCGCAGCGGTCTTGCAGTTTTTCAATGAGGTCTCTCCCACTAGAGCCTAGCAGACTTAGGCATACCATCAGAGGTGTGGATTCCTTTGGTTCCAATATTGTACACTGGAAGAAACAAATCTTGTCATGAATTACTGTATTACATGTATGTACGGTGAAACCTGTAAGTGAAACAACTCTAGAAGTGGAATACCTCCGTTAGTGGAACACTTCTCAGAGTCCAAGGATCAATTGATGTATGTTAAATGAACCTCTATGAATGGAACACTTCCCAAGTGGAACACATTTTAGAGGTACCAAAGGTGTTCCACTGAGACAGGTTTTATATGGTAGCTGTGACATATCAAACAACCAAGTATGCCTATAAAATATGCATGAACCACAATGCAATATTAATATGTGCCGCTACCATAATATACTTAGAGCTACATAAAATTATTGAAAATTGATTTCTTAAACAAACACAAGTACCTTTTGCTTCTCACTCGGGTTGACTTGGAAGAGTTTTTCAAGCTGTTTGTCATCTATCGGCAATGCTGGGTCTCTAGTACTGTCAGACTGGTCCCACACTGTGCCTTCTACAAATTATGCAAGTCATAACTAATATTCATGTAATATTCGTGTTTTGAAAGTTCATAGCCCAGAGGAAGTAAAAACAATGAAGGACCCACGGTCCTATGCTCACACAGTTTGGAACCTTCAGAGGAATTTATATCCTGACTTTCAAAAAAAAATATTGATTTGGATTTGTAGTCTCGAACTTTGAGAAACTTAGATAGCATAGTTGTGTCACCTAGTTTGATGACCTTTGACTTTGAAAATTTTACTTATTCAGAGCTCAGTAAGGTCTTTTGTGATTAAGCTGACCAAAATTTACATCCAAAAATCAATTTGAAAAATCAACTTTTTTTTACCTTTCGAAGGTCACTGAAGGTCAAGTAAAGGTCAAATCCTAAAACTAATGTCAGATTTGAACTTCTGGCAACTTGTAGATGATTTTCAAAAAAAATTTGGTCAAATTGAAGCAAGTTGAAAAATAACTTATTTATTTTTACTGTTTTTTGACATCCAATATCTCAAAAACGGTAAAAACTTGATGCTGACATATATTGAGAAATATATAGGGAATGCTTATATCTATTAATGATGTAATTTATTGCAGGAAATGATCAAGTATAAGGCAAACTTTAAGAATCTTGTCAATAACAAAACCTGCCATTGACTTCATACATGAGAAAGTTTCCTGAAAATGACTAAGTCCTACTTTTTTTTCAAATTTTATAGAGTAAACACCAAAAACCGTAATTCCAAGAGCTTTGAAATCTTCAGAGGACATAAGTTGCATATACACCAACTACTAAAAGTTATTTGAAAGTTCTACTTCAACAAAGTGTCTAGTATTTACAGAAAATTTGACTTTTTGACGTCAAAATCCGCAATTTCTCCGAAACCGGGCGAACTTTGGAAATGGCGATGATAGGTCAAATAGGCATTATGGATATGCATAAAATGAATGTGGATATGACTCAATCCGAATAGCAGTTTTAATTTGTGCGGCCAATGTTGACGGACAGACGGACCAACGGACGGACGGACCAACGGACGGACGGACCAACGGACGGACGGATGCCTGATCAATCCCATAGGCTCACTGTGTGAGCCAAAAAGCAATGTTGGCAATGCCGTGATCAAGATTTGAACATGGGTTACCACGGCCACAACGTGGGGTCCTAATCACTAGACAATCACGGCTAGGCTAGCAGGCCAACTTGAAATTATCAATGCAATATTAGTGTTTTGAATTTTCATATAGCCTGGGGAATTAAATAGAAAAAAACAAAAAATGTTGGCCATGCCGTGACCAGGATTAGAACCTGGGTTACCACGGCCACAACGTGGGGTCCTAACCACTAGACGATCACGGCTAGGCTAGCAGGCCAACTTAAAATTATCAATACAATATCAGTGTTTTAAATTTTTATAATATAGCCTGGCGAATTAAACAGAAAACAAAAAAATGTTGGCAATGCCGTGACCAGGATTCGAACCTGGGTTACCACGGCCACAACGTGGGGTCCTAACCACTAGACGATCACGGCTAGGCTAGCAGGCCAACTTAAAATTATTAATACAATATCAGTGTTTTTTTAATTTTTATAATATAGCCTGGTGAATTTAACAGAAAACAAAAAAAATGTTGGCAATGCCGTGACCAGGATTCGAACCTGGGTTACCACGGCCACAACGTGGGGTCCTAACCACTAGACGATCACGGCTAGGCTAGCAGGCCAACTTGAAATTATCAATGCAATATTAGTGTTTTGAATTTTCATAATATAGCCTGGGGAATTAAATAGAAAAAAACAAAAAAATGTTGGCCATGCCGTGACCAGGATTCGAACCTGGGTTACCACGGCCACAACGTGGGGTCCTAACCACTAGACGATCACGGCTAGGCTAGCAGGCCAACTTAAAATTATCAATGGAATTTTATATTATACGTTTTAATAATGCCTTTGGCAAGATGTCTTATTGGGACTTAATTAATTTTTGCAATCAAGTTTGTAAAACATAATGATAGTACATGTACAAGTAAATCAAATTTAAATGTTCAATGTTCTAGTTGCAGTAAGGAACAGTTCAACATTGCAATCTAATGAATAAAAATTTAAATAATTGATAAATACTAATAATTATCAAGTCGAAAAAGATTAAAAAACCATAATCTAATCTCAGGGAGAAGGTTGATATTAAACTTCTAGAGCTTATGAACTTGAAAATCTTTTTTTTAAATTTCAAAAACTGTTCTATTGAATGCCCATGCTACTACCTAGAATGGCTAGATGAATGGTAGTAGTAGTTGATATGTTATTTTTGACTATGAAAGGAAAATAATTGATGATATCAATGAAAGGAAAATAAACTTTATTAGAAAAACTCACTCTGGGGCAGGTTGTTATGTAACTTCACCCACTTGAGAGGTCTAAGATTACAAGACCTGGATTTGGTGCCATTTACAAGGAGTTTAGCATTGGCAGCCTCTCTAGCTGCTCTCTGTGGTAGGTACCTGAATAAATAACAAGACACCGTATAAGTTATTGAATGATTTGAAGCGTAATACAGGATATATTCTGCATGAGACGAAGTCGAGTGCCAATACAGAATATCGAGAGTGGAATATATATAACTTTTTATCATGATTAGGCCAATACATTTTACTAAGTAGATAATCCTTAGGAAATATTCTCAGTATTCCCTGTATTGCTACTGAGATTGTCCCCTCCACACCTGTATTTTCTGTATTGCTACAGAGATGATCAATGGAGAAAATCTCAGTAGCAATACAGATTGGTACGGCACAAGAACTGACCAATCAGATGCTTTTATTTTACAGATCATACGATAATGATAAATATCACACTTTAAAGAGCAACATGGCCAACATGTAATTCACTCAGTATTCTCAAAACATAATCAGATCTTTGGACTAGTCTGCTCTTGCATTTGTAAAGATTTCAAGTTGCACAGGTAAGCGTTTTTTTTGATTGAATTTTGATGACAAGATTTACAGTATGTGGTGCCTGCCCACCCATCCAGACAGATGCAAACACACCCTTCAGCACAAGACTTTCACAATATAGTACTTTAAAAAGTGTAATCAAAAGTTTGTGCTGTGATCTTTCATATAAAATGCTCTTTTCTCAAATTTGAACACACTTTTCTTTCATTGTTTCAGGTACTTCTCTTTAAAGAGATGCTCGGGTAATATTTTTGTTATAATTTTTCAAGGACTACCTGTATTATTGCATGAGCATTTTTTCAGCATTTTCTACAGCTTCAAGAGAAATTATCCCAATAATTCCTAACTTTAAAATATTCATTATCTGATCAGAGTCCATCATTCTAAATATATATATCATAGAACCACATTATCTTTAATAACATCGATAGATATCTGTAAGTAAAATATTACTGGCTAACAAAATAGGAAAATGTCAATTATATCTGGAGTATACCTGATTTTAACAGGAACGTCCTCTTGTTTTATCTTTGCATCCTTCACATGTCGCTTAACACATTCATAACTGTCCACTCTCTTTGGAACATTCTTTGATGGAGAAGACCCCTTAGAGGCATTATCATACTGGCTTGTATTATGAGACTTATCTTTATTCAGCTGTGTTGGTTGAATTTTTGTGTAGGGGTCTCTTGTAAGGATATCTTGTAGGTGCTCTAGTAGGAATGAAGATTTTTCGGGGAAGTTTGAGATTTGACTGATCAGCTGGTGTATTGCCTTCCAAATATCAGGGCTGAAAAGATATAAACATGTAATAAGTGAAGATGATTATTTAAAACAAGGCATTAACATGCAAAATTTTACCACCTGGCATTTGTTACAGACAACAAACACTGACTACCAAACGCCAACCAAAAAAACCAAACACCATCCACAAAAAGTTGGAGACCATAACAATATGTCACCACTTCTGGTGGAAACATAACTAACATGACTTAGTAGCAGATGAGAGATTCTCAAAAAGCAATTACATCATCATTTGTATTTAACACAAAAGTTGATATTGAAAGTTAACAAATATTACAAAAATATTTAACAAGACATTTACATAACAGAGGAATATTTTGAAAATCGTTAAAAAGTGAAATAATGTGTAAGAATATGTCACATATAGTTAATGATAGAGTCAAGCATTAGTGAAGTGAACATACCCAAATATTTCTTGTTGTGTATGTGATAGCAAATATGAAAAGCAAAAATAAAATGTCCATACCTGTTTCCAGAGGTGCTCAATAGGTGTAGACACTGCATAGTGTGAGTAAAATCTGCGTAGTTTGGCGTCCCAGTCACCTATAAAAAAGTGTTTTAATGAAACTAGAAAATTTGTTCTACTATATCAAATATTTTCTTTGTTTTAAAGGCCAAAACTAGTGTTCCCATATCTATGCTGAATTATGTGTAAATCCCAACAGTACAAGCAACATGGTAACATGTTACTGGCTAATATTCTATTCCAATACCTGTTCATCTTTCAATGATTTTTGTGGGGTAGGGAAATATATATCAGCAAAAATCGTTGAAAGTAAAACAGGTGTTGAACATGCATGGAGTGAAATAAATTGTGCTTTATTATATCATTGGTAGACATTCTCTATGACGAGGGATTGACATTGAGATCTATATGACTTGGGAGCATCAATAATGCAGGGTTCTTCTCTCCCTTCATTTGACACTATTCATTTTTCACTTCACTTCATATTTTCGTGAATGGCAATCTTTTTCTGTATTAATGTTCCCGTAAAAAATGGTACCTGATATAGTTTTCAAACCAAACATATTGACCGAGCCCTAAGAACCGTGCAACACTGCAGTTTCAGTTTACTATCATAATTTCTCAGTTCGGTTCACTGTTTTTATCTTATCGTAAAGTGTGATGGGTTGTTACAAATCTACTTTACAAATTGATTTAAATTGTTTCCTCATTGTAGCATATACTGTCAGGGAGAGCAAGCATCACTTAAAATGTTCATGATGCAATTTTGTTACCTGTTGCAATGTAGCATTAAATAGCTGTTGTGGGTCACTGATGTCTATGGGAGATTCCTCATGCATCAGGGCCTCATGTCTGCCTTCATCAAACACCTAATAACAACAGATATGATTTTTTTGTTAATAATTTTTTAGAGTTAAAAGTTTAAGTAGGTAGGTTCAGAAATTAAATAATTGAATTTGGGGTAAAAGTAAGTTGATAAAAATAACCTTCTAATATTCACAAGAATAGCATTAGCCAATACAACACTTTAAAAGATATAAATAGCATTAAAGTATTTCATTTTTAGTGTTTTGGAATACAGTAAAACCTGTCTAATCCGAACGCCATTTGGACCGGATAAAAGCGTTCAGATTAGGAGGTGTTCACATTTCAAGGTTTTTGCATTCGTAATATTCCAGATTCTGAAGAAATGTGAACACATTCTCGGTAAATATTTATAGTTCGTTTGACCACATAGCTTTATGGCATTCCAGAAATTTGAAAACTTGATTAAATGAATCAAGTCATGCTGGAAAGCCCCATTATGAATGAGATCATTCAAGATTATTTCCCAAAGTTTTGATATCATAACAAAAATTGAACAATTTTGTATGAAACATCAGAAATTTTATGAAAAGTGTTCAGATTAGACAGGTGGATTTTTCAAATATGACTGTTCACTGTTCAAATTGGGAGGTGTTCACATTTCAAGGTTTTTTTAACATGGGAGTCAATGGGAGGAAAAAATGGGACCGAAAAAAAGTGTTCAGATTGGGAGGTGTTCGGATTAGCCAGGTGTTCAGATATACAGGTTCTACTGTATATAACAAAAAAAACAAAAAGTTAATTGTTGAGGGGTGTTGTAGCTGTAATATATAATGCTTAACGTACCTGTAACTGAATGGCAAGGTCTCCATCTTTGTCTGCCTTTCGCATGAAGTCCAGAACATCTAACAGACCCAAACCTACAATTGTACAAGACAAAACATACTAAAACTCTATTATTCTGCTTAAAAGAGCATAAATTATCCCAAAATATCCCAATTTATTAAAATTTGACAAAATTCAAAATTGAGAAGAAATTAATTTTCAACTTCAACAGAAGAAAACAAGATCCAATCGACACATATACACAATTGATGCAGTTGCCAAACGTTACCATAGACACTAGCACTGGTCATAGACACAACAATAAGAGCATGGTATTGATAAAACAAAATGCCATTACTTGCAATACAAAATGGTTACACAAATTAACAATATGTCAACCAGTGATGATGAATGCTGGTAACAAAAACAGTTATTAAGGTCCTAACAACATTCTGACCACTTCTTGGATACAAGATAAGGCAATTAACATTCAAAATAGCACCACCTGCCATATGTTACAGATGCCAACTGACAAACACCAACTGCCGAATACCAACCACCAAACACCAGCCACAAAAAAGTTGGTGAAGTAAAAATCATCTGAACTCGATCTCACCTATAAATTGGTCTCTGGTCCTATTCTTTTGCTTTTTATCCTCAGTGAAGTTAATGATAGCATTGATCAGAGACACCAGCTTTGTCCTATACTGCACATTGTCCGCAATCTTGGCTTCATTCACGATAACACTAAACTTACTGGTCTGTGGTATAGTATTCTGAAATTAAAAATTACAGTGAAACATGTGTAGGTTTACTAAAACTGTGGAACTTTACTAAAAGAGATTTCTTCTTCTTACAACGATTCATTTAACATAACTAATGGGTAATAGAACTCTCAAAAGTGCTCCCCTTACTATACAGAGTCTTTTCTACTTTCAGAGGTTCATTTAAAACATAAATCATGATACTCTAAAGTGTTTCCAAAATATGCAGTTCCTTAAGTATTAGAGTGACACAATCTGAATAAGGTAGATTGTATAATTAAGAAATATAGACCGAAGAGCAGGGGTAATATTGTTGATTACGCCCTGCATGGCAAGGCACAAACGTTCGAAAGCTTTTGTGCCTAGCCCTAAGGGGTGTATTCGACGATATTACCCCTGTTCTGAGGTCTATATTACGATTCGAACATGAAAACTCACAAAATGTTTCGAATATTCATTATGGTCCGCCATTACTTCAACCCACCGTTATGACGTCACGCATTACACGTTTTACCAGGGGTATTCTTCGCGAATATACCCCGGGTGAAATGTTGACTTTGTTTCCAGTTAATAGAAGGCGTGAGCCGTGAATACAGTCATGTTTGAATACATTACAAAGTTTACCTGATATTTGTCCAGTGCACCCATGACAAGCGTGTGTCCAGTCTGTGAGTAACCACATAGTGCTGTCATTATCTCTATCAGGTTCTTCTTGGCATTTGTGTTGGCAGTGTTCAAACCTGGAAGATAGTATTTATAAGATAAACACTAAGTACTGGTACTGTTGGCTGTGTAAACAATAGGCCCAGCAGACACCTCTTCTGAACTTGAGAGACAATGACATACAATGTGTTGATGATCTATTTTTTCAAAGAATTTTAGGCCCAGTTGCAATAAAAGAACAATCAAATGCAGAATGACTTAAAGGATATAAAATGACTCAATGAGAGCACCTGAAACATTTTGGTTTCCCCGATCCCCTCTCATCTACCACTTACCTATTTGGAAAGCTAAAGACAAAGGGGGTGCAGTTATGATGATGCAAAGTAATTGAGATCTTACCTAAAACTATCTGATCAACTGCCTCTGGATATTCCCTCATCATAAAATCCATCCCTGTGGACGTGTCCAGGATCCGTCGCACACATGTGCTACAATCAACTTGCAACACAGCATCATTGATGGATGAAAATGACTTCTGACTCAGCTGCACCAGAGCTTCCAACAACGACTCCAACCCACCCAAGTCTAGGAACTCTTGCAACCATCCCGGAGGACTTTTCTGGATTTTAGTCTTTAGCGCAAAATATCCATGAGATGAGGGCTTGTGTGTTATATCCAGGCATTGCACAGGAGAGCTGAATTCAATGTCTTTGTATAGTATTGGCCCAGACATCTTGACTTTTACAGGGAACTGTTAAGTTCTTGTGGTTTTAAGTAAGTTATAAGATAATCTTCTGTGTCCATTTTACACCCAGTCCTGAAATTACAAATTAAAAAGTGTTAGACTATGTAATTAGGCCATTTTTAAGTTTATGGTTTCTTTATCAAAATTCACATAACACAAGGTGTCAAATATGATCCAATCTATTTTGGTCCTGCTAAAAAATTAATTAGGCTTCAGTTGTGTGTTTTAGGTAGAGCTAGATTATGAAGACGTGCATTTCATTTTGCCATTTCCTATAAAGAGAAGCGCAAATAGGGCCAAAGTCAAACATTAGACAGAAGAAACAACTTAAACTGTCAAATTCCTCACCTTTTACATATATAAATACTGATATAAATGCAATATTCACTTACAGTTTTTCAAATGAAATGTGGAAATTAAGTTATTTTAGTAGGATTTTATCCCTTTTGGCACTAATGTAACTTGCTTATTTGAAGCGGTCTGACAAATGGAATTGTCAGAGTACAAAGGTTGCAGGCACTACAAAGATGCAGTAAGATTGCAAGCAGTGTTGAAATGCAAAGATTGCAAAACTGCCTAAATGGAAAGACTGCAGGTACTACCACATGGGTTTCATTAGCAGCAGACAACAGGCGATTTTCACCAGTTGTTTTCACAAAATCGCCTGTCGTTTTTAGGGACTTTTCAACATTTATATCTTAGATTCATGATTTCCATTTATTTAGCCTGTTGGGCATAATGTTGGGAGAAATTCTAGTGAAACCCCAGTACCACAATGCAAATATTGCAAAGATTGCAAGCAAGAAAGAAAAGGTTGAAGGTCTTGCAAGTATGAGAGGTTGAATGTGCTGTATAAATATATTTAGGTTGCAGACAATATGAGATCAGAATGACAAGATTGCAGGATTGCCAATATATAATGATTACAGGTACTGCAAGAATATAAGAATAGAAAGATTGCAAGTAATGCCAAAATACGAATATTGCAGAATGCAAAGATTGCAGGCTCTAGCCAATCAAGATAACTTACAATAAACATCAGACTCACTTTCTGTTCCAAATTCCATATGTTTTTAGAATAAAGTTTATTCCAAATTTCTAACAGTTAAAAATTATTTGAATAAATGCTTGTACACATCTTAGAAAACTATGAATCACGCCATTGCCATACAGTTCAAAACAACCTTATGAGTCACCATTATCTCTATATTTAAATTTAATTGAAGAACGGGCTAAAAAACTGTTGACAATTAACCGTTAAAAAATCTCTACACCATTCTATTGTCTCAAATAGACTTAAATATTCATGTTGTGAAAACTAAACCAAAATGTTTGTAAATTATCACTCTAGTCTTTAAATTTGATACTAGCTGATGATATCATATCCATTACAATTTTTGTGAAATGTAATGACTGAGCATGCAATGCCAAGATGTGAATAAAATATTTTACCTGATTAATAAATCCAATACATCTATTTACATTAATCCTTGTTTTCTGTGGTAACAAATAAATAATCCTTACTTACATCTGAATGTATTAAAAATTACATATAAAATTTCGTTAAGTTTTTAACTGTCATATTGCACCATAGTTTACATTAGATCTACAGTAAGACTATTGGTATAATTCAATTTTGGCGCTTAGACAGTTGTACCCACAAAAAATTATCAAAATGGTCATATTTTGAAATGTAAATTACAACCAAAAAGAGTGAAATCAATTTGAAAAAAGAACAGATCCATATAGTCATTGCTCTAAATTTTTAAGAAATGCAAGAAATTATGACATTTCATTCAAACTTTTGAGAGAAATTAGTAAATAGGTAGGTAAGAGCCATAATTTTGCCGCTGAGACACTTCTAGGTTAGTTTGACTTGAGGCAAGCGCTAACTAGAAAATAATCATCACATGGGGGTCAACTCAAAAAACAACAACCTTTTTAATTAGTCCTACCTAAATTAAAAAGGGAATGACATACAATGAAACCTGTGAAGTGGAACACCTCTACTAGTGGAACACTTTAGTTATTGGAACACTTTTCAGTGTCCCAAGACCAACTGACTTAATGTTAAATGGTTAATGAAAACACAGAATGAAACATTCTAATTTTTGATAAAAAGTGATGTCATATCATATCTTAAATCTTATCTCCATAACCAATTTGAAGTTTTTGATTAAATAATTTATATAAATTCAATATTTTGTTTGAAAAATAAACCATTAAGTTTGACTAATTGTTGTGTTTCTCTTTCCATAGTATTCAGTCCAATTTCAAATTCTTTTTATACCTCTTCAATGTGCATGCTGTTCATCTATTCAATACTTAACTTTTTAGAACTTGATCTACTTTATTATACAGTCCCTTATGCACTTGAACAGGGTTCTATCGACTGACAGAGAAAAATCGTATAAAGGCCTACCTGTAGACCAATGGGGAAATGTTTGTGTTAATAAACAACAAATATACAAAGCGTTAGTGTATTCTACTTTGTGTTTTCTTGTCAAACATGGTTAACCTTTCACCCACAGATATATATCTAACGTTTAGAAGGTACATTAGGTGCATTAGTTCATATGAGAGAATATCTGTTTTTCAATTTTTAAAACTGAAAATCAAATGGAAAATGATGGAATAAGCAAGGGCTATAGTGAACAGGCTTGGTCCAAATTGTCTGACAAGACTGACGAAAAATTTAAGCATGAGCTTGGCTCTTACCCATCGAAATAAATATAATTTATATTTTTTGTATAATTTATATAGTTCACTAAACTGAAGATCATATACAGTATTATATGTGAATAATATAATTTCTTTAAAGCACATAATATACAGATCACATGAATTATAATAAAAATACCAAAATTAAGTAAAATCTTAAAATTCATACAAGAAAAATACCGTGTTCATGAATAGAACCGTTACATTTTTTTTAATTAAGAATGTAATTTCACTAGTATAAACCACTGCAGTTTAAATATTTAATCTATGTTTTTGTGATGAGCTTTTTTTAGTTGAGGAATTTAACTGAATTTACTGTACTCAGTAAATGACATATAAAAATATAAAACTAACAACACTTAGGGTATGAAATAATTATAAAGAGCAGATGTGTGATCTTCAAATATCACCAAAAATAGGCCTCAAGTGCTTTTTAAGATTACATCAGTAATTTTAGCTACAAGATATGTATATGGTTTGCTCTATTGGTCGAACAACTAAGTCAACTAAGTCTTGTATGAGGAACTCAATCATTTCACATTTACATCAAGAATCTTAATTTTCAGAAATTGCAAGAAATTCTAATATAGTGAAACCTGTAAAGTGAAACACTTCTAGAACACCTCTGTTAGTCTGCTTAGGACTGCGAGCTTAAGGGTCTTGGTCCCAGAGATGTAATGTTGCACCGCTTATGGAACTAGATATAGACATAAATGTACATAGTAAAACCTGTCTAATACATAGCAAATGAGACCTGGCAAAAGTGTTCGTATTGGCAGATTTTCACATTTCAAGACCATTGAACATTGAAGTCTGTGGCAGATTAAACAAGGCATTAACATGACAAAATGTCACCACCTAAAACAATTTGGTCAATTTAAAGCAAGTTGGAAAATACCTTTTGACCGTAAGAAGGTTTTTGAAGATTTGAGCTTCTGGGATCTTGTAGATGATTTTGAAAAAAGAAATTGTTCAATCTGAAGCAAGTTAAAACAAGTTGAAAAAAGACCTTTTTGACCTTGAAAAGGTCATTGAAGGTCAAATGTCAAATCTAAAGTCAGATTTGAACTTCTGAGAACATGTAGATGATTTTGAAAAAAAAAAATTAGTCAATTTGAAGCAAGTTGAAAAAAGACCTTTTTGACCTTGAGAAGGTCATTGAAGGTCAAAGGTCAAATCTAAAGTCAGATTTGAACTTCTGAAAACTTGTAAAGTCAAATTTGAACTTCTGAAAAGATCTAGATGATTTTGAAAAAAAAAATTGGTCAATTTGAAGCAAGTTGAAAACAGAACTTTTTGACCTTTTTTGACCTTGAGAAGGTCATTAAAGGTCACATGTCAAATCTAAAGTCAGATTTGAATTTCTGAGAACATGTAGATGATTTTGAAAAAAAAAATTAGTCAATTTGAAGCAAGTTGAAAAAATACCTTTTTGACCTTTTTTGACCTTGAGAAGGTCATTGAAGGTCAAATGTCAAATCTAAAGTCAAATCTAAAGTCATATTTGAATTTCTGAGAACATGTAGATGATTTTGAAAAAAAAATTTAGTCAATTTGAAGCAAGATGAAAAAATACCTTTTTGACCTTTTTTGACATTGAGAAGGTCATTGAAGGTCAAATGTCAAATCTAAAGGTCAGATTTGAATTTTTGAGAACATGTAGATGATTTTGAAAAAAAAATTTAGTCAATTTGAAGCAAGTTGAAAAAAGACCTTTTTTGACCTTGAGAAGGTCATTGAAGGTCAAATGTCAAATCTAAAGTCAGATTTGAAGGTCAAATGTCAAATCTAAAGTCAAATCTAAAGTCAGATTTGAATTTCTGAGAACATGTAGATGATTTTGAAAAAAAATTAGTCAATGTGAAGCAAGTTGAAAAAAGACCTTTTTGACCTTGAGAAGGTCATTGAAGGTCAAATGTCAAATCTAAAGTCAGATTTGAACTTCTGAGAACATGTAGGTGATTTTGAAAAAAAAAAATTAGTCAATTTGAAGCAAGTTGAAAAAATACCTTTTTGACCTTTTTTGACCTTGAGAAGGTCATTGAAGGTCAAATGTCAAATCTAAAGTCAAATCTAAAGTCATATTTGAATTTCTGAGAACATGTAGATGATTTTGAAAAAAAAATTTAGTCAATTTGAAGCAAGATGAAAAAATACCTTTTTGACCTTTTTTGACATTGAGAAGGTCATTGAAGGTCAAATGTCAAATCTAAAGGTCAGATTTGAATTTCTGAGAACATGTAGATGATTTTGAAAAAAAAATTTAGTCAATTTGAAGCAAGTTGAAAAAAGACCTTTTTTGACCTTGAGAAGGTCATTGAAGGTCAAATGTCAAATCTAAAGTCAGATTTGAAGGTCAAATGTCAAATCTAAAGTCAAATCTAAAGTCAGATTTGAATTTCTGAGAACATGTAGATGATTTTGAAAAAAAATTTAGTCAATGTGAAGCAAGTTGAAAAAAGACCTTTTTGACCTTGAGAAGGTCATTGAAGGTCAAATGTCAAATCTAAAGTCAGATTTGAACTTCTGAGAACATGTAGGTGATTTAAAAAAAATTGAAGTCAGTCTAAACAGTATTTGTTAAGTTATAGGAAGTTGTAAGAAATTGTTACAGACGCCGGACGCCAGACGCCGGACGCCAGACGCCGGACGCCAACCGCCGTCGCAAAAAAACGGAGACCATAACAATATGTCACCACTTTTGGTGGTGACATAAAAATTGAACTGAAAAAAGTGTTCACATTGAAAGGTGTTCAGCTTAGAGTTCAGTGTTCAGATATACAAGAAATACTGTATACATGTATATTGTATATGATTCAAACATAACATGCACTTTCAGACAACAGCTGAAAATCAAGCCTCTCAGTGGTTTGAACTGATAAGATTGTTGACCTCTTCAAAGGTAACCTGACAAGGTGCTTAATTACACTCAGACACTGAGATAAATAAAAATTGAAGGGTTCATAATGTCATATGTCATTCAAAGTGGTCCAGTCCTGATCGCTGATCTTTAAACAAACCACAATTTAAAACAAGGGATTCACGTAACAGAACAAGGCAATAACATGCAAAATGTCACCACCTGTCATTTGTTACAGATACTGACTGCCAAACACCAACAACCAAACACAAGCTGCAAAACACCATCCACAAAAATGTTTGAGACTATAAAAGACTATAAGACAGTTTGAGACTATGTCATCACTTTTGGTGATGCCATAAAAGGCATTATTTAACATGCAAAATGTCACCACCTGCCACCTGTTATAGACACCAACCACCGAACACCAACAGCTGAATGCTGAACACCAATTGCTTACCAACTACTAAACAGGGAAAATGTGTGAACATGGTCGAACCACAAACAATCTTTTTATCTAGACTGCATAAATGAACGCCTCGCTGAGAATTGCCTTCAATCCCCTTTAAATGAACTATAAAATGATATGTAACAGCCCCATAGCAAGCTTTTCCCAATGACAGCTTTTCTGGGGGGAGGGATTCAAATTTGAAATCTGCATGTTTTTGAAAGAACTGGTCAAAAGGGGGGGGAGGGGTTGCTCAAAACCCCTGAACTCCCATGGATATGGATGAGACTGCCTAAGATTCGGGCATGGGGCCTGCCCCATGGAAAATTTGCCGCAAGTGCAGACATTTTTTCTGCTTTGAAATGTGGGCCCCTCCCTTGTTAGCTTCTGGATCCACCAGTAGGTCTCAAATTGTTTTTATTGCAGCCCCAAAAAGCTGAATGACTTTTATGATAGGCCTATTCTGCAAAGTGTTTTCCTTAATTTTCAAATTGTGAGTGGAGGAACATCTTACTTGTAAATTATGTGGTGTATTTGTCTCTCTTTTGGCATTTTGTTAGTAAAGTCCTCTTTAATGAGTTTAAATACAAATCAGTATTATTCTTTAATGAGGCATGAAGCTTCTTGTATAACCAACTATTTGGTGGATGTTATGTGAATTTCATGAAAATATTAAAAATTATTAAAAACGTTTGAGAGATTATTTTTCTGTGAACTTACTGAACGACCAGGTATATAACAGTATGCTTCTATTTAAAAAAGTTATGAATATAGGAAAAATGTGTTAAAATGCATTGATTTATTTGCGAATTTATTGATGCTTCCTACCGTATCTGTATGTTTACCATTGTCAACATTTAAAGTTGATAAAAATGCTTAGATTCCATCAAATAACGTCTATGAAAAAAAATTTGTGGGGGATCATACCCCCGGACCCCCGCGATGCGCAGCCTTCGGCCACGCAATCAGGCATCCCCGAGTGTGCGTACCAACTCAAAATATAGCCCTACGCCCATCGGAATATTTCAATCCAACGAGTGATGATGATGATGCATCTTTAGGCGCAGAATCATTTGTAATGGTACCATCCTCTTGAATTTTCAATGAAGTAAATTGGTAAATGACAAGCTTTAAAAAAGTTTAAAAAAATTTTAATCATGTAGTTTTTCACTATTTTGAGTACTTTCCAAGTGATTTTGGCCATTTTTAACCAAAATTAGCAAATGTTAACCCCTTGGAATTTTTAGAAAGTGAACCCCCCTTGGCAAAAGTTGGCTACGGACCTGTGATATGTAGCCAATAGATATAACTGAAAACAGTCAAATGCATAACATTATTTTCAACAAAAGAAATCAGTTGGAAGGGTCATTAGCCTGTCTCTTCTATGGATGGGCTGGTAAGGAGTTATCGTTGATAGTATAATTAATTTTGTCACAATGTGCCATAATCATACCAACGTACATCGATGCATCAGCAATTTTCAGTAGTAAACATCGATGTACATCAAGAAAAAGTCCGAAATAAATTTTACTTTTTTTAAAACATCAATGTTTTGTTTCAGACATCGATGCATCGCCAGAATCAGCTTTGGCGATGTATATCGCTATGTATAGGTTAATCGCAACAACACTACAAGTATAATGTATTATATGTTCCATGTGCATGCGTGATGTCTATCATGGGAGTTTAGCATGACAACTTCTTTTGAAATAGCCTTAGCTAGAGGACAAGTAACCCTAGTCCAACAACATTATAGACCTAGCCTTGGCCTTGTTTCTTATCTGACATGTCTTATAACGGGCAAGAAAATTCCTAATAGTAAAGAAAGTCGTTATTGGGTTTAATGACATTGAACTACATAGTACAGTAACCCCAGAGTCTCGACTCTATAGATCTAGATGTCTACAGTAGAATAAAATGTAGCTAAGAATTGCTAAAATTAAGACTCGAAGCAGAATACTCGACTCAATAGCGTTTTTCAAAGTTAAAACCCTGCTCTGCCAAAACATAGCGCTTCTTATCGCATCCTACGACCCCTTTAGATTGTGGTTGAGGCCCGTTTCATTGGTAAGCTTGTCTTTCTACAATGTCGGAGACACTACGCATTGCACTATTAAATGACCTACCTCGATACATTCCAGAGTATTTTAAAATTATTTTTATGTTGTTAGATCGCCAATTGTATGGGTTTATCGGCAGAACGAAGAGATTTTAGTTTTTACATCGGAAATATCTCAGCAATTTTCAAAATGTCGGAAGGGGAATTCCCCAGGGATTTCCCTTATGACTGGTGCATGCCGGGAACTGAATGGAGGAATTTAACGGTTGAAATAAGTTAAATATTACACGCAAATATTGCTATCAAAAACGAAAATATCTTCGTTCTGCCGATAAACCCATAAAATTTGCGATTCAACTATATGAAAAGAATTCTAAAATACTCAGGAATGTATCGAGGTAGGTCATTTATGTGTGCAATGCATAGTCTAGTTCATTCTCCGACATTGTAGAAACACAGGCTTACTAATGAATCGGGCCTACAACCACAATCTAAAGGGGTCGTAAGATGCGATAAAGCGCTTCAACTACAAGTCTGTAGCAAGGTTCACGATTTTTCAAAAATACAGCTGGTGGAGGCTAAAAAAAATTTAAATTAAGGTACAGCTGGAAAGTAACATTTTGGTAAAAAATTGCTATACCTGCACATGTTATTTTCTGGTACAAAATAAAGTATGAAGGCATGTGTCAATTTCCTTGCTTTTTTCAGGAAAGTATCATTACATTGTCTTCTTTTAGAATATCTGGTAGGGGTTCAATGGAAACTCCAGGAAATTCTGATATTTCACACTTTCTATTTTTCCAAATTTTCTTTCAAAGTTTCCAGACAACATAGGAGCTACCATTGACCTGTTTCTAGATATTCTATAAGTAAACAGTGTAATGATACTTTCCTGAAAAAAGCAAGGAAATACACACACGACTTCATACTTAATTTTGTACCAGAAAATAACATGTGCAGGTATAGCAATTTTTTACCAAAATGTTACTTTCCAGCTGAACCTTAAGCATGATATCTCAATGTCAAATAGGCCGATGTAAAGTAAAATGTAGTGCCGATTGAGAAATATAGTTATACATCGATAACATATCAAACAAATGTTGTTACCTGTCTCAATGATGGGACTTTCAGCTCCAAACTGCATCGAATTTTGAAGATTAAAAAAATCAAATATGGCGCTTAATTCTATGTCGTTAAACGGCAATCTAGTCACAACTCAAATGTCAAACAGACATTAGAATTTAAGATATTATATCAGATATCAAAGAACAACTATAGTGTTAGTAATATAACCTGTTATATTTGTATTTGTTTCATTTAAATCGAAGAAATGTTTTGTTTATGTCGTAAACCACCTGTCACGTTGCCGTAGATCAGTCGCTGTCAAAATTAAAAACAATAATGAATAAAATTTGTCAGAATTCTGCACGTTTTCACATGTAAAACATTTCGTGTAGGTATTTAATATAGATCTTAATGTTCACTTGGATCCAAACATATACATGTACAATTGGAATCACAAGTTATATCGAGGTCATGATGAGTTTTCAATTTGGATTTGGATATGTCTATGAGACTGAGGGCAGGTTATTATTTTAGTCTTGTAGAGATACAATAGTGTCTTATATAATATTTCAAAAGATGAAAATTAACGTTGCTAGGCGACACATTTTTCATCTCTATCGATTCTAGATACCACACGACCACCCTAAAATATCTCTCAAGGCCAAAATAGTTGTGACCGTCTCAAATTACGGGTATATACTTCAATCTAACTTTATATCTGCCAATATTATTTCAAAATATATGCCATCAGAGGTCATGAACATTTTTCCTCTGTGTATTTTTTCTACATGTATATCTGTTCATTCCCGGGAACACTATCCTAAGCTTGGGAAATCAGACCACTCAATAAATATGGAATCAAGTCGAGCAAATTGATGAATAGTGAGTGTTATAAACACAGCAATGTATTTGAATGATTCTACTAAGAAATACTAGGACATTCCTGCGATGCCAAAGCTGAATGTTAACAACCCATGATTTATTCAGTTAGCAATTGGCGGGTGGCAGGTGGCAGTTGGTGGTTGGCGTTTGTAACAAATTCTTACAACTTCCAATAACTTAACAAATACTGTTTAGACTTCAATTTTTTTCAAAATCGTTTACAAGTTTTCAGAAGTTCAAATCTGACGTTATATTTAAGATTTGACCTTCTCAAGGTCATAAAAGGTCAAAAAGGTATTTTTTCAACTTGGTTCAAATTGACCAATTTCTTTTTCAAAATCATCTACAAGTTCTCAGAAGTTAAAATCTGACTAGATTTGAGATTTCACCTTCAGTGACCTTCTCAAGGTCAAACAAGGTCAAAAAGGTATTTCTTCAACTTGCTTCAAATTGACCAAACTTTTTTTTTTAAATTATCGACAAGTTCTCAGAAGTTAAATCTGACTTTAGATTTGAGATTTCACCTTCAATCACTTCTCAGGGTCAAAAAAGGTATTTTTTCAACTTGGTTCAAATTGACCAATTTTTTCAAAATCATCTACAAGTTCTCAGAAATTCAATTCTGACTTAAGATTGAACAATATTGTGAGTAACTAGGGCATTTTGTCATGTTAATGCCTTGTATACTACGTGTATGCAAGTTGCAATAGTCCATTAGTTTGAAGTGACATCAATATAATCCCCGTATCGACATTTTGAACTGCTGGTTGATTTAAAGATTGAAGTGTACATGAATATTACCATAATTTGAGACAGCTGCAACTCTTTTGCTTTTATGGGGAGAATGTTTTTGGTGGTGTTTAGAATTACAATATTATTAATATTCTCATGAATATTGTTTGAATGATATATAAAAGATATGTCAATATAATATATTTGGGCACAATTTTGTAATGACTTCTTGACTCTCTTGTTTAAAAAAACCCGAAATATGAACACTTATTTCGAACACTTTTGCCCATCTCAGTGACATTTTGATTGCATTATAGTCCTAACATTGCTTGTAATTTGTTTTCCATACACGATACAGTAAAACCTGTAAAGTGGAATATCTTTGTAAGTGGACCATCTCTATTAATAGAACTGTCCTGATTTTTTGTAAAATGAAGCTCTGTAAGTGGAACACCTCCAAGTAGAACATTATTGTGAGGTATTCCACTTGTTCCAGGTGTTCCACTTACACAAGTTTGAGTGTTTAAAAAATTAAACCAATTTTTATATTTTAAAAACTTTTTCAGCCACCTGAGGACTGAGACACGTTAATATGGCTGAAGGGGAATATGTAATTACCATTAGCTCACCTTTAACGAGCTTCTCAGGTAAAGAGGGAAAACAACACACCTGTGCAGGTAGACAGACAACAATGGAGCATCAATGTCTCAGGTAAGATATATCTCTTAAAAGATTATCATGCAGTGATCTTCCCAGGTGGGTGCAAAATTCTCATTTTCACAATTCAGACCAAAATTTGTCAAAATATACCAATTTTTCATGATTTTTCTTATTTTCAAATGGGTGCAAATGGATTTTCAGGTGGGTGCAAGCCTAATTTCAAAATCTCAATTGGGTGCTACGCTCACTTGCTTTAATGCTAGGGAGATCACTCTCATGTATAATGTGTATGTAGTTTTAATGTTTAGCATTTTATGTTGTTCAACGGTAGTTAGGGTTGGTCAAAACAACTAGGAAACAGAAGTACCAGTGAAGGCTTGAGAGTTGCATTCATTTGAAGGCCAACCTTTCGATAAAATTCAAACTCATATAAAAACATTTTGAATAAAGATGGAAGCACTGTCCAGTGTTTAATAGACTCTGTATTGTAGCAGTTTCAAAATGGTAATGCCAAATGGCCTACAGGTCGTTCTTTTTCCATACATGCATGTTTGTATTTATTAAAGTATCCCATAAATCAGGCTACGTATATCGCCTTGTTTACATTAGGGGATTAGAAGAGTTTAGGTTGGAAAAAAAGAAAGTGTGAAATATCAGAATTTTCTGGAGTTCCCATTGACCTCTTACCAGATATACTAAAAGAAGACAATGTAGTTAATGCCTTCATACTTTATAGTGTACCAGAAAATAATATATGCAGGTTTAGCAATTTTTTACCAAAATGTTATTTTCCAGCTGTACCTAAGCACTGGTTTGTTACGATATGTATTCTATGTTGACCAAGAGGTGGACTAGTCAACTGGGCTGGTGACTATTGAAAGTGAACTGGTCCGTATCAAAAGTAACTGTTCCCAGGCGCTCGGGCCGAAGCTTATGACGCATCCTTGTCTAGACTGACCAATTTACATATAGTCCTGTAAAAATTGAAAAAGTACTGGACTGAATTACCGATGGCTTATAAATAAACATTTAATCATACAATCCAAGTCATGTCCTTTGATGTCAAACTGTATCTTGGTCCCCTCCCCTTTCATCAGAATATTAGTCTTGTGTTTGTTCCTATTTTAATTTAGTGCTTATACATAATAGCACCTTCAAAATTATACATGGTATATAGCAAACAGTTTGTTTGATTGGAGAAATTTGAAGAAGGTATATATACCCTATAAGTTATTAGAAAATAGACAGATATAGTTTAAAAATGTTGACATATTCCTAGGGTGAAGACTAAAGCTTATTTCGATTTGACAATTATTTTTCATAGTAAAAGTAGTAATGTATTTGTTTTTGATTTTGAAGCAAGTCAATTTTATAAAATCATTTTACAATTTATTACATGCACACCATGTTTGATATATGACCAGTCAGTTATTTGATTTGGCAATTTTAGTGTTTAAGTCCGATCCTGAATAGTATAGTTTCTATTTAGCTGAATAAAGCTTACTTAATTGATGTCTCCCTTGTTTGTCTTTGATTTACTTGGGCCAAACTTCCATTGACTTCAATGCTAAAAACTTACAGTCATTTAATTTAATGATTTATCAAAAAGTGTTGGTCGATTCTGTTTGAAACCCAAATGGCATACTATCGGATGACCCTGTCAATGTACATATTGTGATTAAACATGAAAGTATTGATTGTCATCCAAATAAACCAAGGTTTTAATGAATTTTAGCATTGCATCAATTTTTTTTCAAATGTCATGGAAAATGATTTAAATGACATAACTGTGAATCAAAGCTATTATTGGAGAAAACATTTCACTGAATTCAAAAATGCTAAGAAAAAAAGAAAGAAATGTAAGTCAATAGAGGTAAAAAGTGTAAATCTCATGAAAAAATGAAAATTTGCAAAATTTTAAAGCAATTTAGAAACACCTCTATTGATTCAGAGATTTAAGAATTTTTAGTATGAAACCTTTCAGAAGTTCCAATTGAGAAATCAAAAATTTAATTTCTCGGGGAAAGATTACCATGTTGTTAATTTGTCAACAAATAAAAGGAATCAGATCGGGAGCAAAGATATCTGGGTAACTTGTGTTTTGTCAACATACACAGGTTTTAAATCAACTGAGTTCAGACTTGGAGGTCTAATCAATGAGTATGACACCATATACAGTATTTGTTATCTCTTAATATCTATTTCTCAATTTAGTGCTTTGGTAAAGCACCTCCAGAATAAATCTAAGACTAAAACACTTGAAGACTAAATTGTAAGGAGAATCATATACCCTTTGGCTTATTAGAAACTTGATGAATAAAATTTTAAAACGACAAACATACTCCTAGGGTTAAGACTAGTAACTGTTTGAATTTGACAATTATAGTTCTTACTTTAATTAGTCATATATTTATTGTTAATTTTGATTAAAGTCAATTTCAGTAAAAATCATTTAACAATATTATAAATGCACATGTTTCATAGATGATCAGTCAGTTATTTGATATGGCTTGTGTTAGTGTTTAAGTCCTGAATTGAATCAGATTTAAGTATTTTTAGCATGCAACGAGACCTTTCAAAGTTTCAATTAAGAAATCAATAATATAATTTGGGGAAAGATCTCCATGTTGTTACTCTGAAGCTTTGACCATTTTCTGTATAAATGGAAAAATAGATGGCAGCATAGGTGTTGGTAGGGCCAGAATACATGGAAACATATTTCAAGAGACACTTATTTCTTGATCTAACAAGAAGTTCAATTTCAATCAACTTATGAGCTAATTAACATGTGGATTGTGATTTAACATTAAAATTGTGATCTTTGTAAGAGTAAATGAACTTTTAA